AATTAAGTTTATCGATATAGTTAATTCCGAGCCATATCTTTTGGTCGATTAAGCCGCTATACGAACGCTTTAAAACGGCAAAATATCCGATATTAAGAGGCTAAAATAGATACGAAGAATACGCTAGTATACAGATTAGGATAATATCGTGATCTACGCAAATTTAGTCGAATTCTAGCGTAAGATAACTCCCGTGTCCGTCGAGGACTAAACAATCGTTATCTTCTACGCGTACGATAATTTGTTAACGGAATAAATTACTTTTAAAGCTAGCGAAGGCCTATCTCGTCGGTTATCTATCTATTTACACTAACTTCGAAGCGCTAATCGGGTAGAAGATCTTTAAACTATACTTAATTATATAGTTTGCCTTTAAAAATAAGCGTCGGCGGAAGCACTTACCCTAAAGCGTTAATTAACTTAATTATAGTTACCTACTCGCGGTTTCCTGGCTATAAAACTAATCTCCGACTATAGTATTCTAATAGGGTAATCACCTTTTAGGCCGTATAGAGGCCTATTACGAAGCCAGTCTCGTTAAAGTTATAGATATTATTCGGTAAGATACTATATTACTGAATTGTGGCTTATACGAGGTTAAACTATACTTAAATAATCTTTGGATCCTCTTATTCCGCCCGCTAATAATTATATCGTCGATAGAAGCGAGCTTTAAGCTCTGGACAGCGCTAGGTAAAGTTACATAGGGGGGTCAAAAGTCTGTTTACCTATCTGAATTTATACCCACCCCCCTTTTCCAATTAAACTTCACCACCCCATATCTCCACCTCTATGAGGTCTTTCGGCATCGAAATTAGTGGTAATCGGCCGCGTGGAGCTGAGCTTTCGGAAACCACTCGTGCTGCTATTGTTTATGCCCTTGAACTGGGTGGGTTTTGTCGCGTCAAACTATCTATAACACCAAAAACCACTTCCAAAAGCATGCACACGTCAAAACAAACCCCCGATCAGGCCGCCCACTGAAGCTTACCCCCTCTGAGCGTCGATATGTGTTCCGTCTAGTACGCCGTAGCCCTACAATGAGCTATAAAGCCCTTTTGGTTGATACCGACTTTAAAGTATCAAAATCAATATTAAAACGCGTCCTAAAGCGCTACAATATCCGCAAATAGGTTAGCAAGAAGCGTATCTTTCTTAAAAAGTATAATGCAAAAATTCGACGCGCCTTTTGCCGAAAATAGGGTAGTGTGCTATATTTTAATAATGTGATCTTTTCCGATGAATGTTCCGTCCAACGTAAGTCAAATTCTATCCACCAATACGTATTCTTATTTAAGAATGAGCGATATAGGAAGGATCTTGTGAACCTTATGAATTATGGCAAAGATATCCGGCAGATGGTTTAGGGATCTATCTGGCTTGGTGGTCGCTTAAAGTTGATAATTATAGAACGCGATACTTTTTCGAAAAAGAACGGCTACACCACGAATTCATATCTTGATACCCTCGAGGAAGCGCTCCTACCTATGTACGAGCCTAGCATAATATTCCAGTAAGATAATGCGCGTATCCACGTAGCAGAAATTGCAAAAGAATGGTTCGAAGAGCATAGGATATAGGTAATGGAATGGCCGCCGTATTCGCCTGATTTAAATCCTATTGAGAATGTCTGGAACTTGCTAAAATTAAAGCTATTCGAGCTTTATCCACAGCTTGCCCAGCGTAGGCGTTCTAAGATGGATTGGAATGAATTCCGCAAAGCCCTAGTCATCGCATGGGATAGCATTGATCAGGCTAAAATTGATAATTTTATCAGATCTATGCCTCGCCGTATTGCCGCGGTACGAAAGGCAAAGGGCTGGTATACGAAATACTAGATAGTTATCATATGCATCCAGTTTGAATTGAATATCATTTAAAATGGTGGAGAAATTAAAGAAAATAAAATGGGAAGATAGAGGCGAAATTGGTGTGTACACAGACTTTTGACCCCCTATGTATATACCCATTTTTCGCTAACGGTCTGGATAGGGGCCGAACCGCGCCTCGTAAGTAGAATATTCGCTATTTCTCGTACGTAAGCTTGCGTAGGGGCTGCTCCGCGTGAATCTAGTAATAGTATCCGTTACTAAAGTAGTTCCTCTTTAATTTAGGTCAGTTTATGACTATTTGCGCGAGATTTAGCGCGGTTTGTGGTACCGCGAAGCCGACGCGTGAGCGTATTACGGGGGACTTAGAACTGCTTTATAGCCTGCCGGATAGTGCTAATCTCTTTGCTATTTATAGCCTGGATAGCAAGCAAAAGGCGACCTTCTTGCTGGATAGAATCCTAGCTAGATCTGACGCGAATTGGAGGCATAGTGCTTGATTAAAGATGAATGGTCGCGCGGAGATAAGAAAAAGTGGTTGGGTGGCCCACTCGCTTACATGGCCCACCTCAAAACACCATAGTAAATGCGATAAATTACAACATTATATCTCAACAACCGTAGCTTCTCATAATGTCTTCTTATAAACCTATGTTCTTCATACTGAGACTAACATTTTTTAAAAGCCTCGAAAGTTTTAGGATATAATGATTAGAAGATATATCCTTGAAGCTTAAAAGAGGTTAAATTACAGTGTATTTTTGGTAAATATTGTCAAATCAGAACTAAATTGACCCAGCCTCTTAAAATCAACTTCTTATACTCTAAATAAGTAGGATACGAAAGATAGAGTCGAATAAACTTATGATTGTTGAGATATTCTGTTCTTAAATTATCGCATTTACTATGGTGTTTTGAGGTGGCCCACTCGCTTACATGGCCCACTCGCTTACCGACTACGTTAGTGGGAGAACCGGTGACATAATAATAGTCCCGTAGCATACCCACACCGCTTCGGGTGTTGGTCCGCCAGGGCCCAACACAATTCCATAGCCCAACACATATCTTGAAGCTATTCACACCCATTATTCCTCCACCCACCATGAATTCTTCGTATATCGCTATTGAGCAACGTATCCAGGCCGCCTGTGAAGCCGCCAGAAGTCGAAAAGACGCCAAAATCACCGCGCTAGCGCGCGAATTCGACGTTCCCGTGATCCGGCTACGGGCGCGTCTCCATGGTCGGCTGTCTCGTTCATAGCGTGCTATCACCACTAAGCGCCTTGATGCCTCGCAAGTGGCAGTATTAATCAGCTGGATCAATACGCTTGATGGTCTCCACGTTCCACCTACCGCGCGTATGGTTAAAGCGAGTGCGAATGCGATAATCGAGAGAGATAGGGGAACACCGGTTAATAAGATATGGGTATACGAATTCATAAAGCGCCTCCCCGATAGGCTTTATTAGATGAAACAAAAGCTAGCGGAGAAGGTAAGGATCGAGGCTAAGAATATTAGTATCCTATAAGCCTGGTATAATCGTCTTAAGCTATATATAAAGCGAATCCCGCTATCGAATATCTATAATTTCGATAAGACTGGCTTCTAGCTTAGTTAGGGGAAGCCTTAAAAGGTTATTAGCTATAATAAATATCGCACGAGGCTATTCGCAAGCGAACGATGTGATCTCCTGACCGGTATTAAGTATATAGCTGCCGATAGATAGCTTATAGAGCTATACTTTATTGCACTAGGTGTGGTATACCTCGAGCGATAGTATAATAATAATATACTTCCAGATAAATCACGAATTATAGTATCGCCGTCTGGATATTCGAATAATATCCTTATAGTTAATTAGCTTCGCTTCTTCTAGCAATATACCTATTATTGGGCTCGTGGTGGTCAAAGGTTATTACTTTTCGATAGTTATAGCTCGTATCTTACCTAGGAATTCCTCGACCTCTGCGAATAATGGAATATTGTTGCCTTTGTCTTCCCTCCGTATACCACGTATATTGTCCAGCCTCTGATAGAAGCCTATTTCGAGCCTTAAAGGAGAGATTCCGTGCGAAGAATAATATAATTACGCAGTAGGGTAGAGATACGAAGGATATTGCTGTCTTCTTTCGCGAGATTACTGGGATTCGGCAGCAAGCTATGACATCTCGCACTATTCGGAAGGCATTTACTGATCGCGGTATCTATCTATTTAATCTAGATCTAACTATTTAACATCTCGATGCTATAAGATCACCTACGCCAGAGCTTTATTGGCCAGACGGGGATACTCCGCCGCCTTAATTATCTAGTTTACCTAATTCCCCGCCAAAATCTGCGACCCAGGCACACCGTATATAAGGGAAAATATCTAGGATAGCTAAGCGTAAGGCTATAAACCCAGATATCGGCCGGCAGATCGATAGGCTTTCCCGCTATATTGTCCAGATGACAGAGGAGATCAGCCTTCTAAAGTCTACTATTCAGCACTAGCTACCGCCTATGCCTTCAAATGCTCGCAAATCACAGAGGCATATCGGCAAATTCGGAGCCATAACCACAAAGGATGCGAGACGCCGGACTTCGACAAGGAAGGACAAAGATCATACGGTAAGTGTGCGGAGAGGGAAGTAGGTGGCGCCTCAAAGCTTATTTTTGACCCCTGAATCGGCTACGGACGAGGTTGAAAATATAGAGACACCAAGTAGGATGACTATGGCGCCTAATTATCAATTTGATAAGGGATATCTATAGGTGTGAATAGCTTCAAGATGTGTGTTGGGCTATGGAATTGTGTTGGGCCCTGGCGGACCAACACCCGAAGCGGTGTGGGTATGCTACGGGACTATTAGTCTATATATGGCCTCAGGCATAATTTAATGACTGCAGTACGTAGTGCATCTTCAAGACACACTTAGAGATAGAGAAGTTATCTACCCAATTCATTCAGGTTCACCCTATTTCTTCTATTCAGGATGCAGTATTAAGGTTATCCCGTACTGCCGCATTAGGGCATCAGTACGGCCTCATCCAGCGTCCTCTACACCAGACAGGCAGTGTGTGTGTGTGTGTGTTGTCCAGTCTGCACCGCCAGACAGCCATCGAGCCGTTCCAATTTCAATGTATAATTGCTGTTTCGCGCGCCAACACGCGCTAGGGGGTTGATGACGGCTACTTCTTCTCTTGTTCATCCAGGTATCCTTGAGCAATGCTCGAAAAGGTGTGGAACTCAACCGAGTCGCCCCAGCCTCGAAGCCAGCCGACGAAGCGATCAACCATGCCCATGACATGGGCCATGCCGCTGGTGTCAGGATGCATCAACAAGGGGAAAATGAAAGTGCCGTCCTCCTTATCGACACTAGAGTTCTCCCACAGATACATAAAGATGTCCTTCCACCGCTGCTCAACTACCCGTACATCTACAAAGCCCTGGCTGTTGGCGACATGTGGGAAATATTGCATCGCCATCATGTCCTCATTGTGCCACCCAGTAGGAATCTCAACAAGGGGTGTCCAGCAGGCCGCGCATCCATTTCGGCAACGTGTGCCGGCTCCATCCAGGTGCTTGCCGGCTGAGAGTAGTCGATCCGTTGGAATGGAGGGTCGCTCGGCGTGAAGTAAGGCTGGGAATCGTGATGACTCAGAGAGGAATCATACAAGAATTCAAACTCCCTGAGGAGCTCGATCGTCGTCTCGCGAAGCGCGTACATCGGCGCGCGGTAACCTCGTACCCGTTTCCCGGTCAGACGCTGGGCTACTTCCATACACTTGACCAGAACATCGCGCTCTTGGGCTGGCGTCATCTGGTAGGCCCCCTCGTGGGCATAGCCGTGAAGGCCAATTTCAGCGCCCGAGGCAACGATCTCTTTTACGGTGGACTCAAAAGTCTGGATGGTATGACCTGGAATGAACCAAGTGACCTTGTCGGCTATCTGGTGCTTCTTCAGCATGTGCAGCAATCGGCGGCCACCCACTCGGCCGGAGAAGACTCCAGTGCTATAGTCTGCGAGGTTGTTATCTGGGTGATCTCCTGTGCCGATAAATGCAGACAGCGCATCGAAATCAAACGATAGAGCAATTTTGACTCTAGGTTTCTTTGCGCTGATGCTCGGAGGCAAGCGACTTGATAGGACGAGATCGGACCCTTGAAGAGGAGATGTTCCGCACAGAAGCTCAACAATCCTAGACGCAGAGGGCTCGCTAGACTCTGGTTCCAGATTCAAGAAATTGACAGACGCTTCCTGGTGAAGCCGCAATACATCATGTTTCAGCTTCGAAATGATCGAATTCACTGGTTTGCCGAAGTCACTCTCGTACCCAATAATCTGAATTGTGAACGGGTTGGCCAAGGTACTGCTTTGTGCCTTGGATGCGTTCTGAATTTGGTATTGAAGGAATGATTTGACTTGACTGAGCAAGCTTTGCCGGGCATTGTACAATGTATCGTCTTCATCCCATTGAGATAAAGGTACCTCCCAAATTGGGTCCTGGGTAGCTTGGGCTTGACTCCTGGTGTCGATAATGAAGTGATCAACTCTGCCATTCAAGGCCTCGATCGCGGAATCCATCTGATAGACTGAGCTTCCATCGGGTATTGGCTTGTCCAGGTTAAGCAGGGCGACTTTATTACCGTGACTTTCTGCAATATCCATGAGTAACACATTCTGATTGATCTTTTATTTTCTTTGATTCTCGTACTAACCTGCAAGCACAGTCTGTAGAGAAGATGTTCGAGCCCCGGTAGATCCCGAGAGGAGGATAAGTTTATCTCTGAAACTGGTACCCATGGCCAAAATGACTAATGAAGAATATAAGGAGATGACTAGAGAGGGAATTGGACTTTCAGTTCAGAATTATTTGCAATTCAACATAGAACCCAAGACCACATGCTAGACTGTAGGGTACTTATACCGGTTGTGTGCTATTTCCGAGGTTCTGATAGTCCCTCGGGGCCAATAGTGGAGGACGACCGGGCTTAGTTGAAGAAGGCAACTGCCAGCGAGAGCGGAATCGGGCACGCGCCCGGTGCGGGGTAGCTGACGGGCGGGGAGCTTCGGCGGGTTGTTAGTTACCGGCCTTTCTTGACTTCGGATACGACCGCCACTTATTGCCAAAAAGGCACAATCTCCAAGCAGCCTGCTGGAACTGATTTTAACTGGACAGATGCGTTGATCCGGCAGGAGCCAGCGAAAGCTTACTCATGAGATGGGAAGTGTATCAACCGGGCATCTGATAGAGCATTGATATAGAGATATCTACATGATAATGAATTGAAATTACTATCATGACGTTCATGGAATGGTTATCTATGATTAGCGTCCGTATTGCATGGTGCTCTTTCTGTCATGGGATATATATCTGGGCTGTCACCATTACATATCCCGTTTCAATGTTTTTGAGAGAACTACCGTGATACTTTCTTCATAGTATCTCATTCGCAATGACAACTCTGCCGGCCAAGGAAAAAGCTGCTGATTTGGAGGCTTCGTCTCCTTATTCGGTAGCAGATGTCGACACTCTCGATGTCAACGTTGCGAGTTCCAGTATAGTGCTGACAAAGAGTTTCAATCTCTTCAGTGCTTGCGCAACTGGAATTACTACGGGGAATGCCTGGGCGGTTCTGGGAGGTGCAATTGTATGACACTCGTTCTGCTTCGATCGATCTCTAGAATAACAAATCCAGATTGCGTCGCTCTATAACGGCGGCCCTCCAGGCATTATCTATGAGTTGTACGCTTTTATGAACCCCCCCATGCAACAAGTCCGTCGCAGTTCTAACATACAACACAGTACTGTGGTATCCTTCTTCTATTGTTTTGTCGGCGCATCAATTGCAGAACTCGCTTCATCAATCCCAGCTTCTGGAGGAGGTAAGCAATGCTTCAGAGAGTCCTTCCCTTCATCAACCTGGCTGACCCGAATCTTTATAGTCTATCACTGGGCCACCGTAACCGCAGGGCCACGATATGGCAGAATTTGTGGCTGGTTTGCCGGCTGGCTGAATGCTTTGGCATGGACCTTCGCTGTGGCCAGCAACACTGTCATGACGAGCAATATGATCGTTTACGCTTATTCGCTCTACCACAGCGAATTCAATCCACAGCGTTGGCATATCTTTATTTGCTATCTGATCATGTTGTGGATTTGCTGCTTCACAGTGATGTTCGCACAACCAGCACTGGCAGCTATTAGCAGACTTGGGTCGTTTTTCATTGTTGCAGGACTCCTCATCACCACTATCGTTTGCGCCATCATGCCAAGCAGAAATGGGTCTGGCTATGCCTCGAATGACTTTGTCTGGAGGGATTGGAATAACCTGACGGGCTACTCAAGTGACGCATTAACATTCCTAGCGGGGATGCTGAATGGTGCATTCGCTGTGGGCGCTATAGACTGTGTCACTCACATTGCAGAGGAAATTCCACAGTACGTGATTGACCTTTCCAATTGATACAACCCTGACTAAACTGGCTACCAGGGCAGAAAAGAATATCCCTAAAGCTCTAGCTTGTCAAGTGCTCATCGGGTTTGTCACGGGCCTCTGCTACTTAGTTTCGATCTTCTACGCCATCAATGACTTGCCGAAGATCATGGGTTTGAACTCGATCTGCCCACTTGGTGACATATATCTTCAAGCGACTGGCTCTAAAGCTGGTACAGTGGGACTCTTGTCTATGACTATCGCACCTATCTTTATTGCCACAATTGGTTGCTTCATCACATGTGGACGAACAATTTACGCTCTAGGCCGTGACGACGCGACCCCATTTTTCTAGCAAGATCGGAGCCGTCAGCCCTAGATGGCACAGCCCATTGTGGGCGACCTTTGCTTGTGGCATATTCTTGACCTTCATCGGTGCCATTTATGTGGGATCCCTCACTGCATTCAACGCTTTTATTGGTTCGTTCGTCGTGCTTACAACGGCTTCTTATCTTCTGGCCATCTTTCCCCACCTGCTCACTAACCGGAAAAATATTCGACCCGGTCCATTTTGGATGGGGAAGTATGGCGCAATGGTCAATGTCGTTGCCTGCTCGTATATTGTTGTCACTTTCGTGATCTACTGTTTCCCTTACTCTGTGCCAACTTCGCCGGAGTCCATGAACTACACCAGCGTGATTACATGTGGATTGATTGTCCTGGTGGGAGTGTGGTGGCTGGTGCATGGAAAGAGCAATTTTCATGGACCTCAGATCACCATGTCAGGGCAATAGAGGCGTTCGCCATATTGCTTTGAGAAATTGTGGGCTCTTTCCTTGGTGAGATAATGCTGCGTGGCGGGGTGAGAAGCAGTAATGTGTTAGGACATGAATGCCTTTGGTTCCAGGCCTTGTATACCATCTAGCCCTATGTTATTTAACTGATTAGTCCATTGATTATGTCTATGCTCCTCAGTAGAATGAAAGAATATCCTCTTTATCCCGGTCTCTAGGCCTACATCATAATATATGGATTAGCTTTGATTGAATGGAAAACACTTGTGCAAAGAAACAATTTTGCGCATGATGAAATGTCATACATGAACCAGCTTTCACATAGCCCTTCTCCTATTTTCTACATTTAAGTAACTTGTACTATTATGGCCCTTTTAGGCGACCTGTTGTATCTACAGAGAGGTATTCTTTTTTTATCATTTCATCGATATCGCTGGCTCCTGCTGGAATCGGCTTGTGCGGCCTGGCAGGAAGAACCCTGTAGCGATAAGGCTATCACGCGTCCTCCGCCCTCGATCCTCCATATGTCACCTGATAGTGTCCGACGATTCTCGGAAGCTTGCTAGGTATTCGGGTTAGGCTCCGGCAGCTGTCTCGTATTTCCCCACTCATAATCGCCCTTGATCGGTCTCCACATTCCTTCCTTCTGGCGCCTCTGCGATCCGTGTCATCTATTGCCTTAGCCCGTGCGTCGGAAATTGCCACTGCTGATATCCAATTGACAAATAGGGTACTACGATCATTAGTCATTTACTCCCTTTGCTTGTTAGTCAAACTCAAGATCGCTATCTTTCACCGAAAATTGATCATGAGCGCCTCATGCATGAGGCACCGCAGGGGACTTTCTCCCCACCTTCTCCGAAGAAAGGCGAAGCTGGTGACTCTCGTCGGCAAACTAGTGTTATAGACTTTCTTATCTTAAAAGCCACATAAGAAAATGTTCAAAAAATATTGGGCATAGAACTTTCTCAGATAGCCACTTTGAAAAGTACTAGCTTTAGCACAGGTGAATAACTAAGGTTTTCCAATGTTCAAGGGGACGAGAATTTGGGCATAGAGAAGGAAACGTTCAATCCGAAAAAGCCCATTATGCACTAAATGTGGAATCATTGGATTTTTCTCACCTAAACATAGAGGATGCATTTTCTGTCTCTCTTCTTATTATATTTTGGGTCCAAGAGTCAAGATTGACTCTACTTCTCGCACCACATATTGAGTGCCCCGAATGCTCACTTTCTCTCCTGGAACCCACCGCGAGCTCTGACCCCTTCCAATGAGGTCTTTGGCCATGGAAGCCAACTTGCCCCCTTTACGCCCTAGTACATATTGCTCTTCCCAGCGATCACCGAGCCACTCCTCTCGCCGCGCGCTCACTTGTTTACCGGTGAGATTTACAATCCACTTTTTCTCAGGTGATTGATGTCTCACGTGGACTTGTTCCTGATAGAGGACTAGATAGAATCTTCCAACCTTTGCCAAAAATTCTTTGGTAACGAGATGTTGCCCTTCGCCTGGGCTATGGTCGACGGACTCCAAGACCCACGAGGTATTACCTCCGAAATATTCCGGCACATCTCGCAGGGATGATATCTCCAAACCTCCTCATAGCTGGTCATCGGTGCACCAGGTCTGTCCGGACGAGGCATTGTTCCTGTCTCCATGACATCCCCGTTGGAAAGGGCCACAAATGGGCAAGGTTCGCTCACATTGAAATTCAGTAGGGAATCAATGACATGGGTGAAGATGACACGGCCTGCCCTCAAGTTTAGCAGTTACTTCTCAGACTAGCCTGGGGGCTCTAGTATGCAGTCATACATGGATTGATATCCGCTAGTCGACACTCCCCTGCTAGCGCCCAATCAATGCCTCCGGATTGCTGATCGACCCGCAGATCGACGTACCATTCACCGACGAATAAAGCAAGAGTATCGGTGTTTTCAAAAGGTGGCTCTGGCACCCAGCGCATAGAACTGCGAGTCAAGATGATGGACTTGGAGGATGGCGTTGATGGTCTCATTGTGATAGAATTTGCTCTTTTAGGAATGCCCTACCGAAAGGAAGCAAGACTTTATAGCTCAGTGCGCCACAATCTGGATCTCCCTCCGCCCCTCATTTTGTCAAAAGCCAACCCCGCATCAGAGCCTCGCTGGCTGTTGCCGCATCCATAACAATTCGGTTCAGAGGCTTTCTTCTTATCTAACGGCACCATCATGTTTCCCTATCTCGACACGAGGCGGGTAGAGTGAATGTGTCATCTCAATGACTTCGCTAGTTCCTACCGTTATGAACCCCGACGTCGAACAGTCTTATCTTTGAGAGAGATTCTGGTATAACTGAAGTAACTACACTGCCTTTCGTCTTCAGCTATCACCTTCATATTGAGACTTTGCAATCTTCTACCGTGTCTTGTCAATCATTGTTGTCTCGACGAACATGTCGCTCCTGCCCGCAGCCGCCGCTACCTTGGTAGCAGGCTTTTTGCTTTACTATCTGTGTGGGGGACTATTGCTTGGTCCTCTGGCTCGAATTCCAGGCCCCAAAATATTTGCTTTGACGTCGCTGAGTCTTGCATACGAAGACTACAAAGGCACGCGCACTCGCAAGATCAATGCCCTTCATAACAAATATGGAGCGGCCGTCCGTGTCGGACCGAATGAGGTAGCCTTCAATAGTCTATCTGCACTGCGTACGATTTATGGCGCTGGAAGTGGGTTTGAGCGAACCAGCTTCTACCAAATGTTTGATGTATATGGACGCAAAAACATGTTCTCGTTCCATACTGTCAAGGAGCATGGCGAACGGAAAAAGATGTTTGCCCATGCCTACGCCAATTCCGCGATGTTAAAAGGTGTCACTGCTGCATTGGTCGAAAACAAGGTGAAGCTGTTTTTGGAACTCCTCCAACGAGAAAGGGAGACAAGTGAGATATTTTCCACTCTCCATTATTTCTCTCTGGATACCATCACAGAGTTCCTCTATGGAAAGTTCGGTAAGACTTCGTGCTTGGAGGGAAGTGCAAAGGACCGTGACCTTCTAGGTGATATCATCGATATCGCTCGTCGGAAATTATCGTGGTTTGCGGTCCATTTCCCAGCTTTCACCGACTGGCTTTACTCAAGGACCGGCATCATGGGCTATATCGCAAAACAATTTTACCCGATGCAGAAACCTACCACCTACACTGGCATCCGGCTGCATGCAATGAAGGCCTGTCTAGCCTATGCTCAGGCCTCTCCACAGGAGAAGGTCGATCAATCACCCTTGATCGCGAAGCTGTGGAACCACCATCGGTCTCAGAAAGAAGACGGTATTGACGACATGGACATTGCGTCAGAGTGTGCTGATCATCTTCTGGCTGGCATCGATACAACCAGCGATACCTTGATGTTCCTCATCTGGTCTCTGTCTAGACCGGAGCACAAGAAGTTCCAAGAAAAGCTCATCGAGGAAGTTCAAAGTATTCCTGAAGAAAGCCTTAACAGCGAAGGAATTCCAACTACAGAAACAAGTGCCAAGTTGATATACGTTGATGCAGTGATCAAAGAAACGCTTCGGCTATACGCTCCTTTACCAGGGTCTGAGCCACGAATGCTTCCCGTGTCGAAGATGATAGATGGATATGCTATTCCAGCAAAAACGGTGGTTTCAATGTCTCCTTACTCTCTGCATCGCAATGCCGAGGTCTTCAAAGATCCACTGAAGTTCAACCCGGACCGTTGGATTGATGCTTCACCAGAGATGAAGAGGTGGTTCTGGCCATTTTCTAGTGGAGGCAGAATGTGCATTGGAATGCAGTAAGTCTTTGTGCCACTCGATCCCAGACTTGATCATGTTAATCATCATTTGCTGATTGACTCTTTCAAGTCTTGCTATGGCAGAAATGACTACACTTGTGGCTGCTATCTACCGCAAATATAAGACCACCACGAAGGGTGATTTTGATGTTATCTCGCCCGGAATTACCGGTCGCTATGAGGTGTTTTACGATGAAACTTGCCGTGGAATGCGCGTATGTTTACTAGTCCATTTTTGATGAAATCACTTGACTCACCACGACTACAGGAACATGAATGCCATATTGATTTCGTAGCTCAGGATAACACGGATACCCCCGGTAAAAGCTCTACACAACTTCGAAAGACATGACTGTCAGAACATTGTCTGAAGCTTTAGGGTCTCTATTTCTTTGTTGGTGAGACGCGCTTGACGTACAATTTTGATCGATCTATCGCAGCATTTATGAACAATTTGATTCACGAGATGGTACATAATGAGACTCAGAAAGTATATAAAGAGTAGCTATTCTCTTCGAGGATATTCCGAGGCCACTTAACTAAGCAGCACACAATACATGAAGCTGAAATAGAACTTCTCAAACCTGACGCGCGTTTTGGGGTCACTACTTCTACTACCATCACGATTGCAGATACATAATCCTTCGTCAAAAAGGTTCCTACACTCCACCGGGCGAGAATTGCAATAAACTTCGTGATGCAAACAAGACCAGTGGCAGGCGTTTGCGAGCGTTACAGGATGTCCCAAAATTGGCGTCACCACTCACACTCTGACTTGGTTCAAAACTCTAATTACAAGACACCCAAAAGCGAACCAGTGCATTGACAGGTATCGATTCCAAGATAGCCGCCAATCTACGGGGGCAATTTGTCAACCAGCCTATTGGTAACAACCATAATTCTTACTGGAAATGACCGCCAGCATTGCCTTCCCTGTTCCACCTCATTGGAGGAAAAGTATCTTTTGAGCCAGATTCACTCTGGTACTGCCAATGTGGTCATATTGAACTATGATCTACGTAGGTTCACCTCTAGGAAATTTACTTTGTGACACCTACGCACCAACTTGAAGAATGGAAATTCCACTGTCATCATGGAACATGCAAACCGTACTAAGACATAAGCTATATAATAAGCCCCCAGAATACATATATTTACTCAGTAACACTGTCCTGGATACTCCGCAACGCACTACTCTTATGCGCAGGATCAATAGCAGCCGCATTTCTCGCCCTCCTCCTCGCATCAGTCCAAAGCATAAACTCCCCATAACTCTTTGGCATGACCTTGATATCTCCCTCAACCAAGAAAGTATAATTAAACATACCGGTCGACTTCTTCGTGCCGTGCTCCACGTCCCGAACCTTCGAGTCAGCGCGCACCTGCACACGGGTAAATTTGCCCCTATCTTCGCGCTCCTCGGGCTCGGTGTACGCTATCGTGGCGCGGAGGTAAAGTACGCTGCCGACCGGAACGGGGTTTTCGAAAGTTAAGGGGTCGAGGGCGAGGAAGTTAGGCCGGGCACGCGCGAAGGAGGCAGCGCAGCAGAAGGCTAGCTCGAAGGATTGTTTTAGGAGGAAACCACCGAAGATCATGAAGTTATGGCGGTTGCGGTCTTGGGGTTATATTATTATGGCGGATTTGAGGACAGTCTCGCTTATATAGACTTAGTTATCGGGGCGAGTTATGGGAACTTAGGGGGGCTATAGTTGTTAGTTATGTGTTGGTGTAGAGTTTGCAAAATGCGGTACTTACTAAGATAGGATATCTCTTTTGTCTATATTAAGTGGATTAGGTCACTTTCCTTAGTATTGGGAGACTTCTTAAGCAGACTGCGAGTACGGAGAGCCTTTTTGGCTTTGGAGTTCTCTTCGCCCTTTCTGAAGAAGTTCTTCTCCTCTTCCGTCTCGATAATTAGGGGTGCCACAGGAATGGGCCTATTAGACGGTGAAATGGGAACGGCTCGATGGCTGTCTGGCGATGCAGACTGGACAACACACACACACACACACTGCCTGTCTGGTATAGAGGACGCTAGACGAGGCCGTGCTGATACCCTATTGCGGCCTCACTGGATAATCTTAATACTATATTATAAATAGAAGTAATTGGGTGAATCCTGAATGAATTAGGTAGATAACTTATCTCCCTCTAAGTGTATCTAGAGATATAATATATATTATAGATATTAAATTGTGCCTAAGGCCATATGTAGGCTTATTATATCACTAGTTCTCCTACTATATACTACCCCTCCCTATAAAATTAACCGTCCCGTAGTTAAGCGTAGTTAATTTAGGATGCCTAAGCCACTTTAATAAAAGTAAGGAAAGATAGGACTAAAATACCTATTCCCTATCGCCGCGAATATTATATCTCTTTCTCGTTATTATTATCCTCCGGAGGTATAACTTCTAGATTAGGGTGACTAATATATAGTTCTAATACCTTATAGTAGAAGAAGGAATCTTTCCTAAATACTAGCTTCTCCGCCTTAATTATATCTCTGAATAATTAGGCGTATATTTATTACGCCTTCTTCCTCTATAAGATAATATACGCGGTTACTATAGCTTTATTTAGTCCGAAGAGGATATCTAACTTAGCTAATATATTAAGGTCTGTCTAGTGGCTACGACTAACTAAGTATTTAGAGATTAAACCTTCCCCGCGGAATTATAGCGCTATAAGGAATATATATTATAGATAGCTATATATACTACTCGTAAGCCTTAATAGAGTTCTTAGAGCTTATATAAGGTCTTAGTATACTATAGATACTTCTTCCTATATATTAGACTTTAGGGTATCTAAAGTTAAGTAGTTATCTCTAATATATATAAATTATAGTAAAATATTTCTCTGTCTCTTAGTTATAGGGCCTATTAACCTATAAGGGATACTAGGTAAACTAATTTAGATATTACTAGCTATATAGATCTCCTTTACTTAGTTAGTATTATATCTCTTAGTATCTTTTAGGGTCTAAAGGTAATTATTAATCTTTTGTATAAAGCTATCTATAGTATTTATCCTATCCTATATAAGAGCTCACTACTTCTAAATATAATAATATATACTAAGCAAAATCTTAGTATAGTTCTATTAATCTTTATTATCTAATATTAGACTACCTTATAGGATTACGCTATCTTATTTAGTCTACACTAAGTTATTTAGATTTATATTAATATACCTAAAATAAGTCTATTCCTTAGGTATAGTACTCTTTATATAGTATAAGAAGGAGATTAGTCAGTAAGTGTAGTCTGGCCAAAAGAAAATATAATATATATAGTACGCTAGATCCTAACGGATAAGCTATTAAATAATACTATACTATATATTCCTTAATTACCTAAGGCGAGGCTTACCTATATAAGGTAGATAATAATAGTTATATATATCTATCTCTTTATATATAAGAGTAAGAAGGCTACCTAAATAATATCTATCGAAGTCCTTCTTTAATTAGCTAAATAACTACGGAATAACTATATTCCCTCGCTCTTATATTTATAACTTTAATATAATAGATATAGGTATTATAGGGTTAGGAGTAGGAGATACCCTATAATAGAGACTTTTAAAGGATAAGTAGGTTACCTTATGATAGTTAGCGATAATAGGAGGATTAGCCTAATACTTAAAGCGGTAGAAATCTAACTATAACTTATTGTTGGACTAAAAGGGTAAAGCTACCACGAAGCAGATCGTGGCCCCTTAAGTCCGTGGGATCAACCTTAGTCCGGCTAGGTCAGTCGGTGCCAGACAAAGGTGGAAGGTCAAAGGTCGTAGGATAGACTATAAGCAGATATAGCCTAAACGAAGGCATAACCACAGTCCTGAGGATCAAAGGAAGAAGGTAGAGATGACTTTGGAAAGTAGAAAATGACTCAAGGAAAGTAGAACTGACTTCAGGAAAGTAAAACTGACTTGATTCTATCTGCTAGACAAGAAGGACGTATTTATAGGCTAGAATAGCCTAGAGATGACGTCTAGAATAGCATACAAATGACGTACAAACACTAGGCAGCAACATAATGAAGGTGGCAAAGAAGGGAACCGAAGAGAAGCGAAAAGAATGATGTCAAGGATCGACGGTCTAAGCCACCCCGAAAGCACCCCCGCAGGATCAGGCTATGCATGCCTAAAGGTGGACGTACCCCTAAGGGAAAGTGGTCCGCCTATCCTTAAGGGGACCGAGGGTCGAAGTCTGTTCACCGGGGTCCGAAGACCATGGTCGAAGTCCGCGGGCAAGGCATGCCCGAAAGCACCCCCGAAGGAACGGACCATTCATGCCTGAAGGCGGACCATTTACCCCTAAAGGAAAATGGTCCCGCCTATCGTTCGGGGGAGGGCCGCGGACCAGAATCAGAAGTGGTCAAAACATCATTTTGATAGAAGAAAAATCTGGTCACGTGATCAATGCAATCTGGTCTTATATGTTGAATATAAGGATAGATCTTTCTATGTAGCATTGGTCTATATTCCAATACTTATTAGTATCTAATAGAAATTATATCTGGTTCTCTTTTACTATAATATTTTAGTCTTTAATATATTAGTAAATAAAATTAATTTATATCGCTAATATTATATAGTCCTTACTAATACTATATATATTAAATAATTTAAATACTCTCTTCGTATAAGATAGATAAATTATATTCTTAGTAAAGGTTAAATCTAGTTCCGGAAGGGATAGCTTCCTAATACGCCTAAGTGCTACTAACTTTTATCTATTTATAGTATCCGTAAAAAGGGCTAAAGTCTTATTTATAGCTACTCTTTAGGTAATATAACTATATTTAGTAATCTCCTTTCTCTCCTATAAGAGGTTATATTTCTTATTACTTTTTAATAGATAATTATTAGGAAGTAACTAAGCTATAAAAAGATTAAAGACTACACTAAATAAGTCGCTAATAGATATTAGGTTAGCTATATATTCCTTATCTAACTCTTTAAGCTATATTATTATATCCTAAATATTATTAGGTATAATACTCTTAAGATTATAGTTATCTATCGCTTTAATATTAGTATTAGCCTTATCCTTTATCTTAACCGTAGTAATAAAAATAAACTATCCTAAAAGAGTAATCTAACCTCTTAGTTTAATAGTAGGTAGATCTTAGCCAAAGCCTACTTTATAGTAGTACCTATCTTAGTCTAGTTATAGTCTACACTAAATAAGATTCTCTTATCTAAGGGCTAAGGTACACTTCCGGAGGAGGGCCTTTAAAAGATCCCCTTAAATAACTCCTTTAGTGTTTCGGATATCTCTGCCCGGCGACAATAAGCGAGAGAGAACTTTATTATTAATAGAGAGGCGGACGTAATCATAGCTAAGGCTAATAGTAATAAACTTACTCGCTAACCCTATTATTAAATAAGTAATTAGGTAACTAAAGAAGGTATTCACTTACTATTCTCCCTATACTTTAATAACTTTTAGCTTATTTATAATAAGATACTACTTATTCTAGGCGCGTTATACTTATATCCTTTAGCCTTTAGATTACCTTCTCTAGAACTCCTTATACTCTTCTAAGCTTCTATATAGTTCTTCCTTATTAATATATTGGTATAGTAAATTAATAGTATACTCCGTATAATTATAGCTTCGAAGAAGCTAGAGGGCATTCTCGATACTATTAATAGGCTATCTATATACCTTAATATCTCTTAGGAGGTTATTATTATCTATATCGATCAGAATTCGTATGCGAAGGTATACGGAGATATATAAGGGTATAGTGGGGGGTTAGAAAGAGAGGTTTTATAAAGTGAAGTTTATAAAGTGAGGCTTTTTAAAGTAAAGTTTGGGGCTTTTAGTATTTTATATTCTAATACTTTATAGGGGATTTATTATATAGTCTTTTTAAATTAGTAATAGAATTATAATAAATAAAGGAAAATCGTAGTAATAAGTGTTTAATCGGTAATAACTAATAACAATAAGTATCCTTCCCCTTCTTATTATAAAAGGAGAGCTATCCCTTAGCGATATAAATAAGTGTAAGATATAAGGTATTTTGGTGCCTTAGGCGAAGGATCTTTTCGGCCGAAAAAGTATCTCGTAGTATCGGTGGAATAATTATTTAAATAGTAGGATAAAAGGGTTATTATACTGCTCTTAGTCGACTAATTAGCCTTCGCTTCCGAAGGTGGCCAGTCTATATAATATCCTATATCCTATTGGAATCTCCTATTCTACGAGGGTAAAATCTTTTAAGTCTGTCGCCGTTAATTATATCCGCGTTCTTATCTCCGATATAGCATAGGATAGTACCGTTAAGTTCCCTAATAGAGTAGGATCTATTTCCTTTAACAGACTTAATCTAGTATAGTCTAAGCTATCGAAAGCGGAGCTTCTAAACAGATATTATATCTAAAGACCTTTAACTATTATATCGTGAGTGGCTCATAGAAAAATTGAACGGACGAGTACTGCACTCGGGTGGAAAGCACGGTTTTTGAGATATCGTGAGTGGCTCATGGAAAAATCGAACGAGAAAGTACTGCACTCGGGTGGAAAGCACGGTTTTTTCAGATAGCGTGCATTCCATGCGACTTCCACTCCCACCTGGCTTCCACTTCCGTGTGCCACTCACGATTTTCTAGAAAGCTTGTATTCCCCGCCTCTACAGCTCTCACCCGACTTCTACTTCCGTGGCATTTAGCTCTTTAAAAAAAGAAAAATAACGGGCACAGCGAGTGCATACTCTTAATAAATCGTAAGCAGGTGCGAGAAGGAGGCAAATATATTACAGCTGTATTCTCTATCGAGGAATTTCACTAGAGCCCAAGGTATAATAGGGGTCATCCAAGAAGCACGGAGAGAGGAACGCTATACTTAGAAAGCATAGGTCATCAAGGATGACGATATCATGGTTGGACGAGCGCCGGTTCAGGATGACGGGAAGGGAGGTCCCTTATTTTCGTTATCTGATCTCTTGGTCTATATATAACATACTCGAGTAGTGCATGCGCGTCAAACTACCCTAAGATCTCGATCCGTTACTAGCTTCGGGGTTGGATAATATGAATTCTGGAGGCATTAGTGGACTATCCATTAGATAGCATTAGCGACGTACTAGCTGAGAGCCAAGAAAGGCCCAAAATCCCGAAACATCCGCCGAAAGAATATATACTTGGCCCGTCTCTCGGAGACGGATGCCCAGACAGACATCTGCATCGCACATCTTGCTGTATTCGCATGCCTTTGTCATCAGAGTTGATTTACGACGACAATGTTTCTGGCGCTTTGCTTTCTTGCTCGGAACAAGTCGGCTCGGTCGCGTGTGTGGTGCAGCACACATTTCTAAGTTGCCACTTCCACGAATAAAGAGATGCCTCAAGCGTCACTTTTAGACAAGTGAAGGAAAGAAAAAAAAGAAGGAGGCTAACTATCTAAGTAGTCTCAATTTTACTGCGGATTAGCAGTTTTTAATAATTGCACAGAGTCACGGTTTCGCTAACCATGCTTAAAGGCGAGGGTAAAACACTGCTACGTTGGAAAATGGAAAACCTACCCTTTAGGATCAAAAACTGAGTGGAGATAATTTTGCGAACCCTATGTTTCACCAACATCTTTCCCCCGGATTTTGCAAGGTCAGTTTTACAACACCTGGATTATTGAAAATAAAGTGCGGGTTCACCGCCCGCCGTTCTCTTCCATTGACCTTCACACTGATGCCACAACTAAAACCGTCGTTTGTCACTTGGCCAAAACGAGCAAAGCAACCGAGGGCAGGAAAAAAAGACCGTGGTCAACTATTGAGCATTAGCCAGCGCAGAAGACCTTTGTTTTCAATCGCTACGCGCGGGGTCTCAAATTTGAGTTCAAGTAACTCATCAATATGAGAGTTGGATAGGACTCTCAGGCTTTGAGCGTTATCTTGGGGTGGAGGGGATCCTAATTAGGACTAGCGTAGTGCCGTTTAACAAACCCGATATTTTAACTTAAAAGCGGGCCGTAGCAACCCCTCAAATGCCCACCTACTTCATATCCCTAATCTGCGGCCCTTCTCCAAAAGTCGCTGTCATTGTCAATATCGTACTCGTCATCATCGAAATCGTCAAAAAGATACTCTTCAAATGCAACTTGCTAAACGACACTATATTACCTGGGAAGGAGACTTTGCCCAGGCTTAGGCTTTTCCCGAGCTGTCAGAGTCGGATTCTTCTGCAGCGACTAGGTCTGAGCCCGCAGTAGCAACAGCGGTGGTAGTGGTCTTTTTAGGACAATTGCGAGAGATATGACCTTGTTCCTCGCAAATAAAGCAACGGCCTTCCTTCATTAATGTGGCCTTTCTTGCAGTGTCGGTTCCGGCAGGGTTCTTTTGGGCTAGCGGGTTCTCTTGGCTTTGACCGCTATTCTTGTTCGAGGAAGGGTTCACATCCCGACCTCGTCTACTGCTTCCTGAACGGCTCGCTACTTGCTGTGCGATCAGCCGGGATGCAATCTGACACTTGCGGATAAACTGATCTAGCGTGCTATCGTCGCCTGCACTGATCATCACTTGGTTCTGTAGCAAGGTAGGGAGTTTTCGGTAAAGGTCGCGCTTGCGGAGATCTTTAGGTTGTCCAGATTCTTCGGCGAGATAAGTGAATTCTGCTAGGAAATCGGTGAAGTCCTGCTTTGGACCCATCTTTAGGTTGTAATATTCGTCACGCGCGATCTGCTTCTGATTTGGGTCGTGGAACACACCCTCTAAGTGATCGAAAACGTCCTTGACAGTTTTGTATGGGGCCATCGCGTCTTCTTGCATGCGAGGATTAACGTGTCTTAGGGCCTTTCCTTCGCAACGGCTACTCACGTAGGCCAGCTGATGCGCAGCAGTAGGGTAATGGTCTTCATTCAGGAGGAGTTTCCGGCGCATCTCAGTCTTCCAGGCCTTGAACTTAACGTCCTTTCCGTCGCTTAACATTGGGGGATCGGGCATCTTCGTGGACTTCTTGCTAGTAGGAAGCGTAGATAGGGCAGGAGATTCGCGAGCGGAAACAGGGCCCATTAAACGCATCGCAGTAACCATGCTATCACGCTCGCGACGGGTCTCATTTAGTTCCTCTCGCAGACAAGCGTATTCTTCATCCATCTGGTCATCGTGTAGGGCAGGGGTCTGGGTAGCGACCTGCTCCTTCAGGCGTATCAATTCATCGGCATGCTCAACACGCAAATTCTCTATAGTCGCTCGTAACTCTTCGATAATCAAAGTAGCCCCTACGGTGCAGCTTCTCCTGCATGGCTCCAGGCAATCGAGAAAGCGATACGTCTAGCTTCTAAATGCGCCTCGATCCTTACTATCATTCCTCAGAATATCGTTTGCATAAGCTTCTATATCTAACGCAGAGGCGGGGATAAAAGGCTTATCCATATGATGAATCCACTAAATGATTGCTGCCTCTTGATGGTCGTTTAACGCCCGATTAGGTGATTTTCGTGCTGTGGCAGGCTAGTGACCGCGGCGGAGCCGGTTTCGCAAGGTTGTGTAGGGAACGCTATATTACCGCGCGTACGTTGCTAAATTAGGCTGTTTCTCCTTCCTAGCGGTCTCGCAAGCTTCGATTATGCTTTTGTCGTCGGGTGTCAGCTCACTAGATATGATGGGTGGATGGTTACCGCGAAAATAATGTGGAATATAGAATTGGCAATACTATAGGAATTGGCAACGCGCTGGGACGTACAGCGCGAAGTGGCGTGGAGCGCCGATAGGGTACGGATAGTGTTAGATCACTAAATCAAAACTCTTATACGAATACGGTAACAACCAGCGAGGGCGAGCGCGAACGATGATACGATTACCACAAGCTGAAGATAAGATAGTAACTAGCTAATTCTTAAGGCCAGGAGCAAAATTCTCGACTCCTAATAGACACTCTTGCTTCTGATTGATGAAGTCTCGGAACGAGTAGGGGTCGGAGTTGGTGACTTTCTAGGGAGGGGAAATGAAGATTATGCGGGGGCATAGTCCTCTTCAGGATAATTATGCACCTCTATTGCTTGTATTCTAAGAACATTTTCCCATTTTGGATGCAACGTCAATCTATAATATGCACCCGGCAGGTGCGAGCGAGCGTTTATCTAGATCTCGACAGCGATAGGACTTTTGTGTTTCGCTTATTATGTATACGCTAAAAAGGAGTAATTTCCTACCAATTTTCTAGAACAATATATGATCAAGTAGCAAAGGTTTACATTACATATATTGAAGTGCTAAACATATCTATCGGTACCTATAAGTGTGAGTTTTTGACAGAATGGATTTCTCAACGTGGTAGCATATCAGGCCTGCATTCAACGAGAGGCCTCTAGTTCAAAACTAACAGGAAAAGGTGCGGCCGCGAAAAAGAATATTCGGTGGACCCCGGCCAGCATATACACCGTCAAATAATCTCAGGTAGCGAGGGGGGTTAAGGCCTCGTACTAGTCACTTCCGCTTTAACAAGGTTTCGGTGGCTCTTGCTATCAGGGGGTGTGCTGAAGTGCTAAAGATCCATAATAAGGTGCGTGTGTAGGCCTTTTGGCCGAATGGGATTCTTCAACGATACATAAATCCTCTTTCATCATGCCAATGGTGAGAAGTCTTATGCGGTTCTATACAATCAACACTATTCCTTTGACAATCAAAATTTTTTCACTATGTCCAATTCAAATTCAGGCTTTAAGGAAAAGAGTGACAACGATGGAGCACTCTGCCAGCTGTCTATGACTGATGTCGAAGCTGAATTGAACCATGGAAGCCAAACCCCGGTGCTCGCAAAAACCTTTAACCTGCTCAGTGCCTGTACAACTGGAATGACCACCGGGAACGTATGGGCAGTGCTGGGTGGTGGCATTGTATGTGACTTTCTTGTTCTTTGCGACGCTACATGGACAGCTAACAATTCAGGTCACCTCCCTCTACAACGGTGGTCCTCCCCGCGCCATATATGAATTGTACGTTCCTTACCCTCAGCAACTCTGCAAATGAGGTTTCTTCTTCTCACTAGTGCAGTACCCTCGTTGCCCTCCTGTACTGTCCAATTGCCGCCTCCATCGCAGAGCTATCATCGGCAGTTCCGACATCTGGAGGAGGTAAATAAAAACGCTCTCATACAGTTCTGCCAACGGAGGTAGGCTAATATTCTGCAGTATACCACTGGGCCACATTGACCGCCGGGCCTCGTTACGGACGCATCTGCGGCTGGTTTGCCGGTTGGTTGAATGGTCTGGCATGGGCTTTCGCGATCTGTGGTAACTGCTCAATGGTCAGTAGCATGATTATCTATGCATATGCGCTTTATCACCCGGACCAGAGCGCTGGCACGTTTTCATCTGTTACCTGATCACGGCTGCGGTGAGTTGCTTGACGGTTATGTTTGCTCAGCGAACGCTGCCGTTTATCAGCAGACTAGGCTCATTCTTCATCGTTGCAAATCTTCTGATCATTTTGATGGTCTGTGCTATCATCCTAGCCGGGACGGCGCGGGCTATGCATCAAGCAGCTTTGTGTGGAAGGACTGGAAGAACATGACCGGATTCTCAAGCCAGGGCTTCACGTTTCTCGCTGGCATGCTTAATGGCGCCTTCGGTGTCGGTGCAGTCGACGCGGTTACACATCTCAGCGAAGAAATTCCACAGTGAGTGAATGCCTTCGACTCTTATTCTATGTGATATTCGCTGACATGTCTATCAGAGCGGCGAAAAATGTCCCTAAAGCCATAGCCTGTCAAGTGGTCATCGGATTCGTAACAGGCTTCTGCTACCTCGTTGCCATGTTCTATGCTGTTACCGACTTGCCGAAAATCATGAACTCGGACTCCGTGTCTCCGCTTGGGGAAATCTACTTGCAAGCAACTGGGTCCAAAGCTGGCGCTGTCGGGCTTTTGACTCTCACAATCTGTCCCATTCTATGTGCAACAGTGGGTTGCTATATCACTGCGGGGAGAACCATCTACTCGCTTGGTTGTGATGATGCCACTCCTTTTCGGCCACTGGATCGGAGCGGTTAGTGTCCGATGGCACAGTCCTCTATATGCCACTATGGCCTGTGGGATATTCGTGATTTGTATGGGAGCAATCTACGTGGGATCGCTCACCGCGTTTAATGCTTTCATCAACTCTTTTGTCGTGCTCACGACCGTGTCATACCTTCTTGCCATCCTCCCGCACCTTATCACAGGGCGACGAAACATTCGACCTGGTTCGTTCTGGTTGGGCCGATACGGCTTTGCTATCAATGCCAGTGCGTGCTCATATATCATGGCATCGATTGTTCATTTACTGTTTTCCCTACAGTGTACCGACCACCCCGGAATCGATGAATTATACGAGCGTGATCACCTGTGGTTTGGTGGTCTTGGTGGGGGCTTGGTGGGTCTTGTACGGTCGGGGAAATTATCATGGGCCGAACTTAAATTATGAGGAATAGTTCCGGTCTTTTTTCCCCCGCTTCCTGTGTGATAAGTGATGCTCGTGGCTGCAAAATGGAATGTTGTGGCAGCTTACTATCGACTTGGATGGAAGCCACGTTCAAGAGAAGGAAGGAAATTGACGCATGATCAATATATTTTGCAGCTTTCGATACCATGAGTCCTCCTTTCTGTTTGTATGATATAGTTTTGAGATATTATATTCATCTAACCCCCATCAGACGGATATAAAAAGCATTTAATGATCAAGATCTATCTAGTCGAGGATAATGGGACTGGAGATCATTGCTTGATGAATAAAGCCTTTCCTAGGCCATAATTAGATGTCCAAAAATAATTATTACGGAATTTTACGGCGACATATTGGAGATAGAGAATGTCTTGGCCGGATTTGGTATAGCGGGATCTTGGTGGCGCGCACCGGGAAAGAGCGTTGGAGAGTCGAATTAAAACTGATTTCGAATGTTACTGTAAGGCAGTATCCTACGGTATATCTCTCTTACTCGCGCTATACTTCCAGAATCCTCAAGCAAATGCGGGGGCAATTAACCTACCAGGGAGTCTCCCGCGTGGATGGCTCGCTGGTTCTTGCCGACGCTGCAAAAGGCCTTGGCGAAGGAAGATCCACCGGGAGATAGCAACTTACCCTATCATCTGAACCTTCACCCACCAATGACTGATAGCCTTTAATCCATTTGGTAATCGAATGGTCAGACACTTAACGTATTTTACCACTTCACCGCCATTACCCCTTCCCCGCCACCCCATCATGTTTTCGCGTCTCTAAGTGTCCCCCACCACTTTGAATCACCCACTATGCCACCAATTCTTTCTAAAACAAAGCAAGATTCTATCCACCGAGAGGGTAGGATCGAGCTTACAATTCGTGCCATTCAAAAAAAAGAAATACCTTCAATTGCGGCTGCAGCGCGAGCATATGACGTACCGCGTTCAACATTGCGCGACCGTATCAATGGCCACCCTTTTCGCGCAACCATACGCACTAAGGCCTTTAAAATGACCCAACTCGATAAGGATACGCTTACGAAGTGGATAATATCTATGGACGATCGTGGATCAGCGCCTAGGCAGGCTATGGTTCGTAATATAGCCAATTTATTACTCGCCGCCACCAGTACCTAAGAGGTCGGCATATATTGGGTCAGGAAGTATATTAAGCGGACACTAGCTATCTAAGTACGCTTTTCACGACAATATGACTATCAACGGGCACAGCAGAAAGACCCACGAGTCCTTTGTGGGTGGTTTCAGCTAGTTAATAATACTATTTTACGCTATGGTATCCTGCCTGATAATATCTATAATTTCGACGGAATAGGCTTTATAATAGGCTTAGTAACTACTGCAAAGGTAGTCACTAGAGCTGAATATCATGGCCATCGATTAGTATTACAGCTAGGCACCCGTGAATAGGTGACTACAGTCGAAACCGTCAATACTTTAGGCTAGGCATTACCACCATTAATTATATTCAAATGCATATAATATATTAAATCATAGTTCTATGATATACCTACAGACTGGCGAATTGAGGTTAGCCCGAATGGGTGGACCACTGATGCTATCAGTCTTCGATGGCTTCAAACAATATTTAATCTATTGACCACAAACCGCATACGTAGTTAATATAGACTATTAATCCTTAATAGACATAGAAGCTATCTTACGCCTGAATTTGACCGTTTATGCACCGAAAACAAGATCATACCTATATATATACCTGCGCATAGCTCACACCTTTTATAACCGCTCGATGTGGGCTATTTTGCTATTCTAAAGCGATTATATAGTCGCTTAGTAGACTAACAGATACGTATAGGTATCTACCACATCGATAAGCTTGATTTCCTCGCAACCTACCCATAAGCGCGTACAGATACATTTAAGACTAGAACTATCCAGAGTGCATTCAGAGTAACCGGTCTAGTCCTGGCGGACCCAACACAAGTGCTTAAGAAGCTAAATATTCAGCTTCGGACGCCTACACCAGTGGTTGAACGACCATCAAGCCAATCAAGCATTTATTGCCCCGAAACACCAGCAAATGTTAAGCAACTATTAAAGCACAAAACCTCTGCAAGAAGATTATTAAAATATCGGTCTGATAGTCCACCTACGCCCACCAAAGATATTATTAATCAGGCTTATAAAGTATGCGAGTAAGTGATGAAGAGTATGCTTTTACTAGAGCAAGAGGTGAAGGATTTATGAGCTAAAAACCATAAAAAGAAGCGAAAGAAGTCATTATCTAGGAAACAGATAGAGAGAACTGAGGGTAAGTTTGTTCATAAAGCCTATAAGTAAGGCATTAGTCTACAAGGTGGTATAGAAGGTGATAGCGCGTCCTCCGCAGCACCCACACAGACGGCTTCGGTGACTGGTGTTAGCACCAATAGACGGCAATATAAATATAGTGTATGCGGAACGCCTAGTCATAGGGCTAATAGATGTCCAGATAAGGTTTAAATAAAATATAAAGGCGTTGTGGTTATCTAAATGCTTCATGAATATAGAATTAAGTGGTTGGGGTGGCGGGGAAGGGGTAATGGCGGTGAAGTGGTAAAATACGTTATCGTACTGTGAATCCAGCATACCTCCTGCAAGCTCCCACTCTAGACTCATTCTCTCGTGGGTCGCCCAATAACCCCGCATCGGACGTTGACCACGAGAGGATCCTCAGCAGCCCGATTCTCTTGATTCTCAAGTTGCCGATCAAAGCCTGGATTGACGGGCTATTCTATGCGTCGCAAGTCATTACTGCATTAATAGAATGACCGGCGCATGAGACTGCTCTCCTGACACCTGCCAACATTGTGCGGCGATTCTCCACTTTCCATCCTGATATCAATTTCAAGTCAGTGGCCAACGTTGGCTTCATGAGCAACGCACTGGAGTCCCCCGCTAAACGTGGCGCGCGAGTGCCGCAGGGGAGACCGAAATCTGTAACGTACACTGGGTAGGATCCACACTCATCCAATAATAGCGTGTCTTCGATGCTTACATATCGCAGCTGCTGGACCTGCAGATCGCGCAAGGTCAAATGCGACGAGCGGCATCAAAACGGCTGTATGACCTGTGAGAAGGCCGCTGTCAGATGTGCTGGTTATGGGATCCAATTATGCTGGGTCACAGACAAGAACCAAGATCGTTATTACCGGCAGCGTAGGCAGATCAAACTCAGTAAGTGCTGAGCCCGTGAATAAGACTGAACGATAGTTAATCTTAAGTAGACCAGCCCATGTCGCCTTGCTTGCCAGAACATGAGATCAATGAGATGTTATTTACATTGGACACGGTATCGACCCCTATGACCACCGTCAGTTTGGGTCCGTTTTCGATCTTCCAATCCAAGGCCGTCGTCGGTGATGGTAAGGGTGTATGTTCTGGACAGGGTACCCTCGAGAGATCTTGCCACGGCAAACGACCCGCGTCCGGCTTCAGACCAAGCCAGTCACCTCAAGAATCAACAAGCTCCTTCCCAATAACGGGTGACGAGTCCGATCTATATCCAGATAGCGATCGCGATACGTTTGGGTTCTCGAGTGCGGGATGTGGGAGGGATCTTGTTGACGATGATGATTTACTAGCCACGGTCTTGGATGACTTGGATGAACCGTCAACTGTCGACGAAACCTTCACGTCGTGCCTGACTGGCCATACGACGTCTTTCGCTATATCTCCTTCACTCAATCTCGAGCTACCCGTGTCTTTGTTTCGCGATCCGGATACTTCCATGCTCATGTATCACTACACAAGCCATGTCGCCGAACTTCTCCAGCCTGTTTGGCATCCAGGAAACCCGTGGAAAACCATGTATTTCCAGTTTGCACTGGAGGGATGTCCAGAGCTTGCTTTTACGCAAAGCGAAGCTTCTTCATCCAAAATTTCTACTGCAATATTTCATAGCGTGCTCTCGTCAGCTGCTTTCCATCTTCGAAACGCCAAAGACGGTTCTCAAAAATTCCACGAACTTGGTCTTCAGCACAAAACGAAAGCACTTCAAGCACTGAACACCGCGAATATTCACCCTAACGATTCTCATTTGCATACTGTTTATCTGACAGCAATTTTGTCTCTAGTTACTATTGATGTAAGTGTTCCTCGTCCTCAATGACCAACAAACACGCCTAACAAACCAGACCATGACGGGAGAAGACTCGGAGTTCCCAATCCACCTGAACGGCTGTCAAAACTTCCGGAAGATACAATACAAAAATGAATATGACGACGGAAGCCGTCAAGTTCACCGTATCGCCAATTTTCTGACGCTCTTAGCTCGAACAACCTCCTTTGAAATTTTGGATCAGGACTGGCAAGAGGGCCAGCCCTTATTCGAGAACCCATTTTTCCACGACTGTGACAGAAGCATTGAATATATCTATGGGGTTACCCCAACACTGTGCAATCTCTTACAAAGAACCTGTCGAATTGCTAAATACCTAGCCGCCCGCCCACGACACGATGTCCCCCGACTCGTTTCCGAAGCCTGCTGGGCACTCAAGGTTGATATATTGGCGTGGGAACTTGACTCGGACCAATTCCACCTTGAGGGATCTGAGACAACCATGATCGAAATAGCTCGCTGCCAAGCAAAAGCGTTCCATAGTGCCCTGCTTTTGTTCTTCTATCGGGTCATCGGGATGAGCAGCTCGCTCGATCTAGACCACGAGGTCTCCCTGGTTTTGGAAAATCTAACCCTTGCGGAAGAGCTGAAGAATCAGTACATGCCGGGCGAGAAGCGCAATGGACCCATGTCGTGGCCAGCGTTTATTGGTTCGTGTGAGGCAACGGATCGACGGCCTTGGGTGGACTGGTGGAACGGCATACAGGAATACAGGGTGGGTAATTTTAAAAGGCAGTGGATGGTGATCCAAGAGGTCTGGGATATCATGGACGAGGATCTTACTGTGAAGGATTGGAGAGAAGCACTATTTAAGTCAGGAAAGCTGGTGCTACCGATATGAAATGTTTTTCTTGCTTGGCCCTAGTCAGATTGCAATTTGATCTGCTGCTTCGAAAACATGGCTCATGAAAACCATTCAAGATTCACACTATCTTTCATATTTGATCACAGTCATGTAAATAATTCGTCTGCTGTATGTATGTATGTATTGGAGTCCTCTTTAAAGCCTTCATATCCCAATAGCGACCAGTCATTCAAGCGCGAGGGGTAAATTTGATTCGACATTCATGTTCCTGTACACAAAATGAGCTTGTAAATTAGGCAGAGGGATGTTGAATGAGAAAATACCCGCATCGCTTTGCAACTTTCATCATAGAATATCTCATACCGGGCTGTGATGCCTGGCGAAATATCATCGAACCCATCGATGGTCATGGTAGTATACTTACGATATAGCGCGACAACCAGCGTTGTCATTTCAGCCATTGCAAGGCTAAAAGGGAGGTCAGTAACAAACGATAACAAACGAGAAAAAGACAGGAGTCCAAAGTAATGCTTACTGCATTCCAATACACATTGGACCTCCACTAGAGAAAGCCCAGAACCACTTTTTCGCCTCGTCCGATTTCAGCATGTCCATCCACCGGTCTGGGTTGAATTTGAGTGGGTCCTTGAATATGTCGGGGTTCCGGTGAAGAGCGTAGGGTGAGATGGAGACAACGGTCTGAGGAGGAATCAGATAGCCGTTGATGGAGGTAGCTGTCGAAAGCGACCGTGGCTCTGATCCCGGTAATGGTGCGAAAAGCCGCAGCGTTTCCTTGATAACTGCGTCTACGTAGAGAAGTTTATCGCATACGACTGGTCTAGGGATCCCGTTCGCGTCCAAGCACTCTGTTGGTATTTTGCAGACTTCCTCAATCAGCTTTCCCTGAAATACCCTGTTCTGGGGCCGCGAAAGGGACCAGATCAGGAACATCAGAGTGTCGCTTGTAGTGTCGACTCCTGCTAGTGAGTGGTCTGCGCACTATGAACGCGCTCACAAAAGCGCTTTAGTCAGCTGATTCTTCCCCTCGTACGTTCTGGGGTCGTCTTTACCTCGGAGGCAATATCAAGGTCGTCCAGCCCGTCCTCCTTGTTAGAGTAGTGGTGGGTCCAGAGTTTGGCGATCAGGGATGCCTCCCGAGCTTTTTCGCTTCAGAAGCCTTTGAGAAGGCCTGGCAAGCTTTCTTTGCGTGATTTCTGATACCAGTGTATGCTGTTGGCGCTTCCATCGGATAGATTTGACGAGCAATGCAGGCCATAACTCCCGTTCTGGAGTAAAACCAGTTCGTGAATCCAGGGAAGTGGACCGAATACCAGGACAGCTTGCGACGGGCAACATCTACGATGTCGCCGATAAGCTCACGGTCTTTCTTAGATCCTTCAAGGCAAGCTGTCTTGCCAAAGTTTCCGTAGAGAAATTCAGTGATGTTGTCCAAGGAGAAGTAGTGCAGGGTTGAGAATATCTCGCTATCGGGACCCTCCCTTGCCAGCAGATCCAAAAACAGCTTGGCCTTTTGCAGGACCATGGCAGCGTTATCTCCTTTCAGCATCATAGATTTCGCGTAGGAGTGCGCGAAAAGCTTTTTGCGTTCTCCGTGCTCCCTGACCGTCGAGAAAGAAACCATGTTCTTGCGTCCATATGCCTCAAACATACGGTAGAAACTCATTCGCTCAAACCCGGATCCTGCTCCGTAGATCGAGCGCATCGCAGTCGTGCTGCTGAAGGTTACTTCGCTTGGGCCGACTCTGACAACGGGGCCATACTCCGCGTGAAGGGCATGGATCGTCCTGGTGCGTGTGCCTTTGTAGTCTTCGTACGCGAGTTACAATTTGGTCCAAGCGAAGGACTTTGGCCCGGGAATGCGCGCGAGAGAACTGAAGAAGAGAGAATAGCAGAAGTGATAGATGATCGCGGCTACGGCGACTGTAGCGAGGATAGCGGGTGCCACAGTCATTGTGTCGGAGACGTGTGAGAGGTATGAAGATGCTTGTAATGACTCTGCGTATTCCGCGAAGGAATGATCTCTTTATCTCTTACCAACCGAGGTGACTCATGTCAAGCGAGGGTGGGCACCCAGAGTAAACAAGATGAGGAGATGTTCAACACTGGCAAGTGCCAGCGGAGTGATTTATGGTTCTTATCTCGACCACCTCAAGTCACGGGGCTCAACCGGGGCTCCAAAAATCCCGGGACGGAAACTAGGAAACTACCAGCGAGCAATGCGGGGTCCATGAAGTGTGTGGAACAACCCCAATATCGTCAATTCAGATATACAAATCAACCTCTAGGTGCCTATAATAGTGTTCTCACTTACCCGAATTCTTACTTGACACTCTTTCAATTTTGCTTCAGCCCGTTGCATTACACATCTGCGAATAAAGGATTGGAAATCGTGCAAACCTCACTATAATGGCACCAATTTGCCATCCCTTTACCTACTCGTATGCCTCCACCAGATTGTCGATACGATGGGTGCCAGAACCTCCCTTCGAAAACACAGACACGCTCGTGTTGATCGTGGGGGAATGGTACGTCGATTTGCGGATCGATAAGCAATCGGGGGGTCTGGACTGGGCGATCGCTGGCCAGTGCCTACAACAGAACACGGATCCCCGTCAGTAGACCTCAAGTGGAGACACCAAATTGCACATTCGGATCTCAAGGTACTGATAAAAAAAAACAGGTAGCCTGGTCTTCACCCACGAGATCGACTCCAATAATAACTTCAACGTCAGCGATCCTTGTCCCTTCGTGCCTCTCCCTAATGGAGACGATCTCGAGACTGGATCGATGTGTCGGCCTGATCTCCCCGGTCACCCGGTCACGGACTATGAAGAAGTATGGAGATATCTGCCAACGGGACAGAGCGAGGAAGGTCTGGGGCACAACATTGCGTGGATTTTGGAGTCAGATGAAGATGAGTTGCGGGAGGGCCAGGGCAAAATCACCAAGACATTTCTGGGAAGAATCGGAAGCCGATATTTGGCCTTGCAGCAAGTACAGACCCATTCGAGGGTTCACGGAAGCTGGAATGTCAATATCATGGGGGGAGACCTGAATGCTCGGAGTGAGGAATGGATTGGCGATCGTTGGAAAGAGAAACATGTCTTGATAAACGGCTGTAATGAATTGCCGTCGATGGGCAAAGACTTCGATATGCACAACCAGGCGTCTTGGCATGTGGGGCGGCGGGTCACGTTTAGGGGCTGTCAGTACACTGTGCGCGCATTTGAGCAGGCAGAAATAACGGCGCGGGGGACACGATTGTGAAGTAGATGGCATCTGTATAGGAATTTGTGTGTTGCGCAGAAGAATGAATACAGCATAGAATGTTCGAGCAATGGCATAGACATCTTACACTCCAGGGGTTAATATGGATTTTTCTCCTTTTTGCTTTGTCTTCTACCACACAACCACCCGTTTCAGTCTGCATTTTTGGCTCATGAAGATTTCAATGTTAAATAACGGTGAGAAACTGATCCTGGCTTTTCTTTTGGGCCTTGAAGTTAGGTAGAAAAGGGAAGAATAGTTCACGCGAGCCAGGTGGGATGCTTTAATTGACCATGAGCTGCGTTCTAGGCTAAATGTCTGCCCAATGGGCTTGCAGTGTGATGATGAAAGATGTGTTAGTGGGCATCTATGTGAAAGAGTTGTACTCCACAAATCCACGCCTTTTCGAGTACTGCCCAAAATAAAGGAGGAATTGATTTTCAAGGATGAGTCAATTGGATCTGCGGCCTGAAAAAGAATTAAAGTCCGTCATTGAGACTTAAAGTCAGATAAAACCGTAAGCTTTCTCATTGGTTGGGGAGTTGGATTCGCTGGCTCTTGCCGTATCCTGTTTGAGCTCCACCCTTTGGATAGCCATTTCACTATATAGCCTTCTTCCTATATAAGACGAAATGAATGCGGCAACTGAATTTGATACTTTTCAAGGAACGAGCTATTGTTTTTAAGAAAGAGCAATATCAGCTTTTCGTTCAAGATGCATCTCGCTTTTCGTCCCACAAACACTCACCCCGGGAAAAAGTATTCACAAGAACCCTAAAGAGTTTCCATCTGGAGAATTCTGATCAAAATGCATCAAAAAATATACTGCCTGGTGGTGAGAACAAGTCGCTAAAATCGACCTCGAATCTTTGCTCTTCAGAAGGATCAGCCAGAAAGTCTCTTCGAATGTCCATCTTCGGTGGTAAGCCGTATTTAAACAACACTTTGTGAACATTCTAACCTTTTTCAAGCTTCATGCTTTCGGTAAAATGACTGATAAGTGTTCTACCATACAAAACCGTTACGAATATCGGAAAAGCATTTCATCGCGATGAACGAGAATCGCTAGACAGGGGAATCTCCCTATAGCAAGAAACGGCAAATATATACCCACAGTATGAGACATCAATCCTCCGGAAATCGGAAGCGCTACTGTTCTGTCACTGCAAGCAAGCATATACTTGATAATTGAAAAATCCCTCATGGAAAGACTTTTTCCTCGATGCCTGATCAAATAATTGGAGTAGCTCGCGCCTCTAACAAATAGTACAGGCCGAAAACTTTTGCTGTTGTAAATTTGACCTAAGCGCAGATTTTCTTATTGCAATGTCAATAGAAGAAATTACCGCGTCCTCAACAGTCATGCTCGTTCCTGTTCTGCACCAGCCCCATATCACAACAGAGAAGAAGAGGTCGGGGTGTACTGGAAGGCGCTAATAATTGAGCCTTGGGGCCAGAACAACTCGAAATGTTTGCTGATGTGCCTGGACCTAAAATAGCACTCCGCACGAGCATGAAATTTTTGTCTCTCAGTAAAAGTCACTCTAGCAGGTGGCAGATCGGTCTTTACGATGGTCGAAGATTACCATCTAGGATGGGAATAATTTTCTATTGCATCTTGTCTGCAACTTACAATAATGGTAAAACTTTCTGATTTGCAAATGAGAAGTAGACGAGAGGCTTCTTGTAGACCCGTTCCCCCGGCGAGGACAATCACAACTCATCCTTACTATCAGCTTCCTGTTTCTTGAAATCAGGATACTTTTTCTTTACCATCGCCGCCAAGATATCAATAATCAGGTCCGCTGCTGCAACCGAGGTTGTCTCCGCCGCCGAGTCATATGGCGGACTAACCTCGACGACGTCAGCGCCGACCAAATTCAGCCCCTCCAAACCTTTAATATACCGCTTTAACTCCCGGGTGGTCCAACCTCCCGATTCAGGGGTTCCAGTGGCAGGGGCAATGCTCGGATCGAGAACTGCACACATGTCGTCAGCCTTAGTCTTCTAATCAAGAAAGGAACATACCGTCGATGTCGATCGAGAGATAGACCGGATTGTCCCCGACAACATCCAAGGTCCTCTTCACAATCCCATTGACCCCAATGTCATCAATCTCACGGGCCTCGATGCGATGGAACCCAACAATATCATTATCGATCTCATAATCCTTCGGCCCAAACAGTTTAGTACGCAGCCCACCGTGTACGCTCGCTCCCTTGTTGATACACCCTTCTCGACTCGCATGCCAAAAAAAGGTCCCGTGCGTGATGGCAGATTGCTCCGATGCAATACCAGTGTATCCTTCGTAGGGATCCCACGTATCGAGATGAGAGTCTAAATGGATAACCGAAATGGGACCATATACGGTTTTCAAGGATCGGAGAATGGGAAGAACGATAGAGTGATCGCCTCCCAAACTAATGATACGCGGATGAGACCATCCACGCGGCGTTGTTGTATTCGTGGTGTGGTAGAGGACTTGGCGATAACCCTGTTCCATTTGCTTAAACGCATGAGCGGCATCAAAAGGCGTGATGGGGATGTCGCCGCAGTCAACGATACTGAGCCCCTCTTCGAAGGGATCCACGCCCCAGACCGTATTGTAGCTGCGTCCCTTCTTTTCGCGAGAAGAGCCTGCGCGAATGCCACGAGGGCCGAAGCGTGCGCCGGGACGGTAGGAGGTGCTAGTATCATAGGGGAAACCGAGGATGGCAATATCAAGGGGCTGTTATGGCAGTGTCAGTCTTATCGGTTGCCGCGAGCAGTAGAAGGAGTGAAGGGACACGAACATGTTTGTGGTCAGGAGCTAGACATCGTTGCCATTCGAGATGGGCAAAAGTCACCGGCTGGGAAAACGGGAGATCTTTGTCCAGGTCTGTTTTTTTCAGTGTTTGTTCACGTTGACGGAGTTCCAGGCTTAAGCTACCTTCAATAGGATGTTCGTAACCATCCCCGACATTGACAGTGGAGACGACTTGGAGAAATGGTAGAAGAAATGGCGACAATATCTTCATCTTGAATATTAGATGACCTCACTCTTCATTCTCAACTTATAGAAATTCCTCTTATTGTGTATTTATAGTCTTTCGTCTACTGTGTACTACAAAAAAACCCCGCAGGCGGGGGCAGTGGGCCCGCTATCCGCTCGCTGGCTCTTGCCCTCAGTGAGCCATGATAACATTATCGATCCGCTAGCGATACTGATAGGGCAGCTCATAGTCTCGAGCTGGGAGACCCTCGTAATTATCTAGGTAGCTAGCTTGATATTAGGCATCTCGGAGCGACTTTTGGTGCCGGCTTTCAACTATTTATGCCTCCCCACCCACACCGATTCCGCTAGTGGGTGCGCTTCACCCCAACGTTAATTTTCATCCCAGCGTAACTTTTGAAATTATTTCTCCTATTTACACACGATCATGGGATACTTTAGCGATGGCACTGTAATCTCGTCGGCACGATTCGATTCGGTTGGAAGGTGTGGCGGGCCGTAATTTGGCTGAGTCAGCGCAAATTAACAGGCTTGGCCGAGACGAACGAACTTCGGACAAAAACTTTTATCGAAGTAATGAGATATTGTATGAAGGAGGTATAGACTATAGCCAATAAGGAAGCGACGGAATCAATATGAAGTGGTTGATTACTCGATTAATTGATTGAAGAAACTCCTAAACAAAAGGGGCAATGTTGAGTTGTCCCCCAGCGGTGTACCCGAGTACTCGAGGGACCTGATTGGTGTCGAGCTCGGTACCTACAGATACCTATGAAATACATACTAATTAGCAATCTAGCCGACAAAAGGAAAGGTCTATGTAATGGACATGTACACTTGATACTCCACAATCTTGACAACTTTTACTTCCACGTGGTATTCTTTTGTAGACACAGGACCAGCTTTGTCTCCTCGATTCTAACGTGCCTCTGAAAATAACAAATAACAGAGCTTTGAGATCATTTGAACAGTGTTCTCTGTGGTGCTCAGATGGCACCCCAAGCGAAGACATGCCAGGTGAGGTGACTCCGACCTGCTTGATACACGGCCACACCTAATGGCTTTCCAGGGCTGCAAAATTCGCCATCGTAAATGTGAGATCCGATTTTGGACATTCATTACCACCCACTGACCTCTTACACTGCACAGGCTCCACGCAGACTCCGTGCGAAGGTTGCTTGAAGGCAGGATTTACATGTCAGCGCACTGTCAACTACAACTTCAAGGTTTACAGCGGGTATGCCGTACACTATGGTATTTATTTTCTGGATGTAACCGTACTAACTTGTTGCTGAGATCTCATTTCCCAAATAACCAGCCGTGGATCGATTCTGGGGAGAGTAGGGGACCACCGTGACATTATATTGTCTTTGCCTGAACTTACCACACGCTAGACTGTAGGGTACTTTATATCGGCTGTGTTGTTATTCCTGAGGTCTTAATATACTCCCCTCGGCCAATAGCGGAGGGCTACGTAATCCACGATAAAGCCCCCAGGACTAGTTGAAGGAGGCAACTGCCAGCGAGACGGGACCAGGGTCATTAGTCACAGGCTTTTCTTGGCTTCGCATACGACAGCCACTTATTGTCTTAGTCATAACCTCCGAATGAGATTCCTTGGAATAGATGCGTTGATCCGGCAGGAGCCAGCGAGAGGGGCAATTGGGTCATTAGTCTCAGGCTTTTCTTGACTTCGGATATGAGAGCTTTATTATTACGAATTTGTGTGGAAACCAAATTGGTCAGAGATGCATATCCAAGTCGAACTAGATATCTAGTCTTCGAAATTCAGCCTGGCGACTCAAAACAAATCAATCACTTCCTGATCGAGAAAACAACTTCTCGCGTTTCTTTAGCGCTTTGCGCTCTTTAACCCGAAACTTGATGTACGCAAAAGCTTCAACTGCGATATACCCCAAAGCCCCACGAATAGCACCGGCATCTGAGCCACCTTGCTGAGCATGCTGAAGTGACCACTCCATCCGTGTGGTTTTCCTGGGCGGCGATGGTAACTGTATGTCTAGGTCTCGGTTTCTAGCGGTCGGTGACTGATGCTTTTGTGATCGCGGGCCGATATCCCAGGATAGACGCGTTTGGGGCATAGCTCTTTCAATTGAAGCCGCATACTCATTGAAGGTCATGTAATCATGAGTGTATCCCATTATCACCAGCATGTATTTCTATTTTTTAGAGCGACAGTAAAGGGGCGTTAGGTCCTCATGATGCGGAGGTAGACCAGCTATATATACAAGAATGTGGCACCGTGTGAGGAGCGGGGTCCAATTATCATTAATAAAATGCAGGGCCGTGCGAGGTCGTCGCGAGGTTGATGAGCCCCCAGGGTCGAAGCGGAATAGCCCCGGAGGCCTGTCAGAGTGAGCTAGGTACCAGCTATGGAGAGGCGTCAGTGCCGAATAAAAATTGCAGCAGGGAGTTGGAGTGATGAAAAGGCCAACATGAGTACTATTTCGGCTTACCATCAGCTCCCTACAGGCAAATCACCTCCCACATGGACTTCGCTGGCTGATAAAGAAAACCAGCTACTCTTGCATGGCTCTGGAAAATCCGGCCCTAACAAATATCAATGTCTATGTGGCAATTCATGACTAGAACTAGAGCCATCCCAGGGGTCACAGGAAAATAAACTCATGTAAGGAAGTCAAAGAAGACCCGCCCAGTTGGAATCTGCAGTTAAAAATTCTCCAAGTTCTCTGGGTGAGCTAAAAGAAGGTATTTAAGGTAGGGACTTTTTGAAGGTAATATTTTCGGCGACACTGCTCGATTTTCGGCGACAGCTAAACCGCCTTTGGATTAGTGCTAAGTTAAACCTCTTATGGTTGTTATTAGTCTAACTGTATTTGATCAGAGATTGTTTTCTGATCTAGGGGTCGGCATGAATAACGAATATATTCGTATTCGTTACGAATATTCGTTATTCGCATTCGCTGTTGAATATCACGGCGGCTGAAGCTTATGGCGGGAATTACGAACGGATAAAGACCGGCTACCCCCTCTTCTGTAAATAAGTCAATCAACAAGAATCAGACAATCACTTATCTCAACAGGTTATAAGCCCGAGTAGGGCAACCATTAGGCGCGCGGCTCGGCAACAGAAATTTAAACAGACAACCGTTTTACTAGCATCTACAGCTAAGCATTCCTATCAAATGATAACTTCATCAAGTCAAGATTTAACCACATTGACTCAGTGACTTGGTAAAGGGGTATCGAAATGAAGAGTTCAAACCCTCTGGATGAGATGAAGTGGATAGAGTTTCCTCCGCTAGATAATCACAGACATCACACTATCACTATCACACTATCACACTATTACTATCGCAGATATCATATCGTCAGAGAGATATCATAGTGACGCCCCCTGTGATTCGTTAAGTGAAACGACACTAAGACGGAAGGAAATTGAACCCCCCCCTAATTCAGTAGCCCTCGACGCAACATTATTGCAACAATATCAACTATAAGAGCAGATGAAACAATGTCACCTTCTATAGCGAGCTCAAGAACTGCTTCCTCGCGGTTACCGCCTCGATCTCAAAAAGGGTCATCTTAACCTCCAAGGAGAAGCACTAAACGGCAAAGCAGACACTCTTAGACAGACGAGGAGCTGAATCTTCTTTCGTACCTTCGGCACCTTCGTCGCTAGCGCTTCACATAAATCCAGAAGTCATACTTCCTATCACTTTCACTAAGTGCACTCTTAGGAGCCTACTAGCGCCTGTCCCCTAAAGACCGCGTACGCCGAGCTTCAGCGGTCTCTGCTCCAATTACCACCCCTCACAACACTAGAAGAGACTCTCGCAGTGGCCCCAATACTCAATCTACGCATCCTAGTCTTGAACAGGGACCAAGTTATCTTCATCCTATTTCTTGTCCACTCTCCCAGGCGGAAAGTAGCACTGAGACCTCGATCTTACCCTCGCGGAGTTCTGCAACTGTAGACGAACCAGTAGGCGAATTCCACAAGATTGGCTGAATTATTCTAAGCTTCGAGAGGGTGGCGCAGAACACATCGTGCCGCAAGGTACACTTGAACGTCACCCTGAACTCAAGCTCCGAGAGACACAAAACTCTTAGAACACATCTGATTACGATAAAGAAGAACTTGCATTAATAAATGTCCCTAACGAGAATGTGATTCTAACTTTCTTGACCGTAGCCGCGGAAGAGACTAAACCCTTTAAACCGAAATCCCTCCGTTAGGCTAAGAATAATCTACGATAGCTCGAATAGGAAAAGGGAATAACCGAAGAAATACAATCGCTTAAGCAAAACAAAACTTAGGAAATCGTTGACCTGCCTAACGATCGCCGTGTCCTAAGCGGGAAGTGGATCTTCAAACTCAAAAGAGGAGCACGCGGAGAGATCGTCCGCTACAAGTGCAGATAGGTACTTAGAGGTTTCACTCAAGAGGAAGGTGTCGATTATAACGAAAATTTCGCTTCGGTAGTCAAACTAATAAGTTACAAGGCCCTATTCGCGATAGTAGCTGCCCTAGATCTCGAGATCGAGCAGATAGATGTCAAAATAGCGTTCTTATACGGCGAGGTAGACCACGAGATCTATATCGAATAGCCCTACTACACTACAGATAGCATATCTAGGGTCTGCAAGCTCCGCAAAGCACTCTACGGTCTAAAGTAAGCACCTCGTATCTAGTACCAAACTCTTACTAATTTCCTTCGGGGCCTTAGCTTTGAGCCTATCAACGCTAATCTCAGCATCTTTGTTCGGAGTAGTATATATATTACAGTGTATATTGAAGATCTCTTGATTATCGGGCCGAGCATTGCAGAGATAAAGAAGATCAAACGGAGCCTTAGAAATCGCTTTTACATAACAGATCTAGGCATATATAGCTACTATCTTGGTATAGCTATCCGGAGAGACCGGCAGAACAGAAATATCTATCTTAGCTAAGAGGCTTACGTACACAAGGTCCTCTAGCAGTTTCGAATAACACACTATGTACCCGTTAGCACCCCTATAGACACTTTATCTCTGCTAGAAAACGGGCCCGAATACATCTGCCCCTTTGTTATGACATTTCGATGAAGCCATTCCCAGTTGTCTGCCTTAGGCAACAGGATCGCGGGGTCCACAGGGACTTGACATCTCGATAGAGATTCGGCGGTGAGCCGACCCCGCTTCGTCACCCTTCCCCCGGAGGAGAGTCGCCCGTTTCCTTCATGTCCTATGTGATACATCCTATGTTACCTGTTTACCGCTCCTTGGAATACGAGGGGGGGGGACTGTATATAAAACGTGTCCACGATTCCTTCTGTTCTACGCCTAAATCTCACATTGACCCCAAAACGCGTATTTTTCTCGCGTATTACTAGACCAACATATTTTTTCCTCCAAAAATTCCATGACTTATTCCAATTTCTCATTACTTTTACCTAGAACAACGTGATGAAGTTTAGATATCAGTGTTGACCAAACGCGTGAATGATCGCGAAGACGCGATGATTCTCGCTGTGTTTCAAATCGGCCTGGGCACCACCAAGAAAACACTGAGCGATAAGCCCGGCTGAATCCCCAGTATTTTCTATAGCTGAGCAACCGTTGATTTCCCTACTTCGCATTCATCCTTCGTCTATCTGATCAGGCGTCGTGTACTCTTAATCTCCCATTCCAATTCCAACGGGCACCGATTGCCATCACAACATGAGTGCCTCTTTTCCCTATAGTATTTCTTCGGATGGATTTGAAAGCCACTTTGATGAATCACTATCTCAAAATCTGCCATCCACATCTTCTAGCATTGTGATGGTCAGACCTTCCCCAACACCGTCATTGTGTCCTGAGCCCCATGAGGACATTCAGCTCAAGGCAATCAAGGGTAGGGAATACGCAATATGGGATGAGACCTACCATGGCCACTTCGATGAGGGTGGAAGAAACCCCGATCGCAGAGGGTATCGAATGGCAAGATCAACGGAAAATTTACGCATCCCCATTGGAAGAGGACCAAGAGCCGCGGTGAGCTTTGGAATCATTCCACCCAACTGGCCGAGGTCTATTCCGGAAAACCGGTCCTACAATGCCATTTCTGTCATAGCGTTATCCAGCACGGAGTCTATGAAACCAATGGTGCCTCTGGAATGAATAAGCATCTTAAGAGTCAGGAATGCAAGAAGCATCAACAGCACGATTTGAGACAGTCCATTATCAATGTGAGTATTTCTACGATGTGGAGCCGCGGTATCTAGTGACTGTTATAGTGGGAAACACGAAAGACTCGCAAACGGCCCTACTCGGAAAGTTGTGGCGATTCCCCTGCCATTCCTGCAAAAACAGATGAGAATGTTGCTGACGCGATTCTCCGGGCCGTCATCTCCTTAAATATCTCATTTCGGGCTACTGATAACGCTGCCTTCATTGATCTGCTTCGCCTACTGGATCCAACTATTAACATCCCGCACCGAACCAAAATCCGACATTAGCTAGAAAGGAAGTTTGAATTAGTCCAAGAAAAGCTTCTGCATGATCTACCGCTAGATGGCAGAGCGTCCTTGACCCTTGATGCATGGACCAGTCCGAATCATCTTGCTTTTCTGGGCATCATTGGTTCATTCGTTACCTCTAAATGGAAGCGAAAGGAGGTCCTCCTTGCCTTTACTCCATTATCTGGAACTCACCATGGGGCCTCCTTGGCAGATCATGTCTTCAGAGTGCTTGAGACCTTCCAAATTGAGTCTCGGTTGCTAGCTATCACTGCGGATAATGCGAGTAACAATAAGACTCTCTGCAGCTCACTGTCATCATCTTTGCAAGCACAAAAGGGTATCTTCTGGTCCGCAGAGCAGAAGAATCTCCCGTGTCTGGCCCACGTCATCCAGCTTGTGGCAAAGGAGGTGGTCAATAGTCTCCGGATTGAAGCAGAGGATAGTCCCTCATCCTTTGACGATGATTCTATTCAGGGATCTCTTTCGGAAGGCCCAGATACTTTCAGAAACACCATCAATAAGGTATGCGAGAAACTCTCATTATCTTTGGGTACCTTATTAATAAGGCAGTGGCTAATGTTGGCTCTGTTGAAACCCTGTTTAGATTCGTCGCATTGCTAAAGCCATTAGTGCCTCTCCCCAACGTCGCGAACAATTTGAAAATCTCCAGAGTCGTAACCCACCCCTGCAAATGGTTCAGGATGTTACTACACGATGGAACTCAACATATAGCATGGCCATTCGGGCTCTTCTTCTCAAAAAGCATATTATCGCCTTCCTCGATCAATCGGACAACATCAAATTCAGAGACTTATATCTCGCGGATGATGAGTGGAAGCAAATTCGTTATGTTGTCGTGATTCTCTCCATTCTGGCGATATACAGAATCTATCTCTATCTCACGCGTTATTATCATTCATCGAGCCTGGCCTATTTACAATCAGCTTTTTCAACATCTCGAACATCGGTTCAAGGAAGCTGAACAAGAACGGCACTGGAAAGAGCCGCTGCAGTCTGCATTACAGGCTGCAAAAGATAAATTATCAGTCTACTATTTGCGGACTGATAACCAGTTTCGGCATTTTTTACGCTGTCACGTCAGTTCTGGATCCAACACAACGGATGAATGCTTTTCATGAAGACGATTGGTCCAAGGATGAACGCAAGGTCCAGAAATCCCGAATTATTCAATTCTATGCAGACAACTATCTCCAATTTGAACCCCCAATGCCTCAAACCGAGGAGGATCGGGACGGTTCTTCTATTGAGGTAATATTCTTCTGCGACTGCATATCCTGTTCCCTAGCTAACTATAGGATAGGACCTTAACAGCCTCTTTTCTCACTCTTCAAAGCTAATGGCGAAAAATCCAACTCGACAGAATGAGATGGAGCGGTATCTCTCTGATCAGCCAACTGTCTCACCGGACCACAAGATATGCATTCTCGATCACTGGCAAGCTATTTCGCCAATGTATCCCACAGTTGCTCGCATGGCTCGGGACCTTCTTGCCATCTTCCTGACCAGTGTGCCGACCGAACGGCAATTCAGCTCTGGTCGTGATATTTGTCATTACCGCCGTTCAAAGCTTCAAGGCCCAACTATCGAGAAAATCATGATCCTGAAACACGCACTTCCAGAGTTCGGATCTTCTATTTTTGATGACGATATCTCGGCAGAATGGGATGACGAAGGGGTCATCCAGCAACAACAAAAGTCACGGAAGCAGGTTGCGACAAAGGATGAGATCCAATTGGCTCGGTCACTAGAATTTGATCATTCAATGGCTGAAGAAGATGATCCGCCAGCCGAGCGAACCCGACACAGACAATTCCGTCGCTGAATACTTCTTTCTTCCACCCTATGTGATAGATTTTCATTATTTAAATTTGTTCAAGTTTTGTATTCAGGTTTTCATGATTACCTTCCAGACTTCCTCTATGCTACCCTTTCTCTAATAGCAGTGAGCTAAATAGTCAGGTTTGGCCTATTATTAGATTAGTTACCTAGTTGTTGACACATTTTTGCATTGGAAAATTACCATCCTATTTGGGATATCCCATCCCGATACGGGAAACCGGGAAAATTTGGGAAAATCCCATTCCCAGATGGGAATTTCCCAATCTGGATTGGGATGGGAGAGGTGAATGTTCCAAGGATTATGGGATGGGAAATTCCTCTCACTACCTCAAAATGGGACGGGAATAGTCTATAGACCTAGAGAATCCCATGGGAGAATCCCATACGGGAAACAGGACAGGGAATGGGATCCAAATTTTCGGAATAATGGGAATGGGAAATTCCCATCCCGATTCCCATCTGTAATGGGATCCCTTTCAGATCTCCCATAGTGGGAATGGGATAGGGAAATTGCCCGGTCCATTTCCCGTGGGACGGGGCAAGACCCCCAACGGGATCCCGATTTCCCATCCCGCGGTCACCCTACCGGGACCACACTCATGTCAATTTTGCTCGGAATTGGACCCTTCAAAATGTGCGGGCTCGTGAATTGTAGGGAAGCTACACCATATCAGAGACAGATGCAACTCTACCACTGTTCCCAGTTAACACTCCAATTCTAGCTAGCTTGATCATTCTAACATTAATTGATTAGCAAACCTTCCGGATTCCTCGGTGCAAGTACTTACGCATTCCCAAAATCGCGGCTCCACGCGCCAGGATTAACACTGTACCTGCGGACTATGGCATCTGTTGAGCCTCCGTTGAAGAGCTCCTGGTCGCACGACATCACCCTCTTTCTCCGCACCAAGTTTTTGTAGTAGTAATTGTCAAACTTATGTGGCGTCGTTACGTCGAGCGGACTCTGGTGCCCGGCTCGGGCATCAGCTTCTAGCGTCCTGGCTAGATCGGGATCAATATTTGTCCTATTCCAATCTGCGAAAGATGTGTAGCCGATTGTGTGGCACCCATCAAGGCAACCATATCGTGTACCGCGAGACCTTCGGTATTGTACCGGCAATCATTTCGCTAAAATTCGCTGTATGATTGAGAATGCCGTTGGCGGGAGTAGCAAAAGATGAGTCCCTCCGACCAAATTCGACACTCCAATAAGGCCCTCCCAAAAGTGTAACCACATCCCCAAGTATACTATAAGCGTTTGTGGTGGATGTAGGAGGATGTACTAACTTGAGGCACCCGCAATTGTGTCGGCCACGCTGACTACACCAGGGCAAGCTGCGTCTAATCGAGTTTTAATGGCCCTAATAACCGAGACAGCGTGTCCGAACTCGTTCACGTCACGCCTGTAGTCCTTCGAAAGAACGAAGCTGCCATCGCATCCTGTTGAAAAGCAATCGTTGACCGCGAGCCAGAGGAACTTTGCTGCGATGAGAGGTTGTCTAGCAACTGCGGATTTCATCTCTGACATTATAATGTTGGGTGCTCTTGGGCAGGATTTTGTATAGAAACCGGGACTGAGCTGTGCCGCAGCAAGGGTCAAAAAAAAGAAGAATAAATTCATTTTCACGGTTACCATAAAGAAATCAGAATTCGGGATAGGAGTAGCAGAAGCCGGCGAGGAAGGTAGATAGCGAGGCTTTATACCCGGTGAGGAACGGGCGTCTTCCTTAAAAACCACTATAATTTTACCTCATAGCACAGCTACAGAGCTATCAGTACACAACCACTCCCATATCATGTACTGTGATACATTAATTGACAGAGACCAATATTATTGCACCATAATTTGGCTCTAACTAGCCATGATCAGCGGTTGATGTTACACCATTCCTTTACGAATTCCAAATGTTGGGGTTACACGGCTGCGGCGCCAATCAGTGATGCTGGCCTGCTGAGCACGGCGCTCAGTCGACTATTTGTTGTTGTGAGCCCTGTCTCAACAGTGTTGCTATTGAGCTAAAGAGTGTGGCTAGAATCATCAGCTGTTCGAAAAAAGCAACATGTGCATCCACGCAACCCACAAGATGGTGGGGGCGTATATTCCCCTACATTACCTACCACCTCCCGTTAGCCCTAAGACTTCCCCTATTCGATAATTATAAGTTGCGTGGTAGTCTCTTGTGCGCTCTGTGCATATTCAAATACTGTATGTTGGTGCGCACTAAAAGGCTGAAAGATGCAACCACAGATGACATACCCTTCACCGATGCACGTCCTGGGACCGCTTTCTCAGGACCTTTTAGGTCACTAGACCTGTGTCCTCTGGCTATGGACTGGGGTTACTAGTCTTGGGCTCTGGAGCCTATGTCACTGTCCCCTAGACCTCGTTCTAATTACCCTTGAGGTCACTAGTCGTCGGGTTGAGATCTAAGGCGTCCTCCTGGCGGGGACATGTAATCGCACAAGACTTCAGTCCTACCGGGTCCTGTAAAATGATACCAGAGAGCCTCATGGTCACAGATATAGATCAGGGGCCTCGAAAACGTCCGTTCCGTTGGTCGTGTCTACTCTTAATATAGTATCTGCGCTTACTTTAAGCTCTCCGATTTAGACCTGGCACTCACCCGCGGGTGACCCTGACCCTCCACCCGCACCTCCTCTTGGCGGGTGGAGGGTCCGATTTCTAGACCCTGAGGGTTAGGCACCTATATATCCGACCCTCTGAGGGTCACCCTTAGGGTCACCCTTAGGGTCCACAAACAGGATAAATAGGTAGAAAATGTGACTTACTCGTTTATACATAAGTTATACGGATTCCGGGGGTTTTTCTGTGTATTTATTAGTAATTTTTGATACCGAGTAGTTCTAGTTTTCTGACGGCTATTATTATTTAGGGGTATTTTGCTACGGCGTTACCTTTTCTGATAGCTATTAGAAAAGGATATTAGGGACTAAGAGCTATAGTATAAGTAGATTCTAACGGCTATTAAAAATAGGCTTCTTTAGCTATAATATTAGCCTTTATAAAGTGGGAAAAAAATATTATATAATTAGATTAGTATATAGAATAAATAATAAATTATTAAGACCTAAGTACGTAGCTATTAAGTAGCTTTAAGCGCTTACGCTTCTTACTAAATATATATTATTAGATATTAAGTAAAGGAAGGTTAATATTATTATTATTATCCTTATTATTCTTATTATAATCTATAATCTCTATCCCTTTAAGATTAGCTATCGTTATATAAGACTATAGAAAGGACTCCCTATCCTAAGTCTATATTTTATTTTTCTTAGTATTACTAATTAGATTAAAGAATTTATCCTAGGTTTTATTAGCCTTAGTTATCGCTATAATCTCTTAATATAAGAGATATTCTTATAGGATAAGCCGCTTCTACTTATAAAGGTTAAATCTTATTATATATATCTAGAGTATAATATTATAAATTATCTTTAGCTTTAACGAGCCTTATCGATAATAATAGATATCCCGGGCAGAGTTAAAGAGGCATTCTACCCCTACTCTAATTATTAGAATCGATATTATATCCTACGTAAGGCTTATAAGTACGGGAAACTCGTATTTATACTCTTTCTAGAATATCTAAGAGGAGCCTTATATAATTATTAAAATAAGGATTTAATATAATTTAGTAAGAAAGAAGGAAGAACGTACGACTTTTAAGATATCTTATAAGCTTATTATATTACGGAGATAATAATTATTATAAGTCTTTAAATATTAAATCCGTATCTATTATTATTATTATCGATAACTAACTATCTAATTATAGCTTATCTCGCGGAAGACGCTCGTTATACGACCTAAAGAAAGACTTAAGATTTTTATAATAAATTCTTTTTTAGTCCTTTTCTGGGTTATTTAACTCCTAGTCCTTTATTAAACAGAACTATAGCTTATTTATAGGAGCTAAGATCGTACTAATAATATAAAGGTCGCCTTTTTTATTATCTATTATATTATAGTAGTTTAATAGTTTCTTTTACGCTACCTTTAGTAAGGAAAATATAAGCTACTTTTATATAATCTTCTTTCGCTAGAGTTAATAAATAGACTTTTTAAGATAATTAAAAAGCTTATTATAGAAATTAAAGACTAAATAAATACTTAAGTCTATTATCGTATAAATAACTATTATATATTTATAGAAAGGCTATAAGATAAATAAGAGCTAGTTAATTTATCGCTACTCTTCTACGCTAAGTGCAAAATAAGGTTAGTTATATTACGAGTAAAAGGTATTAAAAGTAGCTTAAAGTCTCTTAGCCTAGTAAAGTATAAGATATATTAAGTTCTATTAAGTTTATACGTCCTAGATAGATATAAGCTTTAGCTTATTAGGCTAAAGGTTATAGAAGGCTTCGCGATATTATAGGCTTATATTAATATAAATAGTAAGATAGCGAACCTAGAAATTTATATATAGATAATAAATTTAAAGATTAATTATTATATAATAATAATTAAGAGACTAACCTTATTTAGCGTATTAGCGATCTCTCGCTTTTACTATCGAGCGCGTAATACTTATATATAATTATCTTTTTACTTTAGTTCCGCGATATTATTCTTAGGAGTTACCTTTATCTTTCTAAGTAGATCTATAAGACTAATTTAAATAATATATATAATATAAGGCACTTAAATAATTATTAAATCTATATTAAGCTAAAGAGCCTAAATTATATTATTTACTATAGCTATAAGTATTATATTATTTAATATATTATCGGTAATAACCGCGAGGATATAGTTAATAATTTTATATTATCAGAGAATCTATATAATAATCTTACTAAGGTCAGTGCCTAAATATATATTAGATAGAGATTTAAAGCTAAGGAGAACTTCGCGATATATTTAGTCCTAATCTAAGAAGTAAGCTATAATTATTATAAATACTTACTTGAATAGTAATATCTATTAATAATATAAGAGATAGCTTTATACCTAGCGGTAGACTTTAGAGGATAATTATTTAGTTTTTAGTAATAAATTAATAGAGCCTTATATATATTATCTTCTGAGAAGGAATAATTAGTATTATCAGAGCTAGTTACGCGTATAAGATAAGATTATAGAACTCTTAATACTTAAGGAAAAGGAAGGGTAAATATAATATAATAATTAGATTTAGAAGCTTCTATTCCTAGGTATTCTAATTAAATACCTAGGTAGGTGCTCGCTAATCTTAGTGAGTTAATAATCGATTAATTTAAAGCTAAGGGATAGTCTAAGTTATATATATAGCCTATATAAGTAGCTTATAGATACTTAGTTTACCTATTCTTTTCTAATATTATAGCCCTTTAAGATATTTATATATTAATAAGGTACTAATATATCTAATAGCTAAATAGTTAAGAACCTTCCGATATCTTATATATATTATTTAGGCTTTCTATCCTTTATATAAGCTACCTACTTAAAGCTATCCTAGTAACTTATTTAATACTTTCTGTCCTAATTAATCTATTTCTTTTTTCTAAAATCTATTTAGAGCTACTAAGTTATAAACTCCTTACTTATTTTATCTTTATATAATAGGAATTAGTTCACTTAGTCGGGTTTAATTTATATAAGGCTATTAGGTACTAAAGGTACTCTCCGTAAAGTATTAAGTGTTATATTAAAGGTAAGCTAGCTTAATAGGAATAGGCTTATAAATAGAGTATTATCCGGGATAAGGTATTATAACTTATCTATTCTAACCCTCTTAATTACCGAGGATAGATATATATTAGAGATTTAGGATATAGTAGATATATAGGTTATAAAGAGGTAGAATAAAAGGACTTATAAAGGTTTTAGACAAAAAAGCTATTATATAAGGGGAATCCGTTTACCCTAGTTACGCGAAGATATAAGTTAATATATTATCCTATAGGCCCTCACTTAGCTAAAATTCTCTTATCTAATTAGGTCGCGAAGAGAGTAACCCTTAAGACCCTTAGGGTAACCCTTTAGTTATATAGTCTTAAGTTTTATAATTAAAAATATCTAAGTCTAATAATCTAGATCTTTAAACTTATTTTATATAATAACTAGAATACCTACGAGGAATCTAAATTCGTAATTATTTAAATAAGTCTCTATTTATTTTATAACCGAAGAAAGATTTCGATTTAGGGTATTTTTAGTTTTTTAAAAAAAAGATATATTTACTATCGTATAAATATAGCACTCTCACTCTACCTTTAATATATATTTCCGTAACAAAACTCTTAACTTTTTATAACCCCCCTTAAAAACTAGCTACCCACTATATATTTTAAGTTAAATTTCAGAATACTAAGGTAACGATACATAAGTTATCTATTTATAATCTAATTTCTTTAAATTTCGTAGATATTAGTATACGATTAAGGAATAATAGAAATAGATATTAGAATAGCTATAAATAATAGTATTTTTATAAGCTAAATCATTAATTTTATACGTCCGAATTAGGAAAGGCGCTGAGAAATTATATATTTAAGGGTCTGACAGACCCTCCGCGGGTGACCCTTAAGGGACCCTGTGGGAGATCCAGTGGGAGATCAAATGGGAGATCAAGTCTTTTATCCTTCGATGAATAAAAGAATATTTCCTTAATAGGAAACCTCAGGGTATGATATGATGATTGAAGAAGAATTATTTTTTTCTTGTAGAGAATTGCGGACATATTTATATCCAATCAACAATATTCTAGGCCTATATTAGACTTGCATTGTTTTAAGTCTAGGCCTGTCTTGCTTTGAAATCAATCATAGTCTAGGCATCATTTTTAGTTGTCAAGGCATCATTAATAGTCTAGACCTATTGTCAAGGCATCATTAATAGTCTAGACCTATTGTCAAGGCATCATTAATAGTCTAGACCTATGTCAAGGTATCATCAATAGTCTAGACCTATATCAAGGCATCATTAATAGTCTATCCATAGAACACCTTTTAATAGACCTATTATAATTAGGTGGCTTTTCGTATTTACCTGACCAATTATAAAGATCATAGTCTTCTTGGATGACTAAAGGTAATGCTGACAGTCCTTGATAATGCTGACAAAGGTAATGCTGACAGTCCTTGAATATGCTGACACTCCCCCTTAATCTATATATATAGGTTTTTATAGCATATAGACCCTCTTTATATAGAGTTCCTCTATATATATCTAGGGTTTTGGCTTATAAATAGTGCCTAAATTTGCTAGCTGTATTAAAGAATTGTGTATAGTTTTATTCACATTCTTTGTTAAGAAATCAGCTAGGTTATATTTAGATGGCACTTTAATAAGAGATATCTTTTTCTCTATTATAGCCTGCCTAGTAAAATGATAGGTTATACCTATATGCTTTGATTTTTTGTGAAATTCAGGATTTTCAGCAAGCTTTATAGCTGATGCACTATCCACTAGGATTTTTGGTATGCTTCTTATATATCCTAGTTGCATATGCAGAGACCCTTAGAGGGTCAGGGTCAGGGTTAGGGTCGGTGAGGTTAGACCCTGACCCTCGGAGGTGCGGGTGGAGGTTCCTGATCTTGGACCCGCGGGGCGGGTGAGTGCGAGGTCTAATAAGAAGAGTATAGAAAGAGAGCGGTAATAACTGAGACCCAGGGAAAGCTAGTTATGAAGAAGAAATGAAAACACTTAGATAAAGTGTATAGAGTAGGAGCTACGATTTAACGGGGGGAAGACTCTTTAAATATTAGGAAAGAAGGCTTAAGGTGGCTCGGTACCTAGCAAAAAAACCTTTCTATTTTTCTAATAAGCGGTTATACCCGGATGTCAGAGAGGACAGACAATAACGGGCATGCCTAATTGTCTGTCCTGAGCACCCTAAGTGAAGGGTGAGCTGATCCCTGAGCAATCATAAGTGCTCAGGGGAGCGCTCCCTGAGCACTCAGTGAGAGCACTATAAAAGTGGGCCGAAGCAAATCACGTGATACTCCAATGACTAATATTCTGGTCAATAAGACGCTTAAAACGGGCGTCAAAAGTAGCCTTTTTCGGCGCCCAATTTACCGTCACTTAGCGTTGGGGTGTAGTAAAGAATCTTCTACCTAAATCCAGTTTTATAATAAATATAGCGTAATAGGTAGCTTACCGCCTAACGAGTTGGTTAGTGTAAATATATTGTCCACGGACTCGCGACACGTGATGCTATACTTTACTTATAGTAGAAATATCTAACTATTTTCACACTTTTCATTTTAGTATTAGAATTTAAGAAAAATTTGTGACTTTTATCCCAGCGCTATGCAATCAAAATGTGGGTGTTAACTATAGCTTATAGATAGCAGCAGCAGTAGTAGTAGTAGTAGTAGTAGTAGTAGTAGTAGTAGTAGTAGTAGTAGTAGTAGTAGTAGTAGTAGTAGTAGTAGTAGTAGTAGTAGTAGTAGTAGTAGTAGTAGTAGGAGTAGTGGAAAGGAATACTAAGGACTAGCGGTGAAGCCTGCCTGCCAAGGGATACTTCGGTCCCAACTCGTGGTACTAGGTAGGAAAGAACAATTTGATTCGATAATGATGTTTGGTGTGCTTTAAGATAATAGGGAGTTAGTAGTTATAGCTCTGTATCTACAACTGCCGTACCGCTGACTAACTCCTTAGAGATCCAACTTTTATACCTCTATTTAATCTTGATATCTACTGTGAATAGATCAGTATTTAGGGAACGAAGAGTTTATTCCCATCTCTCTCCAGAAGACTATCTCGTGCGGAGTGGCTACTAACGTATATCATCAACCACTGAGTCGCGCACCTAGTATTCTCATATACTGTAATCACATTATTGGATTATAAGAGCTCAGGAATATATACGAAGTACATGCGCAAGCAAGCATAATAAGTACCATTAAAGCCTCCGAGCTTTGGAACAGACCGACCCTCATCTGTCATTCTCCGTAGGAATGTATCAGCGCTGCTAAGATTCTGTGAATTGATATTTAAAACAGTCTGTACATGTCCCACCATGGGAAGTGCCATGTGTTTTCGAGCCTAGAATGTTCACGTTGTAGTATTCCCACTTCTCTGCATCTCTCTCTCTCTCTCTCTCTCTCTCTATATCTATCCACCGAATCTACCAGGCCTTGGTAAGCCACTTTTTTTCTGACGGTGTAGCGCTATCGCACGGGCAAGTTGAGGTTTCTTCCGTTCCTTCTAAACAACCGTGATGGTGAAGTCGGGTTCGTACAACCGTCCGCTGGTAAGCAGACGGATCCGAAGCAGGTGTCGGTTGCACAGATCTGGGACATCGGGCATTCGGCGTCTGTCGTGCACGATTGGGCCGAACCCTGGGTAATGAGATTGACGCAGTAGGTTGGCCCACTGGCGCTTTTCTTGCAGTAGCAGGCCCCATTTGAGGGGAGCACGACGTACTGACGCCACAAGGCGCGTCCGTACAACCACTGGAGCAAATGCCATTGATGCACGAGGAGCCGGATGCGCACTGTTCGGGTCGATGGCAGTGTGTTAGTGCTCAATATTTGACCGCAGGAGAAGAAGGAGTCGAGGACAAGGTAATCAGGCCTGATTGAGTGAGAAGAAGGGACGTACAGCATTGCCACAAGCCCCGCAGTTGTTGACATCGGTGCTGATATCCACACAAGAAGTACCGCATAAGGAAGACGGCGAGGCACAAGTCACACTGACGGTAGATGTGGCTGCAACGTCTAAAGTCGAGGTGGCCGTGACGTCGATTGTGGTGTAGTCGGTAGTGTCCACTGTAGCCGTCGACGTTTGGGTTAAGGTCGGGGACACCGTAACGGTCGTTACTGGGGTCGGCGCTGTGATAGTGGTCCCGTGGATACCTAGACAAGAGCAGGCACTGCTGAATTGCTCTGGTTTGGAGCAAGAGGCTGCGTAGTGGGGTATGTGGGTAGGTCGACAAGTGACTGCATAATGGCGAACACCTCGATCTTGATCTCGCCGCGCAACGAAGTCTGTAACGGTAACCGTTGAAGTCGTTGAGGTCTCCACTAGAGTAGTGACAGTATCATACTCGGTCACTGTTGTGTCAACTAGCGTTGTCGTCACAGTCGCTTCAACCGTCTGCTGGCTCGTCACAGTGACAGTGGAGACCGCTGGCGTGACTGTGACGGCGAGGAAACTGCGGCAGTCATTTCTGTGTTCTGAAAGTTCAAGAAGTTGGATTACGCCGGCGACCGAGCGGGAGCATTGGTCCTGTGAGATATAACAGTCAGATTGTTGGCATGGGTGCGACGACAGAGTGAAGAAAACGCACGCGGAGGCAAGCCAGCAAGCCGGCGGAAGCTGCACCGGCGCAATAAAGCACGGCGAGCAGAATGCAAAAAGGCCTTGTCAACATTTGCAAGAGAACGGCCACTAGCCGACACACAACGCAGTATATATATTATTATGACTGCTAATTGTTAAGCACTTGATGTCAGGAAAGGAGATACTCGAGACGAGAGGTAGGAGTGTGAAGAGATGCCAACGCCTCTCTTCTTATAGATGGGCTTCTCCGGTTTTCCTTCAAGTTCCTTGGCATGTAGCTCTAGTCAATCAATTGAGATCTGTTCCACGGCGAAATTCGACTATCTGGGTCCATTGTGCATGTATTTCGCGTATATCAGATTATGATCTTCAATTGCCGAGGCCTAGACCAAACGATGGTGGTCATGGGTCATGTTGAAGGCCCAAACGTCTTCTACTCGGTATGTTTCTGCATGTTGATATAAACTCAAATTATCAAGTGAAAAGGGACAAAATTAGAAAGTTTAAATGAAGTAGAAACCAGGTTTATACAAGGCGCTAGCCAACCAGGCAGATTTTGCCGAGTGAGGATGGCCAGGCTCCTTAGCAGTAGTCACTGACTGCTAACGTATTCGCCTTAAGAGGTAATTAATGACCAGCGACATCCGTTCTGAAGGTCAAGACGACATAGGAACTCAGCGCCGTTCCAGGGAAGAGTTCATCGCCGAGTAAGTCCTCCGTACGATGTAATATACAGTACATACAGGACCTTATGCCCAAGTGCCTGGTGTCGCAACGGACCCCAGCGACCTGGTTCGATCTCATCCGCAGCCGAACGGATTGTTAACTCCGTCAATGCGGCTGGGTTGGCCTGTCTCCTTGGTCTGGATTGCCGAGCTGGGGAGAACTGGACTGACCGAAACTGGACCGGGTCTGTTAGGGCTTCAAGTCAGATACGTACAACTGGACCCGGAAGATCGTCTATTTCTCCTACCATCCCATGTGACTCTTTAGCGGGGAATCATAACCGTCTTCTAGTGCAGACAACACTTTGAAACCTGCAAGGGTGCAAGATAATTGTACTCCATACTCTAGTAAGTTGCATTTTTTCTTGCTGTCTGTGCACTCGGTTTCCCAGGATTCCGATCGATGCGGAGTTCTCATGTTATTAGCTTGCTCGCCTGAGATCACACCTCTGGTCGCTTAAAGTTACTATCACCACCCTTGAAATCTTGACAGTGAAAGCATAGATGGGGCCGAGTGCTTGACACGTGACTTATCCACGGCTAGGCCTCGCCAAAACCCGCCCAAAACCCGCCCACGAAAACCGGGGATGCAGGTGAGATCGCCACTTGGGGGGTCTTAGCATCGCCAGTTAAAATACGCTAAGCCTACATGAGTTTGGGTTGACGCATAAATGCTTGCAGATTAGCATGATCGGATAAGACTTCAATTTGATGGTTACTTCCCTCGAGGTAATGTCGCCAGTGCTTGAAAGAGTGCACAATAGCAAAGAGTTCTTGGTCCGGTGTACCATAATTCACTTCCGTTTCGGTGAACTTTCGGGACCAGAACGCGATCGGATGCCAGTTATTCTAATTGTCCAGTTAGGATATCACACCTGCTATTCTATATTTTGAGATATCGGTTTCTAGCCAGATAGGTCGCTATAGGTCGGAGTATCGGAGTAGTAGAGTGGATAAGAAGGCGTTAATAAGGTAGTGAAGCGCGGTCTTTTCTTTATCGGATAATTAGATATTACCAGGTTTCTTACTATAAAGGAATACTAAGGACTAGCGGTGAAGGTTTACCCCGCAGTGTAATAAGCAAGTCTCGGACCCGATTCGTACTTGAAACGGGAGGGTTTCCAGATAACTTACAGTAGACTTAGCAAGAATCAGTCTTGCTTCTTTTAACACAAAACTCCAGTCCAGACATTCTTCCTTACCTGACCGATAGGCCTTCTACCCTGAACACGTAGATTCTTCACAGAGATAATTTATTTAAAGTAAGTTTAAGCGGGCATATGTTATTATTCACTCGCTACAATAAAAGATTCTCGCACTTTAATAGTGGACACAGTAGTGACTAACTCTATATCATTTTATAAATAGAGTATACGTTTAACGGCAGTAGCTTCGCAAATTTATATAAAAAATTTGAGCAGCTTTTCCGTGGTATTAGTGGGTGGATAAATATTAGGGTTAGGAGGGGCACTGAGGTAGGAGTGAATAGGAATTTCATTTGAGTGCGTTATTTTACGTGACGCGGTTATTCTGGCATTAAAAGGGTTATATTCTTAGGATTGAATTATTTACGCCGTATCAACAACCACAAAGCGTCAGTGCCTAGAAGGTGATTTGCTCTCCCATTCTAGCGTATGGCCACGGCAATATGGTCAGTCCAACGCCGGAACCTGTAATTATGGTAATTCTGGCGGGTCTACCAGAAATACATCAAGAAAAGATGGTGGGGACTTTCCCTGACCGAATTCCGTTTAGCGTGAACCAAGTGGGGCGCTGGGAAAGAAAGCTTGAACGTCTCGGGGGTAATCTGTTTTCGAATTCTGCACACACACACACACACACACACACACACACACACACAGTTTATTAACGCCCGGCGGCTTCGCCGAAAGGGCAACTATCACTAATCTACCAATACATGTCCTATCATATGCCGTCTCTCCTTAGTGCCCATACATGGTTACTTTCAGTATATGTCATCTCAGCTGTCGGTATCGGTAGCGGGTCCTCGTGGGTTAGCACAGTATCTGAATTATGAAATATAAATTGAAACTCTAGCCCCCATCTTTGGTCCTAATAAGGCAATGAATTTTTATGAAAATTATTCTGTATCTGGGCCTTGCCCTAGAAGATTCTTGGAAATCTGAAATTTCCTAGGTTTTTTCGAAGTTCACTTTCAGCCTCCATCTTTCTCGTGATAAAGCAAAAGGCCGACGATAATGACTGATTATGTAATGGATATCATATGACTACCTTCTTGGGACTAGTGTTCAAACATGTAGCTCTCCTCGAAACTCTTGGCAGAGCTTAGTATTAAACTTCTCTCCATTCCTCTTGTTCGTACATATTCACGTACAGACAATGATGAGCCATAAAAAAACTCTGCGAGGGTGCTGGACTTGCCGCCTCCGTCGGGAAGGATGTGATAGAGCCTTTCCTCAGTATCGAAGTTGCATTAAGCTCTCGATCAACTGCTACCAGTCAGAAATCAACCAGAATGGATGGACGGAGGAGTCTAGGAAAACAAAATAGCTGAATCTATCAAACAACAGATAAAGAATTGTGCCAGTGACCGGCGGGAGAGGCAAGCTCAGATATCGTCGGTATTATCCGGAAAAACCACGACATTCCTCATCACATCGCAGGAGGACTTCAAGGACAATATTGTCACTACTTCTACATCTTAACACCAGAATTCATCCACCACTTCCGCGATGATACCAATCATGATTTTCTTGTCGTCAAGTCCACTCATACGTTCCACGCCGCCTTGTTCCATTTCAAGCCTCCAGCCTCACATTCACTCACACTAGAAATTTCAAAGTCAAACGAGCGGGGTCGGATTCCCCTCTAAGGCGCGTAAAGCGCGTCCCGAGGCGTTGGCCGCAACGACGTAAGAAACGACTCGTGAAATTCCCCAGTGTCCTCTCAATTCAAGAATCCATGTATGGCGCTTGACCCAAGCCCGATCTTCTACATCGGCACATGTGGTGTTGGATCGTGAGGCGATTCTTAATTTTGGTAATTCGGTCAAGACTACGCGTAAGTGTTTCCACGCGTGTGGTTTCCACTCTTGGACTCTTCAGCCGAAGATTCCGACGAAGCGAATCCCCATTGCGGATACGGATGGCAGGGCTAAACCCCGTAGACGACAGAGTTTCGAGGAGTGTGACGTTAACCGTGGGAATTTTTGCAAAGGGTTTGTTCCTGATCAGTGCGAGCGATGGGCTGTGGGATCCGTGCATATGCTGAAACCTCACGGTGATATGCAGTGTGGGAACTCGCCAATATACAAGACAGTCTAAGAATGATAGTTGAGGAATAGGTGATGTCAATGTCCAAACATGTTCAATTATAACAGTTCCCACAGACCCTGAAACTGAGGCACAAATATAATATGCAATCCCAAACACTCCGGCCCAAGCTATGTACAAGAATATTGAACCCACTTTACCGACCGAAATAACGAAGCTCGAACGGTCTCAAGGCACAATACACGGTAAATGAAAAGGCAAAGCCGAGCTCGAGGCCAACATCACCACCGTAGGGCAGAGCACCGGCGTGCTTGGCAATCGGACCCACAAACCATGTCTGACTCATGCCGGTGATCATACCGGCGATACCGAAGCAGAATGCGATAGTCGCGGAAATTCCGAGGGGAGCTTGTGGCGCTGGTCGTAGATCTCCGGGTTATAGCCGCGGAAACCGCGCTTGAAAACAAAGTGGTCGGCGACGGCGATTCCAGAGTAGATGGATAGCCAGTACGCGATGAAGTTCATGAAATTGTTTAGGACGGTCTCGAAATCCGAATATCCGGGGATGGCGATGGCGAGGGAGCGCAGCCGCCGAGGAAAGTCCAGATGAAACGGGGAACGCGTTGAGTGTAGCGACTCAGGACTTGGAGTGTCAGAGAGACAGAGTAGAGGTTGGGGCAATTGTTGGCGATGATGGACAAAGCCAAGACGACCAGACAGAATTTGCCGAATCCCCCAAGAGGCTCAAGGACGGCATTGAGCAGACCACCATTACCGGAGGCCTGGTAACCAGCGGCATATTTGTTGTCACCGCCGTTCAGGTCCGTAGCGGTCATGATGGCGATGCCCAGCATCTCAGTGAAGAGAAGGGGAATGATCAAACCGAGCCAGGTAACGCCGAACACCTTGCGACGACTGCGGGTAGCCGGCTGGTAGACGGTGTAATCGGCGGCGTAACTGGTCCAGCCAGTTGCGAAACCGTAGGTGGTCGAACCGAACGACAGGACATTACCGAGCTCAGAGGTTCCTACATCCATGGGGAGATTGATGAAATCGCCGGAGTGGGCAAAGCAACCAAGTACGATGAAGAAGACGATGCAGGTGGGGATCCAGCTCCAGTACTCGTAGGCGTGAACGACCTTGTATCCGGCAAAGGTGATGAAGAGAGTCGTAAAGGTGATGACAAGAATACCAGCGAACCCAGGAACATCACTGTTGACCGCGTGGAGGAGCTGGGCACCGACAATGGCATTGGCCGCAGACCATCCAACACAGGCGATGACATTCAGCACAGCGACTATAGAGGCAGTCATGTTAGGACTCCATCTGTTTTCTCGCTACAACTCAACATTGCTGGCTCAGACTTACTGAACTTGACGGGCCACCATCCGAACCAGAAACGGGAGAGCACCATCTGGCGCAAACCGAAGGTGGGACCGAAGCAGGAGAAGAAACACACGGTTAAGACTCCCAGTAAGTTGAAGAAGAGACAGACGAGGATGGCATCAACGAAGCCCAAGTAGAACAGGGACTTGCCGAGCACACCAATGGCGAACGAGCTCACGACCATGTTTGCGGCCAGCCACTAGGTCTGGTCAGTGAGAAGCCCCTTGGGCCGTCAAGAGTAGAACACACCATGCTGCCGATGTTGAAGTAAGACGTATCCGTCTGCTCCTCCGGAGGCACACGCTCAATGCCTCGCTGCTCGACGTTGAGTTTACCGGCGAGGCGCTGGATCTTCGCATAGAGCGAGTTCCCATATTCGAAGGATTCGCCAGGGACAGCATTGGTGCTATGATCATAGACCTTGGTGGTCTCATTGCTGCGGCTTTCGTAGGAGTTGTCGACCTGAGGTGCCTTCTCTAGGTCAACCTCCCGTGACCCAAACCCAATCATGGTGTTGAGGGTAGCAGTGTCTTCTCTACTACAAAGACAAAAAAAGGGGAATGAAGAGCAAAGAATGAGCTCAGCTCAGCTCAGCTCTTTGGTAACCCAAAAGGTAACCCAAAGGTCAAATTTGAATGAGAGAAGCGAAGGAGTCCGAACAGTCACATCTTTTTTTTTTCTTGAGCTCCACCGGCCGTCCAGCATGCTATATAGTCGCGACAAAATTTCTACAGTGCGCGTCGCCCCACAAGTGTGGCAAGAAGATAGCGTCTGTCGCGTGGACCCCGGCGAGAAATTCTGGAAAGAAGCAAATGACAAGCCTTTGGCCCCACTCTAGAGGCCAAGATACCCAATAATGGCGCGCTATGGTAGGCCTTAGCTTATCAGTAGCCCGAGGTTTCAGTCGGCTTGATTTGGCGCCAAGTGGCTCGCTCCGGTTTTCTCTGCCCTCGCTTCCAATAACAACCGTGGGTCGGACCTCGGACCTCCCGATAAGAGTCGAGTCGTGATACGCCCGTGATGGAATTGACATTACCTTCACTATCTGTTTATCTATGGCTTTGGTTCTCGCGTTATTGGCCCCTGCGCCCAGCTTCTTGACCTATGCTTGTCATTCAGTAAGCTTTCGATGCCTTTCAATCCCTGTCAGACGGGGGACGCCGATATGCGTTGAATCTTCCACTCTATCTGCCCTATCCTAATTCCACCTGAGCCCCTAGTCCGTGCGGGGAACATCTCCTAACTTTATCTCGCCCGTGGCGACAGCAGGTGTGACAAGACCCTCGTCCCATCTGTGCCCATAGAGCTTAAGCCCACGGGGCATACCGAACCCATGGAGGAGTCCTATTGAAACTAGGCAGGCCATGACGACCATCATGCAGGGTTTCTGTGTCGTCGGATCTGGATTTGGCAGGTTGAACCGTGGTGGGTCTCCTCTTTCGCGATCATGCAGGGTCACCACCCAACTGGTGATATCGCCCACAGTGACCAGTACACACCCATCTCGACTCTCAATGCTCTGATATTTGCGCCCCATAGATCCTGCGGCCCCAATTTCCATTTCCCATGCGGTAGCGGGGATCACCGTTGCATCCACCATTGGTGCGATCGGGTCCATCCCCGGATTTGCTGAAAGATCCCTTTGTGTAATGAGCTAGCGTTAGGCACTTCAATCCACCTCTATTGCTATGGCTCCTCTCGGTTACGTATTGATACCAAATTGACCTCGGAACCCCTCAGCTTGACCAATTTGCGTTCTGCATTTGGCTTTTTTCTTTTCTGGGAGGCTACAAATGTGCCTCTATAGTCCCAATTGTGGTATGTCCTGAGACTGCAGGTTTCGGAGTCCTCCGAAGAACCAGTGTTATGCTATCAGACTTCGTGGGGCTGGATTACGATCTGCGGACTTGTTCGGTCTGCTCCAAACCCGAGCGGCGGTCACTGCGAGTAATCCCCGGAATTAACTGAACTGCCTTTGTCATTGCACCAAAGAACCGGTCATGATTCATGCGGGACGCAGCGGACGGATTTGTGAATCGCTTGGAATGACTCTACTTCGTGAATAATGCTTGTGGTTCTTGGCTGGGAGATTGACCAGCTAGGGTACTATACCGGTACTTTGTAGATACATCTATAGCGATTCTACCAGTCAATTGGACCTCTTACAGTATTCCACTTGAGTTGCAAGATCAATATTCTCGACAATGACTTCTATGTGCGATTGCATCGTATTCTTCTCCCTCATCTCGTCCCATCACGAGAGAGTAAAGTATCTCGGGCCTTCTCGTGCCCACCGGGTTCCGGTTATTGCCAGCTTGCTAGCGAGGTGAGACGTTCCGCAGAGGGCACATTTGTGAATCATACGTATTCCTAATTGCCTCGGTCTATGAGCAGCGCCCGAGACCGGAGCCCTTGGCATGTCCATGCTCAACCAAATCCATGCTTGCAACCGTAACAAAGAGCCACATCAATCATGGAGGAAGGACTCTAGAAATTGTAGCACTCCCCTCTATGCAAAGTCTCGGAGCCTTGCACTCCTCAGGTATTTTTGTGGATCACTCAAATCGAATATCCTAACTTCGCTTGCCTATCCTACCTGGATGAAGTCAAACGGATCGGTCCTTCGTTATCGGATGGCAGATGTTTAGAAAGCTAGAACGTGATGATAGGAGACTCTTGATAGAGAAAGCAAGGATGTTAGTTTGAGATTCAAGCGCGCAAGCCGCTAATTGATAAATATAAGGGGGTGGGATATGCGGCGGAGTTGTTTCAACTCGCCCACTGTCCTCCACCTCCCTCGATTAGAGCAGTAGATTCGTAGTCAATCGTATCTGGGCACCATAGAAGGGGTATCAGCCTGGTCAACGGATGAAGGAAGTTGCACCGATGGTGTTCTTCTAGTTTGAATCGCGATATGGTGCTCGAGAAGGTATCTATGAGTGTTGATGGGAATGCGTCATTCGACGGGTTGAGTCTGATCGGTGTCTTCTTCTCAAATGCACTAACAAGATCTGGCTACGGAGTCAGATGTTTCTCACTGAATTCTAGATTGACTCTTATATCCTTTCGATACGTATACCTCCGTCTTCACATTCCTTTTTCGCGTTTCCTTCGTCGCTGTCGATGCGAACTCTATCACCACCAGTCACTTCGTACGATCCATTCTCGACATATTCTCAACCACCACATGTACAGTCTTTCTGTGGCTTTCCGTCAGTGTGGCCTTTGGTCACAGAGCCATCAGGGGCCGAGTCTTTCAATGATAGCGGTGTGACCAGTGGTCTGAATCATAAAGAGGACCTCTCCATTCGACGATAAATGGTGACTCTGGGTGGCTGCTGTGTACAGTTGACTGGAGACCGTATGTCCATACATAATGCCTTAACGATGCGTACTTAAACCGTCGGCGAGATTTGAGATTTCTGGAACTTCGGACTTCACAACTGGGGTTGAAAACGACTTCACAGAGTCAGTATCTCTGGGGTAGTTGATACCGTGGCATTGGGACTGACAAGTTTGCTTCACCTCGTTAGTATCATCGCTTCTCCATTCATTCCCAGGGTTCGTCAACCTCAAAATACCAATTCAAACAGCCTTGCGCATGATCTACTGTTGATAGAACAATCTCTCGCCTCATTGACCGAGATTGTCGACACAGACGAGCCCCAAAACACTCTGCGCGCCACAAGTGCTTCTTTCCTGAACCATTGAAGGGGACCCCCCCCCCGCCCCCCCCAACAGGTCTTGCACTTACGATTGCCCATCAAGTGAACTAGGAAGCTTGATTATGTCATCTGTTAGTCAATGAGCTTTCATTTTGAGCTCGCTCGTCGCCTTGCTCTTAACAGAAACGGATACAAAGAGTTGCCAATCGGATTAAGCCCTAGGCGGTATAGCCTCTCAAGAAGCTGCTCCAGACTCTCATGGTACTGGCACATTACTTCAATGGAGATCTATCGGCTCAGAAGCCACTTTTAGCGATTCACATTGCGAAGAAGAAGGCATTCGAGCATTGAGAAGACATTGAGATCATCAAGTGAGCCTTGCGTGCCCACCGCATCTTGCACGCATCCAAGAACCTCATCGGAATCACAGTCCTCGCGCGATCCAGCGTAATTTTTCATGCCTTTGCTTGAGCAAATACATCAGAAAACCCACTTGGCATACAAAATCAATCAAGCTCCAGCTCACCGTCATATAATTCGACGTCCCGATACCCCGAAGATCGTCCGAGGTCCCCAGCCACTTCACTGATCCCGCATCCCCACAATCGCTTTTGTGGCAACAAAGTCTATTTGTCGGTCCGGATGCAACTAGCGGATATATATCGGAAGCAGAATGTACTGGACGGAAGACCACTCAACTATCAAACATGAGCTAATAACACATCGCCCGCCGATTGCTTCAGAATGTTCAGTGATGAGTCTTCCTCGGCATATTGGGTCCCATGGATGGATCCCCGGGTGCTGAAGCTACCTGGACGAACGCAAAATCGAAGTTGCATAACTCCTCATGCACAAGTGTTATGGGCGCGAGGTCAGAGCTCGCTTCCGGACTGAGTGGGCCCATCCGATAATGGAACTCGGTCGGTGCTGTCGATAGTTAAAAGAAGAGCTAGCGGTCTATCATAATCTCTCGATGGAGGATCAAAAGAAGTCTTTATCTAAGCTCACGCGTTCTTCCCGTGCGGTATTTGGAGAGGCAGTCGCTCATGAGCCCTGATCTTCATTAAATGTACGTCATCTCTGAGAATGATCATGCACTTCTTTTCCCGGGTCAAGAAGTTATGGCTGTATCTTTCGGACGATTGCAGTCAGTAACAGTGCAAGACCTGTCATTTCTCCTCTTTTGAGTCAGTCTGTGGATTTTGTGAAGACGTACGAGCCGACAGCTGATTTTAGATTGGAAAGAACTGCGACATGAGTGGTTGGCCCATTTGCATATGCCATTGAAAATAGCTGGTTTCGAATTTGTCTCGGTTATATGGGTTGGACCCCGGTCTCGGGAACAGTAAGCAACGTAGAAATCTTTTCTGTACTAACGACATATATATCCGCAGAAGTATAAATGCAATCGACCAAGTGTTTTGATCGTTATATTAGACTAGTCACATCGGACCAAGCTATGCGCGAGGAAAAAAAAAGATATCATTATTTACAGCTTAGAGACCATCTGGTTACCCTTCTTAAGGAGGGCAGCAGCGTCATGTACGAGCTCGTCGACGATAGCCTTGGCGGACTTCTTCTCGTTAACGACAGCAGACACCTTACCCATGAGGAAGGGACGGGCGTTGTCGAGGGTCTCATCATCAACGTCATCGGGCAGGTTCTCCATGTCGTGCTCGACTGGAATGACACCCTTAGCAGTAAGCTGCTTAATCTCCTCGGCGCGGTTCTCCTCCCAGTTCAAAATATAAGGGTTCTTGCGGACACGGAGGGGACGGCCCTAGTACAAATGTTAGCAGGTATATCACGTGAAGCTTTGGGGGTATGCTGAAGCCATACAGTGAAGATGATAGTACGAATGTTATCCTCGAAACCAGCGGTACGGACGGCCTCCTGGTGAGCCTTGGGAGCACCAGCCTCATCAGACAGGATAAAGCGGGTACCGATCCAGACAGCCGAGGCGCCAAGCATGAGAGCAGCAGCGACGGAGTTACCGTTATACAAGCCACCGGCAGCAATGACCTGGACAGGCTGGCCGGTCAGAGGGCTCTTGTGGCCCTGGACCAGCTTGGCAACGGTGGGAATGAGAATAGTGGTGGGGACATCACCGGTGTGGCCACCGCCCTCGCCACCCTGAGCGCAAATGATATCGACGCCGACATCAAGGCACTTCTTCACGTGCTTGGGGTGACCGATCATGTTCATGGTGAGGATACCGGCACCGTGCAGGCGATCAACAACAGCCTTGGGGGGAACACCGACGGCGGAGACGAAGAGCTTCGCACCCTCCTGGATGATGATTTCAACGAGCTCATTCAGCTTGCCTTTAGTGTAGTCGTAGCTAAGGGCGAGGGATATGGTCAATCACAAGTCTCGCGAAAGTATTTCAATGTAAACTTACTTGGTCTTGCGGGCAGAGCCACCGACCTGGGGGAGGAGCAGGTCGACACCGAAAGGAGCGTTCTTATCGTGCAGGAAGCTCTTAAGCTCAGCGATCTGCTCCTTGAGCATCTCAGGAGTGTAGCCAACACCACCGATGACACCCAGGCCACCCGCGTTGGTGACCGCAGCCGCCAGCTTGGGGCCGGCGGCCACGTTCATACCAGCCAGCAGAACTGGGTGGTTGATCTTGAGCAGATCAGTGATGGGGGTACGGATAACTTCTGTTGATGGTTAGCAGCTATCAGGCCCAAAGTGAGAAACAAACATACGAGGAGAAGCCATTTTTGGGTGTGATGAGGAGAAAAAGGAATCCGGGGAAAGCGGACACCCTTTAAAGGCACAGGTTACTCGGTACAATCACAACGAGCCGAGGCCCATCTGCCTGCGGGGCCCGCATCGATTGCCGTTGCATGACTGTTGCACACCGTGTTTTTCAGGCACACAAGCACCAAGGCATCAAGGCACTCACTCACCTGACGTCCACGCGACTTACCTTGTGGTACACTCGCCTCACACCAATCTACGACGTTTCGACACAAGGATGAGCTCACAAGTGGCTAGTTGCCTAGGGCCATCACCATGGTCTTGTGTTCGAAATACCACATTTCCATTGAGGGCACTGAGATCAGCTAGGAAGTTTTCCTGTTTGTCGGGTCCTTGGACCGCGTTGCATGGGAATTGGACTTCCGATAGAACCTGGACGAAGTGGTAAGTGCCAAATGACCAATAGAGAAAAGTGATTGCAGCTAACATTCACTTAAAGTAACACTTCGTTCGCGAGCTTGAGTAGGTTGCTCCCTGCATTTCCGTAACGGGCGTACCGGTCATGTATCTGTATCGTCAAAAAATGCGGGACAGGCATTTCTTATATCTCCTGTCTTCTACACAGCCATTAGAGACTCTGAAACTAAAGTTCGTTAGGGTACTACTCTATGGGGAAGCGCGACATTTCACCCTCGTGTCTAGAGGTTGGCCGATTCAAGCGTTTAACCCCGCTGTCAGACTCGAATGCTCACGCGAGGAGGTTTTCTTGCGGGCAAGGGACGCTTTTGGCCGAAAACATGAATCCAGAACGGAGCAGCCCTGTCCCCCATCGGGCCTTTATTGCGCTGGGTAGTAATGTCGGAGACCGCATTGAAATGATCGAAACGGCGTGTCTGGAGCTGGACCGAGCCAATATCAAGGTCAAGCGAACCAGCTCACTCTTTGAGACAGAGCCTATGTATGTGCTGGACCAAGCACCATTCATGAACGGAGTCTGCGAGGCAAGTTTGTATTCAACGAATGTAATAACTGCATTATTAACAGCTATCAGGTTGAAACGACTCTTGAGCCAATGCAGCTATTGAATGCCCTTCAATCCATCGAGATGGAGCTGGGTAGAAAGAAGCTTATCGACAAGGGTCCACGCTCCATCGATCTGGACATCTTGTTGTATGATCAAGAGGTCTTCTCCCACGAGCGTCTCAATGTTCCGCACAACCTCATGCTGGAACGAGACTTCGTTCTCCGGCCTCTCTGCCAGTGTGTCTCAACCATATACATGGATATCCCTAGAGGAGGGCCTAACCTATCCCCAGATTGATTCCCCACGAACGCCCACCTCAACCAGACAAGAACACACAAACATATAGTGAATACCTTCGATCTCTTCCCCACCATCGCCATCTCCTTTTTCAACAACCCCAATCTCGCCGAACTTCCCAACTTTGCATGCAACGGATCCAAAGCGCTGCACTCACGTCATGGCCATCTTAAATCTAACCCCAGACTCCTTTTCCGACGGAGGCAAACACTCCCCTCATGACATGACCTACATTACCGAGACTGTACGCACTTTCATCGCTCAAGGCGCGACAATCATCGACATCGGTGGAGAAAGTACTCGCCCAGGCTCAACCCCCGTGGGTGCAGACGAGGAGATTGCCCGCGTCGTCCCTGCAATCAAACACATCCGGGCCAACATTCCCGAAGCGGCACACATCGCCATCAGTATCGATACGTACCGTGCCGGCGTGGCCGAAGCAGCTTGTGCCGCCGGTGCAGATATCATCAACGATGTCTCAGCTGGAACCCTCGATCCCGACATGCTGAGCACAGCAGCACGGATCAACAAGACTATTATCTTAATGCACATGCGTGGAACACCGCAGACCATGACCACCCTAGTGGACTATCCCAACGGGGTCATCCCGGGGGAGTCTCCGAGCTACGCGAGCGCATCGTCGCCGCCGAAGAGGCCGGTATTCGACGCTGGCGCATTATTCTCGATCCCGGTCTTGGGTTTGCAAAGAATCAGCCCGAGGACCTGGAGGTCCTGCGTGAGCTACCGAAGCTGCGTGCCGCCGAAGGGCTGGAGTATCTTCCTTGGCTGATGGGACCGAGTCGAAAGCGGTTCATTGGGCATATCACTGGCGTGAAGACTGCCCGTGAACGTGTTTGGGGAACGGCTGCTACCGTCACGGCGAGTGTTGCGGGCGGAGCGGATATTGTCCGAGTGCATGATGTGCATGAAATGTGGCAGGCCGCTAGGGTGGCGGATGCTATTTATCGTGTTGAGTGAGTGGTTGTTCATGGATTCAAGCCCGTGGCTTTTGATTTTTTCAACATTGTATGAGGTGGGTTGTATTGTTTCTTCATTCATCATGGAGTTTACATATTGCTTGGTGTATAGGCATGGAGTTGTGATGGGACGGATTACATTATCATCAAATCATTCGGTCTGCTTGGACCGAGGTTATGTCCGAGTTGGACTTATGATTCTTGGCCAATGTAACCTCAGGTCCTAGACTTTTTGAAAAGTTCGTGGATTTTAGCATTGTTCTTCTAATTCTGCTACGTCGTGCATTTTGTCTTCGATTATACAAAGCGATCAGGAAACATAAGTATTCATAGATTTTCTCATTAAACTCAAATTCTACCAAGAAAACAAACAAAAGTAAAACGTGTTGCAAAAAATGCGTCCACCATGCCAGGCAGCAATCTCAACCAATTTTGTTGCTCAACTGCCACTCATCGATGCAGATGGGGATAACAGAAAAGGGGTTGGAATAATATGACGGTGAGTGTGAAATGAATATCCGTGACGCATCACGGGAAGGGATCAATGGGCTTGCTAAGTATTGATACGATAGAACTGAGATCCGAGGGTATGCCAAATTTAGTTGTTCAGGTAGTTGCGGATAGCACCTGGGATTCGTTAGCCAGACACACGGTGTGAGCAATGGAAATTTCCGTACCTTGTAGCTTCGTGGCTCCTTCACCGACAAGATGAGACAAGTTCTCAATATCGTCACCAGCGGTGATACCGAAGCGGCGGACAAAGTCCTTGGCGGCAGCCTCCATATCTCCGTAGCCGTCATCCATCGCTGAAACGTCATCCTCGGGCCGGCCGAAGTAGGCATTGCTAGAGATCGAAGTCGCGCCATCGAAGTTCTGGAGACGTGACTTGGCTTCGGCCTGCGCAGCAGGATCGAAGCGATCACGGCCGAAGAACTCATCGGACGAGATACCCTTTTGGGTGCCAAATCGAGTTCTTGTCTGGGCAAGCTCCTCCTCTAATTTACGGTTTAGCAACTTGTGAAAATTTTAGTGACCTCGACAATTTACCTTCAGCAGCAGACTTGGCAGGAGCAACAGCGCCGAAGCCAAGCTTCTTAGGAGCGGGAGGCTTCGACACCTGACCGAACCCAAGTCTTCCCATACCCATACCCAATCGCTCGACATCGTTCGAGTTGCGCTCGTTGCTGGTAGCACCGAATCCGCCGCGGCTCGGGCTGATGGGAGTGGGAGATGTGATTGTGGTGGTAGAAGCAGTGGTCTTGGCCGCCTCAGCCTCAGCCTGCTCGGCTTCGGGGTCGTATCCGAGTTTCTCGATGCGCTCTGCCTCCTCCTTGGCCTTACGCTCAGCCTCCTCGAAATCGATATCTGCAGCGGTCACCTTCTTCGCTCCGAGCTTAGGAACCTTCTTGGCTCCCAGCACGCTCTTCTTCGCAGCACCGCTAGCGGCGGTTGTCTTCCGAGTGGCAGAGGAAGGACGAATAGCGGTCGGGGCAGGGGAGGCAGCCTTCTCCTCAGACGCGGATAGAGGCGACTTCGAGCGCGAACCGTTCGCATTGCCCGCGTTCAGGAAGGGGGAACCAGTTCGGCTTACGACGGGTGGCGTTCCAGTACGAGACGGAGGGTTGCTGGGGCGCTTGATTGACGGCTTGTCCCAGGAGGAGAAGAAATCATCGTCTTCACCGGCAGGGGTGGCCGAGCCGTCGGACGGAGTGCCAGCAGGAATATCGGTAATGACAACCTCTTCGGGGTACCTATGTTATGACGTTGTCAGCATCTCAAAACAAACAACCAATTATGGGATCTTACTGTTGCGCATCCGCCGCAGCTCGCCTCTTGAGTTCCTCCTTATATTTGACTGCCGCATTGGATGTATACTTGACCTTGCTGTCCTTGCTGGCCAAGGCCGCGGATCCTCCGTGTGATTGGAAATACTTGGTCGCAGACTCATTTCCGCCAACCTTCATCACTCGCAGTTGTTCCCATTGCCACTCTGGAAAGAAAGCATCAGCCTCCATTCTTCGGTGGATGAGACAATCAAGACAAACGCGCCAGGGGATACATACGATCGAGATTCGTCGAGCGAACAAAGGAGATGTGAACACCGAGGTTGCGATGGTGGGCGGAGCAATCAAGGCACAGATAGATCCCAAAAGGCACCGACGACCAGGTCGGGTTCTTAGAATTGCAATCGAAGCATACCTACCCGCGAGAAAGGTGTTAGCGAACAATGACCAAAACACGCCGGAGACGGAGGCGGGGTGACTCTGGAGTCGGGGGGGCAGTAGGCAGTAAAAAATGAAAGTTGCGCACCTTGTTTGCGGGCTTTAGCTTCAGTTTCTCAAAGATCTTTTGAGACTGCGCCTTGGAGGCACTCATGATTGGCGAGGTCGAGGAAAGTCAGGGGAGGTGGCAGACGAGACGGTCGGGAATGGCGAACGTGGACACTCAAGTGCCTGTATTTTTGGATTCTGCGGCGAACCCCCAACCCGGCGGTGGAGCATCAGCTGCAAATATACCGTACTGTAACTTTGCCCGCACGTGAGCTGCTATCGTTATCGACCCTCGATGAGTTGACGATCGGACGATTTAATCTGGGGTTCATCACATCTCCTGTCGCCATGAACCACCACGCTCTGCGTGCGCTACCTCGAGCCTCAGTCGGCGCTCCGGCCTCCCTCCGGACCGTCTCTGAAATTACCAGACTGTACGCCACCCAAGGGAACTTCGGCGACGGCCTTAAACCGAAGAGGAGGAGCGTTACAGTCTTGTCGGATGATGGACGATATGCATGGGGCGATTTAAGTGGACGAGAGAAGGTCGCACGAGCAACACAGCAGTCCTTCAACTTTGTGATCGTGATCGCAGGTGTGGTCCTTACAGTACGCGCCAATACCCCACTCACTGAGATCTTGCATGAGCAGATGCAAACTAACAACGTGGACCATAGGGCGGTGTCTTCACACTTTTATACCAAGAGGTCTTTTCGCCAAACAGCGGGACATGGCAGTTCGAGAAGGCAGTCGAGCGCATCAAGGAGGATCCCCGGTGTACCAAGCTTCTCGGTGACCGACGAGAAATCAAGGCATACGGTGAAAATACCAACAGCCGATGGGCCAGAAGCCGACCTATTGCGTACGCTATTTTCCTCTATCTTAGAAGAATTCCGGGATCGAGAATCTGACAAGTGAATCCAGGACTACTCATGAGAAAGACCGCTTAGGTCGCGAGCACCTTCGGATGAATTTCCATGTACGTGCAACCAAGCTCTTACTTGACCGAATCACACTGATAATCAATTAGGTTGAAGGGCCTCTCAACTCAGGTGTTGTCCATGTGCATATGATCAAGCATTTGGACAAGAACGAGTTGGAGTATCAGCTCCTTGCTCTTGACGTCAAGGGCCACTCTCGCATTATTCTGGAGAAGGCCTCAGAGAGACCGAGCGTAGCGAGCTCCCTGAAGCTTTTCGGTATTCAGTGGCGATGAGCTACATCTTTCCATGCTTAATATGCGTGTCCATTACCACTTGCGTCGCCTGCTGCGAGTTTGTTCGCGGAGAAGTAAGACCGAACATTCGCAAATTGCGTCAGATGATCTCGTTCGGTCTCTTCGTGTCTTTTCATTGTACTTCTAAGGCTACTACCTACCTTATCATGGCGTAAGCCTATCTTATGTACCATACACCCAACTGCACCACCTCCACCGCAGTCTGCCTGAGATACGGCATCTTATACCCAATGAAAAAAAAAAACTCCACATATATCTGAAAAAAAATAGCTTGGAAAAATGTGAATATTTCTAAACAGCTATGGACATGAACAACATAAAGGACATAGATATAGAGGAAGTTTAAATCACCCGAGGGCCATCGATAATGCTCTTCGCCTCTTCGGACTGCCACCAGCTCTTGCCTTTCTCACCGGGGAACGCGAAGGCATCCATGCTCTCGGCCTTCATCTCAACACTATAGCCAGGCTCCATAGGGGTGACATAGTATCCATCCTTGACACTAGACGGGTGAACGAAGTGCTCGTGCAGATGGTCCACGTACTCCAAGACACTCTTCTTCCCACTGACAACAACATAGTCGATTGTGCTCAAGTGCTGAGTGTATTCGGGCAGACCAACACCACCAGAGTGGGGCACGATGGGGACACCGAACTTGCGAGCCAAAAGCAGAATGGCCAGGACCTCGTTCACGCCACCAACACGGCATGCATCGGCCTGAAGCACGGTCAGAGCACCGGCTTGAAGCAGCTGCTTGAAGACGACGCGGTTCTGGCACATCTCGCCAGTGGCAACCCCAATGGTACCGTGAGGTGTGTTCTCAAGGGCCTTCTTGATAGCGGCATGACCAAGGATGTCATCGGGGGAGGTAGGCTCCTCAATGAACCAGGGCTTGAACTGGGCAAGCTCTTGCATCCAGGTGATAGCCTCAGGGACGGACCAGACCTATTAGACATCCCATGTTAGTCTCCCAACTGGTGCAGCGTGATCTTTCAAACAAACCTGGTTCGCGTCCACCATCAGGATATTGCCCTTGTCATATCCAATAGCCTCGCGAGCAATCCTCAACCGATTCTTATCGTCCTCCAGGTTCCCGCCAACCTTCAACTTGAAATGCTTATATCCCTGCTCGACACTCTCCTTCAACAACCTCTTCAGCTTATCTTCACCATATCCCAACCACCCAGCACTAGTAGTATAGGCAGGAACAGCCTGGCTAGCTTCGGCCTCCTTGATACGCTGCTGCTTACCACCCTCAACCTCCTTGAGCAATTCAATAGCCTCTTCGGGAGTGATAGCATCAGTGATATAACGGAAGTCAATGCAGCGCACGAACTCCTCGGGGCTCATGTCAGCAACAATACGCCACACCGGCTTGCCTAGCGTCTTAGCCCGAAGATCCCAGAGGGCATTGACAACGGCGCCAAGAGCAAGGTGAATGACGCCCTTCTCGGGACCGATCCAGCGGAGCTGACTGTCGGAGACGAGGTAGCGCCAGGTCTTACCCCAGTCAGCAGTGAGCTCGTCGAGATCCTTACCCACGACGAGAGGGGTCACCAAAGAGATAGCGGCACAGACGATCTCGTTACCGCGGCCGATGGTAAACGTCTAGAATGTCTCGGTCAATTGCGGTTCGACAGTATGAACTTGATCAACGTACCATGCCGTGGCCGGTGTGCTCGGAATCTGTGTTCAGAATACAGTAGGCGGAGGAGTAGTCACCAGCTGCGTTCATGGCATCGGAGCCAGTCTTGTCGAGGGAGGTCTGCGCTCGTTAGAAATGCGCAACTTGCGAGTTGGAGGCATGACGTACTGGGAACCTCACGTCCCGCGTGGTGAAGCCGGTGATTTTGACCATGGTGAAGACCAATCCAATTCAATTCAAATCAAGCTTTGTATTCAATGGCGCAAGGTTGAGTGCGTCCGCGCAAGTTCAATGGCAGACAGCCCGACAATGGGATTGCAGGGTGAATATGCGGGTGAGAAAATTTCCTAAGAGGTAGTGTACACACGAAGATATTGGACTGGGGGGATAGAGGGGACGAATTTTTTTGAAAGAAGAACAGAAATAACCGGAGAATTTGGGTAATTGCGACGTAGGCCCCGTATATAGACAGCAAGTGACCCCCCCACGTTCCCTCGCCGTTGTCCTAGGCCCCTCACTCCGCGTTGCAATAGCGCAGTCTAATTGGTGGATAATCGCACGGGGCTGGGAAATGCGTATTTCCACCAATTAGAGGTCGATCTGCGATATCGGAGTAAATCCGCGTTTCTGGGGTTAGCGGAGCCCTGATTCAGACGGGCTTGTTGAGGTGAAGACTACTACGGATGTTGGTGGTATAGAGTATGGATATGCATTTCAATGTCATACATCCATCACTTTGGGTTCCCTAAGTATAGCAAGCTACCCTTTGCATGACAGGCTGCATGTGCATGTGCATGTGCCGTTGCATTTGCATTTGCGTCCGTGTTTGCATTTATGCCGACAATCCGCGCTTCTCGCTTTCCGAGAAGAAGATGATCATTCGCCAAAGCTTGCGGACTAGCACCTCGGCCTCTTCGTCTAGAGCCTACAGAAAGAAAAGTTAGTGAATCATCACAGATAGAAGTAGGGCAAGGAATGGACTCACCTCTGCCAGCTGCTCGGCCAGCTCCTGGGGCCTGCCATGCTGCCGAACATGCTCCTCGACAAGATCGACCAGCATCTGCTCTTGCACACCCAGATACTCGACAATCTTCTTCTCCACAAAGGGTTTGATTTGGTCGCTGATTACGGCCTGGTCGACAAACTCCCACTTGATATCCCACTTCCACAGGCCATCCTTATCGGTGGGAATCTCGGCAGCAAGTTGGCGAGCTGCCTGGGCTCGTTCTTCATCGGAGAGACCAGCCGCTTCGGCAGCGGTGTCGAACTTGATGGGGATCAGAGGGCGGCGTGTGGTACTGGCGGGCTCTTCCTCATCCTCTAGTAGACCTTCAACCTCGGCAACGGTGCGGCGCGTAGTCGCAGCCTGGGCCTTCTGGGCAGCGGCACCCAGAGACAATTTGAATCGCTTGGGCTCCTCGCGAGGCTCTGGAACGCGGTTCTCGAGTTCCTGTGCCTGGCGAGCCAGGAAGTCATCGGCCATGCCGCGTGCCTGCTCTTGTTGCTTGGCGGTTTGAGCAAGCTCCCTCTCTTCGGCGGCGCGGTCAGCCTCGTCCATGTTGGCCTCACGGGCACGGAAAGCCGCACGACTGCGCAGCCAGGCACCGTGATCGGCGTAATACTCAACTGCCTTACGGCTAGCTTCGGTATCATCATTCCATTCCCGGAGGCGCTCTTCCATCTCGTCGTGAGCAGCCTGCAACTTCCCATCTTCCTCTTTTTCTCGCTTCTTCTCACGCTCCAGGGCGGCTGTTCGGCTTCGCTCACGATTGAGCCACCGGCGCTCCTGGTCAAGGAATTGTTTTTCCTGCTCTGCATCGCGTTTTGCCTGGCGACGGCGTTCAAGTTCCTCGTCGCTTGCATCGGTATCTTCGTCTTCACGATCACGATAAGCCAGTCCTCCGTTAAGTGAACCGCCGTTCACAAAAGAAACTCCCTTCTGGTAATCCTTGGGGATCTGCACTCCGAATCCCTTAGGACCCGATGGGGCGCCACGAGGACCCAATGGGATGTTGTTAGTGCCACCAGCTGGGCCACTGGGAGCAGAGACGGGGGAGAAGCAAGACGATTCCGCCCACCAGCATTACGAGCACGTTCCATTGACTCAATCTCCTCCTCGCGTCTCAAGCGCTCGGTATCCCGACGGTTGCTTCGCTCACGGAACGCAGCAATTTCCTTCGCAACATTCTCGCGCATTTCCGGAGGAATATCTGCCAGTTCGTCTTCTCCCGTAATGGGAATCGTGACCACCTCTCCATCCTTTGTGGGAGCATCGCCATCCCTCATCCCAGTATCACCTTCCCGGTCAAGCGCAGAAGCATCTTCCTTCTGGACAGGGGTGACCGGATTGCAAAGTTGCGCCAGAACGTTCGTTAGGGTGTTATTAGCGGCTGTGAAGCGAGCCTGCAGTTCTTCCGGGTCGCGTTCGCCTCGGTTGGCCTCGAACTGCTCGAGATAAGTCATAGTGCTCTCGTCTACCACAACCTTTAAAGTCATTAGTCGTTTCGTCCTTTGTGTTACGCCATCAGAATACAACCAACGTACCAAAAGAGTACTCTTTTCCACTTCCCGCTGCTCTTCACCCTCTTTCCGTGGGACCTGTCGCTTCACAGGCACCTGAACGTCCTTGAGAATTTCGACAGCGATTTCCAAGCTCTCGGGATTTTCATATTCGGCAAATCCAAATCGGCAAGGCTTCTCGTCGGCATCTGTGGCGCGAATCCAACGGCGCAAACCACCCGCGGACCGCAAAATTCGCTCAATTCCATCATCCCCACCACATCCCTCCGTGATGCCTCCGACAAACAGTGTGCGCACAATCTCATCCCGCGTGGGCGGCTGGAGCTGCGCCATGGTATCGTACCTGTGGTGGTTGTCCATGTTCGTTGACCCCAATCCCGGACGTCGCCCAGCGCTCTCTGACCCACGTTCACGACCAAAGTCCTGTCCCGCAGGCTTTGCCGGGCCCGAGGTGCCCAGTCGAATTACTGGCGCGGAGAAGTTGATGTTTGGCATATTCGGGGGCGGTTGAAAGTTCGCTGGGAAGCCTCGGGGGCCCCCAGGCTGCTGCGCATTGGCCTGTTGCATGCCAGGAGGAGGAGCGGTACCGGGGGCGGCCATGCCTGGAGGAGGAGCTGTGGCTAGTCAGTCATGATCAGTGATACTTTGGGAAAGAGGTATTCGATCCGAACATACCCATACCCGGTGGTGCGCCGTATGCCGCATAGTCGGGCTGGCCGTACATGCCAGGCGCTAAAGAGAGGGTCAGAACATGGCCATGCTGGCGAAAAAGCCCGCGCCTGCGCAGAGGATGGGTGATGCGAAGACTTACGTTGGTAAGGATTGTACATGATGCAGGCGTTCTCACCAGCTCAAAGGCAGCAATCTCGTCGATGTATGATCAGGCAATGAGCACCAACTATCGTATGAGTAGAATATCGGATAGTGGTAATCTCACAAGCTCCGTGTTACAATGAGTACGCGGAGAAAGAAAGTTGCGATGTTGCGGGTTTCGATGGTCCGTGCGCAGCTCTTGGCAGAGTCCCGGTTTACACGCCTTCTACTCTACTCACCAAATAATGTAGTAGTACCTTTCGACCCAGAAGATACCATTGAAAAGTGAGTCTCATAGACGGTCATTAACTACATATTCTAGACACGCCAAACAAGCTTTTGCAAATATACTTTGAACAGAATATCAAAGGGTATCCATATAGACCGCGGAAGAGTTGCCTGGGCACAGAGCTGCAGAAGTTCAAGAGACTCCTAGCTTAGGTCAAGTGAGAATATCTGGGTTCTGCTGCAAGAAGATCAAAGGAATGATTTCCATTGCATATCAACAGGGGATACTTGAAAAAAGCATCCGGGGCACTGCAGTCCGAATCAGAGACCCGGGCAAGGAATATCCGGCTTCGTCGGGGTCCAGCAAAAGGCCCATAGCCACGGGCTAGAGTGACTGCGATCAATTGGTCATATGAGTGCAAGATGCTCAGGGTCCGGTATACAGAAGCCCGGAGCTCCGGGATCATAGTCGAAGCAGGTTCATTCCGGGGCCGGATCGATGCGCAAGGTAGAGTGAGCCCAGGTAGCTCCGTCACCGGGTGCCCAGGACAGCATCGGATAAACCGGTTAAACAAATTGGAAACGCAAAAGTGGGCCAGCAATTGAAGAATAGCAGGGGCACATGAGCTGAAAATTAAAATAAAAAAGGAAAAGAAGATAGACAAGTCTAGCTGGATTATCAACAAACGGGATCCAGACCAGAACTTTCTCTGGGAAGCAGAACCGCGGGGCCCGAATGCGGCAATGATGATGCTTGCCCCACGGCCCCTCCATCGGACCTCAATACGCCGGTGACCCTTGACGCCATCGTTTTCTTCCTTCCAAGCTTCCTCTCTCTCTCTCTTCTTACTTCACATACAGTGATACTCTCCCAATTCTTCGTTCATCCTTGTCAGTTCCCATCTCAATATAGAGCATTCTGCTGCTGCCCCGCACTAACACATTCCACAGCATTACTTTCGTCATCATGTCGGGTTTCGCGCAAGCTTCCGATCTCAATGCCTGGAAGGAGCTCCAGGAGCACCACACCACCCTGGGTCGTAACATTGTTCTGAAGGAGTACTTCCAGAAGGACCCCCAGCGCTTCCAGAAGTTCAGCCGTACCTTCAAGAACACCGTCGATGGCCAGGATATCCTCTTTGACTTCTCCAAGAACTTCCTCACCGAGGAAACTCTGTCTTTGTTGGTCAAGCTGGCCAAGGAGGCCAATGTTGAGGGCCTGCGCGATCAGATGTTCAAGGGTGAGCACATCAACTTCACTGAGGACCGTGCTGTCTACCACGCCGCCCTGCGCAACACCTCCAACGAGCCCATGCAGGTCGATGGCAAGAGCGTTGTCGAGGATGTCAACGCCGTTCTCGAGCACATGAAGGAGTTCTCCGAGCAGGTGCGCAGTGGTGAGTGGAAGGGTTACACCGGCAAGAAGATCGATACCATCATCAACATTGGTATTGGTGGCTCTGACCTGTAGGTTTCAGTCCATCCTGCACGATGTGGACTTTTAATCTGACATTATCTTAGTGGTCCCGTCATGGTTACCGAGGCCCTGAAGCCCTATGGCCACCCTGACATGAAGCTCCACTTCGTATCCAACATTGATGGCACTCACATCGCCGAGGCTCTTAAGAACTCCAACCCCGAGACCACCCTCTTCCTGATCGCCTCCAAGACCTTCACCACCGCCGAGACTTGCACTAACGCCAACACTGCGAAGAGCTGGTTCCTCGAGACAGCTAAGGATGAGTCCGTGATCGCTAAGCACTTCGTTGCCCTCTCCACCAACGAGGCCGAGGTTACCAAGTTCGGCATTGACAAAAAGAACATGTTCGGCTTCGCATCGTGGGTCGGTGGCCGCTACTCCGTCTGGAGTGCCATTGGTCTCTCCGTAGCTCTGTACATCGGCTATGACAACTTCCATCAGTTCTTGGCGGGTGCTCACGCCATGGACAAGCACTTCCGCGAGACTCCCTTGGAGCAGAACATTCCCGCTCTCGGTGGTTTGTTGAGTGTCTGGTACAGCGACTTCTTCGGCGCCCAGACTCACCTGGTTGCACCCTTCGACCAGTACCTGCACCGCTTCCCCGCTTACCTGCAGCAGCTTTCCATGGAGAGCAACGGTAAGGCCATTACCCGCTCCGGCGAGTACGTCAAGTACACCACCGGTCCCATCTTGTTCGGTGAGCCCGCCACCAACGCCCAGCACAGTTTCTTCCAGCTGTTGCATCAGGGCACCAAGCTGATCCCGGCCGATTTCATCATGGCCGCCGAGTCGCACAACCCTATCGAGGGTGGCAAACACCAGCGCATGCTGGCTTCCAACTTCTTGGCTCAGTCTGAGGCCCTGATGGTCGGTAAGACCCCCGAACAGGTCAAGGCCGAAGGTACTCCCGACCACTTGGTTCCGCACAAGACATTCCTTGGCAACCGTCCCACCACCTCCATTCTGGCCCAGAAGATCACTCCCTCGACCCTGGGTGCTCTGATCACCTATTACGAGCACGTCACCTTCACCGAGGGTGCCGTCTGGAACATCAACTCCTTCGACCAGTGGGGTGTCGAGCTCGGCAAGGTCCTGGCCAAGAAGATCCAGGCCGAGCTGGAGACTTCCGGTGCTGGCGGTGACCACGATAGCTCCACCAGCGGTCTGCTTCTCGCTTTCAAGGCGAAGGCTAACTTGGCGTAAACTTGGCCAAGTCGTGCATCAAGTACTTATTTGACGATGCGCTTTTGACGAGCAACGAATGAATATTTGAAATTATGTCTCCTGTTTCAAAATTGTGGAATTTCTACAAATATCCGCGCGCCAGTAGATGCGACGCGGTCGTAAGGGCGTCTCAGCAGTGGCCACTGCTTTTTACCTCGACTCTGTGTTGTTTATTCTGGCACAACTTAAAATACTTACTGTTCATCATAAGGATTTGATCCGTAAAACTTTTCATATGGGCCTGACTGACTTGTAGAGTAAACAATGGTGGTTGCGAAATTGCGCATTTATGACACAAGTTGATCGAGTAGAAGGGCTCCGAGACCGAGTCCGCGGCACGCAAACACCTCCGTGTCTTCTCCGCGTCTCCTTCTACCAACAACCCAACGCGGGGGATAACACTTAGCCCTGAAATCCGCGAGCATGTCGCCTTCACACTTAATGGCACGATCACCCACGACCGCGACACTGCTCTCCCTCGCATGCGCGCTTTTGCCGGCAGCTGCAGTCGCGGAAAGGATCAGTGGCAACAGCGGGGTGGGATACACTCTTGGAGAAGACATTCCAGTATCCTGTCTCAATCGGACAGTGTGAGTCTCTTCTAAACGCGTCTCCGTGTAAAAGGAGAGCAATTGCTAATCAAAGCCTCGCGTACAGTGAAGGAGAACATGTATGCGCCTTGAACTCCTGAACACTCCTAGTCTCTAAGTCCACCAATTAATCAAAGCAAAATAGATCACAGATGACCTGGGAAAGCTACAATATATCCCCTTCGCAACATGCAATGAGACTTCTCGCCCCCTCGCCCTCCACTACGGCGTCTCCGAAACAATTACTTGCACGATCCCCTCCCTCTCCGACTCCCTCTACCACCTCTATGAATTCTACGTGCACTCCGACGTCCCAATGACCTGCCGCATCCCCACAGCGCCCTTATCAAGCACCACAAGAGCAGACAAAGAGTCCGAATCTGGCGAAGTCGACTCGCTCGCGGCGCTGAAAGAAGACGGCCCGCCCTTCACCCCAGTCACCGTCGCGCTGCAAGGAACACTACAGCTCAGCCACTTACACATCTGGACGGATATGAATATGCTCATGCACAATATGGCTTCCGATCCTGCGGCACAGGAACTGCAGCCTAAACGAGCTCAGACGGGGCAGCCAGGGTATGCGGTTGCTGGCACGGCGTACTCTACTCCCGAGTTCGAGGCTACTGTTAAGGGCCTTGCCCTTGATAATGACGAGGAGGCCGTTGCTCTTGCGCAGGCTGCGCGCGAGCCTTGGACTACTGGACATGGTACCAAAGTTGTGCGTGGTGAGCCACTGACCTTTTCTTTCCATGTTGCTTGGGTTGAAGGTGGTGCTGGTATTGGGTGGCCGGAAAGGCCTACGTCTGGCTCATTTCTGAGTGCTGTTGCTACCGGGGCGAGTCGAAGCTCGAGCTCTGGAGGCTTCTTCTCGAAACTGTTTTTCTTCATCATGGCTGCTTCCGTTGGCGCTCTCGCTGCGCTGTACTGGGAGCGCAATGGCGGTCGTCTGCGTGGTCGCTCTGGCTGGCAAGGTGATGGTATCTTGGGCGTGTCCTCTTCCCGGGGCAAAGGGCCCGGCGTGACGTTTGGTAACGGTGGGCGTATCAACGGCTACGGCGGATACTCTGCGGCTTCCAATGGCGCGGGAACAGGCGGCGGGGGATATGGATTCCCTACTGGAAAAAGGGATTGACAAAATTGATATAACGCCGTTTATTTCAGTGTATAGGATAGCCATGAACAGTGCATCCGTACATGACTGTCATATTCAAATTGGATTTAAGGAAAAAGGAGATCCAATGCATTCCATATCTAATGCAAACAGCAGAATCGAAAAAGTAGTTTCACAAATAGTTGTACAAGCCAGACAAATTCGTCCTATCAGCGAATATAGCAGCGAATCGTCCAGTCCGCGCGATATATACACCCTCCATGCAAATCACCATCCCTGCGCCTGCATGCGCTGGATCTTCTTCACGGTCTCCTGGAAAGAGAAGCGGAAAAGCTTCCTCCAACGCTCCCGTCGCTGCTGCTTCCGCACCATACCCTTGCGCACGTGGAACTTTTGTTGGAAGGATTGCTGCTTGATCTTGTTCGCGTTGACAACCATGTTTAAGTTGCGAATAGCAGCACCGAGGTCAACGCCACGCTCGGGCTCTACGTGAACCTGACGACCCAGGGTAGGGCCGAGCTTCAACTCCGTTTTGCGGCTCGCCAGCTGGGCGGACTGTTCTTTGAAGCCCAATCCTCGCGACAAAGAGCTGTTTACTCGGCCCTGACCTTTTCCAGCGGCGTGCTCTGTTTTGGTCCGGGTGCCAAGGTTCAGCTTGTTCAGAATGTCGTCAAAGTCGGAGCCGGAGCTGGTTGGTTTCGACATGGATTTCTCCGCGTTGGGTGTTGTGGCCGGAGTAGCAGCTTCTGTGGGTGTTTGAGAGGAGGTATGTTGTGATGAGGAGTCTGAGGAGTTGTGTCGGATTGTGGTTGGGAAGAAGCGCTGAGGTTGCTGGCGCGTGAGCAAGAATGCGGACGGCCTGGCGCGGAGGCCACGGGCCAGGAGGCGGGTGTCCATGTTTTCAGAGCAGTCAGGTCAGGCTGACGAGTCCGATTGAGAGGATCGAGCAATTGCTCTTTGGGTAGAAAATAGTGTGGAGTGGGATACTGGTTCGTCGATCTGGAAGTTCAAGACTCGGGGAAAATCATTTGCAAGGGGAATTCCACGTCACGTGCACGACGATAGGTTCACTACGAAACAAACGAACTCCATGCCTTTTCTCGCTACATGGTCTTGTCCTTGGTCACTCGTCAAATACTTCGAAAGCGAACAATAACTCGACAACTCGCTTTACCTAACAAAATGTCAACCATCTCGATCGCGACGCTGTCGCAGATAAGCCGCGATACCCTTGCCGCTTTACTCTCCGCCGAGACCCCCGCCAACAAACTCGCAATTATTGATGTCCGTGACTCTGGTGAGTAAAGATATCATATTTTCAGCATTCGGCTTGATACAAATTTTTAACCCTGTATATAGACCACATTGGAGGTCACATCCGCTCCTCCACTTGGGTCCCGAGCTCCAGCCTGGATGTCCGTATGCCTGAGCTTATCCGCACTTTAAAGGACACCGAGAAGGTTGTTTTTCACTGCGCTCTCAGCCAGCAGCGCGGCCCCTCTGCTGCACTTCGGTATGCGCGTGAGCGTGAACAAGTCTACGGCCCGGAAGAATTCAAGAGGCAGGAGATCTTTGTGCTGGAGGGTGGTTTCGTGAAGTGGCAGGAGAAATATGGTCCTGATCAGAAGCTGACCGAGGCTTTCGCTGCTGATATCTGGCAAGAGGGATACTAAGTGCATTTTGGAGGATTTACTTGATGGCGGTTGGCTCTGTGAATAGCCATACTTTATGAGACATGAGACGATGAGATACCACATAGATAGCCATTGAAATGCTCTCCTTTCTGAGCGTGCCTGGTGCGACGGGCACGAGAATGAGTTCCGAAAAGCCCGTATTCAAAAATGATCCTTCATTGCTCGAAATGCTTTGTCAAGTGCTCTATAAATATTGTACAGAATTTATACATCCAAGCTGACCCTAGTTGACCTGAACACTTCCACCAAATCCAACAGGGCGTCTCTTCCCACCATTCTCAGGCACAATAGCCAAGACCTTGTAGATTTGGCCCATGGAACCACCACTCTTCTCAACCAAGCGCTTCCAACCGGTCTCCAAGGTCTTTCTGCTCTCATCGTCCTTGGCCGCACGGATCAGTTGTTCCATGCGCTCGGTAATACCCAGAGCCGTAAGGAAATCCCCTTGCTCGACAGGTCCATGAACCTCAACGCCGTCACTGCCCTCAATGGCTGCCTCGGCCAGAGAAGTAAAATCGACGTCTGCGCTGACGTCAACCTGACCAGGTGCCGAGAGAGCAGGGACAATCTTATGGCCTTGGATCCCACGTAGAGAGTTGATGGGAATGGTAGACATAGTACCGTAGTCCATGATCAAAGCTGCGCCAGAAGGTGTTGTCTTCTTGGGTGTAGAGGGAGGAGTAGAGGAAGCCTTCTTAGAGGGCGCAGGAGCGGCATCACCACCGATACGACGGGCAAAATCGGCGGCGTAGATTCGGCTTTCGGGACTCACTTCAATAGTTGCCCCAGGCTGGTTTTTCAAGGCCTTGTAACGGTGCGAAATCTCAGGAATCACGAGTGAAGATGGGGTCGAGGCATTGGCCTTGGTCAGTTGGAATTCGGGCTCTCCTTCGATATTCTCGTCGATAGCCTTGGGGTTCAAAGTAACAAGAAGCTCGCGCCATTGCGGGGCATTGGCAGATTTGAGTGGGACGTGCAGTTTTTGAGGCCCAGTCGGAGTCATGATCTCCTTGGGCGCATCTGGCACTTCGTTCTCGGGTGATGGGGGAACCGATTCGAAGGCGTGAATTGGGAGTGCATCGAAGAACTCATGTGCGAAGATGAAGGGCGTTTTGCCTTCCTCTGTGATTTTTCTTAGTGAGACTTCACGATTACACGAGGCTGAACTGGCAACTAACCATGGGGCAGTAGACGAATATCCTCAACCCAAACGACCGGCACGTCAAAGTACTTGCATTTACTTCGGTGCCCAATGTCCGTCTCCTCCATCACAGCATCCTCTCCACAAAGAGTTCGCTTCTGCACCTCTCTGAGTGTAGCACTGGCCTCAACGAGATAAATCGCCTCAATACTCGAAGAGAACATTTTGAAATTCCGGAATGTCTGTTCCATCGCAACCCAGATTAGCCGCAGTAATACTTGAGACTTAGCAACCGCAACTTACACGCAGCATATCATCCATCAAAGTTCCTTTACCAGGCCCAACTTCCATAAGTTGCACACCACTCTTCTTCCGGCCCTGGGACATCCACTCCGCAATAGTCCAGATGCCAACCAGCTCGCCAAAGACCTGGGAGATTTCAGGCGATGTGACAAAGTCACCGTGTTTGCCGAAAACGTTGGTTCGAGAAGTATAGTATCCGTCCTCTGGGGCTGTCAGGACCTGGCGCATGAAGGCAGCGATTGGCACCGGGCCTGTGACCTAGATGGATGAGGGTCGTTAGTGGTTGATGCGAGTCGCTGCTGAAATGTGCACACCTTCATCGCACTAGCCAAAGTGCGGGCTAATGGTGTGGTCCATTTCCTTTGGTCGAATGCCTCTGTTGTTGATGAGTTCCATCGCCGAGGGTATGTGGTGAATGTCGAGTTGCGAGACCTGCGGAGGGTATACGATGCCGCGCGCCGCGCCGCGGTATTCATTTCGCGGAGACCCTGCTTTCCCGTGATCTGCTGTGAGAGGAGACTGTATGTGACAAGTGCTTAAAATGACGTCTGCAGACCCAATTGATTCTCGAGAAAGACGCACTTGATAGCTGCTTCTCCAATTCTGCGGATCTCCGCAAAAGCTCCGGTCCACGTGATCTTATCCTTATCAACAGTTATGAAGCATTCCAAAATGGGTCGATTTGGGTTACTCGATATTCATACATCTCATCAGGTAGGGTACACAAGGGAAGATAGAATAGAATACATGGGATCAATTTGATTGCCTTTTCACTTTCTAGTTATCCTTGTTGGAGAAGCTCCATTTACCGCTGGCGTCTCCGTCGCTGTTGATTCTTCTGTGCCGGGGCATCCACCATCATCTGGTCGCTATAGAATCCTGAACTCTTTGTTTGGCTGCTCAAGATGTCTCCATGATCGCTGGCTCCATAGCTGCCGTCCTGAACGCCTGGTTCCGCGTGGCGAGTCCGTCGTTGACGATCTGCCTGTTCTCGGAGTTTGCTATAGGAATTCGCTTGGGTATGCAAATTGGCTCCAGCCCCATTGGGCTTGAGTGTCATGGACAAAATCCTGCCATCGGCCTGAGACTTATTTTAGCAAACTTGTACCATTCACCGGCTACGGCACAATCTTACCTTCTGGTTGTGGAAATTTGCGACCGCGTTCTCCGCCGTCCACTTGTCTTGGAAGGCAAACTCGGCCGTGACATTTGGGCTTTGCCCAGTGACTCGGCAACTGAGCATTGGTCCTGTGGTAGGCTCCAGCGCGGACTGAATGTCTGCGGCTGTTGTTCCGGGGGCAAAGTTGCTTCCAACCACCACGAACGGACCTGAGGCACCCTTAATGGACAGGCCGCCACTAGGTTGTCGGATGGTCGCCTGGGCATTCCCAGACTCAAGCGCACTCAGAAGACGTTCGGCATTGTGCTGCTTCTTATTTGCGGGGTTGCGCGCGTGCGCGCAGATGCGACTGTGGCGGTAGCTGGGTTAGGATTGGGCTTATTGGTGTGGTTCGGACGCGAAGAGGTCGAAGCGGAGCGCTACATGACAAGGAGGAAATTGTCAGAGATTCTTCGTCTTCATGCGTCCGAGATCTGGGACGATGGGTCTGAATATACCTTAGGCAAACCGATCCGGCTGGCCAAGCTCCCGGGTTTCGCGGTCGGTGTCTTGCTCACCGCTCCAGGCCCTGGTGCACTTGCGCGTCGATCCTTCTTATTTCTGTTCTTTCCCAAGAGTTGACTGGCCAGCTGCTCATGTTGCTTCTTCTGGCGATCTGATAGCGCAAAGAGTTAGAACGCGGGTAAAAGACGAATCGGAGGTGGCTTTACCAGATTTAATGATGTCATCGAATGAGATGGATGAAGATGGCTTAGTTTTCGCCATTGTGTAAGGATGAGGGGCAAGAAGGGCCGGAAGGTGAGATTAGATGGAAGTGAGGATCGAAGGGAGGCGGAGAAAAGAAGCTCAGCGCAGCTCCATGTGGAGCCGCGATCTGCGCCTCTTGCGGCAAACATGTTTGTCCCCAGTTGAATCTTTAACCTCTTGATCTCAAAGCATCTGATCATCATATCGCATCTTACAATGTGGAATTTGCTATTTTGACTGTTTTTGCCCAAATAACATTTTCTTTTCCGACGACAACTTTGGTAAGTATTGGGGGCCAGAACGGAGCAGTCGCGCCTGGGCTGTATCGCAGTAAATGCTTCAGGAGAAGACAGCACTTTCTATATTGGGAACAAGTTGTATATCTTTCTTTAGCTTGACTCTAATTGCAACCATTGTAATACTTCTTCTTTCTCGGATACATCTGCATCCGTATCCTGCATCTTCTTGAATACTACGAGCTGCATTCTTGATTCACCCATTAATTCCATCTACGCCAGCTTGTGCACAGCTTTTTGGCATACAGAATGAACCCAGGCAAGCCTCACCAAGAGATACCACGGCTGAGTGATGACTCGCACGAATATGCTCGACGTAGATCCAATTTCTCCCTTTCGTTCGCACTTCGTTCGCCCAAGAACAGAGCCAGGTGATGCTACCAAACTGATACCTACGTATTTACTAACAAATCCACGCAGTGTGCTCAGTATGAATACATCAGAGCCAACATGTCAAGAAAGAATTCATTATCCCGTTTACAACCCAGGCGATCCTCGTCACAACCCTTCAAGGCGTCGTCACGACTCCCAGAATTCATCAGCAGACTCCCAGAAGCAAGCACGTTGGGTTCAAGACCTCCAGAGACGCTCCATTCACAAGGTCCGATCGGGATTGCTGTCTTTACGAGAGGGACTACTCCGCCTGTCGAGTTGGCATGATGGTGATATTGATGATACTGGTTCTAGGCTTGTGCCTCTGCAAAGTCATGACACAGAAGGCAGGAATCGAGCTTATGGGGTTTCAGGTATCTCCGATGCCAGCACCCAAGAGGATATGAACTTTGGAGTTGGTATGTACCGCATGAACTCTCCCTGGCCCACACATTACTGTGGGCCAGGTTCCAACAGATCGACTCATGTCGCCTCCTCACTGGGATTACCGAATGTGTCTGTACCAGACCTTCGGGTGAGCAGTGGACCGCTCCATCCAGATTCCCTATCATTACGCCATGTGAGCCTCACATCCAACGACCCGCCTCCGTACTCCGCAAGCTACGAGAGACCATTTGCCGATGGTGATGCAGACGTGCGAACGGATCAGGAGAGGCCGTTCGTGGACACAGAACAAAGTTTTGATGGAGTTTCCAGTGAAATTATGGATCAATCTGACGGGTCTAGTTGGGAAACAATTTCATCTGGTGAGGCAAGCGCTAGTTCAATGAATGGAGATGTCTCTGGGGCTCGTGCATCGGGTGGAAACAGCACACCTGCAGAACGGCCTCAAGCAGCAGTGACCCCTCCAGAAATACCAGCAAATGCGGAACGATCTAAGACTGACAGTCCAGATCTGTCTCGCAAGGGAACCAGGTCGGACGATTCTTTGATGATTGAAGATACCATGGATAGCTCCACGAGGTCGTTTAAACCTCCAGATCCGGGTGCGCCAAGTAGTTTCGGTCCAAGCAAATTTGATCACCCACTGGCCAAGATAAGAGAGTCGGAAGCTTTGGTAACACAGGAGCACTTGAGTGTTGACCGGAGAAAAAGTGAGGAGGCTACCGCGTCTGCCATTGCTATGTCAAGGAAGTGCTCTGCGAACGTTGTAAAGATTGCTTTCCCTGGTGTATACCACGCCTTACTCGAGCAGTGGACGAGAGAGACCCGTAATCTCATGAAGAACAGTGCTGGGATTGAAGGTATTTCAACCTCTTCTCACATCCCCGACTCAGCGGCAGAGCAGGATCAGCAAGATCTGGATTACCACGAGTTGCCCTGGAGCTGTGAGAACCGCGCTCACGGACTACCGTCCAATACATCTACCAGCCATAGAACTTGGGATCTTAGTGAGGCTTTCTCATCCGGGGAACAAAATTTGGCAACCATCGAGGATATCTGGGTTCACGCAGGACTCTCTTCGCGCTTGAGAACTTCCAGACCTGCCAGAACTGCCAACTTGACCCGAAGTTCATCAACAGCCCACGCTCATCCACCTGCAGAGATGCCAGAACTTGATACACGTCATTCTTTCGGCCTTCATATTGCCCAGAGAAGCGTAAGTATTCCAAAAATACAACACAAACTGGAAGTTGACTGACATCTATCAGGAACCCGGCAAGAAGACCCCGTCTGATGACCAAGGCCATCAAGACGACCCACATCAATCCTTGAATCAACAACCTTCACAGCAAGCATCCCAACAGGCTTCCATCGGTGAGCCATATACATCTCTTCCTGCACTTGTCTCAAGTGGCCCTCTGGGGTCTCCTTTTGATCAATCGGAATGCTCGTCAGTGTGGACCATGGGCAGCTCTCTCTCTCCAGGTGCCACATCCGGAACATGCATCTCCGCCTCTCCATGGTCACCGATGGATTCTCCTATCGACGAGGAGGTTCTCCTCTCGAACAACATTTGGCGCGATGAATATTACATGGCTGATGGCAAGACGAGCAACTACTACCATGGTCGAGGTGACCAGCCTACCAAAAGAATATGGAGGCAGCGTCTCACGGATGACGGCAGCATACACAGTGGACCTGGGTTGGACCGCACTCCCTCCAGCAGACTCCATGTGTCCGAGCTGATGGCCCCAATGGCTCTCCCGCAACCCTGTGCATCACTGCCGGACCGGCCATGCCTCGAAAGGGGCGGCACAGACCAGCCACAGGAGAACTCATCTGAACATCAGGCACAGACACGTCACCTTGAATGAGAGAACGCACCTGCAATGCTCTCTATATTGTCGCTCTTTCAAGTCATTCTTGCTTTGAGGTGACGGCGATCACGGATAAAAACCAAGCTCGGTCTGTCGCTATCCTATTTCATTGCTAGCTGTGTATCTTTAGACTGCGACGATGGAATATCTTCGCGTTAGCCATTCATTCGTTCTCTGAAGAAGATATCAAACTCCATGCTAAATGATGATGATGATGTATGTCTTAATATCTCGTAGTCTGTATCTGTCGTGCCAAACTATCCCAGACGCAGTGCGAAGCCAGCACCCGTCTCCCCGGAGTCTCCTCCCGGGGCTCCTCCAAACACACTCGCAAAGTCCAGCTCGGGTGCTTCCTGGCCCCGTTTTGGAGCTTCGGGTGTGTAGTTGCGTCTCCGTTTCTCCAGTCCTGCTTTAGAAGGGTAGGTCGGGAACATCTCTTTGGGCTTCGGGCGTGGATCTTCCTTGAAATAGGCATGTGTCAGACACTGTTGTGCGGTCGGGCGCATGGCGGGGTTCAAGGCCAATAAACTGGACAATAGGCTCAACCCTGCATTAGTCAAGTACGGGAATCTGGAACGAGGCAACATGGGAGGGTTCCCAGCCGGCGAATTTGAGGTAGAAGGTATCTTTAGTGATTTGGCATTTGGCAGAGAGCGGAAGCCCGGCCAGATCTGCTGATTCGGAGGACCCGTCAAGGCAAAAATCTTGGACACCTGGTCAACTTCATTCTTGCCTTGTAGCAGAGGTTCCTTGGTAAGAAGTTCACCAAAGATACACCCGATGCTCCACATGTCAATCTCCGGACCGTACTTGTCGGCACCTAGCAGTAGCTCCGGTGACCGATACCATAGTGTCACGACGAGTTGGGTCAGCTTGGGCGGTGGGTCTCCGTAGTACCGAGCCATGCCGAAATCAGCGAGCTTGATCTCGCCGCGATTGTTCATGAGGAGATTTGATGTCTTGAGATCGCGGTGCATGATCCATTGCGAGTGGAGGAACTCAAGGCCGCCCACGACCTGTAAAAGAAGTGTTTTGATCTCCGAGGGAAGGAATGGCTCGCGCATATCGTCAAGGAGTGTTTTAAGGTCGTGCTCGAGGAAATCCATTACTAGGTAGACACTGTTCAGAGATCTGGTTAGCTGCCGATTCATCCAATGCAATGCACCGGTCGAGGGAACCCACTCGTCCATCTTGTTCCCCATGACCACTTCTCGTAGATAAACAACGTTTGGATGCCGAGCCTCCAGGAGGGTTTGAATCTCCCGCAGACCAGTGACCGGGAACCCGTCCGGCGAATTCTCGATCTTCAATTTCTTCAGCGCGACCACCTCGCCCGTTGTGATATCCTTGGCCCGAGAAACCCATCCGTACGAGCCTTCCTCAATATGATTCAATCTCTCGAAGTTGTCCACATGCCTGCAATTTCCCCATTCGCGCACAGGGAACCGCAGCAAGCTCGACCGCTTCTTCTCCCCCTTTTGCGCGTCGTTCTGTGGGATATCACCAGCACCAGGAGCCTCGGGGTCATTTGAGAGTCTGCGGCGCTTTTTCGGGGGTCCTGATTCCCCATTGGGTCCCTGGGCGCCATCGGCAGAATGGGCCGTCGGTTGAGCTTTGCTGGCTTCGAGCTGGCGCTGCTTCTCGGCTTTGGCGCGTTTCTTTTCTTCCTTTTCGCGCTTGCGTTGCGCGACAATGGCCTCGGTTTCTGGGTCGTCGTCTGCCCAGCGCGACTTTGCAGACATTGTGGCTCGCGGATGGAGGATGAAAGGTTGAGGGTGCGGAATGACGTTTGGCTCTGGGGAACAAACGGGCCGAAGTGCACCTCCGATTTGAAATCCAAATGGGTCCCCGCCAATTTCGTAGAACTTGCAACTGAAATGATCTTATAACATATCGCTCGGTTTCTCTCTTGATCCCTGGCTTTGTGCATACTCTATAGTTTTCTACCTGATTCCCTCTATTCCCAGTTTGACTGTTGCCGGCATCGGATCTACAACCCCCGCCATGATTGAGCCATTCCAGGTCGGTATTCGGCCCTCGGTCTGTCTCCTTGAAAGTGCTTACTGACGCGTTTCTGTCTCTGCAGACTACCTTCTCGGTCCCTATGACCTGTGATGGATGTGTGAAGGACGTCTCCAGCGCCCTGTACAAGCTTGATGGTATGCGCCGCCCTCAGGATACGATCCAGCTGCATCTCCCCACAACAACCCTCTGACAGCGAAACCTCTCCGTACAGGAATCAGCAATGTGGACGCCAACCTCAAGGACCAACTTATATTTATCGAAGGCACCGCGCCCCCGAGTTCTATCGTGACCGCCATCCAGGACACCGGCCGCGATGCGATCCTACGCGGGAGTGGCAACACAAACGGTAATGAAACCCGGTTCTTGTCCTCGGAGCCTCATTTGTATTGACTATCTTGCAGGCTCGGCCGTGTGCATCCTTGAAACACACAATTCCGTGGTCCCCAACAAGATCCGTGGCCTTGCACGCATGGTCGAGGTCTCCAAGAACATGACCTTGGTCGACCTGACCGTCAATGGCATGGCTCCAGGCAAGTACTGGGCCACCGTCCGTGAAACCGGTGATATCTCACAGGGTGCCGCGTCTGCCGGCGGTATCTGGGACTCTTTGAAGAATAAGGTCTTGGGTTCGAATGGTGCCCCGCCTGTGGAGAAAGAGCCGCGGGGGGTCTTTGGCTCGGTGGATGTTGATGAGAAGGGTCGGGGTAGCGTGTTCATGGACCGACCTGTTGCTATTTGGGAGTTGATCGGGCGAAGTATGGTGCTCTCTAAGTCAAAAGAGGGACCTTTTAAGCGCGATGATGAGCATACCCTTGTGGGTGTCATTGCGCGTAGCGCGGGTGTGTGGGATAATGACAAGATGGTTTGCTCATGCTCTGGTAAGAATGTTTGGCAGGAGAGACAGGAGCAGGTCAGCCAGGGTATGGTTTGAGAAAACCCCTTGACCTTATCTAGTATGGATTATGTGAGTCGTGACTTATATTTGAGATATGCATGCTTGAAGACCCAGCATCATCCAAAATGCATGGGAACTAACGGGCAGGAGTTTTTGTGGAGCAGTAGATATGAGTGAATCTTGACAGACTATTAGCTATTGGAATTGATCGAAACCTCGGGGTGAGGGGCTTGCATCGATTTACCAGTCCCTGTGATTGAACTATTCATAGGTCCTACGCCGGATACTGGCAAAAGTTCTGCAGGAAGAATACCCCGTACAACCAAGGAAGCATCGCACGATGCAGTGCTCGGTGATCGACGCAGGGAGCAACGGGCGAATTGCACCTTCGGTAGTGGGGCTTGATCTACTGACAGTTCAACTCGGCATTTTGCCTCCTTGTTCTTCAATCCTGTCTCAGGGCCCAGACCGTACTCCCAAACCACGTGCTTTGAGCTTGACCCCCGGAAATTAAACGAAAATAAACGAAACTCAACTTTGCAGCTTGCGCAAGTCTGTGCTGAAGAGCTGGGTCTAGATCAGTGACTAAGAGGATCACGTGGGGCCGCCTCAAAGTATTTCATTTCCCCGCGACTTCTATGGCTTCAAACTATCGTTGGACCTGGGTCCTTGACGATAATCAACGATGCTAGCTCCGAACCTCCAGCTCAACCCTCCACTGCCGAATGCCCGCGTAGAGAAAACGCCCACATATCGCCCGGAAGAAGTCCCCTCCTGCGGAGGTCATGGGACATATGAGATCCTCGAGGTAACTCGGTTCCTGGAACACCATGGGATTGAATGTTGCCTCGTCGGTGTTTCCGCGTTGATATTCTACGGTGCTGGACGTGTCCGCAATGTAAGGTGTCTTTATCAAGAGCTAGGCTGAAATTGCGAAGCTGACGGGCTGCAGGACTGGGAACTTTGTGTCCCCACCAAGAAAGTCGGCGACGCTGTGTCATTACTCAACTCTGGATCTTTATCCGACAAAGTACACCCTATACCTCCACATCCGATCCCTCAGCCTTCTTCATTACACTACACATACCACCGATTCAAGGGGAGGGGCATCCACTTCTACTTCCTCATTGTTCCCTCACATGACGCCCACATCCCATGCGGTCCCTTCCGCATTCAACGGAGCTTGAATGGACTGCCCTACCCGACATTGCCAGTCCTGATGCAGAGTTTCCTGGACATGAACAACGATGTGGCACTTTGTGACTGCATCGACGGTTCCAATGTCTCAGAGCAATGGGGGTATGAGAACCTAGACCTCGACGGATCCAACGATCTCGAGTGGACAAAACGCATGAACGACAAAGCTACACAAGCCGCTAAAGGGAAAGGATGGCTCTTTATTCATTACTTCCCAACACAAACCATCAGCCGTCGGGAGAAGTGGCAAAACCGAGTCCGGAGCAAGAAGGGCCGACTCGGATGGACTACACCTCAAGATCTCTTCGAGACACGCTTCCGTTTGAAAGGCTCCCCGGACCCATGGACCCAGAAACTCATATCATGCTGAGTCATGACTCATGTGCAATACTTACATTCCATTCACGATTAGATGTTTTCATGAATATACGTCAAACCCCAAGCAGTGTTTTCATATTTTCAACCTGCTCTGGGAAGGTCACATATGCCGTGGCATAATGTTTCCAAAAGTACCTTCGCTGTTCTAAGTCGTAGTAGTCTCGTAGACTGGGTATCTGAGTCGCATATGTTGAGAATAAGAATTCCAGATCCAAAAAGTCGTTGCTGCCTTCTCCACCACGCCGGGAGAACGCATCGAGCTTCGCGTAAATCTGGAAGAAGAGCCCGAGCACCAGAACGGGTGATCCCTGCGGGGTCGGCCATACAGGCATAATGGATTCCCTCGAGGATCCAAGATCAACAGGTGTGCCAAGGTTCCCTTGCTCTAAATGATTAGCACTATCGTCGCTGCTATAAAAAAAAAGAAGGAGACTCACCGCTGATCACCACATCCATACTAACCGCCAAGTCAGGAATGTGGGGAAGTCCTGATCAAATGTACGCCCGACATCAATAAAGACCTGAACCGAAGTATTGCCGTGTATCGCCGGAAAATGTAGTCTGGAGCACGTTAAAAGTACGCCCTCTCCGTGCAAAATTGAACAGTGCATTCGAATAAAAGAGAAAGCAGGTACCGGGATTGTGCCATGAGAATCTCCCTCAGGTGATCCATGGTAGTCTTTACGGAGATGTCAATATCCCTCGTCGTACGGCTTCCGCCCCTTAAATAGACGGCCCATCCGCCGATGAAAGCATACGTGATCTGGTGATCTTCCAAAAGAGTCGCTATGAATCTACCAGCGAGACCGAGCTGCATGATCTCGGCCGTGTTGGACGGATAATATAGCTCCGCGAAACGATCGGTATTATAGATCTCGGCCATCGTGGGCGATCATTTGAAGGAGAAACCATTTGCGATGGCGCATGAATGAATCTGTTGATTCGGGAGAGTTGGTGAAGATGGTAAAGGGGTAAGGGGGCTGTTGTTGTGCTCGGACATTTTAAGGAGGGGAGGCGACTCAGGTAGTGCCGGTGCTTGCGCACTTGGCGACATCCCTGTCAATGGACCGAGTGTAGATGTTGATGCGAGAAAAATTAGTGAATGTGACTATAATGCTTTTATCACTTTTTTTGTTCATCTTTTGAACTTTTCCAATAGTCTCGTTGTGCATCATCTACCTCCACTGGCAAAATATATCTTGACCAGAGCTTCCCCGCAATGTCGTTTGCTTCCGAGGAAGTTCCGGAATATCAATATGCTTTCGCCATAGTGAATTCAGACTTTACAGAATTCACAGAGAACGAAATGTGAGCTAAATTGACTCACCAGCAACCACTCAATTCTACTGACTACCTGACATGTACGTTCCCGTTCGTTCATCCTCTGATTCCACATTCATTGAGACTATGGTCTGGCGTCTTCGATCCGGGTCGATACTTCTCGGAAGAATAGCGAATATAAGTAGATGGAAGCCGGCATACCATGCAGCACTCAGTACGGCCGGCTTTGTGGTAACAATTTCCGAGATCAATTGGACTCTGGCCGACACCTGGGATGTATTGAAGCGGCATCTTCGGTGATGAGGATTGGAATGCCCTGTGTGATCCAAAATGAGCAGAAGATAGAAGTTGAGAATGGCTCATAACGGAGAATTTGAGGGATCAGCTAGCGAACTGTAGTGTAGGTCCAATCTTAGATGCAAGGTTCTGTGTATTCTCAATCGGCATGCATTGACGCAGCGTCTTCGCAGACGATTAGGAGGGCAGGCCAGCCCCTTCGAAATCTTGGATCAAGTCTGCTATGGATCCGTCTGTAAAGATGCTCATGGTAGAGGAAGGTGTCTGCAATGTACTTGCACTGGTCCTGATGGAAAGTGATCCAGTCAGCTGTTAATTGGAAGATGGGGGCACAAGACTCATTATCACGACATTGAAGGCAACAAAACTCTTTCAGGACGTCTTGGATATACACGAAGTTGCTCAGTTCACTTCAATATGCGACCATGATATTTGCTCCGTGATAACTCAGGAGGCGGTACCCAGGTTCCAGCCCATGAACTAAAGGTCCTGGAAATCACTTCCGTCAGTACCACCGCTCTCTGACTCCTGGATGTTCCAAATTTAGTCATGTTCATTGGGCCCCGGAGCGAAGATCCAGAAAGAGCTCTTTCCCGTCCCATGATCAAACCAAAGGGCCGGATTTCTCGTGTCTTCGCTCCCAGTCATCGAAAGCGAGAGTCAACTATGCGTCCGACCCCAACCTCTCCCTAAGTCACCGACGCTATCACAACAAGATTTCTCTAGACGGAAGATGATGTCCAATCGCATCTTCAACGGCACAAACGCACGGACGACGCCTCATCAAGGAACCACTTGGCGGCATAGCATGATGGTATGCTGACCTGCACGAGATTGACTTTGTAGATCGACTATGGCAAGGATGCTCACTATGAGCGTCAGATTTCGTCCTTTGGGGGGGTCTCCATCTAAATATAAACAGTCGCTACCAGATTTGCCCCTGTCCATAGCGGAGCTGTTGCGAGATTAGACCAATGTGGGCTTATTCCAATCTCGGATTCACAGGTACGTTTGCTCACAGGCATCATTGCGCGCATCTGGCGGGCCAGAGATATACATCCACCCCCCAGTGACCCCACTCTTCTTTCATCTTGCTCTACCTTGGGATGTGTGGCATTGATCCAGAATGAGAATGATAGACGATCGTGGTCCAATATCGGTACTCTCATTAGAGCACTGCAAGCGCCGTGGCGAGACAAAGGGCCAATAGCAAGCGCTCCCGGCACCTGGGCCAGGAGGCCAATATTCTGTATAGTCTGGGTGTTCCCCCGCACCATCGCACGTTGGTCCATGGATGCTCACCGCGGCCCGTTCGTCGAACCAACCAATCCTCTTATCTTCGATGGGTCTGGGATGGAGCCCGAGCAATCATGCAAGAGATGGCCGGCCAATGTAATTTTCCCCTACCACTCTTCAAGCGGTGTGACAAGGGGATTCCCGACCACAAAGCAGAGAAGAAATTCATGAGCGTTCAGGGGAGATATACCAGAGACACGATAATCATCGGCCATGCAGGACGAAAAGCGCCCACTCACAGACGCCGGCGAAGGACATCTGGGATGGGGCGTTTTGATTGATCGCATCGTGCATAAATGGTGCAGATGCAATGCAAGTTATTTTTGGGCCGTCACCCCCCTCGGCGCTTCGTCGTTTTTCCCCGTTGATTCGGGCCCCCCTCTGCATGCTTGGCTTGCACTTCATCTCTTCCTCTTTTCCCATCTCTCCGATCCTAGCCTCGGCGACTGCCACTCGGGCCCTTGCACCGTGATCGGAGGTCTCGATTGCCGGTTCCTTGTCAGCCGGCGGGCATCGAGTGATTCTATAATTACATTTCGCCCTGATCGATTTTACCCCTCGGACGGCACCAAGCGATGGTATAGCTCCAAGTACCAAAGTTCCAAGATCCAAGTTCCCAAGTTCCCAAGTCCACAGTATCGCTCGTATCGCATCCGCCACCAATTCGCCCCGCCACTCAGTTCCTGCCTTGGCGGGACCCGGGGATCTACCCATCACATCGGACTGGACCCTGTGCAATTGCTGTCGCTTATAATACCATCGACTTTCCCGGTCCCATTCTCCGCGTGACTTTCCGACTTCCTCCAGGTCTGGAATCCTTGTGCCTGGGTGGCCTGAGTGGAAGCTGTCTTGAATCACTTCCTTTCGGTTAGCCCATTAGGCACAGGGGATACCACAGTATTGCATGGGGCACGATGTCACTCAAGCAGGTGAGAATCTAGACAGGCCGCCTCCGGGCAACAGATCTAATTCTCCTTCTAGGAAATCGAAACGTGGGTCCACGCGTTGGATGCCTATGACAACCAGGAATTTGAAGAGGCATTACGACAGTTTGACCAAATCGCCGATACCTCGAAGATCCTTTTCAATTGTGGCGTGATATATGCAACCCTCGGCGAGCATGATAAAGCAGTATGTGTCATTTCAAACCAATCGACCACGCATGCGACTCACTTCAACTTAGGTGGAATGTTATCAGCGAGCTGTCGGCTTGGATCGGTACCTCGCCATTGCGTACTTCCAGCAGGGCGTCTCGAATTTCCTGCTGGGTGATTTCGAAGAAGCCTTGGCTAATTTCAACGACACTTTACTGTATCTCCGAGGGAATACATCAATTGACTATGAGCAGCTCGGTCTCAAGTTTCGGCTGTACTCCTGCGAGGTGCTGTTCAACCGTGGTCTCTGCTACGTCTACCTCCGACAGATGGGCCCTGGAATGCAAGACTTGGAGTACGCAGGAAAGGAGAAGGTCACGACAGATCATGATGTGATCGATGATGCCATACGTGAGAATGCAGAGGTACATCTCGAAAATCTGGAATATCAGAGCCTCGCTAATGAACAGTCAGGGATACACCGTGTTCTCCATCCCGGTGGGTGTCTTGTATCGTCCCAATGCCGCCAAAGTCAAAAATCTCAAAACCAAGGATTACCTGGGCAAGGCCAGACTCATTGCTGCAGCTGATCGCACACAAGGAGCAGACTCTCAATGGAAACCCATGGTTATGGATAAAATAGCTCTCGATGATCGCGAAGGGATATCCTTTGCCGCTACCAACCTGGTCCACAAGAACTTGAGCAGCCGCACTCGTCAACAATCAGAACCACCATTGAACCGCAACGTGTTCCCACCCACCCCGCCACCAGATGACCGATCAACATACGGATCCACCGCAGGAGGATCATCACACCACCGATCATCATCTCTCCGAGCAGCCCGGCCACCTCGACTAGATCTAGACCGAACAGGGGCGGGCTTGGATCGTCGATCGGGACAGGAAGAGAATGGGCATTCAGCTCTAGAGAAACCACGAATCGGCACCACACGAACTGCATCCGAGCCCCGAGGACCAGCTCTAAGGCATCAGAATATGCGAGGCTTTGCCCAAGATCCTGGTCGAGGACACTGGTCTCGCGACTCGGGAGGTCACCGACGCAATCTCAGTGACACCAGTTGTGTGACAGACCCCAACCTCCCCCAGACAGAACCTTTCAATACATATGCAAGCCCCCAAAGCTTCTCGAACGCAGGCTGGGGCCGTGGAGGCCGACACCAGCCACCACAATTCATTGACGAAGAAGAGGAGTACGGCAGCGACGTGTGCGACGGTGAGCCTCTAAATGATGGTGGTTTCGAGATAATCGTAACCGCTCCAGGAGGGCCCGGGTCGTCCCCGTCACAACAAAGACGTACGCGATCACCGGCGCGATTTTCACGACGCGCCAATTCACGAAGACCTGAAGTCCGACGTTTCCGCACAAAGGTGCATGCTCCAGATGACATTCGGTATATTATGATCGGACCGACGGTGGTATTTCCCGAATTTGAGAATCGAATTCGAGAGAAGTTCGGCTTCCAGTGTCCGTTGAAGATGAAGGTGCAGGATGACGGCGATATGATTACTATGGTGGACCAAGAGGATCTGGATTTGCTGCTCAGCTCGGCCCGAGAGGTTGCTCGGAGGGAAGGGAGTGAGATGGGCAAGATGGAGGTGAGTTTGTTCTGCCATGTGCTGTCTACATTCTCCTTGAGATCGTGCTAATGGTTATACATAGGTCTGGGTGGAAGAGCGGTCCATGATCTAGGTCTTCGGTATTTGGTTTCTTGGGCATTGTGAATAGCATTTGGATTTGATTATACCCTTTTGGATTAGCATGGAACTACAATGAATATTATATCTATAGACCTGACATCGCATGAAACTCGAAAATATGTAGTATCAACCAATCCTATAGTAAAGGGTGTCCCCCAGAGCCAACCAATTGCGGTGACGACTGTTGACGGCTCCACCCTCCACGTCCAACTCCATGTCCAAACTCCGCTTGGACACATCTTCACATCTTCCCTCAACAACCCAACACAATGACCGACCTCACGCCCACGCTCAATCAACTCCTCTCCGCCAAGAATGGCCCCCAGATTCCCGCCTCCCGCCCGTCCCCCGATATCGCCGACGAGTTTCTAAAAGAGGCATATCGCATCGTCAGTGCCCAACATTGAAACACTCTCAAGACCCCAAGCTAAAAGAAATCCCCCCAGAACTCGCACATCAGCTCCCTCGTAAAATACCTCCAAAGCATCCGTCACGCCTACCTAAGCACCACCCCGCAACGGCGCGCTCAACACCCAAATCGCGAGCACCAACCCTCCCAAAGCCACCTCACCGACCCAGAACGCGACTCCATCGACTCCTCATCCGCGCTCCTCCTCCGCGACCTCGCAGCCTCGATCTCAAACCTCTCCTCCGCCGAATCCCTCCGCCAATCCACCGAATCGCAGGTCCTGCGCAAGAAATACGGACACAGCGCCGCGGGCGAACTCCTCTGGCGCTGGGCTGGCGGTGCAGGGATCGGCGAAGAAGACAAAGGTAAATCCGAGGAACAGGTTTCAGCGGAGGAGCGCGCGAAGATAATGGCGACTGTGCGCTCGGGCGTGCTTTGGTTCTTGCGGACGGGGTTAGAGGGCGCGGCGAGTGTGCAGCGGGAGATGGTTGAGAAGAGAATTGAGCGGGTTCGAGAAAGAGAGAAGAGTGTTTTGTATAAGAATGCAGGGTCCCAGGCTAAAGTGTCGGCTTCGAATGCTGGGGACCAGTTTGGGGCTCAGAAGACGAGCTCTGCTTTCTCGACGCCCGACGCGGTGGCTTTGAGTGAGGCCGATTCGAGACAGATCGAGGCGCAGCTTTCGCCGGAACAGTTGCAGCTTTTCGCGGAGGAGAATGATTCCATGCTTAGACATTATCAGGATACGCTTGGGAAAGTACAGTATGTTTTTTTTTCTTTTCTTTCGTCGTTTCCTTGTTCTTGTCTTTGTTTTTGTTTCTTGTCTCGAAGAGAAGGCGAGGGGGGGTTTTTTTTTTTACTGACGGAGTGCTAGGAACGCTGAGAAATCACTCATTGAGATCTCGTCGCTGCAGGAGACTCTCGTTACACATCTGGCTACGCAAGAGGAATATATCTCACAGCTTGTTAGTGATGTTGATACGACTCAGACGAATGTGGGACGGGGCAATCGCGAGCTCAAACGAGCGACGGAGCGCAAGAGTACGGCACAGGCGGTGTTCTGGGGAACGGTGGGATTGTGTACGACGCTTGTGGTGTGGGATTTGATCTTTTGATTGCATTTCAGCGCATTGGTTTTATACGGTGCGAGGATTGTATATGCATACCCATTTCCATCTCCTTTCTCAAGTGGGCGTTTCTCCAATAATCTACGAAAGCATATATTGGATGGAAAGTATCGAGGAAATATCAAATAATATAGAGTATCACTGAAAAACCCTAATGATTGGTCTACCCGTAGATCTACATGTCACGCAAAGCCCCGGACCCACCGAGGTCAGGTAAAGTCGAACCGGCAAACAATGGGTAATTTCCATCAGTCCTGGGAAGGTGTAAAAAAAAAAAAGAAGCAGAAAGAAAAAAGGAAAGAAAAGAAACGCCAATCCGGATTGTCTAAAAAAAACCCCTGACTATGCTTCGCGGATGACGGAATCGACAGCCTCGGCGAAATAGTCGATGTTATTTGTGTTCAGGCCTGCCATGGAAATACGGCCGTTCTTGGTCTGTAGCAATTAGCATTTGTACCGAGAGGGATACTAAGGGGAACTCACCATGTAGACATGCCACTTTGACCGTAGCGTCATCACTTGCTTCTCGTTCAGACCCGTAAAGCTGAACATGCCGATCTGGCTGGTAATATGATCCCAATTACCAGGTGTACCCTTCGCAATCAACCGCTCACGCAGACGACGACGCATCTCCTGGATGCGACCACTCATCGTACGGAGATCCTCCTCCCACTGCGCAAAGAGCGCAGGGTCATTAAGAACCTTGCTAGCAATGCGGGCACCATAAGCAGGCGGGTTAGAGATCTCTGAACGCTGCAGGATAGCCAGCTGGCTCGCAATGTTTGCATTCGCAGAGGAAGCGTCGGCGCCAGGGGCAGAGACGAAGTGGAAAGCACCGGTGCGCTCGCCGTAGAGACCAAAGTTCTTGGCGAAGGACTGGGCGACGCAGAGCTCGAAGCCCTGCTCGACAAAGTAGCGGATGGCCCATGAGTCGCGGACGAGATCGCCGGATGCGAAGCCTTGGTAGGCGGTGTCGAAGAAGGGGAAGTGGTGGTGTTCGCGCATGACCGCGGCAATCTGCTTCCACTGGTCCTGGGTGGGGTCGACGCCGGTGGGGTTATGGGCACAGGCGTGCAGGAGGATGACGGAGCCGTTGGGCGCTGCCTGCAGCGCTTGCAGCATACCATCGAAGTCGAGGCCCTTGGTCGTGGGGGAGAAGTAAGGGTAGTCGGCGAGCTTGAGGCCGACGTTGGTAAAGATCTGCTTGTGATTGGCCCATGTGGGATTGGAGAGGTAGATGGAGGGCTTCTGAGGGTGGAACTTGGAGAGGAAGAGGCCGCCTAGGTGGCACGCGCCGGTTCCCGAGATGGTTTGCAAGGTACAGATCTAAGAGGCGGGTGAGATCAGTCAGTGGTGTGCGCCTTTGCTTATGGGCTGCTCGCATCGACATACTCGTTTCTCGCGGATGGCGGGGCTATCAGCGCCGACGATGAGCTTTTGTGCTGCGGAGGTAAACTCGGCCAAACCGCCGATGGAGAGATACTCGTGGTTCAAGGATGGGTCGTTGTGAATGGCGTCATCGGCCTAGAGGGCTGTGAGCAGGGCGCAATTGATCTCAAAAAGGCACGAGAGACCATACCTTCTTGACGACGGGCAAGATCCAGGGCTTCGCATTGTTGTCGCGATAGGCACCGATACCCAGATCGACCTTTTTATCGGACGGATCTTCACGGTAGGCTTTCATTAACCCGAAGAGAGGATCTTCAGGGCGGCCGCGACGTTGGCCGCGGTAAAGACGGAAGAATTGGAAGCACCCATGATGTGATTGTTGATGGATGAAAGACGGTCGCGCGCCGAAGAGGGGAAGGGGAGTTTTGAAGCTGCCGGGTCATGTTGACTTGTTTCTTTCCCCGGAATCTGGCGAAACCTTGCTGCTTGCGTTCACCGGATGGAGGAATGAGGGGGTGGAGACCGGTTAAATCAGGTCACCGTTTTAAAGCGAGAGAGTCCGGCAGTAACAAGTAACCAAGCAATGAGTAACAAAAAGAAAAGGTAATGGAGTATCGGGGTAAATGAGTAAACGAAGTTCGGGCATTCGCATTCGTACGGTCTTTGCTATTATATAACGTTACGACTTCCTCGGAAGCAATCCACGAGCCGAGGAACTCCCGTCAACACCATAAAGTGGAGTTCACATGCGGTTCTCGCATGTGCGTCTCCAGGATAATGAATATTGACCCTTCAAGAGGTAGCGGTCACAAGGTCCAAGTCCTGAGATACGAAGAGATACATACCGATTACATGGTCTCAATGACTCCAACTCCCGGGTAATGCCCAAAAATGCCCCTCGGTGAAACAAATTCTCGACGCCGACAGGGCCACCCGCGCCGCAGAAGCATCAAATGTGTCATACCACGCCGAACAAAAAAGGCGCAAAGTGGGCCCTTCTGGAATGGTCTGATTTTGTGCAACTTGCACTAACTCCTCTCGCCCTAGCCCTGTCGTGGGCTATTCTCTCACCCTGCGGAGCCGCGTTTTCCCCCTCTGATCGTCTTTGAGGATCGAGTCTCCCCCCCCATGAGGAGAACAGGAGACTCCAAACTCCACCTTCCATGCCCTGATGCCCTATGCCCTAAACGAAGAATTAGGAGTAGACACTCGCCCATAAAAAGGTAGATCCTGGGACTCCACAGGAAAAAGTAACATAAGCAACAATAATCATAATAATAGTAAAACGGAAATACTCCGACCATCGGGCATTGCCCCGAGATTTCATGATGTTAGGGCGGTCTTCCGCACGGCGCTCCGGGTCTCTGGTCTTAAAATTTCCGTCTTTGGGTCCTCACTTGGGCACCGTCTCCACCCAGGCCAAAGGCACCCCGATTCTCCACTCGAGGTCGCGTTTTCCCCCACGTCTGCCAAGAAGTTGATCGTCACTGGGGCCCCATAGGCGTTGTAATTTCCCGGCTGGAGTTGCCCCATCTTATCCATGTCGAATTTTAAAGTCTGGAAGATCTTAATTGCCCGGTCATCCTGGAATAATAGCGACGCCCCGGAATTGAGTTTGCGAGGGATGAGATCCTGCTTATGGGGACGTGATCTTGAGCATGTATAGATCTCGGAGGTGATCTCTCTCTCTCTCTCTCTCTCGCTCTTGTGGTGGAGAGTTGTCTGGTCAGTTCAGCAATGAAGTATATATTTGATTCGCGGTGGGATGTACAGCACCCTATATCTCAATATACATGGCGTATATGCAAGAATGGAAGAAAAAGAAGAAGAAATCACAAGAATGCAAAGGAATGGCTCTTTGCCTCCAAGTCTCATAAACGCCGTGGTGTGCCATAAACCCCCTCTTTCCAAATCATCGAAAATCACCAACGCCAAAGGGACGTAGAGAAGGAAAAAAAAAGGGGGAGAGAAAAAGGAAATAAAAAAAAAAAGCTCTTCATCAATAATCACATAAAAATTCGTTTCGCAAATTCCAGATTCACGATAAGGGAGGTTTTTCATCAATCATGTCGACTCCGGGGCCATATGCGCCGGGGCCGGGACGGTCGGGGTCGTGGTACCGCTCTCGCCGGGGCTGGTGTTCTCGACGCCGTGCGCACGCGTGCGAATGCGGAAGCGTTCGCGGAGACGGGTGGCGAGGCGGGTGCGACTGGGACGAGACGCTTCATCGGTCGGCTGATCTTGATTGGCTTCGCGCACGCGGCGCAGGGCGACGAGGCGCTCTTCAACGCTGGCGTGGTGCATACGCCGAGCGTTCAGGTAGCCGGTGAATCGGTGACCGTGGCGGCCTTGGGATCCGTCGGCCGCGGTGCCCTCGGCTGCGGTTTCTTCGGCGTGTTCGCCAATTTCACCTTCTGGATGTTCTCCGTTTTCTCCTTCCTTGGCTGGGTTGAGGTCGATACGGCTGGAGATGGGGGTTAGGAGGGAATTGGTTGGATATCAAAGAAGGTGGGAACGTACCAGAGAGGACATGTGCCCGACACATTCATCAACCACGGATCGACACACTCGGGGTGGAATTGGTGGTTACAAGGGAGTACACGCAGGTCCTGGCCCTTGATAAAGTCGTCGGTACAAATGGGACATGAGAAGTTACCCGCTTCGGTTACGTCAGTCCGGGGTCCAGGAGCCGGGGTCAGTCGGTCATCTGGCTGGTTCGTGGTCTCCATCTCGGTCTCATGGGGAATTGTTTGGCCGGCCACGTTCTCTTGAGAGTTGGTCGGGGAATGTTCATGGTTGGGGTCATTCGAATGGGCCATCTCGACATCTCGCTTGGCGGCGTCAACACCATCGTTCTCATTGAATTTAACGATTGGTATCGTTTCGAGCATGGCACGTGCAATGCCTCTCGCTCGACTTTGTCGTGGCCGACCGACAGATCGGCGAGGGCCGTATCGCTCAGGATGGCGATGGGCACGGACAGCGCCCGTGATGATAATACCCAAGAACAATGCGGTGATGATACCCGTGATGGTGTACAGGATGATCATCGCTGTGACATCATGTTAGTCAATATCCCCAGATAAATTGAAAAAGAAGACGGACCAGTGTTTGGACCGTTACCGGTGCCTCCGCCTGGGTCGGCGGTGCCGGGGTAGCCGGTTGAATTGATGGTTGACATGGCGATGATGTTCACAGTCTTGTTGGGAGAGTTGAAGGTCTCTTGCAGTGCGGTAATGGTCGTCGAATTGTAGCCGATCAGTGTAAAGACGTAGCGAAAAGACTCGGCGGAAGCATCAGTCGAAAGATTGCAATGGGTGGCCGAGTCACTGTAGAGGATGACGGCTGCAGGATCCTGGCCGACAACGTAGTCGAGCGTCTGGCCGGCGTCTAAATTCCCGGTGTAAAACGAAGGATCGCACGGAATGCAGGCAATCTGCGAACTCTGCAATCCAAAGGGATTGGCAGATGTCACTTGTTTGACGGTGCCCGAGATATCAAAGTCCTACAAGCGGAATTAGCGGGCGGGAGCCAGTGAGTGTCCACAAGCCATCCAGACCTTTTGCTGGGCGTCCGTCAGCTGGAGAAGAGATTGGGTAAGCGGGGCAAGCTGCTGGCCGTCAAGGTGGCTGGCACCCCAGATACGGAAGTCGGGGGGAAGTAGATAGGGAATTATTCGAGGGCACCACTTGAGTATCCGCCTGGACAGCGATGAGGCAGAAGAAGATAGGAAGAAGCCTCATAGCCACGTACGGGAACGGGCGGATGTGCGTGGGGTGGACACACATTCGAAAGAAGACGTGGAGCATAGAGCGTGAGAGAGCGGAGGTGGAGTTGCATAAAAAGGTCCGGAAACAGGGAAAAGAGGGGAGAGCTAAGACCGATCATAGTATGGATCCCCGTGGAGATGGAGCAGATCCAAGCGATCATGACGATATGGGTTCTACACTCCCACTTTGGAAGTTCAGGCGGGTGGCTATGGGACCCGAGATCGGCTCCAGACACGACACATTACCTACTCTAGGATAGAGCTCTAGAGAAAACATCATCCACGCAGTCATGAATCCATCACTTGACCGCGGGGGAGAGATCGAACCGGGGATCCACCTGGCCGAGGTCCGCCTTGGTTGGTCTCACTCGACCTCGTTCTCGTATCATCCGTGTTTTGACTCTTTATGGACCTTCACAGCCCGGGGCTGTACCGGGCTGAAGGTATGTCTCTTATAGGCATGCCGTGCCCTCTTCCACGACCTAGGCATAGATCTCCTTCTTGACTCGAGCGGTCTTGCAGATCGCCAGCCCCGCAGGAACAGTGAAAACTTTGACACATTGGATCGACAAGCCCGATCCCCCCCTCCCTTTTTTTTTGCTTCTAAAGAACACGAGTGTCGATTGATCAAGTTCCCAAGGCGATATCTCGAACTGGCCGCCAAACCTCCATTCCTATCTGCTTCTCTTCGAAACCCAGAGAGGTGCAAAGCCGACAAACCTCGCAGCGAGCCCGAGGATCCAAAGAAATTAGATCCCTCCTTTCGCCCTCTTTACCCATCCCCTTCCCCTTCCCCTTCCCCTTCTCGATCTCCCGCTACCCTCAATCCATAGGTACATAGGTACCCAGGTACCCAACTACTCGAGGACGAGGTACCTGGAGAGGTGGTATATCTACAACATACACGGGGATCTCGTCCTCGGCCCAAGCAGGGCCCAGGCCACGTACGGTTGGCCACGCACGGTGATTTGTGGAGCGCGTGGTGGAGGGGGGTCGAGGCTCTCATCGACCGGCGTACAAAATGAAAAGAATGTCCTTACCTATGTATTAATAGTACCTTTTTTTTTTTCTGAGTTGCTTTAGGGAGCGGCTGCACCCGCTCTCCGGTCCTTTTCATCTCTCCCCTAAGATCCTTCACTTCCTCCTTCTTTTCCCCCCTTCAGATCGGCACTCCACCTTTATCCACCCGGTCATGACAGTCTGAACTTCCATCTTCCCCCCTCTCTTCGTAGACTCTCGAGGGTGGCCTGTTCAGGGCCCCAATGCGTCGCAGCATGCCCTTTGAGTTGCCTGCCGCCCTGATCGTCCAGGGCTGGAAGCCCGTCTCATCGTAAGTCCCGTGCGGAGCGGGATGGAAAAAAAACAAAAAATTCAATCTAACAAGCTTCGTGAAGAAACCGTGCCATCGCCGACCTTGACATCGAACATACCGAACTTGCCCAGACGTGGAGGTCCTTTGTTCGACATTTGACACCCGAAGATACCGTCGAGTGGGTGGAACGACCCCAGACTCCTCAGGATGTCCAGACCCTGGTGCGCAGTCTCCAGTCCCTGTGGGCATCCCAGCCGCGCTGTCGGGTGTTTCGGTTCGCCTCATCTCTCTGCGACCGATTCCTCCCCACCGTTGAAACACACGCGACCTTACTCGCCACTCTACCGGATTCCGATTCCTATCATGGCCCCTTGTTCTACGGGGCCCTCCAGTCGGTGCTCAAGGTGGGTTCGATGCACTTTCCCGGTACTGTGACACCCGGCTGATCCTGCCTTTCCCCACGTTTTAGGCATCCGCAAACTACCCCAGAGTGATGGAAGGTTTACTCACAGCCCTACTTAATATACATAGTGCGCTGGCCCCACTGGCCGACCGGGTCTCATCCGCCAGCGTGGAGTCGATCGCGAAACTGTACGCCCTAGTATTTTTCTTCCTCACCGAATTCATGGATTGGTATGTGAGGAGGTTTACCTGCCAATTACTCCCGAGCCACAGCCAAAATCCATATACCGAGTTCAACCACCTGGTCAGTTGTATCCATCGACAGGCCAACGCCTTCGCTGGCTCGTCCGACTCGATGGATGTGGACGAGGATTCCGATGCAGCATATAGCCCCCGCGCCCTGTGGGAAGACTCCCAACTGAGCCAGGTCGGGCGTCAGGGCACAGAGCGTCGGATTGCGGCCCAAAACACAATAACTCGGCGCTTGATTTGGGAAATTCAACAAGATGCGGAGGAGCGTGTTCGCATTCGAGAAACACGCGACCAGCTACTCGTGCAGATGATCGAAGCCGTGAGCCAGCAGCTGCGTCCTGTCAGTGAGCAGAGTAGCGGCATCGTCTGCTTGACGACCGCAGCGCCAGACCTAGGTAGGTAGTTACGCACAAAGGCGCTGTTGAGCGAATCTCGTCGCTGACTTTGTATCAGTCACATCATCCTTCGAATGGTCCCGAGGATCCAAACGACGCCTCGCCCGTCTTGAGCTTCAAAGCGCCTCCAAGCACCTCCAGGCATTCTTCGACAGCGACAACCAGATCGCCGACCTCCCGGAAGAGGTCCTCGCAGAAGTCAGTGTGGTCACCTCTCTACAGAAATGGGCCAGGAACCCGCGGTCTCAGGCCCTCGCGGTAGGGGGATCGCAGAAAACAACAGCACCCAGCCCCGTGGCTCTCATCTCAGCCTGCTTTAGCGTCTTTGCCCGACGGTCGCAACTGCCCGTGATCTCCCACTTCTGCGCTCTCCCCGCCCACGAATTGCATGGTGTCACCCCGCACCAACAAGGGCTGATTGCCCTCACCTACAGTCTGATTCGCCAATTGATTGATTCCCTTCCCAGCGTGGTCGACAGCGATGCTTTGTTAGACCTCAGTGCAGAGCGCTTCCGTATGCTGGATGGCACGATGTCTAGTTGGAAACCTGCCTTGGCACTCGTTGATACCCTCCTGCACTTCCTACCACCCTTACTTCTCTTAGTCATCGATGGCATTGACACTATTCACGACCCGTCCACGGACACGGAACTGCGCGAATTGATTCGCGTTCTTCTCACCCATACCCGGCATCAGCCCCAATCTGCTTCCAGTGGGGGCACGGGCCGATGTTCCTATTCAAGGTCCTTTTCACTGTTGCTGGGAGGCCCAGCGCCCTGGTAGAAACGATGTCGGAGAACCAACTGGTGCTCACCGATGCGAGCCAGACAGACGAACTCACCCCTTCCGATGCGGTCCTGACGTCGGACCTCGGAGCGGTCATGATGAATGCATGATCCTGGACTGCCTGGCCCGCTTGACGAATTTCCTTACTTATTCCTCAAAAAGAAACCTTTTGATTCCAACATAGATTTGCACTGCAAGGTTGGGCTAACGAGGTTTATCACGACGCATGAGGTACACGAAGCAACGGCGACAACTTGTGTGATTTTGTTGTTATTTTCTTGCGACTTGCATGGGATTGGACTGGTGATACTCTTCGTTTACTGTTGGTGTTGTGTAGTGTTGTGCTATGCCTATTGCTCTTCTGGCGTCCGGCATTGGGACATATCCATAGGCTCCGGCTCTTTGCTTTTTTTCTGCTTTTCTTCTGCCATTCAGCGACCTGTGGTAGACCGCTGTACTATACTGCTTGCTCGCTGTGATACCCTCTAGAACTAATGCTACTCCCTCGGAAATTGAATTCCGGCTTGCATCACTCACTTCACATGTCGAATTTACCGTATCAGGCCTCTATGGCAATCTGGAGCGGTTTATGCTAGTTGGGTGAGAAAGAATTGAAGGATGCGGGGGCTCTGATGGAGATTGCGTTGCGCCCCAGGACACTTGACCCAGCCCGAGACTTCGATGTATGCAGGCTCATCATTTTATCAATGCGAAACAATGAATGGCCACACGTCCGTGCCTTCACGGCTCTATCAGGCCGAGTCAGTCCAGCTCGACGACTTCAAGCAGATCTGCTCGCGCACCATTGAAACATTTACCTACCCACTGGCCTGTGCCGTGGAGCGCAACGTCCCCATCTATGACCTCGCCGTACTCGAGGCGCGGTCGATGACAGCCGAGACCCCCTCCCTCCTGCAGGATGAATGGCATCACATCCTGCACATCGGTCCCGGCATATTTGTCCTGTGAAATATGTATGCACCCACCCGGTACAGCAACATCCTGTCCGCCACCAATTCAGCCTTCGACCGAATCATCGCCAAGGAGCGTGCCTACAACATATCGAAAGGCGACCACTTCGCCGCGGGCGGCATCAATGACCGAATCTGGAACGCTTTCCAGAAACACGGCGAAGAAGACCTCGCCTCTTTCCTCGCCTACTACTCCAACCCATGGCTAGCTACCGTCTGCAACGCTTGGCTCAGCCCAGATTACCGCATCACGGCACAAGTTAATGCAATTCATCCTGGCGGCGCAGCTTAGCAGGCCCATCGAGACCATCATCTCGGCTTCATGGAAACGGACACCTGCGTGCGCTACCCAGCCCCGACGCAACTAACCTCCCAGTTCCTGACACTGCAGGGGGCCGTCGCACACACCGGCATGCCTGCTGATAGTGGTCCAACCCGCTTCTTACCATTCAGCCAGACTTACGCACCAGGATATCTCGCCTGGCGAAGACCCGATTTCCGCGCCTTCTTCCAAGAGAACTACGTCGCGCTCCCACTCAACCTAGGAGACGGCATCTTCTTTTCCACGCCGCAGGCGCAAATACCATGTCCCCATCGAACGGCTTTCGCCGCGTCGCAAACCTCCTACAAATAACTAGCGCGCTTGGCAAACCCATGGAGACAGTCGACTCTCTCCCTTTGGTGAATGCGACCTGGGATCTATTATCCGAGCGCTATGCAGACGCGGGGACTCTCGCAGACGCAGACTTGGATCCCGGCCGGCACTCGCTTGCGCAACGCGAGATCAAGGGGTTCGTGCAGGCTGTTGCGGAAGGGTAATCTTTCCCCACAAATCTGGACCGAAGACCGCCTGTGCCGAATGGGATGGCGCCGGAGAGTGAGCAGGATTTTCCAGAGCGGGGGTTGGAGACGGGCCGGAGCCGTGTACAAGTGGTTGCCGCTCTTGAGGAGATGCGGAAGGATGCGAGGGCTTCAACTCAGCTCCACACATGCCCCCGGTGTAGATTGAGGGGGTGAACGTTAGATTGGTTTTGGTGACTGGGTGCTCCCAAGGATGTATACATGTAGATATGGCATATGTTTCATTGGTTTCATCGAATGGGCCGGGGCACCTGGGGTAGTTTGACGTGAAAGGGTTGATGTTAGGCGGACGCTCTCAGTCTAGCCTCATTGACTTGCTCAATGTTTCTACGTTTCATTGGGGTCCACAGGGTCCAACGTCCTGATTGACGATCAAATGCCAGAAAGTCAATAGCTAGCCACTAGCTGGCCACTAGCTAGCCACCTATGACATCTGGACCAGTATGAACAATATTCAAGCAATAGATGTACCGCAACTATGCAGATCTCAAGATGTCAACTTCAGGGTGACAGCGCTACCCACCCCTGCGGGCTGTTTGGAGTGCTCCGTATGATGGCGTTATGCCCTCCAAGTACACAAAATGTGCCCAGGAGCCAAGATTTTGGTAAACAGTGAAGATCACATGACTCGGCAACTGTGGAGAAAACCAGACGAATTATGTTCCACAACCAGACAGTGACGTGAAATCATGCTGAAATCATGTTGAAGTCATTTTGAGAACCGTCTCGCAAAAACATGGGGCCCATCACGGTGGATGAGGTCTCCCTGTCTCAGATCTCAGGTCTCCGAGAGATTTGGGGCTCCAGACCCCGGACCCTGTGCCCTACCCTAATTATCCTATTTTTTATTTTTTTTTAAATGAAGGGACCACGCGACAAGCCCCCTAAATCCCAAACACCTGAAACTTCGACAGCGGGATCGGAGACTAAGAGACTATTTAGAACAAGTGTCCCCATCTGGGCCGTGCTGGACCTGTCGAACCGACCCCTAGCCATCTGGACCCCTGTGATCGGGACGCCTCCGGGGGAGTTTCAGCTCGCTACGATTCGCGGATCCGCTGCACGCCTCAGTGGGGATCAGCGGGACCTGCATCCAGTGGCCAAGTCAACGGGAGTGGCAACGTTTAAGAAGTGTTCCCCCTCAGGTACGCGGCCTGGCGAGGTTGCTAGCTAAGTATAGATCCAGAGTTCTGGCGTTGATGCTACTCCATCGTCATACTCACTGCTAGCTTCAAGGCATCCCGAATGGCTCGTAGCATCATAGGAGAGGGAAAAAATAAAAAATGATGCATTGGAATGCGCACACTGTCATAGTGGACCACCACGAAGAATGGCTGTCTCACATTTTTTGGCTTTGCCATTGGTGAAACCGTGGCTTTGTGTGTTTTCTCCCCTACACGCGTAACGTTCTCACAGCTGAGCTGAACCACCCTGCACTCCGCGCATCCTCGCAAACAATCGCGGTCTTTGCCGATCCAATCTCCACCGCCCTGTTCTTGCGCCGCTCTCCAGCCATTGTGGGTGATCGACTCCATCCGAAGGCGAAGAGTGGCCCAGCAGACAGAGCCTAGCGAGACAAACTGCCACCGGCGCGAAATCTGGGTCTTCCAGCTCGCCGTGAAGGAGGGGAGAACTGTCCGCGCAACCAGTGAAGTTTTCTCGCACCCGCAGGCCTTTCTCCACTACGGGCCCATAATCGAACCAATTTTCAGGATCGATCTCAACCGTCTAAACGCTACCTTTTTAAAAAGGACGGAATTTCCCCCCTCCCCGCCCGTCCTTCAAGATGAGGAGTCGCTTAGGGATCAATGCCAAGCGGTCTTCCAATCACCGATTCGAGCAGATTCCGGATCTGCCTCACGACAAGATGAACCCCAACGATGCGACTATCGACATTCCTTTGACCGAGACCGTTAGCAGGAGCCAGAATGGCGCCCGCAAATGGGGCTCCCATTCCAACACTACCGCCGCGGAGGATGGGGAAAAGGCTCCTCTTCACACTGGCCCGGGCAAACGTCGTCGCACCGAAATCAATGAGATGACCGGTAAAGCGGCTGCCTCGCCGGAGGACGGTTCTATCAACAGACTGGGTCGCATCTACCAGGCCATCTACAATTTTTCTATCGTCACTCGTTACATGATCTACGTCATTCCCCTCGGTCTTTTGATTGCTGTTCCCATAATTGTGGGCGCCACGGTTGCGCAGGACGCTTACATTGGTGGTGTCCACCTTTACTGGTTCTTCACTTGGGTTGAGGTTGTTTGGGTCAGTCTGTGGGTGTGCAAGATCTTCACCAAGTTCATTCCCTATGTTTTCCAGACTCTTTGTGGTTTTGTCAGTTCGGGAACTCGCAAGTACGCTCTCATTCTGCGCTCCCTCGAGGTCCCTATTACCATTGTACTTTGGTGTGTAATCTCGCTAGTGACCTTCCTTCCGGTAAGTTTCTCAATGCTCGTCGCTCTTATTCGAGTCAAATTGGCTGATCTCAAACACCCCAGATCATGCGATATGGAGTTGATAATAGCACCGCCGTTGAATCCTGGGAGAAGAGCATCAAGAACATCCTCTTTGCGTTGCTTGTCTGCAGTTTGATCTTCCTCGCCGAGAAGGCTCTTGTTCAGCTCATCTCCATTAGCTATCACCGAAAGCAGTTTGACTCCAAGATCAAGCAGTCCAAGCGCAATGTCTATCTCGTCGGTCTCCTCTTCGAAGCTTCGCGCAACATGTTCCCCATGTACTGCCCCGAGTTTATTGACGAGGACACCACCATACTTGATCCCTTTCTGGGCCAGGTTGGTGGCAGCAGTCAGAGCAAGCACAGCTCAGTGATGCCCCTGCGCATGATTCAGAATGTCGGTCGTCAAGTCGGACAGAATGTCGGCCGCATTGGTGACAAGGTTACTGCCGCCTTTGGCAACGTCGCTTCCGAACTCACAGGCAAGCAAGGGTTCAACTCGGCCGCTACCCATTCCGTTGTTATCCAGGCTCTGGAGCGGAAGCGTTGCGCTGCAGCTATGGCTCGGCGTATCTGGATGTCCTTTGTCATGGAGGGCCGCGAGTCTCTCTATCTGGAGGATATTATCGAGGTTCTGGGACATGAACATGAGGCCGAGGCTGAGGAGTGCTTTGCTTCGCTGGACAAGGACGGCAATGGTGATATCTCTTTGGACGAGATGATCCTAACCATCACCGAATTTGGTCGCATGCGTAAGTCTCTGAACAGCAGTATGCACGATGTTGACCAGGCTATTCGCGTTCTGGACAATCTGCTGCTTTCTGTTGCCTCCCTTGTCGGTGTTCTTGTCTTCATTTCTTTCGTCACTACTGGATTTGGTACCGTCATTGCCGCTGGTGCTACTTCGCTGCTGTCTCTGTCTTTCGTCTTCTCAACCACATGTCAAGAGGTACTCGGTTCGTGCATTTTCCTGTTTGTCAAGCACCCCTTCGACATTGGCGACCGCGTCGAAATTTCCGACAAGTCGTACGTTGTCGAGCGCATTTCTCTGCTGTTTAGTGTTTTCCGCAACGTCGGTGATCATCGCGTCACTCAGGTGCCCAACAACATCCTGAACAGTCTGTGGGTCGACAACTTCACTCGAGCCAATGCAATGCACGAGCAGCTCTCTGTTCCTGTCGCATTTGATACGTCCTTCGCCGAGATCCAGGCTTTGCGCGAGGAAATGGAGTTGTTCGTCCGCGACAAGGAGAATTGCCGTGACTTCCAGCAGGATATTGACGTTGAGGTGGTCGGTGTCGGTGACATGGATAAGCTCGAGCTTCGTGTCGACATCCGTCATAAGTCCAACTGGTCCAATGAGACTGTCCGTGCCGCTCGTCGCTCCAAGTTCATGTGTGCTTTGGTTCTCGCTGTGCGCAAGGTCCGCATCCGTGCTCCTGGTGTCGCCGCCCCCGAAGAGGAGGAGAAGATGGATGAGGGCGGTGATGATGACAAGGGTGACAACCCTGGTGTCGAAGCTGCTGCTGGCGATCGCAAGTCTTCGCAGACTACTGGCTTGGCTGCTCCTGCTGCCGCTGCTACGGCAGCGAACGACACGCTATATCCCAACACTGCTGCAGCGACGGGCTTTGAACAGAACCGCTCTTCGGGTACCGTCTCCCATCGCGGATCCAGCGCCATGCAGCGTGAGGCCGCCATCGCCGACCGTCTGAACGCCCGCTCACCTGCTGTCGACATTGGCCGCGAAGAGCAGACTGAAGGCCCCCACCGCACGGTCACCCGCGCCTCCAGCCAGGGCCGCCTAAGTGTCCACAGCTCAGTCTCCAACAACGCGCCATACCGCGGCCTCTCGACCGGCCATCGCAAGGCCGGTCTGCGCGCCTCATATAACGACGGAGAGGTCCCTATGCCCCCGCCCCTCTCCACTGTGCAAGGAGGCATGACCCCATCCAACAGCGAAGTTCCCATCCTTAGCCACCCTGCACCTCCAGGTTCTCGTGGTAGCGCCCGCTACGAGCCTCCCAATCAGGCCGCCACACTCCCTATCATCGGCGCGCCCGAGCCCGACAACTACCACCCTTACTACAACCAAGACACATCCTACGAGCCCACAACCCTGACTGGGGAGGCTCAACCTTTCTCCGGCTTGACCGAGTCATCCTCGCACTACGAGGTCCAAGATCGTTATGACCCTGTCTCGCCCCCCTCCATCTACTCGCCGCAACCTCCCCGACCTGCTGCCTTCTCCCCTGCGACTCAGCCCCAAGATACCAACACGAACCCCACTCACCGTTCCTCGTTTATCTCACGGACGCTGAAGCGTGACAAGGACAAGTCCCAGAGTGATGGCGAAGCGTGATAGTTGATTCTTTGATGTTGATAGATTTGGGTGGTGATTCGTGACATTTCCTTGCCCCAAATTTTTTTTTCCCGGTTCATTCTTCTGGTTTTCTTTTGGATGTATGAATATGCGCCTACGGGCTGCTTTGTGTTGAGAAATAGATATCCACGTCCTTGATGACTACGTGGACTGATTTGAATTTGGAACCTGCTACTGGGACCATAACTGTTGATTCAACAATAAAGCCTCTTACAAAATTCGAAAATTCATGCCTTATCTGATAGAAGACTCATGCATGTTGCGTAGATCACTTGATCTAGCAAGGTGGTAAAAGAATCATAGTGCTGTGAACGCAAGTATAGATGTCTGAGTTTCATCTCACTTCTCAAGGCAAACAGGAAGTTTACTCTCAGTCTTAAGACTCGAATGTTTGGAAGTAATTCTCTTGCTCTTATATCCGTATGAAGGAATATCTTTACATTTAATTTCATGTCTACCTGCGACTTACCCGTTCCGAAGAAATCTTCCTCGGTTCCCACGGTAGACTCTTGGTGAATTCCACACATCACAGCTTAAATCTTCCGCTTTAGTAAACCACGGAAGAAGTCAAAGCTGTTGCTGTCACTCTGCAACTGCCACACCCGTCCAGTTGGTCGGTCATTCCAGCCCATTTCCTCCGCAAGCAAGAGTCCATAATCCCGAGTGATGCCTTGGATGCGCGCACGAGCACCGCCTTCCTCCTCGAGTGTGACGATTTGGTGCATGTGAAGCCAGTCTTCGTAGTACATAGCCTCAAAGCCGCGATCAAAGCCGACGCGCAGGAACCGGGTATACAGATCCTCGAAAGTTGTAAGAACCCGGGCCAGAAGCTTCTCGAGCGTTACAGGCGAGGTAGTGGCAGCGCCGGGAGTAGCATAGCGCGCTGCAAGAGATGTCAGGGCTGTGGTAGGGGACGCGTTTGTGGCATTGAGACCGATGCCGACGACGGAGATGTATTCGTTTGACATGAAATGGGAATTGATGAGGATACCACAAATCTTGGTGTATCGCTTTTGTTCGGGATCCTCAGGGTCGAGGGCATCTGGGAAAATTAGTCACAACGTCGAGTATCAGCATGGAGATCAACTTACAGATATCATTGGGCCACTTCATCTTTACAGGAATCTTCTCATATCCCTTGGCGTAACTCTTGATACCCTTCACTACAGCCATGGCTGCTAGATATTGCAGGAAAACCACGGGAGCGGATTGCATTTTCTCCATCGGATGCCGGACGACTGTTGAGAAGATTAGGCAGCCTGCTGGTGAGATCCAGACGTTGGAGCCTCTTCCACGCCCAGCAACCTGGACAGTGGCGGTAGCAGTAAAGCCCTGAGGTAAGCGACGAAGCAGTTGAGTATTCCTAAATCGAGTCAGACTTGCCCAGATTATAAGAGAGTGGAAATGCCTCACTTTTCCAAGATTGTGTTGGTACTTGTCACCACCTCGCCATACATTAAGTTAGAGCCAAATTGCGAAGCACCCTCTTTCGATTCAGATTGATACTGCCGAAGGTTTGAGTAGAATGCATGATGATTGAAGTTAGGAGTGAGCTTAGAGGACGGTAGATCATCATGGAACACAAGTCTCTTGATGATTTGCTGGTAATCAATAATACCGTCACTCGACGCAGAAGAATTGGTGGGAAGCGACTCCTCCAAGTCGCCCAGGTTCCATGTACCTGGACGCTCAATTCGAAAGGTGTCGTTTTCATCTTTCAGATACTCGCTTTGATTTTCATTGGTCAATGCTGGTGCTAGGCACGCCAATATTTCCATGGTTTCATTGGCATCAAGACCAGAGACATGCAACGACGATAGGGAAGGCACATGTGCTGTCTCTTGCGCAACTTGCAGTCCGAGTTTAGACAAACAAGCCTTCAAGAAGTCTGTACGCTCCTTGTCATCGGCAGCAAGTGCGTCAACAAGGTCCTTATACTCAGGTCCATCGGCCTTCGGGTCCAGGTTCACTGCAGCAAATCTGGAAAAGAGTGTCAGTGAGTTAATTTGTCACGTCCGCATGGGCCACATACTCCGGGTGCGGTCCAGTCAATATAGCCGCTCCATCGCCAACTTTACAGTAAACGACAGCTGCTGCGCCCTCGCCCGCATCAACATTGAGCTTCTCAGAGTAGTTGGCTAGCACTTCAACACCCTGGTCCTTGAATTTGGCTGCATCCACAAAAACACCACCGCCATTATAGTATGATCGGAAGTGCGTCGGTGAATTCTCGGTGCTCAATGCCTCCTTCGATACGTCCAGATGTGCCGCTCGTGCACCCGCCTCGCTGTGGTAGACGAAGCCAGGGAACGCCCCGCCACGGCAGGTACCAGGGAAGAAAGCAAGTTCCCGGTCGCCAATGACCTCCAAAGTCTTATCACCAACCTCGAATTCACACTTTTTGCAACCATAGTAGCCACCCGCGCACAAACCGAGGTATTTCCCGCCCCGGCGCACGAATTGGGTGATGCGCCGGTTGCCCGCACCATTCAGTGTACGGCCGTATCCCTGATCGGCACCGCCGGGGATTACCAGCAGGGCGCATGTAGCCGACCATGGCTCCTTAAGAAGCATATCACCCGTTACTGGAGTAACGGCATAATGGGGAGCAAGTAGACGGCGGAGGGTGTAGAGGGTGTGTCGGACTGAGTCAACAGTAGTTCCGGTTCCTGTCGGGCCAGTGTCGGTCAGAAAACGGCTCAGCTGCCAAGCGGAATGAGTGAGCGAACCGGAGTAGACAAGGACATTGAGCCTTTTGCCGATGAGATTGGCCTCGTTGCCCGTGGGCGTCGCCATTGTTGATTGTAGGGAGGAAAGTGTGGGAGACGGACGATAAGGCGAATGATAAGGATGAAGCCGATGCCAGCCGTTCGACCTCTTCCTCTTCCCATCTATGACCATGTCGAACAACGCAGAGCCTCGTGATGTCCCTCAGAATGATGATGATGATGAGCCCGATGAGTGGTAATCGATGTCCTTTGTGTCTTGGAGAGTCGATCGAGGTTGCTGATGGCATGATACAGGGACAAGCGCATCTTCAGCACAGGTTGTCATGGTAAGCAACGAACAAACTGCCTTCCGTTCCAATCGCTGATGAAATATAGCTGAGCAGGACAAAATGAACGACTGCTACTTTGCAAAGAAAGACTGGCGCGAATGCAAGAATGAGGTAGGTTGTTATCTGTTATGCTTCTTTTCTCTATCCATCTCTCTTGCAGCCAGACCGACCTTGTCCATTACATCTTCCCCTGGATTCCGATCAACTGCAGTTTTTACCACAATCGAAGCCTTTCCAGCTGTCTTCCATCATTTTCCACTGACTCTCTCAATGCAGATGGAAGCTTTCCGCGAATGCTGGAAACGACAAGGCAATGACCAGCGAACACAAAGTCAAGATGCGTGACGGCTCTGATATATTCGAACTATGTACTTTATTCTACTCTTAGCCAATGTATAATTTCCTCTGATCAATTTCCTCGGACATGAAACCGAATTCTACTTCCACCTGTGTTGTCACGTGATACCGTTTTTGAGTGACTTCAGCTTCAGCACAAGCTCCCTGCATCATCACATCACATCATGTCTGCTCTACGCTGTCGCCCGTGGCGTACATTGGAGGCTCTTCAGAATGTAGGAGCTACTGCTCAAGCTCCCCGTGCTCGGATGATCACAAAAAGCCTGTCCAGCTCCATGAAGACGCGCGCGATCAGCTCCAGCTCAACGCGCCCCCAAAACTCACAAAACAGCGCCGCCAAGCCGACACCACCAGCTCAAGCACCGCGCACAACAACTGTTACCCCCGCAGCTGCAGCAAATCGTGCTCCTGCCGCAACACCGAACCGCGCAACGACAGAGAATCTCGCCAAGAGCGGACTCTCTGACCAACCCCAAGAGATCGAAAATGCCACAGAGGACAAGATTGACTGGACGCGCTCATTCCACGGACTCTCCGCAACTCCTTTTCCTAAGGAAGCCGCGGATATCCTGATGGCCGAGACAGACCCCGAGGAGGTGGAGATTAAGCCGGATGGAATCCTCTATTTGCCGGAGATCAAGTACAGACGGATTCTGAACAAAGCTTTCGGACCTGGTGGATGGGGCCTCGCGCCGCGTGGTGAAAGTATTGTGACGCCGAAAACGGTGACGAGGGAATACGCGCTTGTCTGTCACGGCCGGTGAGTTCGCTGCAAGGTACCTCGGATCAACGATCAAAGCTGATAAATCTATTGCAGACTCGTTTCCATCGCCCGTGGCGAACAAGACTACTTCTCGCCGGATGGGATCCCCACCGCGACGGAAGGCTGTCGCTCCAATGCGCTTGTGCGCTGCTGCAAGGACCTTGGTATTGCCAGTGAGCTTTGGGATCCACGCTATATCCGCAAGTTCAAGGCGAAGTACACTCGCGAAGCATTTGTCGAGCACGTGGTGAATAAGAGAAAGACCAAGATCTGGATTCGGAAGGGCGATGAGGTCACGTATCCATGGAAGGAGACGAAATAGATGGTTTTTGCAGAGGTAGATAGAGGGCACCTTCGACTAGCTTGTATTATACCTTTTCTTTAGTCATGTTGTAATTCCGCCCCAAATCAATGACACTTGATATCCACTTGAATATAATTCACTTTCCTTCAGTTGAAGGGAAGTATATTGGCTCTGCTTCAATGATGAATTTGATTGGAAGCGCTATTCACCACTGTGGATTGAGAGAATATAGACATTCAGGGATTCCTGATAATGCTATTGCTCTGCAAGAGGCACAGCCGGCTTCTCGCGTGGGAAAGATTTCTAATGAAAGTCAAACAGGATTGAATTATTCATGTGGCTTCTTTGTTGGCGTCCTGGGTCATCAAGCATCCATAATCAGCTTTAATCTATTGATGTACACATTCTCCAACCTATAGCCTGGTGCCCATGTTAACATGCACAGCCTTGACCTGACTATAGGCTTCAAGACCAGCTTCTCCAAGCTCGCGACCAATGCCACTTTGCTTGACACCGCCAAATGGCACACGAGGATCACAGTCCTGACTGCTATTTATCCATACCATGCCTGACTCAATTTCCGCGGCTACACGATGAGCACGCTCCAGATCCTTGGTGAATACAGCCGCACCCAGACCGTACTCGGAGTCATTTGCCCGTTGAATCGCCTCCTCCTCGGTATCAAAGGGTAAGATCACCACGACGGGCCCAAAGACCTCCTCGCGGACAATGCGCATAGAGTCAGTGACATCAGTAATAATGGTTGGCTGGATGAAGTATCCATGTTTGTGCTCAGCGCTGGCAGGAGTATAAGTAGCACCACCGGTCAAAATCGTGGCACCCTCCCTCTTCGCTATCTCGAAGTAAGAGAGGATACGCTCGTATTGAGCGCGCGTCACCTGCGGGCCCTGGAAGGTCGACGAATCCCACTGGTCACCGAGCTTGACACGCTCCACGGCCTCTTTGAATTGAGGCAGGAAGGTCGATAGGACATCCCGGTGCACGAAGATGCGAGATGTCGCAGTGCAAATCTGGCCCTGGTTTGACATGATTCCAAAATGGGACCACTTAACTGCCTGATCCATATCGGCATCAGGGAACACGAGAAGCGGAGACTTGCCGCCAGTCTCGAGGGTGATGTTTTTCAAGGATCCAGCGGCCATCTTCATAATCTCACGAGCGGTGCCAGTAGATCCAGTGAATGCAATCTTGTCCACCAATGGGTGGGAGGCAAGAGCAGCGCCAGCCTCGCGACCGTAGCCATTGACGATGTTGACAACCCCGGGAGGGAAACCGGCCTCAGCGATCAGCTTACCCAAGACCAGGACGCTCAGCGGAGTCTGTTCCGCGGGCTTCAGCACAACGGTGTTACCGCATGCCAAGGCAGGGCCGAGTTTCCAAGTTGCCATGGACAAAGGATAGTTCCAGGGAATGATCTGACCGACAACACCGATGGGCTGGCGAATGGTATATGCGAATTTTTGCGGGGTCGTGCTGATCGTTTGTCCAAATGTCTTATCGGCCCAGCCGCTGTAGTAGCGAATGGTGCCAATGGCCTCGGTGAGATCCTCCTCGAGGGCTACGTGATAAGGCTTGCCGTTGTCCCACGCATCAATGGTAGCAAGAAGTTCTCTATTCTGTTCCATCAGATCAGCAAGTCGCGCCATCAGCTGGCCGCGCTCGGTGGAAGGAAGAAGCTTCCACGAAGGATCTGCCAATGCGGCTTTCGCGGCCTTGACGGCGCGGTCGACATCATCGGCACTGGCAGCATGCACAGTAGCAATTGGCTTATCTGTACTGTCTGCAGTTAGCGATCGGTTCTGTACATGAAGAGGAAAGTGTGGACCTACGCGGGGTCGAGCGAGGTGATAGTCTGGCCGCTTGAGGCAACAAATTCGTTGTTGATGAACAGCCCAGTGGGTTGCTGGTAGCTGTGCCCATTAGGCGTGAAGATACCGACGGAAAGAGTCATGGCTGAATAGGCAATTGAACTAGCTGAGTAAACATATGCCGTCACGAAGATATCAGAGGGGCACGAGGCACTTTATAGCAAGTGGGTCACCCCTCCGAGGCAGTCGATTCCGATGAAACTAGGCTGTGAAGGTTAGGTCCAGCCGCGGTACACTCCAATGAGCCCCGATAAAGACTATCGCCGTCCCATCGTTCTCATTTCATGTTAGTATTGTAGTATCCATAACATAAGGAGCGGCTTCTGCTTATTGGCTGGTACCAAATGGGGTGCGTTAATTCGAGGCATTGAGAGTAGTACAGGAGCCAGAAAAAAAAAAACCAGACCGCGATGGAATCGTTCCAAAGGGCACGATATATCAAGAACATAAGGCCTCGGATTTAGTATCGACGGTGATCTAAGATCTCGAGGTGCTTGACGACGCGCATTATTATTCAAGAAGCAGGACCGTGATACTCAGTCATACCAAGTCTACACAGGAACACAAAAAAGTCTGTGGCAAGAAGATCGATGACCTTTTTCGTCCAGGCAAAATGCTTCTACTTAATATGCATAGTTTGTTCTGTCGCGAAGTTCATTCATCGTCTTCATATCCACTGCCCCCAATGTTGACAGGAATCTTTCCCGGACCAACAACTGACGAACAAATTTCATGCATGGAGAACTAAGTGAGCTGACGAGCCACCAGCTCACAGAGACTGTTATTTTGCACTTTCATGAACCCCCCGATTCAGGTTGGTGCAATAATTATTACTCTCCGTATGGGTAGGATCAATCATTCCCACGAACCCCATCCTGCTAGACATACCCTTGCGACTCACACCCCGCTGATCTTTGGGGTGATCGAAAGCCCGTACAATCGATTGTAAGTACTCTTTCAATAATAACTAGTTATACCGTAAATCGAGGCACGTTATCTCCGACTTTAACCCTAAGTGAATCTAAATGTGGGTTGAAATCCGCACGGATGGGTCTGATGATACCCTATCCAGGCGCTCTCGATTTTCTATAATAATATTTTGTATAATTCCTTAATTGTGGTTTCGGCCAAACGATCTTGACCCGCATACCGTTTTCTATCGAAATTGTCGACATGCTATTGAATATAACGGGGAACCTTATCGGGGTAAGTGGTCTAAACGTTATCTGATTCCAGGATGTAGACGGTGCGTTAAATGGAAAAACCCGATGGCCACATAAAATTGCCCATGAATCTCACCGAGGTACGTTCCTTGTCCTTCCACCAGGCCCGTTGAATCCAGCGTGCTTGGCGTTCATCTTGAGGGTGAATGAACTCCGGATGAGTCCAGCGTTCAGGCAATGAAGAGTGGTGGAAGGACTTGTCGTCCAACTCATCCACTGCAAGAATATCTGGTAGCGACATGATAGTATTTGGTATGCACAGGGCGCAATGGTGAAGTTGAGTGAAGTGAGACTAATCTTTGGGGAAAAGTCGCGGGTCGCAGACAGGCGCCTTGGCAGAAGTTCCTCTTCAGAGTCCCAACTATAGAAATCAGAATAGGCCCTCCTAAAGACGAAGTTTTCGATTTGTCTCAATGAAGGACCTTAGTTATTCTTTTTCGGAATTATGAAGATGGAAGATGAATGATGAGAGATATGATAGATGATGGATTCTGGAGATGAAGCTATGGATCTAGATATCATGGAGGCTGAGGCAAGGATGCGGTGAAGTGGGGCAGTATCCCAATTCAATGCGAACAAGAATCATATAGGTGGTTCGCTCAACCATCTGATTCTATATATCAGCCAGTATACACACATTACATTCGATGATTGATTGATTTATTAGATCTTCACTTTAGGCTCATTCTAGATATTTTCCGAATTGTTTCGTATCAAAATTCCAACAATCCGTAGCCTTACATACTGCATTACTTATATCAATGATTCCTTGAGGTATCATGGGTAGCTAAGAAACCCAGGGTTCGACCCATAGATTGAGTCAATGTCCTAATGAGTGCTCAATGAGCATATAGTTAGAGTGGGACAATGTAAGCCACAGGAATTGTCAGGAATTGTCAGGAATTGTCAGGAATTGTCAGGAATTGTCAGGAATTGTCAGGAATTGACATATTGTCAAATAGGACATCTAGAAGTGCGTCAACAGTGGCTCTTCCCCGGCGCTCAATCTACCATCACGAAGCCTTGTGATGAAAGCTGCACTGATGGCCTTACTGATGGCCTTGTCGATAGATTAATGCCAGAACTTAGGGCTAATAGTATTCCCCCCGGACGAAAACCCGGAAGGAAATGTCATTCCATGTTACCGGTTCTTTGTTGTTGCTTGAGCCTTTCATAGCGACCCCTTTAAAATAGGTTGACTTTGAGCTGGGTTGGCCTCGTATTGCCGCGCGTTATGGCGTAGTCTAGTCCCGCCACCCAACGCGTAGCTCCATGTTCTTGATCAAGTTACCTCATCTATCTAAGGAGTAGATGTCATGGCCTACTAATCGCGATAGCCGCTTCGGGGGCACGTCGGAAAGCTCGCGGAATGGCATCGTTCTATCAGAGCTTCTGAGAACAGCAGCTTGACCGTGATGGTGTGTTGAGTGTCTTACTAATCATGATTATTTCATCCTGAATGTCTGTGTCCTTATGTGAGTGAAGTGACTGCGCTAAGTTCTGTCGGCTCCGAGGCAGCGGCCGGTTTCGCTGTGCCCACGGAGGACGTGCAATGCGGGGAACGTGTTCCGACGGTAGAGGGCCGCTAGCGCTGTTTCGTCGCTGCGGCTTTCTCGCTGTTACCTCGTCCGACGGACCGCAAACAGTAGCACAGTCCACAAACCCGACACCACCGATTCGCCTAACTCTTGCGACACGGACTCCCTGTGGAGACTCTCTCTCTCTCTCTCTCTCTCTCTGTCTGCCCTAATATGACGAGACTAGGCAATCCGGGACCATGTATGACTGATATGTCTATGTCAAGTTCTAGGGAGAATGGGATGGTCTCGACATCAAAGCATTCTGTATACGTGTTGGTCATCTAGAAATTGACTTCAAATGACAGTGAGCTCAGGCCCTGACAAGGCATCGGTGCGTGGTGTGACATTGGTGGATCTACGGGGCCCACTCAACTCGAATCTTTGAACAGAGCCTTGGGGGAATCTGCGTCGCGGAAATACATTGGATCTGGGCCACGTGCAGGGACCTTGTCTCGGCCAAATTAAAAAAAAAATTGGGTCCTCCAGTGTCTTGCATCGGATGTCTCACGTATTCGAGGGCTTAACATTCCGCGGCTGATTGCGGGGCGTTCAATAGTGGCGGTAATGTTCCTGACTCGGGCCTTCGCTTAGGCGATCCAAAGGCCTTCTAGAATGTCTGGTTCCAAATTAAGTGGTAGAAGTCAATCCAATTGGCACACAAAGACCTCGGCAAGTCACAAGTAAAAAGAACCCGGGAAGTCTGCAGCCACACTACCGTTTAGGGCCAGTTTTCAGTGAATGACCGCAGAACAATTCTGGGAAACGGTATAAAGCTCTTAGCTCGTGGAAGAAACGAAGAAAAGACTGCATTGTGTAATAATGTTGGTCCGTGGAACGAGCAGCGGACCTATGGAGAATGCTTGGGCCAGTAGTTCCAAAGATTTCGATCGTTCCGATCGGGAGCCGTTACCCTTTTAGTGCATCCGGGGTCCACTCGATCACACTAGGGCACATCCATGGCCACACTGACCAAGCTTTCTTGATCCTGCTCTTCATATCCGTGCCTCTGCATCCACTTTCAAAGTTCCAAAATGGTCTGGGTAGGCGATCCGAGTGGAGCCGGCACCTGCCCGTTTAGCCTCGCGGCCGGTCGCCCGGCAGTGATGCAAATACATATAATCCACGTTGGTGGATCGGCGCCATGTCCCGGTCGAGGGTACCTACCGTGGGCAAATCCGCGGCTCCGGTCCTTTTGCATCTGTTCTGTCCCTCCTCATTCACACCATGGGGCTCGCTGAAAGCTACCCTGCCTACGGTGGCCGCGGCCCCGACGACCTTCGTCTGGGACTTGGGCTGGGCACATTTGCCACTATTCTCATGATCTTGCGCGTCTACGTTAGACTACGAGTCAACCAATTCGGCACAACGGCGTTAATCTGGTCCCTCGTGGCTTGGGTACAAATCTCCAGCCCTGATATGACCTAGCTATCTACTGATACGCTCAATAGCTTCTCACCGTCATCACACAATGCTTTGGCGTGATATCTATTCTTCACGGGCTGGGAAACAAAATCGCGGTCGTCAAAGAAACCAATCAACTAGGAAATTATCTTCTATTCACATGGATCACAGTCTTCTTTTTCAATATGGCAATTCCAATTGGAAAGGTTGCAGTGGCGGCATTCTTAATTGAGATCAATGCAGGAGGCAGTACGTTCCCATTACTTCCTTGTCTCACGACTTATCTAACATTTGAATTCTTTCCTTCTGAAGATCCGAAGATTCGCAAAAGTCTCATCGCTGTTGCTGCATTGAATATCATCCTCAACATCCCCCAGATCTTGCTTGCGTGGTTCCAATGCAGTCCTCCCAATGCGCTCTGGGACCCCGCACGACAGAGCCAGTGCAATCACAATACAAGCGTTCACTACACCTATTTCGTTGGGAGCGTAGCGGCAATCTCGGACTTTTATCTGGCGATCATTCCCGTTACGATGCTCGCACCGTTGCGGATTGATCGCAAGCTGAAATGGGGTCTGAGTTTCCTCATGGGCGTCGGTGTTTTTGCTGGAGGAGTCGCCATTGTTCGAACGTGGGCAGCTAAATTCATCATGAGCGATGACCCTTCATGTAAGTCATCCTGTCATTCCTGTCCGGAGTAGTCGCAGTCGCTAACACAGACACACCAGGGGGTGTCGGAATCTTGTTCCATTGGGGTGAAGTTGAAGAATGGGTTGTTCTCATATCCATGTCTATTCCTCCGGTTTGGCCTTTGTTCCGGCCCTTCACACACCGGTTCATCAAATCTACCGCGTCTCGCAGTAACCCGCTTTACAACCAGTACAGCCAATATGGCTCGAAGACAGGTAATCTTACCTCGACGGGCGCACCCCCGGTCGTCACGACCACTATTTCCATTTCATCTACCAAGGGCGTTTCAGCCGCAGCTATGCCCGTGGGTGCATCATCCTCGGCGGAGTCTGTGACCAGGTATTCGGGAGAAGAACCCGAGACGCCTCATACTGTCTGGAGCAGCAATGGGGACCCAGAAGGCTGGGTGGAAATGTCCCCCTACAAGCAAAATCATGGCCAGTGAGATACATCATAGCTTCGGCTTCGTTTTGTTATGTAATATTAAACGCCTAATATAATTCAACCCCTCCAGCTTTGAGGAATGCTTTCACGTGAGCGCCCACTGTTTTAAATCAGGCCCTATCGAGTTCTCTCTCAAAGAAAGTTATCGCCTTGTACATGACTCAAGCCATAGAGTCCCACGCATGATAATTAAACTTTTGTTTCAAACTTTATTTGTGGCTGGTAGAAAGCTAAACCCTCTTTTGAAGCTCTAATGAATTACTTGAAGCTACGCGGACTCTGGTACCGAGACTTATTGAAGACGATCCGGCTTGTGAAGACGATCATAGCATTGCCTTAAACAACGTCCTTTGAAAAGTGACGCTACGGACTTGGGCAACGCATCTGAGATCTTCGCGATGAATTGATTCATATTCGCATTTTCAGAGCTTCGACTCTTCCGACTGGGTTCCGATGCCTGTGATTCATTCGATCTCACCATCTGTCCCACCATTTAGCCCTGACAGCAACAAAACGAAAGTAGAAATTATGTGCTGATATGACGCAACGATGAAACCAGATCGTCGGTTACTGTACTATTAAATACCAAGATCAAAAAGCTAAAGATTTCGAGTCGCCTAATTGGCGAAAGAGGAAGTCAAGATTCTCAATCGATACAAAGTGCCAAGCATTGGTAGAAGATATCTCCTTTTCCCAATTCAGTATCCTCCACGATAAATCAGTCTATCTCTAGGGTCCTAAAGAGACAGGCGAAATTTACGAGGCATTGGGCAAAGTCTGCCCATGTTTCATTATAAGACCTGGAGGGCAACACAACGGAAGCTTTGGCATACCAAAGCTAGCATTACAGTCTCGATCTCTTCCAAGGCGACATAATGAGACCAGTTATGAGATAAGTACACACGACAGAGTATTCCATCAGCAACCCCATGGCCAAGAATGGGGCTATCGGGCCGTACAAGGCACTCCATCTCAGATCGGATGAATCGAATACCGAAAGGAAGAGGAAGGTGATGCGGACGACCATGAATGGTGCAGCTAGAGCCATAGCTTTCAGAGCCTGCCAACCAGTTGTTAGCTCTCTAGTAATTCCATCTTATCATTAGATGACGTACCGTTCTGGTTGTTCTTGAAAGACGGGAATGTTGTTGCCAGAAGTACCCTTGAACAACCAGCAAACAAAGTAAGAAAACTACTACAAAAAAGTATCCCGCTTTGACAAGTTTAACGCCTATAAGGACATCGGAGTCGTTGTCGCTTCCCTCGAGAACCCCGCCGGTAACAGTAAGTCCCATTCCTGCGAAGAAAAGCACGCGGGATACAAGCAGGCATTGTCTGAGTCTTGCGTTTTCGTCGTGTTCAAGGACGATTCTGAAGGTCATATCAGACAACTTTCATCCAGTCTTCATTTGCTCTCACATACATGATTCGGATGAGTCCCAAAGTGGCTGCAATCAAGGGGAACACGCCCGTGTTCAGAAGGATTGTCGAGGCTATTGCGACCCCGAGACTGAAATCTTGCTCCGTGATGATAACCAAAACTCCCGAGGCGATTCGAACTAGAGAATAATTGATGTTAGAGACGTCAAATTATCACAGATTAAATGCATAATCGTTGTGATACGCACTGAAGGAGAAAATTATCATAATTATTCAGGCCATGCGAGGTCGAACGTGTCGGTAGCATGCCAAATACAATGACAGTAGAATGATCGGGACGTAGAAAACTATAAGAGCAATGCCCAAATTTGAATGGCTGTCAATTATGTTGAAGAAGGAATTGGCAGATCCGTTGTCAAAGTGCTGATATGGTAGAGGTTTTCGTTGTATCTCGATGGGTATGACTCAAGACAATGGAGGAAAGGAAAATATATTAGCTCAAGGAATCTACTCATCTTATAGCAATTCCCCATAATATAATTTCGCTCTTACAGAACGGCTTCACAGAATGGCTATGCTTGGGATTCCCAATTTACTTCGCAAGATCAACCCCTTTTCGGGAGTAGCGCCGGGCGCCACCCAAGTCTAAAGCCATCCGCTGCATCGCTGCGTCGCTGCCTCAGCTGCGGACTTCGAGCTCCGGCAATTTTCTCAGGGCTACAACTACATGATATGGGATATTCTAATTGCGAGGTGGGAAGAATCAAGTCGAGCGACAGAGTATAGTGACTTGTCAACTGCTGGAAGAAGAATTCAACTAGGCATGGTAAGGTACATGAGTTCCCGCTTTGAAGCTTGGGACGGAGCCGGATAAACATATTTCCGGCAGTCCATCCTACCTGTGACTTGCGACTCAGGCCAAAAGATCGACATTCTGAACAGAGCCTCCAGCCCCACCCAATTGAACATGAAAAAGTAAAAGTCTTGCAAAAAAAAGGGCCATATGTCAGTTCCTACACCATCTCGGGTCAAGTCAGGCTCGCTACGTTTTCAAATTCGGCCACGTCAATGCATAGGGCTTCAACTCGGATTGAGCTCATCAGCCAAGCGGGCGGCTTTTAGGTATTGGTCATGGTGGGTGTAGCAGGAAAGTCCAAAGGATGCGGGACCTGTCGAACGCGAAAGATTGCGGTGAGTCATTGTAGCCGCCATACTATGCCACGGGCAAAGGCGTGACTGATTCCGGCATCCAGTGTGACCAGGAGAGACCGGTCTGTACGCAGTGCGCGTGGTCAAATCGAGTATGTAGTAAATACCAAAAAGAAAGGGTCTTTGTGCTGGTTAATCCGGCTACGACAAAGACACATACCTTTCTCAAACCCCAGTCTTCAGATTGCGGGTCACTGCCTGTTTCAATGTCAACTGGGACAGAAAGCTGCGTGCCAGCGCTAGTCTTTGGCAGCCCACCGGTTACTACTGCGATTTAAGGGTCAGCAAAAGGCCTTTCCGTTTCTTGAAACAGCTCCTGCCTATCATATTATACAAAGTCGCAGCGAATGCCATGCGTTGACTCAGAGTTTCCTCTCACAATGTCTCCCTTCTCGATGGCCATCCTCGGACCCTCGGTCATGGATTCAGCTACTCGGGAGCCTGGCCACGGACTCTGACCTGCTTGAGACATCAAGTGTCGCGTTGGCCGCTTCGTTCATAGGAAGAAAATCTCAAAATCTTGCCTTGATCAGAATGAGTCTCAGTCTCTACACACGAGGGCTTCGACAGCTACAGAGGGCTTTGCATGATCCCAGGGCAATGAGAGAAGTCGAAACGCTGGCTGCATGTATGGCTCTGAATATTTACGAGGCTATCGAATGCCCGGGTTCCGAGACAGGAGCTTACTTCAATCACTGCCATGGGATCATAGCCTTGATACAAGCCCGCGGCGCTCATGCACACGTTTCAGGCGCAGGCCGTTTGCTATTTCTCGGGGCTCGTGTACCAGAAGTAAGTTGTCCGACACATGAGAGTAATGAAGCTATGATTCTTACTGATTGGAGTTTAGATCATGCGAGCTTTGCGCCGCCGTACCTCAACAGTTTTGAGTGACAAAATATGGATGACGCTACCCTGGTCCTTAATTCCAAAGTCCTTCTACGATCAGGTCACTGATTGTCTCGCCGAAGCCCCTGGTATTCTCGAGCGTGTGCCTTTATTGTGGCATCTGAGTTTCACTCTACGAATTGACCTTGTCAACGAATTGGTACACGAATGTAGGCAGATTGATGAAAGATTGGCTTTTATCCACGATGAAATGCAACGGGCCGCGCCAGATCGACTATATTGGTCAATTCCATCCCAAGGTACCTCTGCATGGATTCTTGACAGTCCGGTGACTTTTCCGGTCATTTACTGGTTCGTTGATCTTCACTGTGCTGCAACACTCATCCTACTCTGGGCCACTCGGACGATGACATGATCGGGACTTTGCAATCTATACGGCCATGTCGATGAACTGATGGCCTCGAAGGGCTGGGCTCTCGAAACTTCGGAGACTATGGCGCCACAGAGCTCAGAGTGGAATGTGGCCAACCCCCTTCCTCCTCTTGATCGCCACAAGGACATTCTCTCTATGGCTCATAGAGTTTCTCAATCCGTGGAATTCTTTCTTCGAGACAATATGCTATTAGCTGGGCCGTTATCCATAGCTCCAGCACTTGGTATTGTTATCGATGCTCTCAAGAACCAGCCAAATTACGCCATCGAGATCGCATGGCTACAAGAAGCCTTGGGGGTAGTTCGACAGAGGGGTATTCGCAGCTTGTCATACGTGATGTCATAGATGGTCCACTGGTCCACTTTTGAGTAAAAACAATATGTCATATATACAGCCAACAGAAATGAGTCTTATCGCCCAGTACGTAAGAGATGATGATTTCGTACATTGTGGCGAGCTGCCCCCACCCGAGCCCTCTGTGGGCTAGACATAGTCGCGTCGATACTATCCAGTTGTCGTGGAACATTTGGCCTTTTAGAAGTTTGTTCCGTTATGATGATTCCTCCCATGTAATGACTGCTGAATTGCATCATCGGCTTGGGACTTGAATTACCTTCGCACTTTTATCGAGTCAAGATCATCTGAAAACCTTGACTCGATCATCTGATAACCAGCAAATACAACGAAGGCATCTATGCCCAATGATAGCTGCACCGTGACATCAGCCAAACCTAAAACTGTACCGAGTTTTTTTATGAATGAATATCGAAGCTCCACATGATCTGCAATGAGCAATCTAGAAGATTCATTACGTCCTCGTCCAGACTCTCGGGCGTGTCATCTGAGCCCGGATCGGTCACGTGACATGGTCGTGGAAACGTGGAGAAAGATCCACAACTAGCGGGAAGGGCCGCGCGGGTACGAGCATCAGCATGTACACGTCAACGAGCTCCAATAATAGTATTCAGTAATTTCTGGAAGAACCAAGATACCTATGGATGAAATGGCCAGAAACACCGCTCGATGCCCGCTCCTGTCTATAAGAAGCCCAGCATCTTCCTCTCTACCCATCATCCATCAACAGTTCCAAGACACTCAACTATCAAAGAGCTTCAATCACTCATCTTCCTCTACTCGAAAGTCCACCTCTAGTCAAACATCTGACTATCTTCAACTCCAAAATGTCTCTCTTCCGCACCAACCTCCCAGCCAACGACGGTTTCTCGTCTCTCTTCCGTCTTCTTGACGACTATGACCAGCACCGCACTGGTCGCCAACAGTCAGCGCTGCGCATCACACCACGCTTCGATGTCCGCGAAAGCAACGACGCATACCACTTGGACGGAGAGCTTCCCGGAATTGCGCAGAGTGATATCGACATTGAATTCTCCGACCCGCAGACCTTGGTCGTGAAGGGTCACACCGAGCGCTCTTACAAGGCCGAGCCATCGGAACAGGCCCAAGGCCAGGAGGAAGAAGGCTCCACTGCTGTCTCTGAGACCGTCAAGACTAAAAAATCCTCCAAGTCCGAGTCGAAGTCCATCTTCTGGGCTAACGAGCGCGTGGTCGGCGAATTCCAGCGCACTTTCTCTTTCGGTCAGCGCGTCGACCAGGATGCTGTTAAGGCCAGCCTGAAGAATGGCATCCTGTCTATCACTGTGCCTAAGGCGGCTTCCGCTTCCGTCAAGAAGATTACCATTGAGTAAATTGACGGGCTGAAAGTTTTTATCAGTTGTACTTCGACAACTGGACGAATTACGACTGCATTACTTGATTGATCGCGTTGGAAAAACTTGTGACTCGCTTTTGTGTTTTCAAATTGTATTTTTAGGGTTAATAATAATTTGAATTCTTGATCACAATTCGTGAATGACTAGTAGGCAACGTAGAGTGTAACCAGATAATTTCCGGTTGACTGGTGGTTTGAATAGGCGACCGTAGGCAAGCTCAAATCCATTGCCCATGGCGCGTCCCCCATACTTGTAATAATTAGACATTCTTTCTCTCAGTCGCAACAAATGTCTCAGTGGTAGAAATTGGAGGGCGGTTCATTCACCAGTTGCAACGAAGCAAAATATACGAGACTACTCTGCTCCCGCCTCTTTTTTTCAGCTCATCTGGCGTAACAATTCCCAAGCACTGAACCCAAATAGGGAGTGTAACCTTATGAGAAGCGATAATACGCGGCTCTGAGGTACAATGATGAATTGGGAAAATGGAACACACCATGAATTACGGAATTGATCATCTGAAAATTATTGCCGCAGTGATGGCGCTCTAGCAGAAAATGTTCTTCGAAAACGCATGCCATCTAGTTCCCTTGGAATCAGTCGTGGACGCCTACTATATCTGGTCCCTCAGCTTCGAGTTCGTAGTAGTTTAGAGCCTACCGGGTCGACAAAGCAAATAAAGAAACGAATACAACGCAATAGACACTTTGGACAAATCTTGGTCGACTTGTCCTTGTAACCAAAACCCTTCCCAAGATGCTACTGATAATTCTATGAGTGCTAGCGGGTGTTATTCTGCCGGTGTTGACCTGACGCGGCCAGGAGTCTTGATGACGTCAGGGACGGAATCCTCCGGGCGGAGCCATCCAAAGTTGGAGAAGAAAAAAAACGTTGGAGCAAGAAGTTGGAGGGGAAATTCCTGTTCAGGAATCGACGCTGTCTGAACAAGGGCCTTTCCCATTGCGTCCCCATGGCCAGAGGAAGACCTGAGCTACAGGTCGCGCCATGCCGGTTTTGCAAAAAACAATTCAAGCGACTAGAACATCTGCAGAGACATGAGCGGATTCGTTCGTACCCTACCTTCCTTACACAGCTGAAGGTTGCCTTGGCCATAGGTATTAACTCACCCCAGATACCCGGGAAAAGCCATTTACCTGTCAATGCGGTCGCACATTCGCACGGCGGTAAGACAATCTAAGCGGTCACTCTCGTAACCCAGACTTGACATCTGATTGATCACTATATAGGGACCTTCTTAGTCGCCACGATCGGCTATGCCATCCACCTGATGATGCTGAAGAGCCCACGCCATTGCGTACACCTTCACCGCATGTGCAAACACAAGACGAAGTCAGGTTCGCATCAGACTCGCATGAAACGTTCGGTAACAGCCCATCCCGAGATAGACCAGGCCCGACGGCACTTGGGGACAGTCTCCCGCCATCCTATCCACCTGGTGTTTCTAATGTTGATGACTCGTTTGAGATTCTGAACGGGCAGGATCCCTGGACCGACGATGTGTTTTCCTTCAATAATGTCATTCCCTCTCACTTTCTGCACGGACATCTCGCTATGCGATCTTTTCCAGCAGTACCCTGTCCAAAATCAACCAGTGAACCATGGTGATATGACATACACACCAGACCTGGAGGACTTTGCTCCATCTCACGAATTTCAATTCTCGGTGCCTGCGAATCCGACAACGACGCAAGACCCACCGCTTCCTCCTCGTTTCCCTTCGGCTGACGATCAATTGCACAATACCAATCTCGATGCGAGACTAGGTACTGTTCAGTGCCCTTGGATATTGTCCTGTACAGCCTACAAGCGCATTTTGGAACAGGTGGCGCAGAACTCGTCATGCTTGCCAAACTTCAAGACCCCGTCTAAATTCACTCTTGTCCGTTATCTCGAAGGCTACTTTCGTGGATTCCATGATCATCTACCTTTCATCCACCTGCCAACATTTGATCCAGCCACCGTCGAGCTTGAGCTACTTTTCGCCCTTGCTGCCGTTGGTGCGGTGTATCGTTTTGAACACGCAAAGGGCCACGAGCTCTATAATGCAGCCCGATGCCTGGTTGACCGAAACTTCTACAACCACAGACAACACGCCATGAAAACAATGACTGCTGGGCTTGCACATAGTGGACCAAAGAGAGCTTTCGAGGCAGCGATGAACCCACAGAATCGGCCTCAACATGAGCCCCATGAACATGGAGACTCCTGGTTTCAAGAAGAGGGGACTTCAGGCACGTGTCTTCAAAGAACACAAGCAGTTCTCATTCTTATGGCCATGAGCGCATGGGGAGAAAAGGCGCTGGCTCGAGACAGTTTGGCCATGGGGAGTCAACTTGCGGTGCTTGTGAGGGAGCTTGGAATCAGTCAGTCAGATGATATGACCGGTTTAGAGATGACTTGGACGTCCTGGGTCATGCATGAGCAGAAGCGACGCACTTTACTGGTCGCTTATATTCTGTTCAATCTTCAAAGTATCACGTTCCACATCCCACCTTTAATTCTCAACCAAGAGGTCGCACTCTGTCTGCCATCCTGCGAGTACGTCTGGAGAATGGATTCCTCGGCAGCTTGGGACCTTTATCGCCAAACTTCATCCGCTCGCGAAAATGCTTTCAACATCACACTGGATCGGTTGCTCCACGGTCGATCTGTTTCCGACTATGGTGCCATCTCGGCCTTTTCGAATTATGTGCTTATACACGGACTCGTCCAGAAAATATACCTTGAACACCAAGCTGCGACCTGCCTTCCTCACAGCCCCTCTCCGATGGATTCGCGGTTATTCAAATCATTAGAGGTGGCTTTGCGATCCTGGCAATCATCTTGGGAGGCGACATATGAATCGACGCTCGATCCTTGTTCCCCCAAAGGCCCTCTAGGATTCAATGCGACCGCTCTGCTTCGTCTTGCATACATCCGACTGCATACACATTCTGGGTTGTGTCATGATCTGATTTCCGTGAACCCTACTCAGATTGGAAAACTCTTCTCGAATTATCTTCCTCCTCGCTCTCCATCAATGGACCGGGCGATTTTACAATGCATTCACGCTTTAAGCATTCCAGTCCGCGTCGGCATTTCATATGTTGCAAGGACCCAAAGTCTGCACTGGAACATTCAACATTCAATATGCAGTCTAGAATGTGCATTTCTTCTCACCAGGTGGATGCAAACGATTGCTAGGGCTGTCCGCATCGAAGGATTGGGGGTTCTTCGTGCCGATGAACGGAAACTACTTGCTATGATGACCAGTCTGGTTCGAGAGACCCACCTTCAAGACTCGCTGGAATATGAGGAAGATCATTCGACACACATTACTCGCCTCGCGGCTTCAACTGCTCGTTTGTGGGCGGAAGTCGCAAGTGGTGTGCACGTCTTCGACCTCGCCCATCGTATCGGGACTTCTCTGTCTGTTCTTGCCGATGTCTTGGAATCTCAACTTCCTCCACGATGTCATAATTCTTAATTTCTGTGATCTTTGTACGATTTGCTTGCGGCTAGGAGCCAGGCCAGGCCAATTTTAATATGAGGAAGGTCCCAACCTACGACTAGATGGAGCGGAAGGAGATGATCATAAGAGTTACGTGTCAGAATTATTCACACATCTCCAAAGTGATTTTGACGGACCTGTTCCATCGCCAGCTCTTCAGATATTGGTTGTAGGAATTTTTCAATCTCATGGACCCGAAAAGAGTTTTGTGGGTTGACTTGGTGCGCCGAAGTGTATTCCCAATATGATGGATACCAACCAGCAGTTTCCCAATCAACAATACCAATAATATCATCTCTATGAACAAGAATGTTGAGACTGCTCAGGTCGCCATGTGTAAATACCAAAGGCCAAACCTTGCTTTGCTGTTTGATATGTTCCTGAATTTCAAGGTCTATCCTTGAATCAAATTCTATGCCCATGCGTAAATGCCGATGGAAGTCCTGGACGCTATTAAAGGGACCGAAGCGCAAGGAAGGGCCCAGAACACGACAGTCAAAAAGTGATCCGCCATCAACAGAAGCAACTGTATCGCCTTCTGGCGGCTGAAGTTCCCGCATCTCGCGGATTTTCTCAGCTAATTGCGAAAGAAGTTTCGCCTTTGAATCCTCACTTCGATTAACCCAGCCTTTGCTAATAATATCTCCCCGAATCCTTTCCATCACGATGTACGTCCACCCAGATCGAGTAAATGCACATAAAACTCTCGTATGAATCGCATTGTCGATGCTTCAGATAAATGAACGCGACGCCCATACTTGACGCATATCCCATCCGTTAACATGAGAACGTTTCCTTCTCGAGGTCGAATACGCTTGTGGATTTGGATCGCCCCAAGTGTCAAATACCGATGCCAAAAGTTGCTCTTGAATTGCTTAGGTGCAGGAAATGAAGCAGTGGATGGAGAGGAGGGAGGCCCCTTTTTACGCGACGACATTATAATTATGCTCAACAGGAGGGAAACGTTCAAGAGAATGTTTTGGGAAGATTTCGCCCCTGAACTGCGAAAGGGACTTAGTATTGGATGTTTAGCAATATAGTAAGCCAAGGGTTATTGAAAATGGGACAGTATCAGAGAAGAGAGTCTTTATAGGAAGTCATAACTGATTTATCCCTAAGGACAGGTTGGAAGGTGTCCTTAGTTCCCTTTCACGTGATATCACATGAGTCGGGCTTACTCTCGGGCCGGCTGAATTGTGTTTGATTTGTTAGAGCAGCCGTTGGAAATATTGGTGGTTGGCTAATGGCGACTGGACCGCTTTCCGAGCCTTCTATCTGCAAATTTTTAGATGAGACGATGAACCATGGTCCCGGAATCCTATTCCGACTCGTCAGGGAAGCTCCCAGTAATTCAGTGTTTATCAAGGTGATAAAACTCTGATGTCTTGGAATTACCTTTAAGGCCTAAATAGTGACTGCAGACGTTCAATTGGTGAGTCGACCCAATCTTCAAAATTTGGCTTTTACTCTTAGAAATAGCAGACCGCACAAGACGTATATGTGTGCCATTGCTTTTTTTCAAAACTAGGAAGACCAATATCCTCGGGAGACTTGCCTTTCTATTGGCGACCAGGACCTCTCATGCACGCTTTATTACATGGTAGCAGTCCCTCAATAATAGTCGGTGCTCGGAAGCCTTCGCCTCCGTGTTCTTTCATTTCCGGTTGCGGGGTCTGACTTACATCGGACCGACCACTTCTTCCTATAGTCTATGACCTCGAGCGGAGAACACAGTGCCCAAGGGGAATCAAAAGTGCAAGACAATCACGTAGTAAATGTCGATCATCGTGTCGTTCAGAGTTCTGGGGCCGGTTGGCGGATCAAGTTTCACACTCGCCGTGGTAGCTTTCGGATAATCCGAGACCAGACCAGACCTGTTTCTTCTCTGGGGATAACGGAAATAAGCTGAAAAGCCAAGAATTTCGAAGCTATTTAAGGTCCCATATAGTGGCGAAAAGAAGAAGTCGCAGAATGTGCGTAAAGATGATCATTTTCAATCGGGGCGGGTCAAACACTCGACCTCGGATTAACGCACACTATTGATGGAATTGGCATGAAAAGGTTCAATCGGGTCTGCCCTACGTGGAATTGCGGGCTTCGGACTTAAGAGAACAGTAGTTCCGAGTCTCCGGAAAAGACAACTTCCGTCATCGATAGAAAGCTATAAGGTGTCAGAAATGTGGACCCAGGAAAGGACAGACGGAGCTACACGCTTCTACTTTGATATGGGGCTCTTTCTGGACCCTCCGGTTGCGCCAATTCTCAAAATTTAAGACCAACTCGCCGCATCGCGTCCAAGCGCTCAAATCATCACCATCTATATATATTCAAATTATTTTTCGAGATTGAATTATCCGATCTCACCGCCGAAATGCTCGACTTTATTCGCCATCACTGGTACGACCTTGGTGTCATATCATTCTTCCTTTCCATTCGATACTTCCATCTTAATCGGCGCAACTTGACTACTTGCCAAAAGATCCTTCTCGCCAATTTTATGACTGTCTTAGTTCATCAATTTGAGGAATATCGCTTCCCGGGAGGGTTCCCAGCAGCGATGAACATCGGTGTTCATGACAGCTCACGACCCGATCGATTCCCCTTAAGTGCCAACTCCTCGACCCTCACCAATGTGGTGGCTACTTACGGGTTCTATCTTCCGCCGATATTCTTTCCAGAGCTCGTCTGGTACGGGCTGGCGCCTATTTTATTCGGATTCGGACAGTTCTTCATCCATGGTATTAACATGAACATGGAGCTGGGTTCGACCTACAACCCAGGGCTCGCATCAGTCATTTTGCTTCATATTCCTATCGGTTACTACTACATTCGCCACATGACGGAAATTGGCAAATTGACGGGGCGACAGTGGGCTTTGGGTCTTGCCTATGGCGCTGCGTTCTGGTATCTGATGCTTATTAAGTCTACATTTGGCTGGCTTGTTGATTACGACTCGCCGTATCCGTTCTACCCTTCTGAAATGCAGCGTGGAGGAATGGCAGCTTGGCTTGAACGCGTCCACAATGTTTGAGTGAGGGTTAAAGTCTATTTGCTTTCCTGGCATTGAGAGCTGCGGTGGGCTCCCAGAAGCGAAGCTCTAGAGCTCTTACAATTTCCAATCTTTCCTATGTGAAGAAAAGTTGGGTACACCTAATAGGTAGATTGATGGTGCTGGAAGCGAGAAAAAGTTGATTTATTGAAGGATTGTGTGTCGAAGTAAGCTTCCAATTTTCTTAAATACAGAAACCATACGCAATTTTGTCTGTAGTCAATACTCCGAATTCGAATTAATCTACTAGAAGCCCAGGCTTTCGGACCTGCATGACGATTATTAACTTTGTTTCTCACAAAATGGCCGGCTTATACTTCGACTTCATTTCGATAACTTTTGCTTGAATACTTCCACAGAAATCTTTTGACAGGTTTCGATAACAATTCAAACTGCCGAGGTAATCAATGAAGCAAGCTACTTACAACGGCCCTTCTGTGTAACTAATTACCATGCCAAGTGATGCTCTTGTCCTCTAAAAACTCCTGCAAGCCCTAAATTGCGTTCTGTCTTCCCCATCCGCTACTCTCAACGCCTCCCTGCGGTTCATTGGCTATTCAGATCCATCAGTACTCATAGATCACAGAACGTTTTTAAACTTCTTGCATCTCACTTGTATATAGCGCGATGTACTTGAGATGGACTTATCCGTATTACAAATGACGCTCAAGCTCGAAGCCACGCTCCATATCCTTCGTATGTATGCTTGCGTTTAAATTATAAGCAGACTGATTTCCAAGGTCAATTCCTTGCTCGTCTGTGTTCAAGATGTAAAGACGGGCACTTGGACCGATCGACTCTTCACCTGGAATGCGAAATGTATCTGTCGCCTTACCGTCGACAGATACAACTTAACACTAGCGAAGTAGAGCCTCTGTTCTTGTAAGTGACTTCTCCAAATACAAGACAAAAGTTCTTAGATACTGCATCTTATAGTATTTCAAAAACATGTTAAGCGATATCCTCAGTCGCAGCACAGCCCCCGATACCTCGTGCCGTGAGCGCTTTCGCTGCGTTGATGAGCGCAGCTGTGAAGCTTTCTGCAATGCTTTTGTTCGCATGGCGCCCCTGCTATTACCGCGAGCATCAAATTGACTCGGATGATCCGAGACTATTGCCACCAGGTTGTGGGTCCCATATGGGCTCCCCTCGGTCGCGGAGTCGTTGCGGACCAGCGGCTTCCTTGGCCTCCATTCTGCAGATCAATGAATTCAAATTCCCTAGTGAGCCCGTTTCAAGGGCCCTAGTCATGTTCAGCATCATTTATTGGATCGACATGTCGGCCTTTATAACCACCAATCGTCAACCTGAGCGCATTTTGAGCGATTGGCTGATGATGACTTGTGTTTATCCGACGCCGACTCCTCCGTTCCTTTGACAAGTATCTGTTCGGTCAGCTTTTTATCTCCCGTATTTGCCTTCGCACAGGCTCTGATCTCATCATGATTCCTTTGATCGCCCTTGAGGAGCATTACGTCTCGTCAGCAGTCCTCCATGTTCAAAAATTCGACCGTTATGTCAATTTTCCTCCTCATATTCCAACCAAATTGAAGTCTCTCGCGAAGAGCGAATGCAGGATCTTGACAATGGAAACATATCAGTCCAAGTCATTTCGCATGGTCCTGGTATCCGACCTTCGGCACTCTGCGCTGCAGCTAACGATAAGCTGGCCTTGGCTGTCTCTGAAAACCCGAGAATGATGGGCTTTGCTATGCTTCCCATGGATGACCCTGCCGCTGCTGTGAAGGAGTTGGAACGTTGTGTCAAGGTCTTGCATTTCATTGGCGCACTAGTGGACAATCACGTAAACGGGAAATTTTACGAAAATGTACGTTTTTGGCCAGTGTTTCAAAAAGCAGAGGAACTGAAGGTCCCGATTTATATCCATCCCTCCTTTCCGACTGACGAGCTATCAAAGCATTATGAGGGCAACTTTCGCGGCAATGACAAAATAAGCCTTGCCCTTGGTGCATTTGGTTGGGGATGGCACTCCGAAATTGCTTTGAAAATCCTGAAGCTGTTCGCTAGCGGCTTCTTTGATCGCTTCCCGAAAGCCAAAATCATAATTGGGCACATGGGAGAGATGATCCCCTTCCAGCTCGAGAGAATCATTACTTCCTCTGAGAGCTGGGGGCTAAAGCGAGGATTGAGGGAAGTGTGGACCCAGAACATATGGGTTACGACGAGTGGCATGTTTGCTCTTCCTCCCTTGGCTTGTTTGTTACAAACCATCGATATCAGCCACGTCCTGTATAGTGTGGATTATCCATTCTCTTCGAACGAAAAATGCCTAGCCTTCTTTGAGGAGGTACAGAGAAGCGGCTTACTTTCGGCGGACGAGTTGGAGAAGTTTGCATACCGCAATGCCGAGGATCTGCTAGGGGTGAAGGTAAATAGAAGTTTGTAAACTGAATAATATTTATTACAGTTCGAATGTGATTACTTCTTCATAATCTCCTTGTGAAGAATTGCACAACCTAGAAGAGAAAAGAGCCAACAAGAAAGCCAATTTTGGTCATTACATCTCTGCAGCATCATCCGAGAAGGCTACCAAGCCCCCTCAGTGCAAACACGTTTAGCGCAATTCCTTAGTTTCATGCAAGCTTCTATGACTGGATGAGCGATCCATTACTCTGCTTCGACCACCATCGGCGTTCGGTCCTTATCAGCTCCGTCTGCCGAGTCAGCGTCATATCTGTATGCGTATCGTTGTCTCATTGGTTGTGGGGAAGAGACCCAAATAAGTTTTTTTGAGCTTCGGAGAGGAGAATCAGACAGGGTTTGAATAGCCCTTGTTGTTTCTCTGCGACTTATGCATGTTTTAAACTTCAACACACCATTTAGGATGACAGTCGACTTCAAACAGGATGCCATCCTTCTCACATGTGCTCGTGGCAAGCAATGTTCGCAGTTGATCACCCTTCTTTACGGGAAATGAAACGTCCTTGCGTAAAGTTAAATCGAGATTTTCTAAATCCGAGTGAAGTTTTGTCTGTTGAAGTGTATATATAGGGCATAATGTAACAAAAAAAAGCGGTACTGAATCCTTTGGGCTAACTTCCGTTCGTTCTAGTTTCAAGGACATCAGATAAAAGATCCTTGAATTCATGAAAAGTAGAGATGAAAAGTAGAGAGCTATAACGGTCCTCGGTAGGTCTTCCGATCAAACGGTCTAGGCTATATTGTCTAATCGGAGCATTGATATTTTTAATACGGGGCGAATAGGCGACCAGTTGAGAGATAAACGCGATAACCTTCGAGTATATAACTTCTATATCCATAACTAAAGGGAATCTATTAGGGAAGCCATGTGAGATATTGCAGAGCTCGGATCTACTAAAGTAGGAACTAGTCAACTGGAGTATCTTAATACCTTCTACATAACTGTCTATTCTAGGAAAGGTTGGACTAGGTAAGGGATAAGACGATGAGACATAAGAGCACCACTTGGATGACTGAATGGGACCGAATTAAAACTTGGAGAAGGAGAAGAGAATAGTCTAGTATACATGCATCTGCCTTTTGTATCTCTGTGGGATTAATCAGATTTAGTCAATTGAAATGCCAATACCTCCCAAGTGGTGATACCACACATGCACTCATCATGGAAATAGATGTTCGTCAGTCGGCTTGATGACTGAGACATTATCCGCTTTCTGGGCTCGGAAGTGGGGTCGGTGGAGATTTCCTACCCACCCGATGCTTGGTAATTTGGGGTAGAAATTCAAGGCATGTCATGGGACAATTATACATACCGTGGACAGATAACTTGTTAGTATTTGCGCTCTAGTATTTTAATAATACATCTTAGAGCCCAAATGCGGAGATAATTCACGTAAATAGGCGGCGATGAGTAGCATTTGGGGCGTTTTCCCAAGAAATGCCGGAAAAGGCAATGAAATGAAGTCTAAGTAGGTGAGTGCAGGAAATTGCCTCAAGAAAATTAAATCTAACGAATCCAAATTATTGAGCTCGTTTCAAACGTGCAGCATGAAGAGATTGGTCATAATTGGAGGTGAAATTATATAACATCTCGGAGACTTCTACCTTAATTGTAATTTTTACCCCTCAGAGGCAGAAAGCTGTGTACCTCTAGGGTGTAAATAAAGTTGTGACGCAAGCGAGCTGAAAAGACATATATATAACCTGGGTAATGTCGTCCAAAGCTGGTGATCTAGACGCCCATCACAGTTAAGTTCTTAACACAATCTACTACCTGCCCGCTCTGCTTTACATTATCCATCGAGATGGCCAAGCACACTGTTCTCCGACTCACTAAGCAAGGTCACTGGGATAACCTTGCGGAGTTTCAAGAGCCTCGCCCGTCAGCCGGGAAGCATGAAGTTCTCGTCAAAGTTCAGAGTGTGTCGTTGAACTTCCGAGACATCGCCATTGCGACCGGCAAATATCCCTTTCCGGTGAAAGAGAATGTTGTCCCGGGCTCCGATGCAGCCGGCGACATCATTGAAACCGGCGAGGGAGTCTCTGGATTCAAGAAAGGCGACAAAGTCGTCATTACCTTTGACCTTGCGACCTTGTACGGACCGATCAAGTCATGGCACAATGGACAAGGCGGCCCAATCGACGGCGTCTTGAGAGAATATGTCTCTGTGCCTGCCTCTACTGTGGTCAAAATCCCTGAGGCTTCCACTCTGACTTACGCCCAATGGGCTAGTGTCGTCTGCACAGGTACCACGGCCTGGAATTCGTTGTATGGAAACAACCCATTGAAACCAGGACAGACTGTTCTTTTCCAGGGTAAGACATGATCAGTTTTCATTAATTCGACATAATGAGGGACTACAAACTAACTTCCTTTTCAAGGTACGGGTGGTGTGTCTATCACTGGTCTTGCATTGGCCAAGGCTGCTGGCGCAACAACGATCATCACATCCTCCTCGGACGAGAAGCTTCAACTGGTCAAAGAAAAGTACGGAGCTGATTACGGGATCAACTATAAGAAAACCCCTGACTGGGCATCCGAGGCCCGGAAGATCACTGGTGGTCAGGGTGTTGATTACATTCTGGAGAATGGTGGCTCAGGAACCATCAAGCAATCTCTTGAAGCGATCGCTTTCGGTGGTGTCATTTCAGTCATCGGATTCCTTTCAGCTGCGCCTCAAGAGGAAATGCCCGACGTTGCGTCCCTTGCACTGGGCAAAGGAGCTGTGGTCCGTGGCATTATGGTCGGATCAAAGCAGCAAATGGAGGAGGCCATTCAGTTCATCGGTCAGCGAAACCTTCCGGTGCCGGTAGAGAAGACTTTCAAGTTCGGTCGTGACCAAGTGGTTGAGGCGATGAATTATCTTGTTGGTGGTCAGCACATTGGCAAGGTTTGCATTGACTTTTGAGCACTAAGGCCACGGTGGACTATGTAAACGAAGGCAAGCTTCTTCCGCTCACAGTTGGAAGTCATCTTGGAGACTTGCTTTAGAGATAGAAAAATAAGCATAGAACAAAGAAGTATTTTGAGAAAAGTTGTTCAAACTTGTTGTAGCGTGATGCAGCTCTGAGCCTAGCTCCAAATACTCAGATTCCAATACTCATGTTATGTCAATAGAAGTTGTGTAACACTCCATGGTCCATCCATGGTCCATGCAGTCAGAAATCATGCACCGAATTGAGGGCAGACCATCCTTCGTATGTTTCATGTTGTATAGCCGGCCACACTGGAATTATCGAGTCTATGGCGCTTTCTTGCTCTTCCTCATCGCTTGAAACACTTCCGAGCGCCCTCGTGCGAGAAACTTGCGTAGATCAGTGGACATTTTGTTTTACTTGTACAAGGATATGCGGATTTGAGATCATCAGAGACATCATTAATAGTATCCGAGCTTCCAAATCCATTTGAGGTGCATATTTCAAGAAACCCGTGGATAGGCTCCGCTAGGTCGTCATCTAGACTCAATTTTGCTCCAAATAGGGAACAACACTATTGACTGCAAATGCATTCACTTGATGGGTAGCTCGGAGCTGCATTCCCTAACATTTTGTCTTGGGAATTTCTCTCTGTTGTGGGTCCAACGATTTAGGCAAGCGATTCCATTACGATATACTCACCCTCCAAAAACCTACTCCGCAAGATACGAAGGTCAGTTCAATTTCCATTGAGATCAAGTATATCTATACCTTCAAGTCGGGGAAAGTGATATCCAATTCCCCTCCGTCACCCACTTCGGTGTCATCACCCCATCAACCCCAACAGATACAGCAACAATATGGCAGACCTCGGCGGTATTATGGTGGCCTTGATCACCCCCTTTACAGACGACAAGAACAAGATTGACGAGTCACGTCTGCAAGCGCACATCGAGCACATCATCAAAGCGGGCGTGCACGGCCTCGTTCCGGGGGCAGCACAGACGAGTTCACTACCATGACCACAGCCGAGCGTAAACAGCTCACAGAGCTGTGTGTCAAGTTCGCCGCAGGGCGTGTCGCCATCAGAATTCCATGATAGGAAGTCGACTCAATCTATGAATTTGTAAGGTCATTGGGAGCCCATTCAATTAGGATAACAGCTACATCCGCGGCCAGCGGGCTACTGGTGAGTACAATACTTATTTGCATGGCTGCTCGCTTTTCGCTCCGATGTCTTCTGTTTTCGATATCATCGTGGACATCCACCCGTCCGGCACGTAACCAAGATGTCGCTTCGGGGCGAATCTATTCATAAAGATGTATGCTGCATCGCTGACCTGAAGGAACTGGGGAAGCAAACGGCTCTCTCCCATGGTCCGAGGTAAGATAGCAGTTTGATCTTGCATTCGCGTGCCCCAGTACTTTGATACTAATTTCTACAGACTACTATAATGAAGGAGCTATGGATCTAATTACGTGCGTTCCTCCCTTCACTAAGGCCACTACATTATCTGACTTTGCTTTCATAGTCTGCGCGAAAACGAAGCCGCTTTCGACCGCTACAAGATCCGACCACGAATCTTAGCCAACGTCGAAAAAATCGACACAAGCACAGAGGTTCTCGACCCCGAGGTATTGTTTCATTCTCAACTGTCGTCTAGTTCCTACAGCTTCTTACTATTGGGCAGGTCAATCTTTCTTTCGGCTTCAGCCTGGCCGCCTCGCATAAATTAGCACACCCCGACGGAGAACTGGCGACATCCCGGGCAGCAGCCAAATTCGGAATTTGCATGGGTTCGTCATCCTATGCGACATACCCTGTAGAAGAGGTTGCCGCGCAAGGTGTGGGCAACCCGTATTTCATGCAGATGTGAGTTTTGAAAGATCGTTCAATCACATTACAGTTGCTCGATCGCGCAGAAAGTATGTGATCCGAAAAGAAAAAGCTTGACATTGAACTAGACTTATTTATCTCCGCAGAGGCGGGGTACAAGGCGCTTTTCCTATCAGTGGATGCACCCGTGCTGGGCAAGCGACTGAACGAGTACCGCAATGAATTTCGCATCCCGGAGGACATGGAGTATCCCGACATTCTGAGCAGCGGTACTGACGTCTTAGATCGCACTGACTACGGTAATATTGCCTTGTTGAAATTTTGTGGATCACGATTGACCCCTTTAGACCCTAGTCTGGACTGGGAGAGCGCGATTCCATGGCTCCGGAAACATACATCCACTGAAAATCTGGCTAAAAGGAGGTTAGCGTCCCCATTTTATTGGACTGGCTGAGCTTCATTTTATTGACACGGCTTAAAGTTTGTTCCCCTGAGGACGTTGAGCTTGCGATTCGGTACAAGATCGACGGGATCGTGGTTTCAAACCATGGCGGTCGTCAACTTGATGGCGTTCCGTCAACGCTTGATGCGCTGAGAGTATGCGCTCCTATTGCCAACGGACGAATACCCATCACTATTGATGGTGGTATTCGTCGCGGGTCGGATGTGTTCAAAGCGTTAGCTCTTGGGGCTAGCTATTGCTTCTTGGGGAGAATTCCCATCTGGAGCCTAGCTGTGCTGTTTTTCTTTCCGTGTTTATTTTGGGCTCCTGCTGACTTTGCATAAGTACGGTCAAGAAGGAGTCGAGCTGGAGATTAAGATCTTGCGCCAAGAGCTGATGATCACGATGGCTCTTGCCGGGTGAGTTCCTCTCCTGAGTGATATCCCCTGCAAAGGAAATTCGCGGTACTAATCCCATCATAGATGCCGCACCATCAGCGACATCCGCAGATGCTATTTGTCAGTGTTGCGTTCTGACGGCGTTCTCGCGAAGCTGTAAGGTCAGCACTAGCTCTTCTTGTGATCCAAACACCCGATCAGCGACTCGCAACCAAGTGGGCCGCCAAGGGCTTGGCGGTCCGCCCATTCAGACAGGGCTGACGGAGTCAACCGCACTTTTTTTTCCCGTACAAACGTGGACGATCCTGCAGGGCGAACGGGTCAAATGGGTCAAGAGGGGCGGAGTAGGCATCTGTTAGTATCAAGAACCATGGAATCCAAGCCGAATATAGCCTCAAACTTCGGCAAGTAGGTATGAGTGAGGCTTGTTCAGTGGCGGTGTGTTTAGCACCAGCCCCAGAGTGTCGCAGTAGGCAGCACTATTCCACTTAGTCCCGCGCTATATTTGGCAGTTTCATGCATTGAGAAATGCGTATTCGGGTGCCTGTGGACTCCATAAGAAGAATAGTTGGGGCGCTAAATGATTTATTAGGGAGCCGATCCTCCACATCGAAAGGACCACTAATCTCCTTTTTTTTTTGTTTCTTCTTAGGGTCTTGCTGATCCTACCTAAATCCTTCCTGATCCCCTCCCCCGAGATTCCGTGTTATTTAAACCGTTTCTCGCCCGGCAATCTGATTACCTTTCGATTGGCATCCCTCTTGCACCCTCTCATATCAAGCATCATTCATCATGTTCAACTTCAACCTCTTCAAGTCCTCCACCGAGGCTGAGACTGCCAACGAGAACAGCTGGAACTCCAACACTATTGCTATGCAGCAGCCTACCAGTCCTGCCGCTCCTTCTACCAACCAGGTGGTCTCCGAGCAGCCCGTACGTGATATCCGTTGACACTCACATTGTGTGAAACGCGACTAATAATTTCTTTAGGCTGGTCAGGAGCAGATGCAGATGCAGCTGCGTGGTGGCGGTGGCGGCGGCTTGTGTTGCGGAATGTAAGTATTCGCTTGGGTTGAGGTATTTGGTGCATATTCTAATATGTCTTAGTTGCGCCGGCCTTGCCTGCTTCGAATGCTGTGAGATCTGCTGCTAAACACCCAGTACGATTCGAGCGGGATGAAAGAGAACGGAAGATTGAGAATGAATATCGGGCACACTTTTTGAGACCGCTATGAACTAGATTCGTGGTACTCTCGTCGCATCACACGTCTTACACGATATACCCAATGATAATTATGCAGTGATGGATCGCACTTTAGACTTGAATTCTGATCATTCCCTATCGTATCTCATAGTATCGTAGCTTTCTAACGCTCAGGTTGCCAGAAAGCTCATATTAATGGCCGTTTGTGGATAGCCGCCCGCAGAGCGGCATCGACGTCCCACAACTTAAACCCAGGAGCGCGGCCGAGGATTCGAAAATTGGCGAGGAGCACTGTCTCGATCAGCATATGTATTGTTTGAGAGTAAAACGAGAGACCTGACTCACGATCAAAGAAACATTCAGCGTCCAGGGCATAAGTCGATTTGGTGAGATATCCAATCCCGCTCATGTCAACTGGCGAGGTTCCTTCAGAGGACATATAATATTGAGATGTGGATCCTTCGGGCGAGAACCCGTGCAGTAGACCGACTGCAGAGGCTGGCACATCCAGCCACAGTGAGGAACCATTGAGCACAACCCCATAAGATTCGAGATATCCTTGAACATCGTGGCAATCAAACCATTCACCCTCCAGATCGAGGGAGCGTAGACGATCTTCATTGCTCATCGCCTTCTCCTTGCGGCCGATCCAATCTTGCAGATCCGGCTCCGCATCCCCACTCCAATCTTCATCCCAATCTTGGATCCCGCCTCGCCGTAAGATCCGAGCTAATCTTCGAAGAATCTTGCCCGGTCGCCGAAAGTTCTCGGGGTAAGCTGGTCGGCCGTCTGGTCCAACCCGCGGATAGTGTGTACCCGCACCACCGAGTTTGTAAAACGGCAATTTGTTGGTTTCGAGCGAATTGCCAATCTCGCTTTGCAAGGTTCGCCGGATGCTGCGTCGGACTCCCGGCATGTCTTGAATGCATGGCATTAGTCCGAATATTCTGGTCATAAGGCTGGGGTCGGCATGTGGGTCGGTAAGCCAGCGGTGTGTATGTTCCAAACAGAAGCGCTGAAGGCGTCTGGAGAGGTCAGATTCTTGATAACTGTAGGTGTAGATGGTCGTGGAAGGGAAAAGACGGTTGAGTAGGGGGGATGGTGATCGTGCATGTGGACGTGTATTTCGTGAGCCTTTCTTGTCATATTGATTCGAGTGTACATCCTCGATGTTTCTTTCTGCGCGCGAGACTTGATATCCAAAGACATCGCGAGAATTCGCCAAGCTGCGATCGGGCTGGCAATGCTCCCGAGAGGATAAGCGGGTCTTGTAGATCTCCGACAGTACTAACTGCCTGGCGCGAGTGAGGCCGTCGCTTTGCGACCCAGCTGCAGTAAGAGCGTGGATCTCCTCTTCCGCACCTAGAATACCTGCAACATTCTGCAATGTCTGTTCAAGAACTTCTACACGGGTCTTGAGCCCCTGAATCGTCGCCTCTTTCTTCTGTCGATACGTACGCTGCGCGCGACGGATCTGTAATCGCCGGCCCTAAAGACGGCATCAGCAAAAGTCTCTGAATCCAATCGGGTACCGTTTTAGTACCTCGATTGCAGCGGCATCTTTAACTGTCTCCAGTCGGGGGCGGCCTCGTTTCCGGGTCGGGCGCTCCACAGGCGGGTCCCTGACCTCGGGCACCTCGGGCTTCTCCGATTCATTCGCTTCCTTCGCTTCCCTTCGGGAGGGCCGTTTTACGCGGACTCGTAGGCGCGGGCCCGAGTTACCCTCGGGTTCGATCGCTTCTCCTGAAACGGGCGAGTCAGGGGTATCATGGCTTTGCGGAGTCTTGATCTCGGGGTGGATGTGGTTTTGCGTTAGCTCCAGATAAGATCGTGCGGACAGCGTGTCTGTTAGCGCGTGGTCGGATGGCGAATCGTCCGATTCTTGCATTGGGACGGGTGAGAATTGAGACCGAGATGATGATCAGGATCAATCCTCGTACAAAAGAATCGAAGATGGGGTTCACCTAAGTTGGACATGGGCGGGATATTATCAAAAGCAGATGTTGAATAATCGCATTAATCGCGACCTCGGCAAGCGACCCACTTTCCAGGGGCTCTGACCCAATCGTCAGGAGACTTGGTCACTGTGCGTCGAGCTGCAGCTCTTGTACTAGCTCTAATCATCCTGGAGGCGCATTGGAGGCGGACTCCCAGACGCCCAAGGCCAACTTTGCCACCAGCTTCCAGTCCCTGCAGAAGGCGGCTTACGGTGGACACTCTGTGGCACCATTTCTGGTCATAACCTTATGCAGACTGCTCTGACCATTAGTCCACCTTAGTTCAGATTAGATGGTTTCGATCGAGTACAGTACTGTAGACGGAGATTTAAATGAGCAGGTACCCACCTAGAGTGCGAAACGAACCCGTCCATCCACACCGAGTTAAAGCGAGGGACGATCAGATCGGAGGAATTACAAACAGAGCGAAGTCCGACAGATGATTGAATATGACCTCCGCTACATCTCCTATTGGCCCTCCATCATGGATCATCCTGTTCGCGAACAATCTCCACCCTGGCACAGGCCTCGGCCGTCACCGCAGTTAAATATGCCCGACTTCCCCGTTCTAATACGAGCACCTTTGCGCCACTATGACTGCCAACTTCATCGTAGGCTTTGCGGCAGCGGCTGTGGTCCTGCAGGTTATTCGCCTGGTGCTGGCCTCATGGCAGCACTCGCGCAAAGCCAAAAGCTTGGGCTGTGGAAGTCTGCCCAGCTTTCCCAGCAAGGATCCTCTAGGCATCGATAATTTGAAACAAACGCTCGCGGCAGACAAGGAAGGCTTGGTACCGTCGTTGACAGAGAAGCGCGTCCAAATCATCAGTGAGCGGGAGAACCGCTACGTCAGTACCTACAGCATTCGCAACCTCGGTCGCAACCACATCTTTACTATCGACCCCAAGAATATCCAGGCCCTCCTGGCCACTCAATTCAAGGATTTCGAGCTTGGCCAGGTTCGCCATGCGAGTATGCATCCCTTGTTAGGAACTGGTATTGTAAGTTCCCGGTTCTTGAAATTGGTTAGTTCGCCAATATTCAAGGTACTGACTCTATGTACAGTTCACGGCCGATGGCGAGGAATGGTCGCGATCTCGTGGATTGCTGCGTCCGCAGTTCACTAGAGATCAGATCAGTCAGCTGGATTTGGAGGAAGAGCACGTAAAGAAGGCGATGCAGGCCCTGCCCGTTGCAGCTAATGGTTGGACCGCAGCGACGGATATCCAGTCGATCTTCTTCCGTTTGACAATTGATTCGGCCACCGAGTTCTTGTTCGGCGAGAGTGTCGAAAGCCAATTGGGAGCGATCAACGGCCTCCAGCGCCCCGAGGATTCCTTCGCCGCATACTTCGACAAGTCCCAGTGGGTCTGCGCCCAGCGATCTCGTTTTGAGAAGCTCGCCTTCCTCGTGAACAACAAGGAGACTCGTCACTCGGACAAGCAGGTTCATGACTTTGTCGACAAATTCGTTCACAAGGCCCTGCAGTCCGTTGAAAATGAGAAGCCCGCCGATGAGGAAAAGGCCAACTACGTCTTCCTGAATGCCCTTGTGGCTGCCACCCGCGATCCCATCGAGCTCCGCTCTCAGCTGCTGAACATCCTGTTAGCCGGTCGTGACACCACTGCCTCGCTGCTCAGCTGGACTACCCTGATGTTGGCCCGTAACCCCGAGGCATTCCGCAAGCTGCGCGAGACCATCATCTCCGAATTCGGCACCTACTCATCTCCCCGCAACATTACCTTCGCCTCGCTCAAGTCCTGCCAAGACCTGCAGTATTGCATGAACGAGTCTCTCCGCCTGTTCCCCGTCGTCCCTTTCAACCGTCGCGCTGCCCTTCGCGACACCACTATCCCCCGCGGCGGTGGTCCGGATGGCCAGTCCCCCGTTTACGTTAAGAAGGGCCAGTCCGTCATCTACAGTACCCATGTCATGCACCGCCGCAAGGACTTTTGGGGTCCGGACGCCGACGAGTTCAAGCCCGAACGTTGGGCGAACCGTAAGGCTGGCTGGGAGTACATTCCTTTCAACGGTGGCCCGCGCATCTGCATTGGCCAGCAGTTCGCTCTCACCGAAGCTGGTTATGTTCTTGTTCGTCTGCTTCAGCGCTTCGATGAAATCGAGGATATCAACGCGCATCAGCCGATCCGCTGGGGTTTGACTTTGACTAGTTGTCCTAAGGATCTGGTGACTGTGCGCATGCACCAGGCTGATGATGCTTAGAAGTCTGCGTAATTAGTACTGTACAGATTGGAAACTTGATTTTGGGTGATCTTGGAAGTAATTTGGGATTCTGCATTGATTGTGGGACTGGGGGACTTAGCGATGTCTTAATATGCGTGATTTGCATGCATCGGTGCGGCAAATTGGGCCTACGATACGACGTTACGATCTAGTCACGTACGTTTGCACAAACAAAATTTAATTCTTCTTCAATGCAATCAAATTGGAAGTGTTTCAGGAACCCTGAAATAGTAAGTGTCATATGCATTTGAAGGGGGACGAAGGCCTGAAACAGCACAGCCTGAAGGAGATATATGGTGCGAAGGATGACTGGCAAGTGAAAAAAAAATATTTTTTTGATGATAAATGTAAATAGTAGAATCGAAATAAAATATACAGGTACGGACCAAGTCCACTGAAGTATCAACCAATGTTCAAGTGTCCTCTCTCCACATAACTCCATTGCCCACAAGGATGGAGCATCTAGACACACTGGTAGTAGTAAGGGTTCTGCTTGACGCAGGTGTAGGGGCTCTCGCAAGAGGTGGCACCGGTCCAGTTAATGCCACCGCACTGGTAGTAGTGCTGAGCGACGCTTCCGCTAGGAACGGCAGAGACGCTGCTGGTAGGAGCAGCGGAGACAACAGGCGAAGGAGACTGGACGCTGACCATGGTGGTAGGGACGCTGGTGGGCACAACGGAGGTAGCAGGGGCGCTGGTCTCAACGGGTGCGACGGACAGAGTAGCGGATTCAACAGTGCTGGACACCTGGACCTGGCTGTCGGGGGTGGCAGTGGTCACGGCATCAATGGTGGAGGTGGTGGAGGTGGAAGTCTCGACGGCACTGGCGGTGGAAGTGGAAGCGGAGGTGGAGGCGGACGAGGAGTCGCCAACGAAGTACTTCTCCAGGATGGGCAGGTAGGTCGAGTACGCAGGGCCGCTTGAAGGCTCCAAGCTGTACATGTAGCTTCCCCACCAAGGACCGGCACTCCACCATGAAGCGCCCATCCAGACGTCGGTGTTGTCGGACATGTAGGAGAGCATGCCCTCGACAGCGGCCTCACAGTCCGCGTTGACACCACCGGCAAACTCACCGATGACACCCTTCTTGCCATTCTTCTTCAACCAAGCAGTGGCGGACTGAAGGCGCTCCTGTCCAATAGTGGAGCTGACACATGTCTCGGAGGTACCAGAGCTATCGGAGTCGAGGTACTGATGCATCTCGTAGACGATCTTGTCCTCGGTATCGGTCAAGCCGCTCAGGTTGTCGTTGGTGTTGGTCCAAGACCAGGCGCCAGAGTAGGCGTTACCCTCGACGAAGATGTACTGGCTGGTGGCGCCAGCAGCACGGATACCGTTGATGGCAGCCTGGTTGAGCTCCAAAACAAGGCTCTGCTCCATGTCATGGTACTCATTGTTGGTGTCGAAGACCACCTTCTCATTGTCGGCGAACTCAGCCGCAACGGTCTTCCACCAGCTCTGGAAGTTGGCGGTGGATTCGATGATACTGCCACCGAATCTTCCATAGTTGTGGGGGTCAAGGACGGCATAGGCACCGCTGTCAGTGATGAAGTTAACAGTCTTCTTCAGAGCAGCCAAGTAGGTCGCATCGGGGGTGGCGGTGATGCTGCCCTGGGTCAGACGCTCCATCAGGAAAGGAACACGGAACATGTTCATGCCCTTGTTGCGCAAGATCTCGATCTGAGAGGTCTCGGGCCAGGTGTAGTCGGTGCCCAGGGTTCCGGGGATGTTTGAGCCGAACTCAGCACCAGACTCGCTGACACCGACCCCTATCGTCTGTTAGTCTTCCATTGGGTACATATAGATTGACATGCATTGAGGAAAACACGTACAGGTGAAACCACTAGACCGCTTCTTGACGTCGACATTGCGCTTGGAAGGAATGACCTCTCGGCCCTTGGGGTAGGCACAGACTAGGCTGGCGGCGCTGGCGGCAAGAACAACGTTGGTGAACTTCATCTTGAATGATTGTATAGTTGAAAGAGAGTGTGGGTGTCGACTTTGTCGAAAAATGAACGAATGAAAGGAAGCAAAAAGGAAGGACAGATCAAGAACCAGTCTCGATGATTGTAAAGAAGGTATGATGATCAAAAGAAAGAAAGTCCCAAGACGGTTGAAGCCTCATGTTATATAGCAGGTTCGGCAGCCTGAGACAACCTGGGAGGGGTCCAACAATCAAGGCCCTCGGGTGGGCTCTCGGTCTCGGACTAACAGGCATCTGACACACGGAGTAGATTCGTGGTTCGAGCCCCCCCGAGAGAACAGGATCGTCGTGCCGATGCTTGACCTGTCACGGCCATAGTCCCGGCGGAGGCTCATATGCAGCAATATTGCAGTTTGCGCCGAATGAATTTGTCTAGTGTTAGAGTGTAAACCAGTGCGGGTATTCAGCCAGCTTCATTGGACCACTAGGGCCACCACGGGGTCCCTAACGGTCATGCTATGTCCATAGCTTAGATTAATTCCCCGCAGGATTCGGTCGTGGCGAGGGAATAGTCAGGTTAGGCACCGTGTGGTGGGTGAGAAGGCTTTGATGGGACGTGGAGTGGAGCCAACGAGCAGGCTCTCGGGGGGGTGAGGGTCATTTCCCTCTGCGATATGAACTCATATCACCAAGCCATAAGTGGAATATCAAGTGGAAATTATTCCGGTGCATCAAGTACGCAAGTGGACTGGGCCTTTCCCTCTTAGGGACGTGGCCGAGACCGAAAGCGCCGAGTAGATGGAATCGCTAAAGATGAAACACGGCGGATCTTTTCGCGTGGCCGGTGAATCCTTGCGCACTTGGCCTAACTGATTCTAACATTCCGTGGCAAAATGATCCAGATGAATTAGGTGAATTCAATGAAAGGAGAAGTAATGCTAATATAAAATTGATGTCAATTACACCGATTGAGATGGACTATGTCAGGGGCTTGAAATGGGCTGGAGAAAAAATGAACACCACAATCCCGTCGCTGAAAACCATGTAGGTCGTCACATCATCACACATCATGTCTACTTTCATTATTGCCATATCAATGACCATTTCTGCTCGCTGTCTCGGGCTGAATGGTAAATTCGAAGCATTTGTCACCTTGTCCGACCGGGATCGCGTGGGCTTGGTTGTCGTATAGCGTTCGCTCTAAGTACCGCACACGTCCATTTGACTGCACCAGGAGGATAGTCTGTTTCTGCGTACCATAAGGTCCACTGAAAAACCTTGGATCCATAGGGCCATCCGACGGCGACTTCTTGTTTTCGTCCTCCGCATACGCTGCCGCCACTTCAGTCCCGACAACTGGGACAAATATACTCTTCGGTATGAGTGGAACATAATCGTCGAGGCTGCTTTCCTTCGGCAAGCGAGGCAGAGTATCAGTACTCAGCACCTGAAGTAGACGCTCCAGCAGAGCATCCTCATCCTCCTGGGCCTGGGTATGCTCTTTGATAGCCGCCTCCATGAGCTTCTCGCCTTCAATGATCTTTGGCCAGGTTCGATCTTCGAACCTCGTGTTGCTGAGCCCGCGAGTTTGATTCTTCTCGGAAGCCACCCAGATGACCTGCTCCATATTATGAGAACGATTGGAGACGATGGCCAAAGGCTCATTGACATAGCCGCACACAAGACTGAATCCGCCCACCTGTTTGGCTTCGGGACTGGCAACCATCGACTGCACGAACTCAAGTGTGGTCTGCTGCTCCGCGGGCGGGCTCGTCAACCAACTGTTGACGATCTTCCCACGACTGTGCCAACCAATAGCCTCGGCAGACTTTTGCTCACGATAGTTGGTGAGGACTGCAATCTTACCGTGTTTGGTAATTCCCATCCAGGTTCCGTGCTCGGATCGGGCTAAATCGCGCGAGCCGAGGACAAAAGAAGATGGCTCAGGCCACCAGTCCGGAGACGAAGTCGGTCGATGGAGGAATTCCTTGATGCCGTCAGCTCGAGCATCTCACGTAATCAATACCCGAACATACATCTCTATTGTCTATGACGATTAATGAATAGAGGGGGTGCGCGGTTGAGATCAGCGCGATGCACATCGTTGCAAGGTGAGCAAGTAAGGAGTATGCGGAGACGCGGGGAGAGGGGGAGTGCGGCCACGCCAGTCTCCAGTGTCAGGTGGTTTGGAATAGAGCACAAAGATTCATGGGAGCAAATGGTAACATGAGCACAGCAGAGTGACCAGTTGTTGCACATATATTTGGGTGGATATGAGCTGATTAAGGCAATCGGGGAAATCGGGGACAATCGGGGCGATCGAAGTGCTCGATGCTCCGTTGTCATTGATTACACGAAAGAGGGGATGCGAGGCACTGCAAGGCAGTCCTGAGCCCGGAAAACAGCCGCGGTCAAAGGAACAAGGAAGAGTAAGGAGCCGCAGCGTTTAAACGCGCGTGACGTCAAGACGAGCCGTCGATCTCGTGTGGGTTTTATCTTGCCTCAGGCACTGAGGCACATTGCCAGCTGATATCTCTCTGATCTTCTACCCCTCTTCTGCTTCACCTCTTGATTCTACAGAGATCGAGCTTTGAGTGTGATCTCTGCAAAACTGTATCAGAGCCGCGCAGCCCCACCCATTCTGGATGGAGGCTGTTTCGCTTGTTTGCCTAATTCGATCTCCACCGCCGTTTCGTAATCTTTGAAGTTTGATCTCCTGACTCCTACACCCTACACCAACATGTTTGAAATTATCGCGGACTTGATGTCGTAAGTATGGATCCAAATAGAGCTCCTAGCGAGCTATATAGGTAGCACAGCTAATTTGGTGCAGCTCGGTCATCACTATACTCTTCCCGATCTTCGCCTCCTACAAGGCTCTCCGCACCTCCGACCCCTCACAACTTGCACCATGGCTGATGTACTGGGTGGTCTTGTCGGTCATCTTGCTGGTAGAGTCCTGGACTGTGTTCATCATCGGATGGTATGGACCGTTCATTTACCTAGTGCTAGGCCGCCGCTAACCACTATCTGTCTAGGTTCCCCTTCTATAGCTGGATCCGCCTCTTTTTCATGTGCTACCTCGTTCTTCCCCAGACTCAGGGAGCCCGACTGATCTACCAAGACTATGTGGATCCGTTTTTGACGCATCACGAGCGGGAGATCGAGGAGACAATCGGTCGCACTCATGAGCGAGCCAAAGCACTCGGCCTGCAGTATCTCTATAAGGCTTTTGATCTGGTCAGGGAGAAGCTGTTGGGTCTACCTGCCCATAGCCAGGTACCTCCGCCACCGTCGGGGCCTGCTGCTTACGCTCAGTCATTGCTGTCTCGATTCAATCTGCCGTCAACCGGAGCAGCCGCAAGCTCCAACGACTGGTACTCAGTTCTCGGGTCAGCGTTGGGCTCGGTCAAATCGGCGGGCAAGTCTCGCGAGGCACGCGAAGAAGAGCTATCGGCCAGTGGCACTCTTCTTCAGCGCAAGCTAGAAAACATGACCGGGGCCGAGAAAGAAAACTATATAAATGTCCAGCGTGAGGCCCTTGATTTCTTGCGCTCGACGTTGGCGCGAGAGGAAAAGGCCATGGGTCGTGACGATCCTGATACGGATGACCTGGCCTACGGACCTTCGCTGCGAAAGAATCGGAGCGATAACAGCTTCGACGTGATCGACAACGAAGATCTCGGAAGCAGAGCCTCGCGTCAGACCAGCGGGAAATGGGCCGGCTGGCTGGGCACCGAGCATGACTCGTCAGGCTCCTCAGGCACCGACTATGCCGCGCGGACAACGGGATACGATCGCTACTAAGGAACAGACAAGTGATCTGGACTAGAGATCGCAAGAAAAATTAGAAGCTGGGAATGTACTTGAATGGAGAATTTGCTTTGCATTAGCGTCATCCAGTAATCCGTACTTTGACCAAACAAGTCCCAGGTAACATTTATCCAGGATTTGACAGTTCTCGGGGGATGATCCCCGATTCCGTCGGAGAGAATGCTGCAGCAGAAGGTTCTGCAAGGCGCGGAGGTCGGGGCAGATCGCAAGAATGCATATCCCGTTTATAATAGCTCGAGAGTAAGTAGCGTAAAGGGGATGGGAACATCCCTGGAGTCCGAAGTACCTGGTAAGCTGGGCATGATTCTTCGATTTATGACTCAGTGACTGTTAGCTCGTAGAGGCGTTACAGGTCTTTCCCATGATGATTTGGTGGCAATGGGGAAACCGTGCGGGATGTGGATTCCTTGGACGATCCACACAAGATAGTTGGCATTGTTCTCTTTAAATATCATTTGAGGCCCGGAAGTCCCATCTGTTGCAAATCGTCATAATCAAATCTGAAGTCACACAGAGAAGAACAAATCCATTTTTATATCTCTCTCGCTAGCCGATGTCATGGGTGGCGGACCTAAGAATCTTTCTCTGTAGATAGAACCAGCTTTCACTCCCCCCCTTCTCCCCTTCGTCCCCTTTCCTTTTATTTTTTTTTCCCCTTCTTCCAACCCTTCCAACAAACTCGTAACTCCATCTTCGTAGGGTTACTCATTAAAACGGTAAGTTGGGCTTGAGTGCTTGTTGCGCCGTGCTTCCACAAACCCCCGTCAATTTTTCCCACCGAACACAACTTTTTTTCCTTGGAATTTTTCATCTTCCACAACCCACAACACCTTCAATCAAAAACACTCCTGTGGACCACACGCTGCTTTCTTTCGCTGCGTAGCTGGTCCTTGTGTGTCGAATTATTCTTTCGGCCACTCCGTTTTGGAATTTTTTTAATCGAATCCCCGTGCAGATTCCAGGTTTGGATGCGGCCTTGATTGAGCCCCAGCCAACCCTTGACATCACTGTCACCTCTCAAAACACCCTCTCTGCGCATACGACGTGGACACTACCTGTCTAATGACATCAAACCCTCCTCAGTCGGGCGTTCAAAAAGGACAGAGCACCGCTACCACCTCCCCTTCGCCCGCCTCCAACACCCCCCTGGCCGCGACTGCTTCGGCGCCGTCCAGGTCCTACGCCAACGCCACGAAGAAGTCCGCGACGGACTCGACCGCCGCTCCCGTCACCGTGGGTGGCTCGGCGCAACATGGGAAGTCGACTTCCGTGTCTCCTGTGAACGGCAAACCCATGCAAAACCAACCGACCCAGCAGGCAGCTTCGGGTGTTACCATCGTGAATGGCGCCCCGACTGCTCCTGCTGCTTCCCAGGGCGATCACTCGCGCAAGCCCTCCGTGACTATCACATCGGCCGGTACCTCGGGCTACATTCCTAACGGCGGTCCCGCCGGTCGTCCCAATAGCCTTCAGTTCGGCTTCGCCAACCAGCAGAGCTCGCCCAACATGGGCAACCCTGCGCTTGCGTCCAGTCAGTCGCAATCCGGCCTGAATGCTCCGTCTACGAATCCGCGTGTCACTTCGCCTCAGACTTCTCCCTCTCCGATCCCACAGCCCGCCTCCAGCGGTGGCCGCCCCCTCCCTCGACCTATCAGGCAGGAAATGTGCCCAACTTTGGCAGCTTTGGAGAGTCTGGTGATAACAACGTAAGTAATGTGCCCTTTGGTCCCATGCTGTGACTGCTTTCCGTCGAAACTTGGGTGTGCGCGAAAGCGTATCGTGACAAAATGTGCGGAACGCGACCGCGCAAATGCTTGTCCCAAGACCCCCACGTTTAAACTCGTCGCTCACATGGTTCCGTTCAACTTTCACAGGCTCCTCTTGGTCCCGGTCCTCAGCATCTTCGTCGCGAATCTTCCCAGTCGACCCACAGCGACATGAGCAACCACATGGGCTCTGGACCTGGACGTGGTGGCTACCCTCACCAGGGTGGCCGTGGTCGTGGATATTCTCAGTCTAACTACCAAGGACAGCCCTACTCCCCCGGCCCTGACCTTCCGCCCTACTCCCAATCAGCCTCGCGGTGGTCACAACATGGGTCCTCAGTTCCACGGCCCCAACCAGGGTCGCCCGATGGGCTTCCCCAACTCGCCGCACCAGGCAAACCGCAGCCCCGCGCTCGCCAACGCGCATCCCAACCCCACTACCCCCCCAGATGAACGCAGTTCCCATGCACATGCCGCCCCAGGGCTACGGCTATAACCCGAACATGGGTCCCCAAATGGTAAATTTACACTCTCATACCTTTTCGCAACGCGGGCGTCGCAATCTCAATAGAGGTCGCCGAAACACCTTGACCCCTCATGAATTTGATATCCGGAATGGTGTCCGCAATGGCACGGGCTACCCATTCAATCATGCCCCAACCTACCCCCCAACCTATGCTCCCAGTACCCAGCCTCCCGACTTGTCTCCCAATCTGAATTTTGCCCCCGAAAACAGGCGATTTTGAACGATATCTAACATGGATGAAAACCACTCAGGGCTACCCTCCTTTACGACCCCACCTACGGCTACGGTTACCCTACTGGTTACATGGCACCCCAGGGACAGTACATGGCCCCTCCCTCGCCCCAACCCCGTGCTGGTCTGCCTTACAACCCCCAGGCTGCCGGATTCATGCAGGGCCAGTATCCCGTTCAGCCGCCACCGCAGTCGACTCCTCTCTCGCGCACGCCCTCTCAGATGTCTACTGACCGTCCTGGATCAAGCCTGGGTCAACCCGCTCCAGGTACTCCAGGTGCTACTCACGCTCACACCGGTAGCAGAACTTCTAACAGCCCCGCACCGAATAAGCCCAACTTCGTCATTCCCGCCAAGAAGAGCGCCATTGTCATCAAGGATCCCAGTGGTGCTGTTAAGACCTTCGAGAAGACCCCGGCATCCCCGGCTCGTGCCACACCCTCTCCTGTTAAGATTTCCACGCCTCCCACTTCGACGCCACCTCCTCGAACCGCCAGCGCCGCCGATCACTCTCGCACTGAAAGCAAGGTTGCCAGCAGCAAGACTGACGAGGAGAAGAAGCAAGAGTTGAAGGACGCTGTCCGCCAGAAGATCCAGGAGGATGAGGCTGCTCAGAAGCGCCAGGCTGAGGAGGCTGCTCGCAAGAGCGCCGAGGATGTCAAGGCTGCTGAGCCCAAGAAGGATGATGCCGCTGAGTCTGCTCGTGCTGCAATGGAGGACTTGAGCCTGAAGGAGAAGGCTGCCCCTACTGAGAAGGCTGCTACTACTGAGAAGGTTGTCTCGGCTGAGGAGCCCAAGAAGGCCGCCCCCGCTGAGAAGGCCGCCCCTGCTGAGAAGGCCGCCCCTGCTGAGAAGGCCGCCCCTACTGAGAAGGCCGCCCCCGCTGAGAAGGCCGCCCCTGCTGAGAAGGTTGTCTCGGCTGAGGAGCCCAAGAAGGCCGCCGCTCCTCCTCCCGCCGATGAGGAAGAGATCGACTTCGATGCAATTGAGCGTGAGATGGCCGAGATCGAGGCCAAAGAGCGTGCCGCCGAGGAAGACTACAACCGCAAGAAGCAGGAGAAGAAGGAGGCTGCCGAGCGCAAAGAGCGCGAAGAGCGTGAGAATTACGAGGCTAACATGAAGAAGGCCGAGCAGGAGGCTGAGGAGCGTGAGCTCGCCCGCGAGGCTGCTCGTGCCAAGGGCGAGACTGTTTCCGATGAGTCCAAGGAGCTCTTTGCTTCTCTGAAGACGGGCGGCTTCGGTGCCACCGAGACCTCTACCCCTGGCGACAGCGGTGCTGCCACTCCTGTTTCATCTGACATGTCCATGGGTCCCCCCCGCTAAGCCCGCAAGTGCTACTGGCAAGAAGCCCGCTGGCCTGAAGCTCGACACCCCTAAGCCCACCGAGCCTCTGCAGCCCAGCGCTGCCATGAAGTCTCTTCAAAATGCCAAGTACCTGGAAGATCTCAGCAAGGTCACATACCCCTCCGCCTTTACCGCCCCCGACGCTACTTTGAATGCCTCTTCTCCCGTTGGCCGTCGATTCCACTATGACCGTGACTTCTTGCTCCAGTTCCAGGCTATCTTCAAGGATAAAATCTCCGTTGACTGGGATTCTCGTGTCCGTGAGACTGTTGGCGATAGCGACGCCTCCTCACGCCCCCAGTCTGCCCGCACCCCCAGCATGGGTGGCCGCTCTAACTCCCGCAGCGCCATGGGAACCTTCCCCGGCTCGATGGGTCAGTTTGGTCAGCCCGGAAACCGCCACAGCATGCCTCCTGTCAACTCCGGCATGGGTCGCGGTGGCTTCCCCGGTAGCTTCCCCGGTGGCCCTGGCATGCGTGGAATGGGTACTCCCTCTATTAGCCGCAGTGGCTCCAACTTGGGTCCCATGTCTCCTCGCAACGTTTCCAGCAAGGGCCGCAATGCCTCCAAGGCTAAGCACAGTGACAAGAAGGAGCAGGAGCACAACAAGTCCATGCCTCTCACTGCCGGTATGGATTTGAAGGCTCTTGAGGTCTCCTCCAGTGGCTGGAAGCCCCGTAGCATCGGTCAAGCTTCCGCGGCCGGCCCTGCCCCTGGTGGCGAAGGCTACCTTGCTCCTGATGTCGTGCAGCGTAAGGTCAAGTCTCTTCTGAACAAGATGACACCTGAGAAATTCGACCGTATTTCCGATCAGATTCTTGAGATCGTCTCTCAATCAAAGGACGAGACCGATGGCCGTACTCTCCGCCAATGCATTCAGTTGGTGTTCGAGAAGGCTACCGATGAAGCCCACTGGGCACCTATGTATGCTAAGTTCTGCAAGCGTATGCTTGAGAGCATGAGTTTGGACATCAAGGATGAGAACATCCGCGATAAGAACGGAAACGTCGTTGCCGGTGGCAATCTCTTCCGCAAGTACCTGCTCAACCGTTGTCAGGAGGAATTCGAGCGCGGTTGGAAGGTTAACCTGCCTGAGAAGCCGGAGGGTGTTACCGAAGAGATCGCGATGATGTCCGACGAGTACTATATCGCTGCTGCTGCTAAGCGTCGTGGTCTTGGTCTCGTCAAGTTCATTGGTGAGCTTTACAAGCTGGGCATGTTGACTGAGCGCATCAGTAAGTTTAAATCGTTCCACTTGCAACGAGTTCACGGATTGCTAATTTCTATCTTTAGTGCACGAGTGTGTTAAGAAGCTGGTCGACTATGAGGGTATGCCCGATGAGGCCGAAGTTGAGTCGTTGACTTCTCTTCTGCGCACCATTGGTGCCTCCCTGGATGCTTCCGAGCGTGGCCACGCCATGATGGATGCTTACTTCGCTCGTATTAACCTCATGGGTATGTCGGGCTCTTCCAGTAATTACATCTGTAAACAACACTAACACACTCTCTAGTTGAGACACCCGGCCTTCCTAGTCGTCTGCGTTTCATGCTTTTGGTATGTTGACATCTGTCTTGATTTGTTTACTTTGTTTTTCTTTTTCAAAACTAACACATTCTTAAGGATGTCATTGATCTTCGTGCCAAGCGCTGGGCTTCGAAGGATGCCGACAAGGGTCCCAAGACCATCACACAGATTCGCGAGGAGGCTGCGCGCGCCCAACAGGAGGCGGAGGCGGAGCGCCAGCGCCAGCAAGCCAACCGTGGCGGCGGTGGCCGTCCCCAAATGGGACGTGGTGACGCCCGTGGATTCAGCTACGGAGGCCACCAAGCACCCCCGCCCGACTATGCCTCCAGCAAGGTTGGTAGTGACGACCTTCGCCGTCTTCGCGCCACCCGCAACACCAACCAGAGCACTCCCTTCGGCTCTAGCCTCCTCGGCTCGCGCAGCAGCAGTGGCCGCAAGAACCTGGGTCCCGGTGGCAGCCTGGTCCGCGGCAGCGACGATAGTGCCGCCAGCAGCCGCAGTGGCACTCCCGCTGGCAAAAAGGAGGACAAGGATGCTTCCTCTTCAATGAACGCTTTCAGCGCCCTTGCTGCGCTGGAAGACCGCGATAACATGGCCACCTCCCCGCCTTCAAACCCTACCTCCCCGGCTCTCACCAAGTCGCAGCCCGCCACCGAGCGTCGGCCCTCAAAAACCCCGTCGAAGGATGACGAGAACGCAGCATAGATTCTTTAGGATAATGATCAACGTTTTCCATTACTCTTGGTTCAACAAAAGATTTCCCTTTTTCTCGTTTTGCATGTTCTTCCATCTTGCTCCCATCACTGCGCCTGTTTCTAATGTCGAAAGTCCCCGTCCTTGCATGTTCCGACTGGTCGGGTTTTTACCGCGGGACTTTTTTTCTTCCTCGTCTCTTTTCTTTGACGATTCATAGTGTACAATCTTCACATCTTTTTCTATTCTTCTATTGTCCACCTTCTTTCTCGTTCTTGCCTGACCTGGGGTCGAGAATGGAGTCTTACTGCGTAGGATTAAGCTACGGGGTAGCTACGATTATTTTGCTGTTGTGCTGGATTTTCTAGTGTGTGCTCCTGACTCTCGATTAGGAGAGGGAAGGAAAGGGAATGGAATGGATGCAATTGCCCGATTTTTCTCTTCTGTTCCTATTTTGAAATACCCCAGGTCTCGATAGGAATTTTGATGGATGCTTTGATACTTCCTTGTAACTTCCTTGTAAAGTAGCTCTTTCTCTGTAGATGCGTAGGCTCTCAATACTGGCTTAATTGGTTCTATCCATCTCATCCATCTTAGGCGACATTCTACGCTCTCTGCAGATGCCCGAAGTAGGTAGGTCACATGATTGTCGCCGCTCTTAGACAGTGAGTCCAATTTGGGACGTGACAGAGGCTTAAACGAATCCTGAGAAGCGCAGCTCTAAAGAGGCAAAGTGATGAATCATTTCCGTACCTTCCAAATTTTCCAAAATCATACCTTGCTAAGCTCTTGATCATGAAAACCTCCCCAATCTCTGTGGAAGATGCCGCTCTCCGGATGACACGAGCCTTCACGCTCCGCAAGAGATGATCGGGCTCTCTTGCCAATTATCTTCTCTACTAAAACGCGAGGTGGAGGTGACGTCAACTCCCACTTCAACGCCATGGCTACATACAGCAAATCGAGTGCTAGTCGCGATTGGACTTGCGCTAAGCACAAGCTGCCTTGCGATGAGGATACACACCAAGATTGCGATAATGAAGAAGTTCTGGTGGGACGATGGTCCGTGATCTCCCTCCTCCTTTTCTGCTACTGTATCAAATTTCTCTGGATGGATCGTTAACACGATTCGACGGGCTAGTGTGCATTATCATTGCCTGGGTAAGAATCAACACCAGTACCAGTCACAGCAAGATCTAATAGCTTATCGGCTGTCCGAAGACGTTTTCTGTTGGTACCCAAGCGGTCATCTTATGTAAGTCCCATCCATCACGCACTGATGCCTTGAATATAATTCCAATTCTTCCTATCAGACGGTTGCGCCCGCGGCGGCATCGGAACCCACATAGTTGACCTGTCTCCAGCAACTATACAAATTTTATTCAAGGTATCAGCTCCGGGCCATGATCCTTCTGCCGAGATTCTTCAAGATTCTCAAGAGAAAAATCAGAAACTAATTTAGACCCCCTTTAATGCGCAAAGGTGATTCTAGCAGGAGCAGTGATTTATATTCCCTACCTCGCATTTGCAAAATTCGCCTTGCTCATGCTCTACTACCGACTCCTCATCACCTTCCAAGCCTGGATCTATACAATCTACGTCGTCGCCTTCATTATCTCCGGGTACAGCATCGCACTAGCCCTAGCACTGATCTTCGCCTGCAGTCCAATTCAAAAAGGATGGGACATTACAATTACCGGGGGTTCTTGTATCAGTAGACCAGGCTTATACCTCGCAACAGCAATCACAAACACAGTCAGCGATTTGGTCCTGATCTTGATCCCAGTGAAGATCGTCTGGGGACTTCGGATCCGGCTTCCGGAGAAGTTAGGAGTCATCTTCATGTTTGGGATAGGGTGTCTGTATGGACCGATTCCCCATCCCTTACTAACGCGCGTAGCATGCTGATTCGCGATTTGAATCCAGAACCATCATCACAAGTATCCTACGCTTAGCCACTTTGTGGCCTCTGGTCACATCGCAAGATATCTCGTACAAAATGGCTCTGGCGTGCCTATTCATGTAAGCTCCAATTGGAAGCTTGGTTAGAAGCTTGGATGAATTACTAAAGGCGAGGTGGAAAATCGATTTAAGCATCATCGAAGCCAATTTTATCATTTTGTGTGGTTCCCTCCCTTACCTCCGCCAATTTGTTCGCCATTACGCCTCGAATCGACTTCCCGGTCGCTGGATCAAAAGACATTTACTACGGTCGACTTATAGCTCTACGCCAAACGGTCGAGATGCGCATTTTGAAGATTTTTGTCGACGTCTTGATGAAGAAGAACTTTGATGTTCTACCACAACAAGACAGTGACATTTGAAAGGGATACTTCTCTGCCACGAATTCAGGACATGGTTCTGCGGAATATAGACTACAATTCCAAGATCATCGTTTGCAGCTATGAAATTACTTGCTGGGCTCAAGATGCAGTACCAGACTGGCTGACTTCCACATCTACCGGTGAACGGCAGATGTCTCAGGTCCAAATTAATTGATCCTAAAGGTTAAAAGGATTAGATATTGAGAATAGAAAAGAAAAAGCCTTTTTAAAGCTCGGCTGGCCGAGATGGATAAGAAGAGATGTATTTTGGTATCAATTCCAGACGTCCTCACAGTCTATGTGTAAAGAGAGACAGGACGAGTGTCAAAACATGGGGACGTGCAGGGGTATTTTGCGCGCTGGTGGGGGTATAAAGGCCAGAGTTTGGTGCACTGGCGCTGTACAAATGCAATTGCTCGGATGTGAAATGACCGGTCGATTCAATCGTCCTACTTGGCTTTCTCATCGTGGTCATTCAAAACTTTCTCGTCATTGTCGTTTGAGACTTCGATCGTTGGGATCGAACCGGGAGTTGCAGGTATTTCATCGGGTGTTGGCGCTGCAGAGTCGGGATCGAGTCCTCTGGAAGCTGATTCTGTATCGTCGGATGACTCTTCGCTTGGCTCGTCGAGTGCTGCAGGGGTGGGTGGACGTTCTGGTCTTTCTGTGTCTTCACCAAAACTGATGCTCTCTTCTGAACTGGCAGGGCTGCCGATGAGGGGGCTCTTCATGACCACTGCATCAAGCGAGTGGGGAACTGGAGATGTAGAGTCAGAGTCGTCATGGCTGAGGCTGCTGCGGTCCGAGACAGAGATAGAGCTCCGAGAGTTGGCATGAGAGTAGGATGCTGGAAGACCGAGCGCTTCGGCGACGGCAGCCTCCTCATCGGGAAGTTTAGAAATCCCATCCTCGGTGCTAGAACTGGCGTCGAAAATGCGACTTCCTCGCTGCTCGCTGAGATTGAGAATCTGGTTGTAGCTTTTGCGAGTGGGATCTGCGCGACGCTTCTTTTTCTTCTTCTCGCGCTTGGGCGATGGCCGCACCACAATGACCGGAATAGGTGATTGCTGCAGGCAGTATTAGAGACAGATCCAGGCAAGAGACTGTGAACGCCCTTCAGGTTGCGCCCACGGGTACCGACCACGAGCATGGCGGGCTCGTATATACGGATCTGGTTCTGTTAGATAACCGCTTAAGTATGGAATTTTGGCCCGACTTACCATCCGCTGGATGATATCTTCCACTTTCCCGACTACTAGTTCTAGAACCAAGCTGATCGCTTTCTCGTCCTGACTGTTCTTCTGAATCACCTGTTCGAACAGCCTCTTTGCCTCCTGACGGTACTTGCCCTCCTCGATGCCAGCATCACTAGCCATGCGCGAATCCTTCTCTACCGCACGCAGACACACAATTTCGTCACCATCGTCGACGAGTTCATCCAGTAGCCACTCGAGGGCGAACTCGGAGTAATCATTTTGGTCTGTGCCCACCAGAAACGATCGGCTTCGCCGTGTACTTTGATACCCCTTATGTTTGTAGTTGAGCGTTAATGAAAAGTCTGGCGCATCAGGATTGTCGAAAGTGTTGAAAGAGACGCCTCGTTCATAGGTCCTATAATCAATCAGCATGGACAATCCGCACTGGATTTCTCTTGGGGGGAGGAACGTACTTTGGCGGCGGCGGTGAAGGACCTCGACCCGCTTGCGCAGACCGCTGGTCTCTCTCGGCTTCCTCCCTGGGCGATGTATCCCCGTAGGAAACCCGCTTTTCCAGGAGTCGGCTAGGCAGCTGCGACTCTGCAGCGGCCACTTGGAACTGAATCGATCTTCGTCGCGGCCTGTCAGTCTTCGACTTGTCTTCGAAAGAGATATTGCGTTTGTGGTGGGTTCCTGCGGCTGCAGACTTTAATGAGCTCTGACTGGACTCCGGACGCTCCTCAGAATCGAACGACGGCTTTGGCGAAGGCGGTGCTGACATGTTTGCGCTGAAGGTGGAAATTCCCGCTCGGCCGGACTTGAAATCGATCAGAGATGTGTGTCTCGTACAGTTTTAAGGGCGGATCTCGGCCGAGAAGTGATTGTCGTGATGCGCGGGGCAAGTGTCACTCCGGGGCTGCGACTGTGTCTCTGGTTCTCGTACAGTCGTGCTATGGAACTGGAGTCGGGCACAAGGCCAATGCTTCCAGCCAACAGGCACGCAATGAAGGTGACTTGCTCAATCACGCATATCCTTCAAACTGGTGACTCCCCCATGAATGAGCTCATGATTTGGACTTGTGGCTCGCGGATGTTGGAAGAGTAAGGCACCAGGTCTTGTGGAGGGAAGCTGTGACGCTTGCAGCGAGGGGTTCATCCCGAACGCGCAGGCGGTGAATGGTTATCGATAGCATATTTGCCGCCCGAATGTTTAGGTGTCATATCTATCACACAACCTTGAAGGGCTTAGTGTATTTTACCTGGTCATTGGTATTGCATAGGGAATCGAGGAGAACATTGGCAGGTTCTACGAAAACGTAGAGTCTCCGACAATAGCCTATCCGGCAACCCCTCTTTTCTGGAGTATCTACGCGGGTCCAACTCGGGCCGACAGGGCCAGATAACCCATTCAGGAAATATGACCCTATTTGACTCCCCCAGGGTCCAACTACCCCAGAGCTTCGGAAAGCATGGATTCCGTCATGCGTTTGGCCCCTGTTAGTTCCGAAGGTCAGCTGGACACACCACTCGCGCAAGATAACCGATAGAAGATAACCGTATTTTGAGCCCAAGAAATAAGTTTGCAGATCCCGGACTTTTCCTAGGAACGCAATCTCCAATTCAACGCCATGTACTCCATACCCCGTCTATCAAATACCAGAGATAGTTACTACCACTTATAGTGCCCCCCTCTAGATCACAACTAATAGAACAATATTGACATGCCCTCGATCCAATTATTGAATCTTCCCTCCCCAGGTGCCTTTGATGTACACACAGATCACACCCAACGTGCGCCTGAGCATCCCCACCTAGCAGAACCTTCACGACACTAGTCACCCGAAGCGGAGCCCGCTATGCCGACTTAGCCGCGATGATCGGGGACTATCGCCCACTATGGCGTGGATCTATCCACCAGCGGTGAAGCCCCGCGAGAGCACATCAGCGCCGAACGACGCTGCGACTATGCTCGGGGCGCTGTCCTGCAGGCCGATCGGTCACATGCACTGTTGGAGGGGTGTGGTTGGCAGTGAATGGTCAATCCGAGACTGCGAGATACAGCTACAGCGACATTTGGGCCTACGTGCTTCCCTTCTGGGTGAATCGCATACAGGTACACGAGGAAGATGTCTGTTTTGAACTGTTTTTTGGTATTGTGAATTTGTGTATTGCTATATACAAAAGTTCGGTCGGGTTTCCAATTTTCCCCGCCTTGGTTACAGTCTCGACCCGTCCACCTGTGGATGGGGAGCGCTGCCCGAGATATTTATCATGAGATGAGATGTCAAACAGAGTGGTGTATCAAAAGTGCCATGTGCGATGATGTCGCCAGAACGCCGAGGAAAATGAAAGAAAATGGGAAGAATGAAGAAAAAAAGGCTATATTCGTCGCTCCAGTCATCGTTCGTAAAGCGTGAGGGTATCACAAGAGTCAAAAACATTTCGTGGTGGTATACAAGAGAGAGATGCAGAATGGTGGGTTTCAGGCAGGTGAGATTAGTATGCCTCGATCATTGTGCTCTCTTGTGAAACGTAGAACTTTGACTCGAACAGATCAGATGGGGAGTCTCCCAATTGGATGGAGTTAGCGGATGCCTCTTTCTCATCGAATGCCTCGAGAGTGGGTTGGGGCGGGGAGGGAGGCGTAGCCTCGTCCTCGGAGCTGTCGTCCAGGTCGGCGAGCAGCTCGGGTGGTGATTGCCGGGATGGGGAACGAGTCAAGCCCAGCTCCTCCAGGTCCTCGTCGTCGTCATATTCAAAATCAGAGTCGGTGTCATCGTCGTCTTCCTCCACAAGGAGGGGGTCCATAGGTGCCACAGGCAACGGTGCTCGACGGCGAACTGGAGTGTTGATGATAAAGTCGTTCTCATCTATGTCGGAATCGTCCTCCTCATCACTGTCACTGAGGTCCGACTCGAGATCGGAGGTATCCTCGGACTCGTAGTCCTCGGGCACCTCAACCACGGACGAGGTGGTGGCCCATTGAATGTGTCGAGGCTCTTCTTGAGATGCCTTGGAGGCACCGCTGACGGTCTGGTTGAACCAGCGTTCTTGCTCGCGCTCAGCGTCAGCGAGGTCGAGCATCAGCGAGTCCAGAAGGTTGGCGTGGCCGACAAGCAAGCGTAGGTCGTGATCCGCCCGCGAAGCTTCGCGAGTGAGCTTCTTGCGGGCGGTATGAGCGAGGTAGTAAGATTGTGTGATGCTCATCTTCTTCTGTTGACGTCTCCGGGCAAGAGCATCAAAGTAGGGGGAAGCGGTGGAGGCAAAGGAAGAATCCTGGGGATGTGCGGAGGTGAGAGAACCCATGATGTTTTTGAGGTCCTTATGAGCTCAAGTAGAAATGACTCGTTCTGCCAAGGTGGTGACTCAATACTGTGATCATCCAGTCACAGGCGGCTATGGCTCGAGGCGGTGTACCCAAGGTGCTTCGGGTGTTTCAAAAGGTCCTCAAATAGGAACCAAGGTGGTATGAGGCTCAAGTTAATTCGATGTTGTGAGTATCAGATCTTGATGTTTATATCGATGTACTGAAAATCCAGAGTGTGACACTGGGGGGGAACGAAGCTGGTTATAAAATATGATGCTTGGCTTATTATTTTTTTTTTCCTTTTCATTCCCGTCTATCCGTCTAAAGTCCGGGTCCCGATCGGAGCGCGAAGATCCCCACCCGATTTTTGCGTGGATCCGCCGAGGCCGACTTTCCGCTGAATAATTCCACTTTTTTTTTCCACTTTTTTTTTCCCTTTTCAGTTTTTTTTGGCCCCATGTCATTTTTCTGAGCATCTACACGGCCAGGAATGCCTTGCGGCTCACACCGCTATCTTGCTCGTATTGCTAGATATGGCCATAAAGAGAGTCACTTATTCGTTACCTCTTCCCGATCTTAACTCTAACCATATCCCCGCTAGTTAATACCGTTATGCTTTTAAATCCATCAGCCCTTCTTTCCTTGTCACCGTGAGTCACCTTAAGTCCGTTCTTCCGTTTCTCGCTGTTTGGCATAGACCCTGGACCCACTCCTGATGACCAATTCGCCCGCGAACCGTTCTTTATTTCTCCAAGCGGACATTTGGTTTCTATTCGATTACTCAACGGTTGCTTCCTCAGCCTTCCAAGATGCGTTCCCTCATAACTTTCGCATAATCCCGCACCGTACTTTTCTGGCGCTGATGATTTCCAATCACTACAACCTTTTGTTCATGACCGCATCACCGTCCTGCTGGGACCAGATGACAATGACCATGTCGTGATTTTCTGCTCGGACCTTCATTCCGTAATTTGTACTCTGTATTACCATGCGGCTGCAATAGTATCCAAGGTTATCGCTCTGCCTATAGGCTTGGCTCTTGACCGCATTCCCCAGAGTCAAAGTCCTGTCATCCTTGTGGCTGCGCACAGGCAGACATGAGGCAGCGCAGTTTCTCGAGACACGTACCAGCCCCCCCCCGCCCCCCTCCTTCCCCCCGGCCCCGGCCTCGCTCCTTGCAGCCTCAGCAGCGAGAAGCGAGTAACAAGGCGGTTCCAGCACCAGCACCGCCCTCTTGGAAGGGCCACGTCTGGAATGCTCGTGTTTCAGAGCCTGAAAGTTAGCGGGAATGTCGAATTGGATGCCTAAAACGGCCAAGTCTAAGAGCCTTGGGAGCCCGCCCTAGTCCCCTTTTGGTATCCTGGTTGTTCGCGGGTGAATTGGTTCTCGCAGCGTACTCGTTTTGGCAGCCTAACGTGACTTTGTTCCCCACTGGAGCCAAAGTTGGGCTGGCAGCCCTACGGGGATCACCGAAATATGATTGATCACTCATTCTAGTGAGTCGTTTGCAATATCGTCTCGCCGCAAATGGCCCCATGCCTGGTTTTGGCAATAATTGAACGCCTTCATCGACATCACCTATCCAGATCCCCCCAAGGATCAAGGTTCAGAACAAGCCACGTCCAATGGTTGCTCTCTCGGGAATGACCCTAGAAGCTGGAGTTAGGAATGGCCCGTAACAGCACCCAAGTCAATTCCATCTCCACGGTAGCTAGGGGCACCTTGGGGCCATTCACAGGCGCACCCAGAATCGCGAGGCTCGGCGTTTAATTCTACGTCTCCGAGGCCGATCCACGTAGACACCTCGATGACATCAAGACCATCGGGCCGCGAAGAAGTGCACCTATAATTAGTTTTCAATTCTGACAAAGAGTAGTGAGGGGATCTGTATAGAGTTCTAGATTACTGATCGTGATTTCCAATCGGGCGCGGGGTCCCCAGCATGAAGCATAAGACAACAGGAAAGGGAAAAGACGATTGATGCCTTGCGCCTCGGGTGTCACCATTAGCTAAGCGGGCCCGGATCGCCGAGGATCGTCGAAACGCAAATCTCCATCGCATCGAGTCTAATCAACTCGTGCACGATGTTATGTGATCACTTGGCTTTCAGGATCGCCGACATCTCCATCAAATCCTATTCCATCCGAGGACCGGACCAAATTGAGTCTGGAAAAGTCCGGAGCCTCGGCGATCTTCAAGCGGAATCTGACAACTCCGACGCCGACGTGCCGTTTACTCCGGAACCGTGGGTTCGTTTGCCGCAGTGCACAACTTTATGTAATACGCATGATCTCCTCTTCCCCAATCCATGTGCGGCCTAGGTAATCTGTCGAATTCCGGGGCCGCATGCCTCATCTCCAAAGGGCATCACATTGCGGGGCCTGTCATGTGGCTCTGTCTTTGCCTGGTTTGCCGAGTTTCTTCGTCACCAGACCGGGGGGGATTTCCGGTGTATTGCACGGATGGGAGCGGGTGCGGTGAAGCAATGGACATTAGACATGATATCCCCCTTGCTGCAGGTTGTATGAAGATGACATTTTGTGAGACATTCAATGTTCCGGGCTAAAGTGCTGGCTCGATCGGGTGCATAGTCTTAGATGAGGCTGATCATGATCCCAATCGGGGTCCCGACTGTACACTGTACCTGACTAGTCTCAATTACTTACCTATAGTCATGGAAAATTGGCGTACTTCGGAGATCACTATAGAGATATTTCTTTCACGGCCGCAACTTGTACTATAGCTAGGACGTCACTAATATAGTTTAATCCGATGGGGGCACAGACTTTCAGATGGTCAAGGCTCGTTCTCGGATATATAATCGTGACTTATGTCCACGAGTGGATCGTGGCTAATGATCTCCAGGGGCAAGTGGATTCCTGATCGTATAGATCGTTTGCGTACATAGCGCCGATCAAGTAGAAAATAACTAGAAACACGAGTATATTGGTCTAGCCATCAGGCCATACTCAATAGTTCATCATGTTTACAAGGTGTGGGCGCTTCCATTTCCAAAGTGCTGAGTAATGAAGCTCGGCGGCAGTCTTTATGCCGCCCCGCCGTGGCTGAACGAGCTAACATCCAAGCTGTCTGACATGACTAAGTCTTCATTCTGGCAAAAACGAGACTATCGGCCTTAATCACGCGTGGGGTGCCGAGAGATGTGTACTTTCTACATGGACTTCTGATGTTTCACCTGTGGAGCATCCCAACCAGGTGTCATGGACGAGAAAAGGCGCCGGACCAGGACAGGCTGCCTAACATGCCGAACACGACGGATCAAATGTGATGAAAGAAAGCCTCTCTGCCAGCGCTGTGATATTGCGAATGTCGAGTGTGCAGGGTACGCGGAGAAACGCCGTCTTATGGCAAGGCTCCCAAAACACAGCGCGGCCACAATCACGGTTACGCCCACGACCGCCTCGCCCTCGACAGAATTTGAGCCCCAAGGCGACACCTCGCCACATCGAAAAACACACACCGTTGGTGTGCCTTTGATAGGAATTCCAAACAACCCGGGCTCATTACAGCGGCCGCACGCACGAGCCCGCGATGTTTTGGCCTACCACCAGTTTCTCTTCAGGGCTATGCCAAACATTTTTCCAATGGAGAGTCTTTCCTTCTGGAAAGACTATATCTGTCAAGAAGCGTGGGAAGTCGAATATGTCTTTGATGCCATTGTCGCTCTCGGATCGATGCATCGGGCAACTTTGCTGTCATCACAGCCAAGCGAGAATGACCGCAATCGAGCTTTAGACACCAAGGTCATTGCTATCCGAGCATATGCAAACGCTTTGCAAGGTGTTTCTGATAATCTGGCTTGTAATCAGATCCCAATGGCTCTTCTCCTGGGAGTGCTCATTCTCTTCGCATACGTCGAGGTAAACCATTCCGTTTCTTCAAATACACTCTGGTGATACTGATCAAGGCACAGTGTTTCGATGGGAATGTTCCGGCGACAATGCGACATATTCATATGGCTCAGCATTATTTCCAAGTAATGGGCTCTAAGAACTCTCAAGAATCGGAACGATTTAGGGAACCGATCGAGCTATGTCTTCAAGACTTGGATCTCATTCGTCGCGTTACCCTACCGGATCCAAAAGTGATCAAAATGATTTATCCGCTATATAGACAAGGCCACAGTCCTAGTATATCTCCATCGTCACCTCAGATGGGCCTAGACTCGTCACCGAGACTCATGCTGCAACAGGTACTTGACATTGGCTCTATGGACGCCGAAATCAAACAATTGACATGGTGCCCAATTGGAGTCAATTTGAGGCAACTGCCAGAGGCAAAACTTCTGGCTATCATTGAGAGTCTCAAAGCTTGGAAGAATACCCATGCCGTCCTATTTCACAGATTCGAGGTCGACGAAGCGTTATCAGACCCTGTCAACTTCAATTATGTGGCTCTGGACAAACTTTCCATGCCCCCGAGTCCTCACCACATGTTACCAAAAGACTACTGCCTCGCTCTAGCATTGTATTCATTCTACCGAGCACGTCTCCTATGGGCACTGAGCATCCACAACCACGGAGAAAGTAACTTCGAACTCGACGCCTATCACTTCATCTACCAATTTCTAAGATTTGTCAAGACAGCCACCGACGCCCCACCATCAACCTCCCAAGATAGTCCCTTAGGATGCGAAGCCCTCAGAATAGGCTTCTCGCCCATGCTTTTCCTTGCCGGCCAATCCTGCGCCAAACCAGCATGGCTTCGCTGGATTTCATTCGAACTCGATCGAGTCGGCCAAGAAGGCGTTTTCAACAACAAAGCATTTTCTTCAAGCCTCGATGTCCTTTCGACTCTCGAGACACGCATCAATCGAAATCCGAGACAGACTGGTATCGAGCACTTCTCATCCCCGATTTCACGTGTCCTTTCTGTGCTTTTCCCGGATATGGATGGACGGGCTTACGTGACATACTATGGCCGAGTCAGCGAGAGAGATGCAGATGGTGGCAGCTTGTATTCTCCATTATGTATCGCGCGCTGGTCGGCTGTTGTCAATGGGGGTAGGCCGGTTGTGAATACGTTTGATGGGGCCCTGGAGACGGTGTACAGTGAATGGGTGCTGCATCAGGGTCTTGTGAGGGATTGGGTACAGTGGCTGACTTTTTCGGAATTTGATCTGAATCAGACGCTTCATGATCACATGAATGGGAGTCGGCTTTTGCCTAATCGTGATGATATGGATTGGTAATTGTCATATATTTTCAATGAGATGTTAAAAATGTCCTTGGACTCGGACGGCCTCCATGGAAATAAGCGGGTAGACCGCGTCAAACATCACCTGTTGAATTGACTGGATGTTTTTCAAATAAGGTGTTTCCGAAATCTACTGCCTGGGCGGCCAGGGTCTAAGACGCATGCTGGTATTTGGAAAAGGCAGATTTATATTTTCTTTGAGAACCTCATTTCATCCTGCTGTTATTTCAACTCCTTCAATAAAAACCTTCCCTGTGGATTCGAGTTAACGGGAAACCGGCGGCTTGTAGTCCGTCAGTAACCGAGTCCCCGAATCCATTGGGTCCACAAATAAACACCTCCTTATCCAATGGTAAGCCTTTCCAGTAGTTTGCGACAACACGACCCGTGTGCATAGAGATTTCCCGGCCCGGCGAATTGAGACAAGTTGTGTCAAAGTCCGAGGCATGGCCGAACATGGCAATCTTGATGTTGACCGTCGGGGGCATCTTGTCAAGCGCTGGTTTCATCAAGTTGATCATGATATCCGGCTCTCTCGTTGCCAGAACAAGCATCACTTCACTCCTGGCTTTGGAGCCTCGTGCAGCTAGTGCATTGAGCATAGCCAGAAAGGGTGTTATCCCAATCCCGCCCGCTATCAAGAGAAGATTGAGCTTGCCCTGACCCATGCAAAAGTCTCCCGTGACGCCAACAATGTCTGCAGTCACCGGGGTATTGAAAGAAACCGGTTGACCTATTTTGTTGGAAGGATCTTGCCTCAGGAGATCGAACAAAGCACCCGTGACTGCACCTCCTTTCACCTTGCGCATGGTCAATTCAAACCAGGTCGTCTTTCCGTCTTCATGAGCACTTGACACGGTCCAAGTACGAACTCGATCGTCATTGATCGACGAAGGGGCCGAGTTCGCCATGTGTTGGTACTTAGGTGGCCCAATCCAGTCCATAAAATCCAGTACGATAGCTTGCCCAGGGCGGATCTTCAGATCACTGGCACCGGCAGCTGAGCTGACTTTGAATTTGAAGACAGCAAGGTCGGAAGAAAGCTGTACCGCTCCTTGAAGCTGGGCTTTATGTTGTTGAGCGCCGTCCATTTGTGACTCCGCCTCTTCTACCAGGTACTTGACTTTCGGGCTGTACGGACTGCGCTCAACGGACGTGCCAATCTGCTGTCGGACGGGCAGCGCATCCCGAACAAAGGTGAAACCTGTAACATTCATCGATGTGATGCTGGCATGCCTAGCCATGATTTTGAGCGCGGGTGGTCCCACCATGTTCTCGGCAGTGCCTGTCAGGTAGAGGATATCACCTGTCGTGAAAGACACGATAGTCAAGCCAACCACCCCACTAGACTCGATATTTCCCAGACTAGAAACAAATCGGTTCCCTGAGTAATCTGGAATCACCACTGTGCGACCATCAGAGGGGCTGACGCGAATGAAACCTGGTAAACCACTTCGGGCATTCATGCCTGCGTGCGAAGGAAACTCCGGCGCATTTGATTTAAAGATAGACCCGATGAAGATGGTATCGGCATCGATGATGAATTGAATCACCTCGTCTGGAAGGCGTTGCTGCGGTGTCAGATGCTGTCGCTGGTAGACAAGTTCAGGTCGCGTATGCGGATGGGGCACGAGCTTGCGAATGTTGATGTACTTTGGGCAATTCCTGATATTATGTTAGCATTTGATCTACGAGAGTAGCATGGATCATTCAAATCGCACTCACCCTATCGCCTCGGTGACTTCTACATCAACCTGGTAATCGGCATCCGACCAGCGTCTTACACCTCGTATAGACCCCGCAAACTTATTTCGTCGTCGCGTTGAGAATTCAATTCCCAGACCTGCAGTGAGGAATCTCTCGCGAGTGGCCTTTCGCCCGTTCTGATCGACCCATGCTCTGGCTGTGTCTAAGAGCGGGTCACCTTCCCATAGCCGAGTATGAAAAGTCAGAGTTCGCGGGTCAGGACTTTCAACGAAGCCAGATTCACCCGTTGACCCCGCAACAATAGATGCCCACGGCCGGCCTTCTTCATCGAGGGTTGCAATGGGGATGAAGGGGAGATTGGAAGTGTGAAATAGGCGATGCTGCTCAGGCATGAAGTTGCTGATACGTGACCAGCCATCCGTGGCAGCATTGGCGAACCCGAGCTTTCGCTGGATCGTGAGCTCACCGGGGTGCCACCCGTGTAGCGCTGTTGTGGCCATGGGGGGTTGTAACTGAGTTCAAGAAGGTATATTGTCGAGGCATTATAGCTGCTGGCGAGGGTGAAGACAATACCCACTAGGGGCTGTAAATGCCTCTACGTATGCGGTGAGATCATAGTATCTCTTTTCGAATGCAGGGCGGGAGGCTTGACACCCATTGGAATCGATTGTCTTCCAAAGGTTGAATACGATCTAGCCTCTCGAAGACAACCTCGTCAGCTGACAAATGTCGAGCGGTTTGAACCTTTTTTCGGGAAGTCGTCACAACTCTATTACCTCAGTAGTGTTTATGCTAGGGTGTTTTATGAGACATAGACTTTGATCACAGCATGTAGAAATGTCGGGCTTTTTTCAGAGATGCTCTCTGAGCCTGTCTATACTTTATACCTCGTAGACAGAATCAGTGTATTCCGATATTCAGTCTCGACGCCCGAAAGATGTTCCATTGACGAATGCGAGACAGAGTCATTCTTCATGACTTTTCTTTCTGCAATAAAGAGCCGACCAATAAGTTTGTTCTACCGTCTCTCCTGATTAGGACGCTGGAGACAATGACGGGCTTCTGTTTCGCGTAACTCGGTAGTCTCGCTTATCTCGCTTAGCTCTCCAAGGTCGGACCAAGCGCGTCAACAATTAGGCACGCGGAGAGCAAGGTTGTATCTAGGAAATTACGAGGAATGACGAGGCAATTGGTAAGACAATTTGCTCAAGGTACTTTTGGTGTGTGTCTAAGCTTTAAAAGGGACTGAATACTTTTCATGTTCATCATTCCTCTACTTGCAACTGATTTGGTCTTCAAAAATCTCTCAATCGCCCATTTCATAAATCGAGCTACTTGAAAGCTCAAACTCAATAATAATGGCTGCACAGAAGTCGGTGGTTTTCCACTACCTGGACATTGGCAGGCTGGGTCGGGGAGAAGTTGTCAAGTAGGTGTCATACCCCTCCGTTCCCCTCCCCTACACTCTCCTTCGTCGTGCTTGTTCACCACGAACTTTGCAACACTTGAACTAATTTTACAAGTCTTTTCCTCAAAGACGCTGGCATTGACTACAAAGAGATTCGCTATCCGTACGACGATACCTGGGCTCAAAAGAGCAAGACGCTCCAGGATCAGGGTATCACAAGGACGGGGAAGTTGCCCGCGGTCGAGTATCAGGGGTTGATCCTTACGCAGGTATGCTGCACTCAATCTGTCGCTGCTACATGTGATTGAGACTGACGAACTTCCTAGCACATCCCGACCTTGCGTTACTTTGCTCGAGACCTCGGTTCTTATGATGGAGAGACCAACCAAGAGAAATACGTGGTGGACTCTGTCTCTGATATCTACGTCGATTGGCGAGTAAGTCAATTCCGCTCGAAGTTCTGCGTTCCGATTTACTCACCAGCCTGCAGTCTCAATGGGTAGCGAATCTGCGCACCAAGACGGATAAGTACAAGGATGAGGTTGTGCCCGAGTACCATCGCCTCTTGGACCAGTACTATAGCGAAAACAGCGGCCCCTACCTCTTGGGTGACAAGATCACTTACGCGGATTTTGTGGTTTACCAATCCATCGATAATGATGAGAGAACTGGAACTCTGCCGGTATGTTCTCTCCGTTGAATATGACTCGACATTGTCACTGACCACGTTCTAGTCATCTCTTCCCAGTCCCTTCGCAAGCTTTGTGAGGCTATTGAGAAGCGACCCAATATTTCTGAATATCTTCGAAAAAATCGTCCGAAGAAAGACTAAGCTTCTGAAGAGCTAATTCCAGTGCTAGACCAAGTGATACTTCTAACCAGTGAAAATCATCTATCCAATGCTTGAAATCGCTTTTTTGACAATGTCATAAAATTAAACGCAGGTAAAAACAACATATGGAGTAATGATAAGTAGTCTGGTACCACACTATGGATTTGGTGAATGTGTGAATTGTGTGAGGACACTCCATTCTCCGAAAATACTCTGACAAGTCAGGGCCATACATGAAAGGCTGGGTCCATTGCGGGTTTGAGGGGTGGTGTCTCCTTAAATTGGCTGCAAAGCTTCTGCATGTGTTGAAAATCTACATATTCTCGCTGATTAAGCTCGCCAAGCAGATTAATTTACATCAATCGACTTACCTTTAAATCGAAGGATATGAAGGAGCCTCCAAGAACTTGTAGCCATGTAGTGATTTCTCCAACTGATGGCTCTTTGGCTCCTTTCTGAACGAGTTTGGTAAGTGTGAACTCCTCAACTTCACCCGTGGTTTGAAGGTCAATGTTCTACTTTGAAACCCAAATTCAGACGTAATTGAATGCATTGGATCGCGTAGATCTATAATGCATACTATCCGCAATTTCTCACGTCTTGTTAGTCCCGGGCCCTCTCGCGGCCTTCCACAAAGCCGACTCGGCGCAGTTTAGTCGTGATCTCATGGTAGCGATAGGATTTTATGAGAAACCCGGGTAACAGATCTTGTCGAAGACAATCAATGCGACGGGACTCGTGTGCATCGCTCTGCTCGCTTATCTCGCTTGCACAAAACACTATCAAGTTTCAGATGAACAGGAAGGACATATAGTGTATAGTGAACTTGCACTAATTTCCAAGAAAATGAGGTCCTTCAAATAGTATTCTCTCTTCGCCGAAATGCATGATCTCATTTTCAGACCTAAAAGCAAGGCGCAATATAGGGCCAAAAAGGGGATTTTAGGCACCTAAACAAGGGACATATCAAGGAGAGAAAGAAATAAAAGGTAACAAGAAAAACAATTCATCATCTCATTCATTAAAAGCAAACAGAAGGCACCTTGAAAGGGCTATGCTATCTTGACCATCCCTAGGTCTTTTTCAAAGTCGTGCGCAGCACCCTTGGAGTCACGCTCACTGCATTCCCGGTCTCATCCAGATTAAACACAAACTCATCAATGCCCACATTCCCATACACATGCGAGTCAACTGTGAACCAGGTAATACAGGATGAAGTAAAGGGACCGATTCCAGATGGCAGGGGCGGTGGTGTGACGGCGCGGAAGGAGATTTTGCCTGGGCTTTCCAGGCCTGTGGGATACAGACGTATGCTGAGCTGCGAGGGGCTTTTCATTCCACATAGTGCCATGAAGGCCGCGATCATGGATGAGGAGTTGTTGATCCATTTCGTGACTACTAGGCCCGGGCCATTGTCGGTGCCGATAGTTATTGTAGAGTTGACGCTATCTAGGGCGTAAGTCCCTGCGAAGCGCTTGGCTGCTTGGTTCTTGGCACTTTTCTCGAGGGCGGGGATTAGGATCGCTGAGACTAGGTCTGAGGCGAGTGAAAGTGATTCGTGGGTGTTGGCGCCTGCGCCAAGGACAATGAAGCCGACGCCGTGGTCGGGGGATAGAGCAAATACAGATGAATATGCGCCGATGTCTCCGGATTTGGTATAGAGATCGATCGGGCGCTCATTATTAAACGACAGGATTTCCCAGGGGGCTCCGACTCCATAGTCTAGAGATGATGTGTGGGAGACAGGCTTCAACCAGCGTCTGGTAAGGGCTGAAGGGAGAAGGGTGCTGCTGAGAATGGCTCGCCCTATGGTGGCCATGTCTTTGGCGGAGGAGTAAATGCCTCCCGCACTGAGAAGTTTTGTGAGCATTACGACCATGATAAATGAAATCAGGTTACTCACGGTGTCTCATCGCCCATTGGGAAGTTCCAGTACTTCAAGCCTTCTTTGTTGGGGATGACGCCGAGCGAGGTATCGGGGGTGTCGTAAAATGTCCGGCTGAGATTGAATGGCTTCAGAATATCATAGGAAAAGACATTCTTGAATGTCTCACCTGCCATTGCCTCCACGACATATCCAAGAATTTGGAAAGCGGCGTTGGAGTAGATGGGGGTTCTCGATGTGGGTACAATCGGGTGTCTCTGAACCATCCCTTCGAAGAATTCTGTATACGTCTCGTCAGTGTCCAATCTGGAAAGGAGTTGTTTAGTGGGACATACGCTTTCTATCACAGGGATCAGGTAGACCACAGGTAGGGATTTGAGATTCTGGCAAAGCAGGGAACCCCAATGCCTCGACGGTCGAAGCCTCCTCGGTAAGATCAAGGACGCCATCTAGGGATTCCGATTCAGTCAGAATGACAAGGGAAGCCCAACAAGGGCCAAATACTTCAGGGCACTTACAGTCTCGTCCAATACCGGCCAAGTGAGTTGCCAATTCTCCCACAGTCACCTCGTTCCACTTGGTAAAGTCGATCCCATTGTCCCAGTTTGTGGAGTTCCGAAGGAGGTCAACGACAGCGTCGCGCAACTCGGGAATGTAATCCGCAACTGGATCTTGCATGGCACCGAAGCCATTTTCGATCAACAGCGTGAACATGGTGAGAAGCTTCGAGGTACTTCCGATGCGGAATACGGTATTCTCATCGACCTCGCTCACACCGAGAGTGGTGTTGATGTCAGCGGCAGTGTAGAACAAGCTGAGCAGTGCATCAGGGTCATTTGCATCAAAGATCTGTAGAGAGATTGAATCTGACGAGAAGTTCCCTGCATCAATTGCTTGTTGAATTGTTGTGGTGACATTCTGTAAAGCCTCACTGACCACTGGGTCGGAGGAGAGGCCTGTTGCAGCAGGCCAGAGAGGGCCCAGGATAGGGCAGGGATTGAGCGCATTGGCAACAGAGATGCACAATACTGGCAATAATGACAGAAGCCTGAATGAATACATCCTGAATGTCGGGAGGATAGTCACTCCAGTTTAGCGAGCCGACGTGGTATTATTGATGGGCCGCGCTGATACAGCTCAATTATTCGATTCAGGCCACACATGTCTATGAGGCCATATGAATGAGCACTATATAGGTATTAAAGAGCACGGACTCTGATCAGGAAGCATACCGGGTATAATTGAAGTCCTTAAGGGTGGCAGGTATACATTCCGGTTGGGTTGGTATTCCCGGAATGTTGGCTCCGTTCAGGCTAGAGTCAACGCGACAAGGATGAGACATCCAGAATAATACGAATATGCAGGACTACGATGGTAACCTCTGATTCAGAGGTAAGTGGGGTGAACAGGCTTTCTTGTTCTCGCGGTGGAAGGGCTAGCACCTTTCCAGGCACGTCCTGAGCATTCTTTGTTCTCTACACAAATTTGCAAACTGTCCTTGTCCGACTGGGCTCTTTCTCTTGAATCCACCAGCGTTGACTCCAAACATTATCGGAAGCTTCCAAAAAAGATTGAGTCTGGTGCCATTCGCCCGTCACAAAGAAAAGAGAAACCCAATGATTCGAGCCGAGAACCAGGGCAATCTCCAAAAAAAAAAAAAGTCGTCAACTATCACGGCCTCGCTTTCTTTCTTAGGTCGGAACACCATGCGACCATCTCACGAACCCTAAACGCACAGACGAGCAATCTTGACCAGCGATACATTGGCCGCGGAGATCCCGCTCTCTCTCTCTCTCTCTCTCTCTCTCTCTCTCTTTCAACACACCAAGCACATGGCTTGAGCTAGTTCCAGACCAGGGTGCATGAATAAAGATGATATGCGCTTCGACATTCTCACCGAGCTCACGAGGGTCTGTGACTCGGTCAGGGACTCGGACCTTGATAGCATAGAGATCTTGACGGCCGTGTGGAGATTGGATCCGAGGTACCAAATCTTAGTTCTTGGTTATAGGAGTCCCACCGAATTTCCGGGTTTGTGAAACGAGAGATCCTGGGATTCCAACGATCTCATGGGGAGCTTAGTCCGACATGTGGTTTTTGCCATAGTGAATTGACAGAACATGACTGCACCAAAGGCTTCATGTTGAAGAAAAGGGGAAATTTCTCTCAGTCGGGAGAATGACGGGGTCATGCGGCCATGCACGATGCTCAATCCATTCAATGCTTTAGTTGCCGGCATATTTCCTATGAAAGCAAAAACACATTTCTTTGTGTCAAAAGTTATAACCGCTCGGGAAGGATTCCCCGAGACAGTCGCCGTTACATTCGCCGCACTTCCAAGGTTACAGCGATAAGGCCCTGGGATCAATGTGGAAAGGAAGCCCGGCAACATTATAGCCCTGCTTGAGATGTATGGACACAAACACCGAGCTAGCTACCGACCTGTCTACCTGGACAGCCAGGGGAAGATTGACATGTGTACAAATTTCTAAATCATAAACAAAGAAGCTATCGTCATCATAACCTAAATTATCTTTTTGCACCAAGAATCAACTCAACAACTCATTCCAACCACGAATCAAACCTAGTGGTGGAACAGACGGATACCCTGCTGGACGAAGGTGATGCCCAACTTCTCGGCGGTCTCGAAGACCGGGGTGTCGTTCTGGCTGCCGGTGGGGGCGGCAATGTACTTGACACCAGAGCGGGCAGCGCGGAAGACATTGTCGATGAAGGGGAACTACAGAAGGAAAGTCAGTAAATGAGTCCACCATCAAAGGCAAAGAAAACACGGGAACTCACGAAAGCGTCGGAAGAAACAGCAACCTCACTCAGCTTGGACAACCACGCATCACGCTCCTCCTGGGTGAAGGGAGCGGGAACCTCCTCGAAGACACGCTCATACTCGACGGTCTCGGCATCAGTGCGAGGGGTCTGGCCAGAGCAAAGCAGGTCAATGGCATTGCTCTTGTCGGCGCGCTTGGTGCCCTGCTTCCACTTGATGTTGATGACACGGTCGTGGAAGCGCATCCACCAGTTGTCGGCCTTGTCGCCGGCAAGACGGGTGCAGTGGATACGGCTCTGCTGGCCAGCGCCGAGACCAATGATCTGGCCATTGAGGGCGTAGCAGACCGAGTTAGACTGGGTATACTTCAGAGCGATGGTGGCAACGGTCATGTCGCGGAGGGCGGCCTCGGGCAGAGCGGGGGAGTCCTTGGGGGTGATGATGGTGTTGAAGGTCTTGCTGGGGGAGATGACAACGTCGTTGCGGTGCTGGGTCAGCTGCACGCCGTACAGGGTACGGGTCTCCTCGGGAGCGGGAGTGTAGTCTTCGTCCATCTGGAGAACGAGGTACTTGCCGCCCTTCTTCTTGGACAGGATCTCCAGAGCCTCGGGCTCGTAGCCAGCGGCAATGACACCGTCGGAGACCTCGCGGGAGATGATCTTGGCGGTGGGAGTGTCAACGATGTCGCTGAGGGCGAGGATATCACCGAAGCTGGACATGCGGTCGGCACCTCGGGCACGGGCGTAAGCCTGAGCCAGACCAGAGGACTCAATGCCCTTGATGTCGTCAACCATGTAAACCTTGCGCTCCTTCTCGTTCAGGGGAACACCGATGGCAGCACCAGCCGGGGAGACGTGCTTGAAGGAAGCGGCGGCGGGGAAGCCGAGAGCCTGCTTAAGCTCCTTGACCAGAGGCCAGGCGTTAAGAGCATCGAGCAGGTTGACGTAGCCAGGGGAGCCGTTGAGCACCTTGAGGGGCAGCTTGCCCTGGGACATGAAAGCAGAAGCGGGCTTCTGGTGGGGGTTTGTGCCGTAGCGCAGAGAGAGCTGCTGCAGTCCATTGCCAGCGTACTCCTTACGGAAGAAGCCAGAGATGGCGGAGTCGTAGTCGGCGGTCTGCTCGAAGGCCTTGAGGGCATACTGCTTGCGGCTCGCCTCGTTAATGGCCCCAGTCTCGAGCTCCTTGAGGAACTCGGGGTAATCAGTGGGGTCCGACAGAATGGTCACACGCTTGTGGTTCTTGGCCGCGGCGCGGAGCAGAGTGACACCACCGATATCGATCTCCTCGACGGCCTCGTCAATGGTGACGTTCACCTTGGCGACGGTCTCCTTGAAGGGGTACAGGTTGCAAACGACAAAGTCAACCTTGGCGATCTTCTGCTCGGCGAGGTCTTTCTCGTCGGATTCGATGTCGCGGGCAAGGATACCACCATGGACAGCGGGGTGGAGGGTCTTGACACGACCACCCAGCATCTCGGGCGCGTGGGTGATGGCAGAGACGTCCCTGTATGACAGAAATTAGCAATGAACTTTTGCTTCTGATGGTTATTTAGGGTCCCATAAATCTCCGCCTAGCCAAGAACAAAACCCAATGCATGTACTCACTCGACGGGGAAACCGGCCTCGCGGATCATCTTAGCAGTACCGCCAGAGGCAAGAATACGGACATCCTGCTTGACAAGGCCCTTGGCCAGGTCAAGCAAACCAGTCTTGTCATAGACAGAGATGATAGCTGTTGTGAAACCGAACCAAGATCAGTCCAAGTACAAAAGCAGCCCCGACCACCAGGTAGTAATCCGGGAAACGATATAGGTCAAAGAACACCCACCGGACTTCTGTTGAGACATGATGTCGACACTAGAAAGCAATTAGCAAGCTGAACCACTTCCTCCAAGTCCGAAAAACAATCAATTGGTAATGAAATGGGCGAGCAAATACCTTGAATCCAAGCAACCGTATACAGAGGGGCAGCTCAAAATGAAGAAAAGAAATAATTCAGTCCCGCCGCGGGGTCCGCCAGCATGCAATGCCGCAATCGGGGGGTAAACTTACCGTATGTCATTTACATCACTCATCGGATGGAGATCATATGATGGTATCAGCTAGTGGGATCACGTGCTCGGAGGGCTAAAAGCCGATTTCTCGCGCGGAATTTTCTCCTTTTTTCTTTTCTCTTCATGAACAACGCAAAAAAATCACGTTCTTCAAAAGCGTTCCTGCGAGGACTTAGTGCCCATGAACCACGGAAATCGTCATAAAGAAACGGAGACTGAGTGTACTACACAGAGTCGATCTTGGGTGCAGTGCCTGCCTGACCTTCGGGTCCTGTGGTAGGAACTGCAATGATTGACACTACAAATCTCGCCTAAATTCCTCTTTGATGCTGGAGGAATTCTTAAGGTTCTTAGAAAAACACATCTTAGTACCACGTCGTACATGGCTCATATGGCCACAAATTCAAAATACTATCACAATCACAATTCTCATACCATTAAAAATCTCTGTATACTATCTTTTCTCCGAAATCCCGCCCAGTCAATCCGGGCTGTCACGCATTTGCGAAATAATGTCCATATGAACAGTCGTTCGATCTCTGATCTCTGTACGCTGCTTATGGCTTCAGGGTATCTCTCATGCCGGCTCCAATAGCGAGCTGGCGACCGATGTTTCCAAAACACACGCAGGCACAGAAAATCACACTTGCAACCCAGGTGCGGACCGCCATGCTTTCCTGTGTAATGCCTGCTCCCATCGTGTTCTCCCATCCAGTTCCATTCAAGAAGGCAGAGCCTACCGAAGGGCCAGTGGAGGCAGGAATCAACTGGGGCTTTAGCCCGAGGACAGCGCTCATGCCGGCGATTCCAACGACGGCGAAGAGGGCAAACCCGGTCCAGGTGCGATCGATCAGGTACCATAGGACGGGGTTTGCGAGAGCGAGGGTCAAGGAGGCTTGGGTCGTAGATTCCCAGGGAAGTCGGCGCTGAACAGTTGAAGAATCAAAGTCAGTATTTTTTTTTGTGCCTTCTTCAATCCCCGAGGATCCTCAGAGAGTCTCTGGAAGGGCAAAACTTACCATAGCGAATGCGATTCCGACGAATGCACCGATACTGCGAGCAACAGTCACCCATGAAGGAGTTCGGTCCTGGCCCTCTTCACTGCTTGCCTTCGCCTGGTAGCTCTCGTCGGTCTCGCGCCAGCTATCCAGCCAAGGAAGAATGTTGCCCAGCGCGATACCTGCCAAACCCCAGGAGCCCAAGTACTGCCATGAGTCGTAGTAGTGAACATTCTCAAGCTTGACGGGAGTAATCCAGTGGTTGTGGTGGAGGTGGACCGTAATCACGCCGTAAACAATGCCAAAGCCAAACAGCAAAGCACTGCTCACCACTTGCGGCAAGATGACGCCACGGAACATACCCTGGCTAAGTCGCGAGCGAGTCCGTCGGAGGGCATACCGACGCGGCTCAGTCGCAGACTTCTCGGCCTCGCGCTGCATGGGCTCCGGGGGGGGTTTCGGCTGCAGGGGAGTTCGCTTCCGTGCCCCAGGGGCTGTCTTCACCGCGAAGGCCATTGAATGCCGTAGGCTGGTAGATTCCGTAGAGGGTCGAGGAGGTCAAGTTCAAGATTGAACCGGTGCGACTCACGCTTGTCGAAGTCGATTCAGTCTCCTGAGTATTGGGACTTAGCAGGTCGGCATTGGAGGGGTCGGCGGGCGTAGGAGGTCCGGACGACTCATTGGAGGCAGGAGTGAGTTCAAATGGGCGTCTTGGGCGCGGGCGCAGGACGCGAGGTGTTTCCGCCATCGTGTACGGGCGGGTGGTGTAAGAGTTGTTCACGTTAACAGGGCCGTTATTTATCGGGGCGGATGGAATTTGCTGTTTCCGGCGCACTAGAGCCTCCGATCTTCCGCGCAAGCAACCCGCTTAGTTCCTGTGTTTCCGCTTCAAAACTTGCAGTAAATGAGGCAGGGTCGCGACGAATAGTCCCGCAGCTGTAGCTGAAAGATTAATCGTGTACCGCGTCTTAAAGAAGAAAATAGGATATCCGGGGAAGAAATGCGGAAGGCTTTTTGTTAAGATCGACCCTTAGGAGTACCAGAGTGTGATAGTGCTTTCTTCTCGCGGGCTGGCAATGTTGGGGGAGAAGAGAGAAGAGAAAAGAGAAGAGAGGAGAAGAGAGAAGTCAGAAGGTGAGAAGCAAAGCTTTGAAGCTCAAAAGTGTTGAGGGAGACGTCAGACCACCGACTGTCGAGCCTTAGGAATCCGCCCGTTGCTGTTGGCAGAATCTTCGACCTTTTCGACTTAAGGCCTCCACTCGATGGATCCGTGATGATTTTCCGCGTTTATATACTCCTCGATCGTTGGTGAACGTGGGAAGTTGGAGGGGATCTGCCAGGACACGCCTCTACTTTCTACGTGTTACCTGACACTGGCTCGAGACCCGGATGCGGAGTAAAGGAGGGGGCTTCACATGTAATTGAGGTCGGGCCATGCAGTGTGCAGTATGCAGTCCGCAGTCCGCAGTGTGCCCTTCGACGCAATTGAGTGGGGGCCGAAAACGTCCTGGATACCGTTGACGATGAATGGGTGGCTGTCATCGCTTCTTGAGGAGAGGAGAACGCATCACGGTGGACTCTCGCTGCCCTCTGCTCCATCGCTTTCTCGTCATCCCGAAACACCTTCCAGCCACCCTCTGCCCTACTTTCAAAGTGGAAATGGGATACAGTACATTCGATGCTCGTCTATTACATCTCAGTTCGAGGAAGGCGCGCAGATTCCTGCCAGTCTGGGGTACATAGATCCACAGGTACATAGATCCACTTGTCCCGAGTTGTGAGAGTCATCGTCTCATCTAATTTCACCGAAGTAAAATGGTCTGGTTGACTACATTTCACGTATATAACCAGGTATCGGCGGTGAAATCAAAGGTTTCATCGTTCAGTAGATCCATCAACTTGGCCCTTCACATGCGGAGTAATCGAGCGTGGAAGGCGCAGATATGTATATCCCTCAAAGGTCCGCCCAAATATGGTCAGCGCTGGCGCCCCAACACAATTTAAGATATTTGTCCACAATCTATCGACGTATAGTCCATAATACTCTGAAGTGTTCCAAGTTGGCCATTACCCAGTTGACCTTGAGGAATAGTCCGAGGCATCCAAGCATGGATAAAGCTCGAAGTGGCGACCAAATCGAGTTCATCCGCTCCGACGGCGGGATTCGTCCACGGCCCCGACGTCGATCTTGGCATAAAATCACCACCATTTAACATTGCGCAGAATTGCACTTTTCCGATTATAGAGGCCGATATACAATTATAGGGCATCATGCTCTCCATTAATATCCCCAAATACACTACGCCAGACAATTACGAGCTTAGCGAAGTCCCCTGTTCCGAAGATCGACAGCCCTAAAGACATCTTGATCAGGACCCATGCGGCAAGTATCAACCCAATCGATGTCAAGAAAGCCTCTGGTGCTTCAAAATTGGTTTTTAAAGACAGGTGAGCATAACCCAGAGCCCTTTGGAGCTTTCATTCTGACACCTGAGCAAAGTTTTCCATACAAAATCGGCTATGACTGCGCCGGCGTCGTTGAGGAAGTCGGATCCGATGTAATTCGCTTCCAGGCCGGCGACGAAGTCTTTGTGCGGTTACCGGAGTGCCATAGAGGTACATCGTCTCACTTCAGTACATATTGACCATGACTGATGAAGTTTACATAGGAGCATGGAGCCAGTATGCCCAGTCTACAGAAGACTGTCGCCCCGAAACCAGCTGGACTTTCTATGGAAGATGCAGCATCGATTCCCCTAGCAGCGATGACTGCGCTGCAAGCTCTCCGACGCTATCAAGGCACTCTTGAAGGCAAGACAGTCTTTGTTCCGGCTGGATGTAAGGCCCTTCTTTAACTCAATTTGATTCTACAGATGCTGATCTTTTTTTTGCTTTTCACAGTAAGTGGCACTGGTTTATTCGCCTGTCAACTTGCAAAAAATGTTTTCAAAGCCGGCAAAGTAATCACCACGGTCTCCACAACCAAAATTCCCAAAGTCGACGAGCTACTCGGCCATGGCGTCGTAGACGAGAGTAAGTATCGTCCTCCTCTACCAGATTACTATCCAAAATACTCATCTTAGAAATACAGTGATCGACTACACCAAAAAAGATCCCAAGGCCAGCATTCCTGAGAAATCTGTCGACTTCATGCTCGATACAACAGCCAGCGCAATGGCCTATCTCTCCCCTAATGCGCCCGGAAACGGGCACGATTGTGACCATCTCTATTTTGACCTCCGGAGATGTTCTTCAGAACTCAAGCCTTATGCGCCTATCGCCTGATCCAAGGGACAAGGCTACTGTGCCGTTCCCGCTGCGTTGCTCGTTAAATGTACTTGATCGGGTCCGTGTGCTGCGGGCTTCGCGGTGGAAGGTTAAGTACTTCTCTATCTTTCTTGAGCCGAATGCGAAGGATCTTGAAATGGTGAAGGGGTGGGTTGAGAATGGGAAGGTGAGGACTGTGGTTGGGACAAGGGCTCATTACAAGGATGTTGGGGCTGTGAGGGACGCGTGTCAGAAGGTGTTTAATGGGAAGGGAGGCATTGGGAAGGCGGTCATTGTGTTTGACTAATTCTTGGAGAGGAGAAGTAGATGGGGATATAAAAGGAGGAGTATGAAATCAATGCCATGACAAGCGTAAAAAGAAAAGTGTACAGTCCAGCATGACAGGCCCTATATTATCTAAAAGTCACAGTGTACCCAACAACACCCCGGTCCTGGGAACAAAAAATTAAAGCAATTGAGTTATTATCGTCACACACTCCCAGAAACGCACACTTAGTCCTCCATTGCCACGTCGCGTCGTTCGCCTAATCTCGATGGAACAGGAGATGAGCTCTCGTGTCGTGCGTAGCCGTTGGGTCCGTCGTAGGTTGACGAGTTCTCGTCGTCATCGTCCGAATCATCGGAGGAATCGCCATCGTCGTGTCCGGTGCGTGGTGGCATATCATCCTCGCCAGAGCCCTCACCGAGTAGTTCGCGGTCCAGCTCATCCAGCTCGCCTTCCATGTACTCGTTTCCTGTGGCATGTTCGGGGTCCCAAGATGGTGTACCCATTCCAGATGCACCGACAGGACGACTGCGACCACCCTTCGGGCGTGCTGCCCCAGGCGTCTTCTTGCCTCCTGGGGTTGCCACATGGTTGGTGGACTTGCGTTTCGCAGGACCGCCACGAGAAGGTCGTGCGCGAGACCGATTATTAGCGGCTCGTACATCAGCTTCCAATGCTGCCTTTGTGCGTTGCCGCTCCTCCCGCTCCTGACGACGATCCTTCTTGGGTCCATTTGCGTACTCGTAGTCCCAGCGATCAAGACGTCGAGATGCTTTGCGGATCACGGAAAGGAAGAAGTTGGCGCTCTCGCCGAAGTCGTCCTCTTCCTCGGGGTTTGGTACCAGGCCACCCTTGCCCCATGCAGTCTCTTCATCCTCGGTATCATAACCATCTGGCAGACCCTGTAGAAGACGTCCATATCGGACGAATGGAATCTCATTTTCGCGCTTGCTACGAATGACGCGATAAGCGTTGCTCCTCCGCTTGGCAAGGAGGTATTCGATGCGTTGCCGGCGGTTTTGCTCGACGGCAATCTGATGTTGGGTGAGCGGGCGCGGCCGACGGCCAGGCGCCTGGGATAGTGAGGGCTCAGGGATGAAGCGATTCAGAACAGAGTGGTTTCCAGAAGGTGCGGGAGAAACATCCGGGGTTTGATCCATTCTGGTTTTTAAAATGAGGCGCTGCTGGCCCACGGCACGATTCAAAGACGATTCACGCTTAGCTTGCTTGTTGCGGGGACGAGAAATGCCTGGTGTGAGCTCGTCGTCGTCATCGTCCAAGCTTCGCTTCGCAGAGGGATGAAGTGGTGTTGACATGGCGGATCCGCGTCCCCCCCATGCCGGAGTAATCACCTGCGAAGGAGTCTTCGTCGAAGCCATATTCTAAGAGATAAGACGTGAGATTCCGAGGAAGTGTGGCACAAACGGTTCACGACGGCTTACCTTTCTTTGGACGCTTGGGAATACGTGGAATCGGCTCATCCTCTTCCAAGATGCCTATAAAAGCATCAGTAAAGCTCAACAATCATTAGTAGATCGAGTAACGACTCACGCTTGCGCTCAAGTCTCTTCATCTCTCCATATTCCAGTTCCTCAGGTGTGTCAACATTCTCCTCGTTGGCCTGCTCCTCTGTCAAGCTCTCAAATGCCGGCACCTTCAAAGGCAAGCCCTCAGTGCCCTCGCCTTCCAGACCGGGTCCGAATGGATTATTCCTTGCGGCCTCGGCTGTGAAATCGCTCTCCAGATACCACCACATCAGCCAAAGGAACGCCCGAGCGCGGCTCTTACTGCTAAGGGTGGATCTCATGACCAAGTCGAAGAAGTCGCGCGGGGGGAAGAAATGCATTTCCGACACCTTAGGAGCATACTGCGCCAAGACGAAGATGAGATTGACAGGGTTTGTCCGAGGTGCATCCTGGCGCTTGATCTTTTCCAACGTATTCGGCTGATCGACATCTTCGGAGGCGCCCTTGAGGATAGATTTGAGACGTGGAGCGTCCTGCAGCTGCTTATAGGCATTGGAATCTTGATGGGCTTGAAGAGAAGGGATGGAGTGGTAGGTTCGCAACTGGGCACGCATTTCCGGGAAAACTAAAAAGTAGCGAAGAGAGAGAGATTAGTACCGCGAAAAAGGTGATGCCGTAAGATAGACTTGGGGAAAGGGCGTACAGTTCAAAGTCGTGTTCATACGACCGAAATTCACCAGCAGGCAAACCATCGCCATGCTAATGGCAGCGGGCTTGTCATTCTGTAATTTGTCCTTGAGAATCTTGCTCGTCTTGCTGCTCCTCGCCATCGCGTCGATGTATATGTCGGCAAAGTCAAGGTTCTTTTGTCCGTCGGGGTACCGCGTGAAAACCGGGGTCTTGTCCTCGAAGACGAGCTTGAGAAACTGGTACTGAATGTCTTTGCGCCAAAGAGGAATGCCATCCTCCTTCTTGAGATGCCGAATCTTGTTGCCGGAGTATACAGAGCCAATGGTGCCGTTGGCCTGGCGTCTCGTGCCGACCGTTGCGCTGGCGGTCATGCCATGATTCTGGTCGTCCGCGACTTCGGATACGGCGAATGAATCGTCCATGGCGGGATTTTCGACCTCGGCCATTCTGGGTGATGATTACGATCAGGGATGTGCGCTTGTGCGAGAGCTCCTAGGGATCCGAGGGAGGTTCGAAGTTCAAGGTTCGAGGACGATGATGTCGCCCCCAGAGGAGGCGCGAGCAGATATATGCGCGAAGATGAAGAGGTTGAAAGGGGAAATGGGGGACGAAAAAGAGGGGGGGGAAAAGAAAGATGCAGGGGGAAGGAAACGGACGAAATCTTGCCGAGCAAAGGATGAGTCCGTTCGTGGATCTCAGTGGTGATATCTACCCGCAGTCACGTAACGTGGTGTCTACCTTAAGCCATCCCGCCTAATTCTCCTTCATTTCTGGCAAAGTGTTGCTGTAAATAACGAATGCCTTGGAATTGCTTCTTACAGTCTGACATTGAATCGAAACAGTCTGGGACAATGGATCCGGAAACAGCCTGAGAGTCTTGCCAAGTCCAGAAGTATACGACATACAGGGTCTCGACTACACAAAACTACGAAGAACCTTGGAAACTTGAGAAAAATGAACTGGAAACACTTTTCAAATTGCATTGAAATAAGGCTTTCCTTCTCGCAGCCTCACCCAGACCTTCTGCGTCCTCCCGGCTCGAACCATGCGAGGAATCATGATACCTGTGAGCAAACCATTCATTCAGCGCCAGCGACATCCCACCTTCGGTTCCACGACGCAAGTCAGGAAGAGAATCGTGGAAACAAAGCCTCCAGAGGACAAAAAGTCGTCAAGCCAACGCCATACAGAATGCAAAGAACCCATAAATCCACGCAAAGCACACGACAGCAATCGAATGCCGATGCCATTGCACACAATAGCCTGAGAAAGAAAGCGCGAATTTTTGGCTTTCGTAGACCGAATTGACCGCAGAACACACGAGGGCAGCAACAGAAAGAAGAATAGTCCGCCATAAGATACCGACGCTGGAAAGTCTATACAAAGGCATAGCACAGCGCCGAGAAGATGGATGCAGATAGAGAAAAAGCACTTTTCGAGGAGTGTCGAAAGCCGGCATTCTCCGCTCGGCGCACACGCGTCGATTCGAACGTATCCCCCCACTGGGGACGCTCGAAAATAAGGGGTATCTGATGAGAACGGACACAAAAGACAACGCATTCTATAATGTTCACGCAGCGCTGATCACCTGGTTGCTCGAAAAAAAAGGAAATTGTCATGAGGTCATGACCAGGGAGCAACAAGAGAAAGGTAATCAGAACTGCTCGAACGCCCCGTGTCGAAACAAGGCCAGATTGAGAGCCAGTGAAAACATGCGAAGTGGAAAGCAGACAAGACAGATACAGGAAAAGGAAGTTAAAATGTCAGAGAAAGCACGGAAATAACAGAGAAAGAACAACGCATGACTGTAGACAATAGGAAAGACGTGGCAGTCGTGACAAAGCCGTCCCTGAGAGATAATGAGGTATAAGAGAGCTCAGGGGCGCGTTCTGATCGTATCCGTCAAAGAGAGACAAAAGGAAAATGGTGTGAGGAGCCAACCAGACCTGACGGCCTCGTCATCAGACCACGACTGATTTACCACCAGGAAGAGGGACCAGTAGGGCCGGAGGGGTTGCCGTAGCTGCCACCACCGCCGCCACCACCACCACCGTAGCCGCCGCCATAGCCGCCGCTGGCACCGCCGCTGCTGTAGGAGGGAGCACCACCCATGGTGCCGCTGCCACCGTAGGAGGGAGCAGCGCCGTAAGCGCTACCGCTGCCGAAGGTGGAGGGGGAGGCACCCATGCCACCGCCAAAGCGACGAACATCACGGGTGGCGTTGGAGCTACCACGGCCACGGCTACCGCCACGGCCACCACGGCCACCGAAACCGCTACCCTCGCGAGCAATGCTCTCCAGGAAAGCAGGAACTTCCTGGTGAGCCTCCTTCAGGAGCTCGAGGAGGTCACGGACAACACCGCGGTTGCCACGGTTGAAGAAAGCGGTGGCAATACCAGTGTTACCGGCACGACCAGTACGACCGATACGGTGAACGTAGTCATCGATGTCGGTGGGGAGGTCGTAGTTGATAACGTGGGTCACGTTGGGAATATCGAGACCACGGGCAGCAACAGCAGTAGCGACCAGAATGGGGCAACGGCCGTTTCGGAAGAGCTCGAGGGCACGCTCACGCTCGCGCTGGGTGCGGTCGCCGTGAATGGCAGTGGCAGGGAAGCGCTGGTTGATGAGGAAGTCGGACAGGGAGTCAGCCATGCGCTTAGTCTCGACGAAGATCAAGGTCAGACCACTGGTCCCGTGGGTGTGGAGAATGTCCAGCAAAACGGAACGCTTGTCCATGTCCTCAACGTACTCAACCTTCTGAGTAATGTTCTCGGAGGTGGAACCGACACGGCCGACAGACAGGAAGATGTATTCCTTCAAGAAATCACGGGCCAGCATCTGGATATCACGGGGGAAGGTGGCAGAGAACATGAGGGTCTGGCGGTCCTCAACACGAGGCATATCCTCGCCCTCGACAATGCGACGAATTTGGGGCTCGAAACCCATGTCCAGCATGCGATCGGCCTCATCAAGAACGAGATATTTGATGTTCTGGAGGGAGATACGACCACGCTCAATCAGATCGACGAGACGACCGGGGGTAGCGACGAGCAGATCGCAGCCACGCTCGATCTGGCGCAGCTGAGAACCAATATCGGCACCACCGTACACAACACAGGGGCGGACCCAAGAGCGGTAGGCGAACTTGCGGGCCTCATCGAAGATCTGGGAAACCAGCTCACGAGTGGGAGCCAGGATGAGTGAGGTAGGGTAGGCCTTGCGCTGACGGCCGTAGCTGAACTGACCACCACCACCCTGGGCGGGAGCGGCGGAGGGGCCATTCTGGAAAGCCTGAGACAGGATGGGGAAGAGGAAACCACCAGTCTTACCCGAACCAGTCTGGGCACAAGCCATGAGATCACGACCGCCCATGACAATAGGGATAGAGTATTTCTGAACGGGGGTGGGAGTAACGTAGTTGGCGAGACCGATGTTGGTGATCAAGTGGTCATCAAGGGGAGGGTTGGTGAAAGTGTTAACCGGTTCGGGGACATTGTCACCGGAGGCCTCAACGGGGATATCATCGTAGTTGGAGAAGTTGATACCGGTCTGCTGCTTGGTAGGATCGTTGGGGATACCAAAGAGCTCACGCTCAACGCGAGCGTTAGCGGGACCGGGAATGTGCTTGCCGTCACGCCACTGGCCATCACCAGAGCCACGGGCTTGAGAGCCACCTCCGGCACCAGCACTAGCACCGCCGCCGCTGTAACCTGTTGATGCGGGATATCCGTAAGCATGTGGGTTGAAAGGTTGGGCTTCTCCATGGGGGACCCAGTTGGACTTGAGATTTGTGGAGTTGAAGTTACCATTGGCAGGGCCGCGAGGGCTGAAGTCGGGAGCGTTAGCGTTGGCCCAGTTGCCGCCGCGAGGACCACCCCTAAACAAGCAGTTTCAGGTTAGTTAAAGGGGTCTCATAAATAGGGGATCTGTGAGCACCGTACCGAGGACCACCGTAGCCAGGGCCGGGGGGAGGAGCAGCACTGTCCATATTGCCGGCTCCAGCGCCCGAGCTGCGCTGGGAATTGCGGAGGTGAGGAGGGATGTAGGCAGCACGACCCTGACCCTGAGGGGGGTTACCCCCCCTGGGGAGCGTGCTGGGAATCGTTGATGGACAGGTTGCCCATTTGAAGACCGTCGGCCATGATTGCGGGTGTTTTGGGTATTCTGGAGTGCGGCAAAAAGGCCTGGTGTCAGTACTTAGAACGAGGACTAAATTTGAGAAATTTTCAGATGACGAAGGTGGGAAGGTATGCGAACGAATTTCTTTTGCTTTCGCCAGAGAAAAGTTTCTTCGATATAGGAAACGTTGGGCACTTCAAACAAGAGAAAGACACTCGCAAAGATCTCGAGAGAAGGTGATACCTTTAAAGAAAAATGAGGTCTGGAGGAGACGATGGAGAGCTCACTCTTTTTTTTTCCACTCAAACAGGAAGTGGCAAAAGAACAAGTGAAGGAAGAAGAGCAGGAGAGAAGGACAAATATGCAAGTCTCCCCAAATCTAAGAACTCTATGAGCACCGAGAAAAAAAAGAGAAAGAGGGTTGAAGTTTGGAAAAAGGGATGCGAAGGGGAAGAAGGCGTCGCAGGTTTTCTGTGGGAGGCGAATCCGTACCCAGTTGAACTTGATTGACCCTGCACCGCAGATCTGTACTGCGGCGGTATATTTTACTTACAAGGGACTCGGTACTTCGGTACACAAACAAAGTCTACCGGCTTAGGCTTAGCGCTTGATACTGACCCAGTAAAAACACCGTATCAGCGCACAGGTCAGATTTTTTTTTCCGGACTCGCCAGTTGCTGCGACTCTCTGACTAAGGCAGCATATATGCACTGTGACTGGATGCAGCATGTGCATGTTACCTTAAAAGCTGTACATGCGAATACACGGTCCTCTGTACTAAATACTACGACATGGGTAACACGGAATTAAAAATAGAGTAACTTGCTGGTTCTATCTAGATACTTGCCTAAGCTTCAAACTCCTTCATTTCACGCTGCTGGTTGTTGCGGCGAACAAGGTAAATGCCCACCACGATAACAATCGCCAGCAGGAACCAAATCGGGCGCATCGAGTATGAGGAGGCATCGGTCTCCTCAACAGGAACTTCTGTGTTGACTTGGGGTTCGTTGTCGTCGTATTCTTGGAGATGCATCGTCAGCCACCGTCTACCAGTAGCGGAGGCGCAGCACGAGGGCCATTGCTGATCTACAGCTCGTCGCGGCTACCTTTGTCCTCAGATTCCTTCTCCATCTCGAGCTCGCCACTTTTGACAATCTTGACAGCGTCAATGGGTTTGTCGCCGCGGGCTTTGGGGACGTTCTGGATCTTGTCGACAATATCGTAGCCCTCGAGGACCTCGCCGAACACGACGTGCTTGCCATCGAGCCACGAGGTGATGGCGGTGGTGATGAAGAATTGGGAACCGTTGGTATCCTTGCCGGCGTTGGCCATGCCTAAAAACTAGTTAGCGCCGCCTCGTCATGATAGACATTAGGGTGTATCTTACTCAATTGACCCTTACGAGTGTGGCGGATCTTGAAGTTCTCATCGGGGAACTTGTCACCATAGATAGACTTGCCACCGGTGCCTGTAACTTCGTTAGTATCCGCAGTGTACTTACCAAGGGACCAATACGAACCATCGCCCTTGGTGAAATCACCACCCTGGATCATGAAATCCTTGATGACACGGTGGAAAGTCGAGTCCTGGTAGCCGAAGCCCTTCTCGCCGGTGGCGAGAGCACTAGGATTGCATTAGTATTCGTCAAGGATAATCGTGATCGTTATCGATGTCATTGTACCGGAAGTTCTCTGCAGTCTAAAAGATCACAAATCAGTTATTGTTCTCAATCAAAACGCGGAACCAATAGTGTTTCAACATACCTGGGGGACAGTCTTGCCGTAAAGACCCATCACAATGCGACCGAGGGGCTCATCGCCATGCTGAATATCGAAGAAGACCTAGAGAACGATTAGCTCTGCAGGAACCCCGGCAATAAGATGAAATACCTTGTTGGTGATCTTAGGACCACGGGGCCTGGCGTCCTCAGCCTGGACCAGGGCGATGCCAACGGCAATGACCAAGAAAAGAGACAGGAAAAGGTTGCGGAAATTCATGGTTGCGAATTGCCAAGATTGTAGTTGGGAAGGAAGGGAGGTCGAGAGGGGAGGCCAGCTTGCGCAATAGCGTGCGGAGAGTACACACTCTTATCTGGTAATATTTGCAATGACTATCAATCACTCTGGGCGGCAGATTACAATTTATTACCTCGAATACGGAAATGGAGTTTACAATTACGGTCCATGATTTGCAAAAAGTTTCCCGGAGAAACCTTTTTGCCGAACGATTTCTCCCGCGCATCTCGATCGGCGACTTGAGTGAAGCACGAATTAACTAACAGCCGCATCAGAAAAGACAAGATGGTATTGTGCTCTCCACTGTGCCTGAAATTATCACGCAAGCTAACAAAATTCCTACAGGTCTTCATTCTCGGCGTCAACTTTCCTGAGCGGAACCTGCTCAAGGTCAGCACACCCTCGTCTATAACATCTCCTCCGACCCTATCCCTCCGTACCGCGCAATTGACCGGAAACTGACGCATGTCAACATCTAGAAGTCCCTTGAGACCTTCTTCGGAGTCGGTGGCAACACTTCATCCCGCCTCTTGGCCCGCTTTAACATCCACCCGACTTGCCGCGTCGGCGAGCTGGCCAACAAGCAGGTCCTCGACCTGACCGCTGTCCTTTCCGACATGAAGATTGAAAATGACTTGCGCCGAGAGGTTTTGAATGACATCAAGCGCTTGAAAGAGACCGGTACCTACCGTGGTCGTCGCCATGCGCTCGGCTTGCCTGTTCGCGGCCAGCGCACACGGACTCAGGTTGGTGTCCCTTGTCCGCTTTCCTTGGGGTGTATCTGGAGCTGGAGAGTTACTTTGGGTTCTCTAGCTCTCGATAATATGGAATGGGGAAATGTATATTTTGGATGAACATGGACTAACTACTAATAGATCAAAACTCCTGTCCGGTTGAACCGGATGGAGCGTCGCCTTTAAAAGTCTCGCGGCCGCGTGATTTTATTGAAATATTTTTTTTGGGACAATCTCACGTCTTGTGTGAGGCATGGGAATGGCGTTTTCTTGATTGCTAGATCTTTAGCCGGCTTTGATGTCACTGTACCTAGGTCACTATACGTACCATATTTCCTCTGCCGGGTGGGGCTTTCCTATTCCAGATGCCGCCGCTTTAATGAGGGCGCTCAGAGTTAGGCTCACTGAGTAAATTTCAGTCCAGGCTCAGACTCACTAACGTGGTCGGTAAACGAGTGACGCATGTAAGCGAGTGACGCACCCCAAAACACCATAGTAAATGGGATAACTCACAACCTTATATCTCAACAACCATAGCTTCTCGTAAGACTTCCTCATAAGCGTATATTATTTAAGTTAATTCTAATGTTTTTTGAAAGTCTCAAAGGGTTTTAGGAAGTAGTGGTCAGATAACATATCCTTAAAGCTCAACCACCAAAATTACAGTGTATTTTTGGTAAAAGCTGTCAAATTAGGATTAAACTAAACCAGGCTTTCTTTACCAGACTTTTAATGCACTAATTCAGTAAAATTATGTATATTGAGAAGAATGAGCTTATTGTTGTTGAGATACATTGTTGCATTTACTATAGTGTTTTGGGGTGCGTCACTCGCTTACATGCGTCACTCGTTTACCGACCACGTTAAGCTGCTCAGAGCCAGTTACGTAATAGATTAGGAAGGCCCTCTAAGTATACTCACTAATTACTTAGTAGACCTGGCACTCACCCGCCCCGCGGGTCCAAGATCAGGAACCTCCACCCGCACCTCCGAGGGTCAGGGTCCAACCTCACCGACCCTAACCCTAACCCTAACCCTCTAAGGGTCCCTTAAGGGTTACCCGCGGAGGGTCCGTCAGACCCTTAAATATATATTTTCTCCGCGCCTTTCCTAATTCGGATATATAAAATTAATAATTTAGCTTATAAAAATACTATTATTTATAGCTATTCTAATATCTATTTCTATTATTCCTTAATTATATACTAATATCTACGAAATTTAAAGAAATAAGATTATAAATAGATAACTTATATATTATTATCTTAGTATTCTGAAATTTAACTTAAATTATATAGTGGGTAGCTAATTTTTAAGGGGTTATAAAAAGTTAAGAGTTTTGTTACGGAAATATATATTAAAGATAGAGTAAGAGTACTATATTTATATAATAGTAAATATATCTTTTTTTTTTAATACTAAAAATTCCCTAAATTAAAATCTTTCTTTGATTATAACGTAATCCACACCAAACCCGCCACCACACCAAACCCGCCACCCCATCCACATATTCTTTATTTATGAAGCTTTTATAAAACCACAACGCCTTTATATTCAATTTTAGCCTTATCTGGACATGCGTAAGCCCTATGGCCAGGCTTTCTGCATAGACTATATGCGTATTAACGTTTATTGGTGTGATTATCGGTCACTGAAGGCCTCTGGGTGGGTGTTACAGATACCACCCTACCACCTTCCATTTACCTAGTAGACTAATACCTTGCTTATAGGCTTCATGAACGAATAAGCCCTCATCGCGCTGTATTTGCCGTTTAGGCAATGCCTTTCTTTTTATCTTTTTGTAGTTTACAGCGCGTAGATCTGTCACTTCTTGCTCTAATAGAAGGATACGCTTTATGACTTGTTCGCATGCCTTATAAGCCTAATCAAATGCCTCTTTTGTAGGCGTAGGTAGGCTATCAGTCCGATATTTGATAAGCCGTCTTACTAATGCCTTATGCTTTGAAAGCTGTTTGATATTGCTTGGTGTTTCGGGGCAATAAATGCTTGATCGGCTTAATAGTCGGTCTGATATAGGCGGACGAAGCTGGATATTAAGCCTTTTAAGGACTTCTGCCGCATTTAAAGGGATCAAATCGGTCGCTTTAAATGCATTCTGGATACTTCTAGCCTAAAATATATCTTCGCGCGCGCGTGGGTAGGCTGCAAGGAAATCAAGCTTGTCAATATAGTTTATACCTATACGCGTCTGTTGGTCCACTAGCTGACCGTATAATCGCTTTAGAACTGCGAAACAGCCTATATCTAGAGGCTATAATAGATATAAGCTATGCGGTGGTATATATATAGGTATAATATCGTGTTCAGAGTATAGACGATCAAATTCAGGCGTAAGGTGGCTTCCATAACTATCAAGGATTAATAGCCTATACCGACCACGTATACGACTTGTGGTCAAAGGAATAAAAAGCGTTCGAAGCCAGCGAAGCCTAATTATATCAGAAGTCCACCTATTTAGACTAACTTCGAAGCGCTAGTCCCTTAGGGTATCGTGGAACCATAATTTAATATAGCGCTTGCCTTTAAATATAATTAATAGCGGCAAAGCCTAGCCTAAAGTATTAACTATTTCCACTGCGGTTACCTATTCACGATTGCCTAGCTATAATACTAATTGACGGCTATAATATTCAGCTCTAGTAACTACCCTTGCGGTAGAAACTAGGCCTATTACGAAGCCGGTTTTATCGAAATTATAGATATTATTAGGCGGGATACCATAGCGCGTAATAGTCTCCCTAATCAGCCGAAACCATTCATTTAATACCCGCGGATCCTCTTGCTTAGCCCGTGAATAGTTATATTAACGCGAGAAACGTATTTAAATAGCCGGTGTACGCTTCATATAGTTTCCGACCCAGTTTACACCGACAGCATTAGATCCGGTCGCCGTAAGAAGAATATTAGCCATTCTGCGTACTATAGCATGCCTCGGGGCTGCACCACGATTATCTATAGATAGAATCCACTAGGTAAGCGTATCCTTATCTAATTGGGTCATTTTATAGGTATGGGCGCGTCTGGTAGCCTTTGAACTGTGGCCGCTCATCCGGTCGCGCAGCGTGGTTCGCGGTACGTCATAGACGCGTATAGCGGCAGCAATAGAAGGAAGATCTTTATTCTGAATAGCCTGGATTGCAAGCTCGATTCTACCCTCTTACTGGATAGAATTCTGCTTCTTTTCAGACCGAATTGGTGGCATAGTGGGCGTTTCAAAGTGGTGGGGGAGGTAAAGAGGTAGGGAATTGGATGGGGTGGCGGGTTTGGTGTGGATTACGTTAAAATAAATATAGACTTATTTAAATAATTACGAATTTAGATTCCTCGTAAGTATTTTAGTTATTATATAAAATAAGTTTAAAGATTTAGATTATTAGACTTAGATATTTTTAATTATAAAATTTAAGACTATATAACTAAAGGGTTACCCTAAGAGTCTTAAGGGTTACTTTAAGGGTCTTAAGGGTTACCCTCTCCGCGACCTAATTAGATAAGAGAATTTTAGCTAAGAAGGGGCTTAGAGAATAATATATTACTTTATATCTTTACGTGACTAAGATAAATAGATTCCCCTTATATAATAGCTTTTTTTTTATCTAAAACCTTTATAAGTCCTCTTATTCTACCTCTCTATAACCTATATATCTATTATATCCTAAATCTCTAATATATATTTATTCTCGGTAATTAAGAGGGTTAGAATAAATAAGTTATAATATCTTATCCCGGATAATACCTTATTTATAAGCCTATTCCTATTAAGCTAGCTTATCTTCGATATAATACTTAATACTCTATAAAGAGTAAATTTAGTACCTAATAGCCTTATATAAACTAAATTTAACTAAGTAAACTAATTCCTATTATATAAAGATAAAATAAATAAGAAGTTTATAACTTAGTAGCTCTAAATAAACTATAAAAGGAAGAAATAAATTTATTAGGACAAAAAGTATTAAGTAAGTTATTAGGATAGCTTTAAGTAAGTAGCTTATATAAAAGATAGGAAGCCTAATATAATATATATAAGATATTAGAAGGTTCTTAACTATCTAGCTACTAGATATATTAGTACCTGTTGGAGCATAAGGGGAAAGCTACCACGAAGCAGATCGTGGCCCCTTAAGTCCGTGGGATCAACCTTAGTCCGGCCAGGTCAGTCGGTGCCAGACAAAGGAAGAAGGTCAAAGGTCGTAGGATAGACTATACGCAGATATAGCCTAAACGAAGGCAGAACCGCAGTCCTGAGGATCAAAGGAAGAAAGTAGAACTGACTTTGGAAAGTGGAAAATGACTTTATTCTTTCTGCTAGAAAAGAAGGACATATTTATAGGCTAAAGTAGCCTAGAAATGACGTCTAGAATAACATACAAATACTAGACAGCAACATAATAAAGGTGGCAAAGAAGGGAACCGAAGAAAAGCCAAAAGAATGATGTCAAGAATCGACGGTTTCAGCCACCCCGAAAGCTTCCCCGCAGTATCAGGTTATGCATGCCCAAAGGTGGACCATTTTATCCCTAAGGGAAAGTGGTCCGCCTATCCTTGAGGGGACTGAGGGTCGAAGTCTGTTCACCGAGGTTCGAAGACCATGGTCGAAGTCCGCAGGCAAGATATGCCCGAAGGCACCTCCGAAGGAACGGACCATTCATGCCTGAAGGCGGACCATTTACCTCTGAAGGAAAATGGTCCTGCCTATCATTCGGGAGAGGGCCGCGGACCAGAATCAGAAGTGGTCAAAATATCATTTTGATAGAAGAAAAAATCTGGTCACGTGATTAATACAATGCTGATCTTATATGTTGAATATAAGGATAGATCTTTCTTTGTAGCATTGGTCTATATTCCAATAGTACCTTATTAATATATAAATATCTTAAAGGACTATAATATTAGAAGAGGATAAGTAAACTAAGTATCTATAAGCTACTTATATAAGCTATATATATAACCTAGACTATCTCTTAGCTTTTAACCTACTAAGGTTAGTGAGCGCCTACCTAGTTATTTAATTAGAATACTTAGGAACAGAAGCTTCTAAATCTAATTACTATATTATATTTACCCTTCCTTTTCCTTAAGTATTAAGAGTTCAATAATCTTATCTTATATACGCGATTAGCTCTAATAACACTAATTATTCCTTCTTAGAAAATAATATATATAAGGCTCTATTAATTTATTACTAAAAACTAAATAATTATTCTCTAAAGCCTACTATTAGATATAAAGCTATCTTTAGTACTTAATTATTAGATATTACTATTTTAGTAAGTATTTATAATAATTATAGCTTACTTCCTAGATTAGGACTAAATATATCGCGAAGTTCTTCTTAGCTTTAAATCTTTATTTAATATATATTTAAGTATTAACCTTAGTAAGATTATTATATAGATTCTCTAATAATATAAAATTATCGACTATATCCTTATGGTTATTACCGATAATATATTAAATAATATAATATTTATAGCTATAATAAATAATATAATCTAGACTCTTTAGCTTAATATAGATTTAATAATTATTTAAGTACCTTATATTATATATATTATTTAAATTAGTCTTATAGATCTACTCAGAAAGATAAAGGTAACTCCTAAGAATAAATCGCGAAACTAAAGTAAAAAAAATGATTATATATAAACGCTACGCGCTTAATAGCAAAGCGAGAGATCGCTAATACACTAAATAAGGTTAGTCTTTTAATTATTATTATATAATAATTAATCTTTAAGCTTATTATCTATATATAAATTTCTAGGTTCGCTATCTTACTATTTATATTAACGTAAGTCTATAATATCGTAAAGCCTTTTATAATCTTTAGCCTAATAAGCTAAAGCTTATACCTATTTAGGATATATAAACTTAATAAAACTCAATATATCTTATATTTCGCTAGGCTAAGAGACTCTAAGCTACTTTTAATATCTTTCACTTATAGTATAACTAACCTTATTTTACACTTAGCGTAGAAGAGTAGCGATAAATCGATTACCTCTTATTTATCCTATAGCCCTTTTATAAATATATAATAGTTATTTATATAACGAAAGACTTAAGTATTCACTTAGTCTTTAGTTTCTATAATAAGCTTTTTAATTATCTTAAAAAGTTTATTTATTAACTCTAGCGAAAGAAGGTTATATAGAAGTAGCTTATACTTTCCTTACTAAAGGTAATATAAGAGAAACTATTAAAATATTATAGTATAATAAATAATATAAAAAGTGACCTTTATACTATTAGTATAATCTTAGCTCCCGCGAATAAGCTATAGTTCTTTTTAATAAAGGATTAAAAGTTAGATAACCTAGAAAAGGACTAAAAAAGAATTTACTATAAGAGTCTTCAGTCTTTCTTTAGGTTATATAATAAGCGTCTTCTGCGAGATAGGCTACGATTAGATAGCTAGTTATTAATAATAATAATAATAGATATAGATTTAATATTTAAAGACTTATAATAATTATTATCTCCGTAATATAACGAGCTTATAAGATATCTTAAAAGTTATATATTCTTCCTTCTTTTTTACTAAATTATACTAAATCCTTATTTTAGTAACTATACGAGGCTCCCCTTAGATATTCTAAAAAGAGTATAAATATAAGTTTCCTATACTTATAAGCCTTACGCGGGATATAATATCGATTCTAGTAATTAGAGTAAGGGTAAAATACTAAAATACCTCTTTAACTCTACCTAGAATATCTATTATTATTAATAAGGCTCGTTAAAGCGAAAGATAATTCGTGATATTATACTTTAGATATATATAATAAGATTTAACCTTTATAAGTAGAAGCGGCTTATCCTATAAGAATATCTCTTATATTAAGAGATCGTAGCGATAACTAAGGCTAATAAAATCTAGGATAAATCCTTTAATCTAATTAGTAATACTAAGGAGAATAATATATAGGCTTAGGATAAAGAGTCCCTTCTATAGTCTTATATAACGATAGCTAATCTTAAAGGGATAGAGATTATAGATTATAATAAGGATAATAATAATAATACTAACCTTCCTTTACCTAATACTTAATAATATATATTTAGTAAGAAGTGTAAGCGCTTAAAGCTACTTAATAGTGTTGGGATATAAGGGGAAAGCTACCACGAAGCAGATCGTGGCCCCTTAAGTCCGTGGGATCAACCTTAGTCCGGCTAGGTCAGTCGGTGCCAGACAAAGGTAGAAGGTCAAAGGTCGTAGGATAGACTATAAGCAGATATAGCCTAAACGAAGGCAGAACCACAGTCCTGAGGATCAAAGGAAGAAGGTAGAAATGACTTTGGAAAGTGGACAATGACTTAAGGAAAGTAGAACTGACTTGATTCTATCTGCTAGAAAAGAAGGACGTATTTATAGGCTAGGATAGCCTAGAAATGACGTCTAGAATGACATACAAATGACGTACAAACACTAGGCAGCAACATAATGAAGGTGGCAAAGAAGGGAACCGAAGAGAAGCGAAAAGAATGATATCAAGGATCGACGGTCTAAGCCACCCTGAAAGCTTCCCCGTAGGATCAGGCTATGCATGCCCAAAGGTAGACTATTTTACCCCTAAGGGAAAGTGGTCCGTCTATCCTTAAGGGGACTGAGGGTCGAAGTCTGTTCACCGAAGTCCGAAGACCATGGTCGAAGTCCGCGGGCAAGGCATGCCCGAAGGCACCCCCGAAGGAACGGACCATTCATGCCTGAAGGCGGACCATCTACCCCTAAAGGAAAATGGTCCCGCCTATCGTTTGGGGGAGGGCCGCGGACCAGAATCAGAAGTGGTCAACATATCATTTTGATAGAAGAAAAATCTGGTCATGTGATCAATGCAATCTGGTCTTATATGTTGAATATAGTAGATCTTTCTATGTAGCATTGGTCTATATTCCAATAAATAGCTATATACTTAGGTCTTAATAATTTATTATTTATTCTATATACTAATCTAATTGTATGATATTTTTCTCCGACTTTATAAAGGCTAATACTATAGCTAAAGAAGCCTATTTCTGATAGCTATCAGAATCTACTTATACTATAGCTCCTAGTCCCTAATACCCTTTTCTAACGGCTATTAGAAAAGGTAACACTATAGCAGAATACCCCTAAATAATAATAGCTATCAGAAAAGGTAACGCTACTGATATACCTCGCGACTATACCTATTCGACTGTTGACTCCTACGTGATTGATATACTGGGCATTCATGACAACCGTTTTCGGCATCAACCTAATGCTGTGAATAATCTTGGAGACTGTGCTTACCAACTGTCCGTGTTGACTGCGATGCGAACAATTTTTCAGTCGATTTTCAATCGGAGTTTCCGCAGAGGCCCATTTGTATTTGTATTTACAGATCTCCACCAAAGCAACATTTTCGTTGACACAGAATGGCATATAACATGCCTTGTGGATCTGGAATGGGCCTGCACTCGACCAGTTGAGATGGTTAGGCCTCCGTCCTGGCTTACAGACAAGGGCGTGGACGAGTTGGTTCCGGCAGAATACGATGCTATTCGCCGCCAATTTGTGGAACTCCTAGCTGCTGAGGAGAGAGAGTCTGGCTATAGTACATTGACAACGAGTACTGACGGATCAGCGCTGGTGTGTCTCTCAGATGTGATGAACCGAACATGGGAAACAGGGGCATTTTGGTATGCAATGGCCCTTGCAAGTCCTTCTGGTTTGTTCACTATTTTCAGCAATCACATCAGGCCCTTGTTTTGCACGGGCTACGATGAGGAATTCGGTGTGGTTATGCCATTTTTCTTCGAAAAGAATGTGGGGAAAATCGCAGGTCGCAAGCTCGCGGATAAAGAGGAGTACGACAGGAATCTTCGACAGGCCTTTGAAGACTGCTCAGGCTAAGCCCACTATGTTCAGTGAAAGCTATATCTTTCCAGAATTCTCCTTCTTCGCGAGCGACTCGTGCCACGTTACGGTTCTATAGACACTTTCGGTGAGTAAAGCTTGCGAAAAGAGGTTACTATGGTTCGCCTTACTTGATATGCGGAACGAAACGAAGGACCCCAAGTAAGGAATGGGATTCGTGACGCTGCCAACAAACTCTCAACAGGCACAGAAGCTGTGTGTTTCTAGAAGAAACGGCCTGCTATAGACTCGACTATGCAGTATGCGTTCTATTGAAAGCCTGGCTCTGGAGTGTCATATCACCTGGGCAATGGCAATAAAAAGAGGTTGAGGTCCTCTAGCCTTCAAATAGGATTATATTATTTTTGGCCGATCGAGTCATACAATTACCCCGCCCCATCGAGGCAAGTCTATCACGTCACTCCAATTGGGGGATGGGTTGCAATTTGAGTGGCGCAGCCGGGCAAGACAGATGCTTTATCCCGCAAATTTCATGGGGGTTTCCAATTTAGGAAGGAATTTTAGACAAAGTCCCTAATTTTGGTGTCCCTTGAAACCGTCGAGGGAAGTATCTATTGTAGATATGAACTCAACCCCTCTATTCCACTAGCTTGAAGACACACAGAAGCTTGAGAAGCAATTCGGCAAACTGTAGACTGCTAGCCGGTATGCGGCATTTCGATCAATGATGACGGTCCAAATAAAGATGAAAACAAACAGTAACGGGCTGAAATATCAACTAATCCCGTACAAATTACGGGTATTCGCTGGAAAGACCACAAAGGTTGCCTTCCTCCCCTGTCCCTAAGGCTGGACGCCACCGGATAGCCCCAGAAACGGGGTCGATTATTCCTTACGTTGTTACTGTAGAGGATCACAAATATCTCTTCACTGGTGTGCTTGAAAGAGTGTTGTCTGACCTTGCCACAGCTGATGCCGGGAGTGAGAGGGCAACAAGGCCCAAGTCCGGAAACGCTAGCCCTCTAAGTACTCCTGTCTTTCAGCTTGACCCTTCCTAACAAGGTCTCGACATGGACGAACTCAGGCAGCTACTGGTGAAACTCGTCCAAGCCCGTGCATATTCTTCATTTGAATCGATTTACAAGCCATTTGACGCACTTGGGCTCTGTGGGTTGGATTCTGCAGGCATCAGATCGCAGGAAAATAATCAACGGAAAATAAATCCGATCCTATTCACCATGCAGTATGCTGATTGAAGAGAGCCTTCTCCTAGAGCATGCACCAGGGAAACTTTCAACGACCCCAATATTCAAACTTCGCCACGAGGATCCATAATATCGGCTTCTGGGGGTTTAAAAGACATCCGGGAAATGCAGCTGTCACTCCCGGGAGCGAGCCAGATCGTGGAGCCAGATCGTGCCTTGGCTCTCCACCTTTGGTCCCGGGAACACACCAATCCATTCACAGGAGTCTTCATGGTAGCACTTTCCGCGACGAACAGGGATCGTGCCGGGGAACTCTGCGGGGCGAGATGATCCAAGAGCCCTTTTACTTTCATAGATTAAATGAATGATCCGGCATCGTCTAACATGGACAACGGATACTGTCTTTAGCCTCTTGCGTTCAATCCTGCATTGTTACTTGGACATGTCTAGGACTACGAAACTGCCTCGGATACCTAGGTACCTTTAGATTATATATCGAAGGTGACCAACTGACCGAGCAAGTTGCGAAAATACTTCCAAGAAGCAAGTCGAATCGAACAAAAGCGAGTTCATTGTGGCACACCCCCTGGGAAGGTAGATAGGTATAATTCATAATGCTTCAAGGTAACCATGCATTGAATATTTTGAAACGCCCCTTTTAGTTAGGGTCTGCGAGGTCCTCGCTGTTTAATTGGTACAACTGCTTCCCTAGTTCCCCTTCAACTCGATACTTCTCCCCGACAGTGGTGTCCACCGCAAACTCGTTCGTTTCTGTAAATCCACTGACGATATAGTCAACATCATACTCGTCGGTATCAAACCGAGCCTGGCGAATGATATTGCGAAAGCCATCGAGAAAGACGACTAAAAGACGCCCGGAACGAAAGGCTTCCTCGTCCGCAATGATCATATATATCTCAGTTATCACATGTTGCATGCTAGTCGCTGCTTCTTCGATGACCGCCTCTCGGTTCTCACGCCACCTGTAAGGATCTCTCTGTTTCTCTCTGTGAAGTGCTTCTTTGAACCAGACACGGAGCTCAACAAGGTCATTATCCTCTAGATCTAAGGCTCGTTTCAGTGTCCGTTCAGTCAAACTCCCGCCACTACCGGGGCCAGCGATCTCTGGAAGAATCTCAAACACGCGTCGCCACTCCGAACCAAAGTCAAACTGAGTCGCGTCATTAAGAGATGCCCACCAAGCCTCATACTCGAATTCACCCGATGATGCCCATTGATCCATTAGTTCATCCTCTTTGGTTCGCTTATCTTCCTCGACGCTATAGTGAGTCCGAAGAAAGACTGGGAAATCTTTGTAGTGGTGTTCATGGATCTGGCTAGCACGCCGTCTGAGCGCGTCATTCCGATAAGGTCGTAAGATCACGTCGATTTCGTTGGTGGTCGGTGTACGACGCGGCGGAGTTCCCTCGAGAAGACAAGCCGGGTCTTCTAGCCACTCAATAGGAACTTCTTGAAGGTCAAGATACCCATATATCAGCCGTTGTCGCTGCTGGGCGGGCGTTTCGGTGGACGAAGCATCCCAGTTATTCTATGACATGATGACCTTATCAGCTCTGCACCATGAAGAGAAAAACAGGGAAAGCGTAGCTCACGATCAAGTACTGTTCAACAGCCAGTGCACCCCACAGAGGGGCATTCGAACCATCCATCGTCGACGAGACCAAGGGATCTCAGAAGAGAGGGAAGGAGAGAAAGCGCCAGAGCCGCGTCAAAAGAGGAGGACTACGTTGTAGTACGAGGAAATCGGAGAGAGAGAATGATGATGCTATCTCGAAGGAAGCAAAACAGAAAGGGAAAACAGGGGGCACCCAGCTGACTGGGACCCAGAACTAACAGACTGGGACTCAGGATTTTATAACTAATCCTAGGTCCTATTTAGGTGCCAGAGCTAACTAAGACCTAGGATTCTAGCTTATATAATCTTTCTTAGCGTAAAATAAAAATTTCTGCCTTTTAGATACCCCTTTTTAACCTAATTATATACGTACTCTACAGAAACTAAGATAGCCTATTCTTATTTTCAACTATTGCTATTTTTATTACTAATAATATCTATACGGATAGTCTCTAAGTATAAGGTAATTTCTTATAATTAAGCTATATTTAGTGCTAGCTTAGAACTTAATTATCTAATATATAGGTTACCTAAACGACCTATATAAAATATTTTAACTATATATTAAGTATATACTAATTACGCTTAATAAGAATAAGCGGATTTAGAGATTTCTGAATACTAAGACTATATTAATAAATAGTAATCTTCTAATAATAATTCTAGTTATAAAAATAAGGAATAAAATAGTTCCTTAAAGACTACTTCTATCCTTAATCTTAGCTAAATAAATATAGCTATAGATAGGACTAGAATTAATAATAATAATAGAGATATTATTATCGCTTACGAAATTTAGGAATACCTTCTAGTTCCTAAATATCTTAATATAGATAAAAATAATATATTATATATTATTTATACCACGAAAAACCCACTATAAGATACGCCGAATACTTCTTATGATATCTATAAGAAATTTACTTAAATTATATTATCCGTAAGTTATATTTAAATAATATATATATTTAATACATAGACTATATAAATAATAGCCCTAGATCTAATTTTTAAATATAAGATTAAAGTCTATAAAGTAAATTAATATAAAGCTTCTATAAAAAATAATAAAGATAAAGAGGTAAGATCTTAGTATTAATCTTATTAGTGTTTAGGGATCTAGTATTACTATTAAGTCTATCTTAGTATTATTACCCCTTTACTAAAATATAATTAAGTTTAGCTATAGATATTTGTTGGGATATAAGGGGAAAGCTACCACGAAGCAGATCGTGGCCCCTTAAGTCCGTGGGATCAACCTTAGTCCGGCCAGGTCAGTCGGTGCCAGACAAAGGAAGAAGGTCAAAGGTCGTAGGATAGACTATAAGCAGATATAGCCTAAACGAAGGCAGAACCACAGTCCTGAGGATCAAAGGAAGAAGATAGAGATGACTTTGGAAAGTGGAAAATGACTTGAGGAAAGTAGAACTGACTTCAGGAAAGTAGAACTGACTTTATTCTATCTGCTAGAAAAGAAGGACGTATTTATAGGCTAGGATAGCCTAGAAATGACGTCTAGAATAGCATATAAATGACGTACAAACACTAGGCAGCAACATAATGAAGGTGGCAAAGAAGGGAACCGAAGAGAAGCGAAAAGAATGATGTCAAGGATCGACGGTCTAAGCCACCCCGAAAGCACCCCCGCAGGATCAGGCTATGCATGCCTAAAGGTGGACCATTTTACCCCTAAGGGAAAGTGGTCCGCCTATCCTTAAGGGGACCGAGGGTCGAAGTCTGTTCACCGGGGTCCGAAGACCATGGTCGAAGTCCGCGGGCAAGGCATGCCCGAAAGCACCCCCGAAGGAACGGACCATTCATGCCTGAAGGCGGACCATTTACCCCTAAAGGAAAATGGTCCCGCCTATCGTTCGGGGGAGGGCCGCGGACCAGAATCAGAAGTGGTCAAAATATCATTTTGATAGAAGAAAAATCTGGTCACGTGATCAATACAATCTGGTCTTATATGTTGAATATAAGGATAGATCTTTCTATGTAGCATTAGTCCACATTCCAATAGAGACTAATAAATATCTTTAATAATAAAAGAGGCTTCTTAATTATACTAGCTTTATCCTAAATTATATTATCGCTATCTAATATAATAATAAGAGAACTATTAATCTCTTAACTAAGAAGGAAGCCTCCTTCGATACTAAGCTTAAATATATAGATATATATTATTATTTGCTAAGATAAGAGATATAAGCTAGCTATATTATTATTAAATAGATGTCCACTAATAATATAGCTACGGATAGCCTTATAAAACTCTTACCCTAGCGAAAATATAAGAATTTTATCTATTTAAATATCAAGGATATTAGGTACCTAATAGACTAACTCTAATAGGGAAATTAGTATCTATTCCCTAGAAGGTATAGACTTAAAGGATTTAGAGAATATTCAGGATTTCTAATAGCTATAAGAAGACTTATAGGCTATTAAGGGGGTATGTTAGCATAAATATCCCCCAGTATAAAGGAGAATATATTATTCCGAGTGTTTGTTGTATTCACATATCTATTCCATATAAATATGTGTTCTTATAGATTAGATAAGATCAGAGTTTTCAATAACATTCACAATTTGACCGCCTTCCTCTCTCCAACAGGCTTAGTCCAGAACCTGTCGAAACTTTGAATGACCGTATAGACTGTCGCATAAATATGGCATAATACCGCTAGACCAAAAATGCACCATGGGCAACATTCTTAGTCTATACGGTCATTTATTGTTCCGATAGAACCGTAATCGATCACGTGGCGCTTAACGATCGGGCACTGTCATCGAATAATCTGACAGTAGCTTGCTCCTTAGAGGAGCAATGCTACCAGACTATTATGGGAGAGGACAGAGACCGAAACATCTTTTGAACATCGTTATACCACACTCCAGCAAAGATTTTGCTAGAGGGCTAGGCTGTCTGTTGGCGGTTTGAGTCCAGTTAACGGAAATATTATATCGTATGGTTTTGGCTGCATATAATAGAGGCGTCGTGGCACGAGTTCAGGATGCGATTCCGAACCGCCAACAAGGCGTCCGACCAATAGGCGCACAGTGTTCACCTCGAACCGCCAAAAAGTACCTTTCTTGTATAATTCTCTTAGGATATACATTATTTTCAGAACCATTCTTGGCGGTGCATACAAAGTTGAGGTAAATCCAGCGAAAACGTTCTTCCAGTGAACATGATCGGGTTCTTCACAGCCGTTATTATTTGCCTTTGGCAGAAAAACTCCTCATCCTTGAATGGCTGATTTTCATTGAGCTCCTCATTCTTTAGCAAACACTGGCAGAAATCAGGCGCTTATTTGCTTTGGTTGAAGAAAAGGGTGTCTAGCCAGTTCCCTAGCCGTTTTTCTCGCATCTGGGTGCCAGACAAGCATTTCCTTGGCGAGGTCCAAAAACAATTCCTTCTCCTCTCCCCTAAGGAATAAAGGTGTGTCACATAGGTTGCGGTTAGGGATTAGGGCTTCGTAGAGGAAGCGACCTAAGGTGTTTCGTGAGTCTGAGAATAATCCGATCGAGATAGGAACCCTGGCAATCCCTTTTTCGTTAAAGAATGGCCCATAGAAATACCCCTCCGCGGTCTCGCATACTCTGCCGTCTTCTCGTCTGACAGGTTTCGGCCACGAGTACTCTCGCATATATTGATACCTTTGTATGATCTCTGGAGGAGGTGGACCGAGTAAGGCTATCATTTCGGCGATGTGTAGTTTAGCATCGTAGCGACCTTCGTGGTCATAAATATGCTGGAATAGCTCTCTGCCTTCGATCATATCCCACAACTAATCGAGCATTAGTGGATGCAACAACTCAGGAGAAGAACGGAACGCACCAAAACACCAAGGTTCCAAATATCCGCAGGCATTTGCCATCCATTACCCAGTATCACCTCTGGGCCTCCTTCTTCCAGTTGCTTGCATGATATGATGTTCTCTTTTCTTCTTATCAGGCCAGCCCATGCGGCTTTCCGCTCCTGAGTTTCATTAAAAGAGTGTTTTCCATGTGTTAGTGCCTGTGTAGCTTAGCTCTGCCCATTACATCCGGGTGCCTCCTCACGGTTGCAGCTTTTTGCCAGATTTGCAAGCTCCATTTTAAAACGCATGAATTATATTATTGAAAGTTAAATTGCTTTCACCGCTCGCCTTTCTGTTCCGTTGGGGTTGGCGTTGAATCCACCAGTCCTCATTCTAGCCAGCTCCATTTTTCGCCCAGGCATCTATGCTGAACTCCCATCCGTGGTGTTCACATCAATCAGTCTTTTAAGGAGATCGATACTTAATTTCATTTCGAGAAGCCCGAGACCGACTAAGGCAATCACTCCTACTGCAATCCATCCGAGCGCCATCGCTACGCCCCCAACATGGCCCGTGGCTGCACCATAGGTGAGGGTTTCTGCCATTGATGCCGTAGAACTGCTGTTAATATGCTGCCACAGTATGGAGATAAGGCCAAATCCAAACCCGATGCACGTGGTGAACAAACAAGCCGCTATCACGTGATCAGAAGGAAATGGCTTAGTCTCGATCTCTGATCCAGTTTCATCGACTTCTTTATGCCATCCGGGGAATGTTGATAGAAGTATGAAGCAAATGAAAGTAAGAATGACCACAATAAATCTATATATCCAATATATCAGCACATTGTAGCAGCTATTACCAAACAGGAGGACTTGCATCAACCCATCGAAGACAATCTTCTCCTTGAACTCGTTCGCAATCATGATCAAATTGAGCGGGTCGGGTGTAAATTCTGTGCTGGTATTCCCGGTTCTGATGGAGAATTTTTCTGCCTTGATCAGATTCGCCAACACTCTAGCATTTCTGGAGCAGATGCGCTCTGTATCCCTCAGTGCCACACAAAGCCCCATGTACCCCGCTCGCACTTCAAGGGTCGTTCCGTTGCCAGTTTGCGACACATTGTGGATAGCTTGCACGATGGCTGTGCTCACTTGTGCGGGCGCTGTAGCTAATGGAGAAGTCGTTGTTTTGTATTGTAGCGACAATAAGTAGACATTGCTCAAGCTGTTGGAGGAAGTGCAGCCGGCAAGAAGAACGGCTGAGAGGGATATACATTAACCAAAAAATCAAGGGGAATTATAAACCTTCTGACTGGCCTCACATAGCAAGATGATCGCGATAATCGTAAATATCATCAAAATGTGGTGGTACCCGATCGAAGTGGTCCCTCTCGCTGTGTTCCAGCGCCGCGTCAGCATAACGCAATCCAATATCATCGAGGAAGGAGCCTACCATGTCCTGAGTTGAATCGGGGCGCCATGAGCTTATTTAGAAGGTGTAATATGCGGAGGTTAGGGAAAAAGGATTAGTCTTGTGAAATGAAATAAATAGCAAACCCAATTCAAGGTGGTCATATAACCAAGAATGGTCAGAGCTGACATTGCCCCGCGCGGCCTTTTCGTTTGAGCGATGCTTGAATACGCTAACTCAGACTACCTTTATCTAGACTAGCGCGCATGGCTTGATTGGTTCTTTGTCAACTTTTCGTTGGTAATACTTATAGCACCCTATGATTTGTGGGACTGCTTCACCGAGTTTTGTAACTGTGAAGATAGTCCTGAATTTACGCTTAAAGTTATTAAACCCCAATTTGCACAGTTTATGCTGATCACTCCATATGCTCTACTCAGAGTTTCTAACAAACCCATTAAAACCCGAAATGACAACCCGCTCGCTATTGGGCATTGCTTCGTTCATAGGTAATAAGCGGCCCTATAGGATGACCTCCGCGTGCTACCCCAAAAGAGTGACCGTCCCCATGGCAAGAATCACAGTTATCACAACCCCAGCAGTTAGCCCACCCTTGATGCCAGTAGCAAGGGACGAGTCCAAATCAGTACCACCGGAATCGCAATGAATGTGGTGGTCGTGATCAACAAGAGAAATGCCATCCGAACCCACTGAGGAATGCTACGGATCCCGTGTATGATAAGTTCTGGTAATGCATTACGAAAGTCTGGTTCAGACCAGTACCAGAACGGGACGCCCACAAACGCAATGACAATGATCACAATGGCAATGATTACGGCACCATGAATACCAGAATCCAGCTCTCGCGTCCAGAGCATGGCGATCGGCGCCGCTGAAACTGCGCAATCCAACAGAATAAAGCTGATTGCGAAGCCGAACACAGCCCAGAGCTTCTCTGCTACCCCAAGACCGCTTTTGACAGTCCATTGCCAGGGTTTGATAATGCCCACACAAAGCCGGCTTCTGAGCCACCGAAAGACGAGGAGCATTGGAAGTGATCGAGGTTGGACAGGCTGGCCGTGTTTTTCTGTATATTTTCTGACATCGTACGTCATAGTTGCCTTGAGACGAGCGAGCCACTGGCTGCGCATAGTCATCCGCATCAAATAAGAGAATCCTGTCACCACAGTTGCCACAACGAAGAAGTTCTAGATAGGAACGGGTTTGGTAAAGGGCTCGACTTGCATGCCGAAGAATGATGTCGCGAATGACAAGGGGATAAACACGAATGCGAGCTGGGTAAGCCTGGTCACAGCACGATTTTCGTCGATCGAGCGTCGGCTATCTAACAGACCTATATTTGAAGTTAAGGACGTTGACGTTTTCCGAAGTCGGTCGACCATTTGATCGATGTCCTTTGAAAGCTTGTGCAGATCCTGCGTAACCTCTGAAGCGATAGACACACCCTCTTCAGCAGCATTTGGAGGATAGATGGTGCCGAGGAAAGTAATAAAAGGTCCCAGGCTGATTTTGAGCTCTGCAAGCTCTCGCTACGCACGGCAGATGAGCTGACGCCATAAGGCCAATCGATCCTCAATCTTTGTGTCATCTAAAATTTCAATTTCCACTTCGTCGAGAATCCGGCGTAGCCGCTTGAGAAGGGTCAAAGTATCTTGTCTGATAATCTGGAACACCGGTTTGACCAAGCTAATTGGTCTATTATGGGACCCAAGCGCTTCACAGATCTCTGTTTGGGTGGACTTAGTTTCGTCTAGTTTCTTCCCGAAATCCGTGGTTAACCGCGATGTTCGAAACATCCGGTCTAGATCGACTATGACTGCCTGGCGAGGTGCAATATGCTCGACGATGACCTTATGCTGTAGTTTATTGTTCTCCTCCGAATCAACCATGAGTATGGGTTCCTTGGACGTTCGTCTGACGACAATGTCGGCCCAAAGCCTGGCAACTTTGCGTCCATCCCTCACACGCTTTGGTTCTTCTGCGAACAGGTCCCTGATTCCATCTTCGATGAAATCAGCTCTGTGCCACGGACGACCCCTGCGACCGATCCTCTCCAGAGTCGCCATCTTGTCGCTGAGGATTGTATGATGTCCAAAATCGATGCTCCTCCGTTCTCTCCGGCACGGATCAAGGAGTAGGATTACTAAACGGTCAGAGAGAGTTATGATATATATCCACCCTATATCCAATCAATCACTTACCAATGTCACAGTCTCGACCCATAAGCTTCCCCTTCCAGATCGACATTCTCTCCTCTAAAGCCACACTCTCTTTTCATCCTCACTGTCTTTGTAGGGTCCGTCGACAAACCCCACTTTAACCTAAAGATATTTGTGATTACTCGTGTAGTAACACTTCCATGGCGCGTGAAATGCTCTGTGCTGTCTTCGAGAAGATTTTTAAGGTCACGGTTTGAAAAGTAGGTGGGCAGCTGATAAACAGGTCGAATCCACCTCAATGACACGTACGACTTCTCAAGCGATATGTCTTCCACGTTTGAGCCGGCGGCTCATCATAGTCTGCACCGGCGTAACCAGAATTCGGCAGATGTTCTTCGAAGAATTCTGGATTGATACTGAAGGTTTCGCCTAAGGCATTAATTGTCGGTTTTAAAAGATCTTCCACAATGATAAGTCGCAGTTGTCCATTAGGTGGAGCGTGTCCCAGAAGTGCAATATCTTTAGCGTCGTATATCTGTCTCGGATGGCACCTGAGGTTGTTGATATGATCGTAGTAGGTAATTGAAGTTCTGTTATGGCGGGAATGTTTAACGACATTTCCGTCTTTTATATGATCCAAAACCTTTCCTGCGTTGTTAAGAATCTTTTCGTATCTAACTCGAGTTGGTTGTCGTCTTCTGCGAGCAACAATCCTTTCTGGAACAACTGATGTTTCTGCTTGACGTTGGCCCCGAGATGACGGTCTCGATTCCGGAAGTGGGACAGTAGACGGGACCACGGGAACACGCGATTGCGAACGCACCTCCAGTGAAGGTCTGGATGCATTGTTGTCCTCGCCATGATCGTTGAATTTCCTCCGACGTGCAACTCATGACTGGCTGTGGAAGATGCCGCAGGGGAATCGGGCAGAGCTGTCGCCTCTGGGATATCATCATGGGCTAAGGGATAGCTGCGCAACACATCATCTAGTGAGTTCCTTGCGTCTATCCTCTCGCGGGGCAGGGCTTGAGGAGGTGGTGGAAAGTATGGTTGTTGCAACCACTGGAGGAGACCTTTAGCTGGCTGATCTCCGGCCATCAGATCGAATCATAGAGTCGGCCAGATAGTTAACATCATTCCTATGATTACTGTAAGGTATAAGTAATGGTCGCACAGGTGAGTCTGACCTTAACTTCAGCTGAAGGGCCTGTGCTCGAATTGCACATCACTGACTGGAATTTGCCACGTGATCGCCCCTTTAATCCTCTCCCGCTATTGGAAGTAAGATGAAAGATGGTCTTATTTTGTCGCCCACTGCCACGTGTCGTCACGAGTTTCGTGTCATTTTATCTAATGTATGCAAGGATTGCGATACATCGATTTATCCAACCCTGCACACGTTTTCGTGCGGAAATAGCATGCAGCCACGAATTTTTCATAATTAGCTCGGTGATACGGTTCCCGGATATGTCAGATGTCACCATTACTCATCGAAGCATTATCCCGATCTTCGTCGGTTCCAAAATGGTGTAAAAATAATCATCCAACACTCAACGGCAGTTAAGCTGAGGCCTTATTCTCCAGATAGATATAGTCATGCACTGTCTGCCTAATCAGGGCAGCGCGTGCAACTCTCTAGCCTTGTTTCACGCTGCCACATTTTGATATCTCATTATTCAATGTAGCTTGGAATACTGCGATCTCACGTAGGTGAATCAATCATTCTTATCTCTATCCCTTAAATTCTGCAAGGAACTTAGCCACCGACCACCTTCAAAAAGGTCCCGGGGACGCTCTCGATTGGCCTCTTCTTTGGCATACTGAAGAGGTGTTTTACCACTGAAATCCTTGCTGTAGAGGTTGAGATAGCCCTTCTAAGGAATTGGGCAAGAGATTTATTGAATACACCGTGAATCGCGCCATGATATTTAATACCCATACTATCAGCGTCCTGCGTCGTTATGTCTAAAAGTTCTATCAGATCCTTAAGAATACGAACGTTGTCATCGCCCCACTGTCGCATCAAGAGATGCAGAAGATTTCGTTGCTTCTGATCCGTCCAATGTATGCCTTCCGTACTTGAACATCACGAAGAAGTTTGAAGACGTCATATCTGATTCGCAAATGAAAAGACCTTAGATATTGACTGCACCGGACCTGCGGGTTCCTCTTGAGTTCGATGCTGCTTGGATCTTTTCTTTGTCATCTTCATCGGTCGCTGCAGTATGGAGAAGGGAAGTGAGAATGAGGATTAGTCCGCTCGCGTCGCGATATTAAATTCGATGGATCGTTACCGTAGCACATCGCACAGCTTGCTTCATTGTTCGGAGGATGGGCAACTTCGGTTTCAAACAGCCTGTCAGTACTAGGGTGCGGTCGCTTATACTCCTGCAGTCTTGGGCTTCTCTTAAGAACGCTGTTGCTAGCGCTAAACCCAACACGGGGGTTTGCCGAAAACGGCCGCCCTCTGGTAAATACGAATTGTCCTAGATATGTGTCGCGGCAATAGGACTCGCATCGAGAGCTACCCGAGATATAGCTAAAATTCTATCACTTAACGAGTGTAAAGGAATACTGAGGACTAGCGGTGAAGGTTTGCCCCGCAGTGGAATAAGCAAGTCTCGGACCCAATTCGTACTTAAATCGAGAGGGTTTCCAATTAATCTAGACTTAGCAAGAATCAGTCTTGCTTCTACAATACTACACCTAGTCCAGATATCCTTTCTTACCTAACCGACAGGCTTTCTATCCTGAACACATAGATCCTTTACAATTCTGATTCTTCTTTTATCGGTTACCTAAGGAAGTATATCTGTTAACGACCGTGTCCTCCGCTCCCGCGTCGCTACTAAAGGCGATAACACGCCTATATCGCACGAGGCTACTGCTACGTCCTAGCGTAGAGACGCTACCGATTCGACCCCGGGACTAAACTAACCCGAGTTAATTTCTCCTGACCCGCTATAATACGAACCACTTCTAGGGGACCTACGCGGACATTAAGCGACCCGTAGAGAACTCCGAAACGACAGCTAAACTATCGAAGATAAAATCGAACGCCTTAATAAGAAAATCCGCCTCCTTAAATATATTCGGGAGCTTAAAGGGGACCGAACCGTGCTAGTTAAGATAAGGACCCGGCTATAAAATAAAGATAAATCGACCGCGAGTAACGACAAAAAGGGTATTAAAATTAAAGATATCCCTTCCTTTTTAAAGGACTTTAACCTCCGGAAACGTTAAGAGTGGATTCTTAACCTCGAATACTAATTCGAAGCTAACCTAAAATAATACCCTATAGACCGAGAAAAGGTATTCGTTAGTATAGTAATAATAGAATACGATTATCGCTAAAGATAGCTATAATATATATATATAAAGCCTATAGAGGAATAATAAGAGCTTAAGAGCTTATAGATAGCTTTTAAAGACTAGACGACTACCCTTCTATATAATATAGCTACCTTATAGGCTAATATAAGTGTTAGCCTTAGCTAGGCACGCTAAAGGCTATAAGACAATCCGAATCAATTCTATACCTATCTAGATAGCCTAGAATAATATTTTGAACGGAAAAGCGAAAAGGATAATATAATATTCTATTACTCTAAGCTTAACCTAGCCCTTCGCTATTATATAAGCGAATATCTCCCCAGAGGATAACTACTAGAGACACACAATACTATAATAAGTGAAGCGGGATATTTCTGGAACCTACTCTAAATAGCTAAGAAATATCGCTAATTCGTCGACAAAACCTAAGAGTATTAATACCTACTAGGACGCCTTATATAATCCAGATATATATATAACTAGAGAAGGGATAACGCCTCCTAAAGATATAAGGAGTAATAACCCTTAAAGACCCGGCTAGGTTCCTTACGCTTCCGGGAAAGCCACGGCTATCATAACTTAAATAATATATATAGATTGATTATAAACTAAGACCGAAACCTACTACGCTTAGGATTAGGACCCTAATACTACCGATACCACGAATTCGGCTATATCGCCTTAAACTATACTAAAGATAGACTAAATATATACCCCGCGCGTATCTAATCCTTAAGGAACTTAGGAAAAGGGAATAAGTCGAAGTAAGCCCTACCCCTACGACTCTAGACCCTAAGATAGGGACTACCTTACGCTTTTATATCCCGATTCGAGTACGGAATACCCTCGTCATATACGCGGACCTAAATAGTTACGCTAAAGTTAATCTAGTTAGCTACTAATTCGCAAAAAAGCATAACCTAAAATATACCCTAGCTACCGCTCTAACTATTTAGGCAATCTTAAACCAGAAGATTGTCTCCTATAGGGTATAGAAAGTCCCTATTACCGCTACTAACTTAAGGGGGATACCCCGTAGCTTTATAAGATAATATATAGCTATAGATAAGGACCTACGCTTAGAAGGTAGCCCTATCCTTTTATCGATAACTATAATTTAAGACCTTTAAATCTATTTATTATTAGACCGATAATAGTAATTCGAGGTAAAAGAGTTCTCCTTACTTAGCCTATAGTAATTCACTAAGGCCTACCAAAACTATACCTATATTTATATCGCGATCTAAATACTAAAAGATATATAGCTTCCAGAGGATAATAAAGAAATAGAGACTATATCCGAACTAATACTACTAGATAAACTAGAGATATTTCGTGATATATTCGCGGCTAATTAGTTAAGGATTCTGCCGATACAAAAGTTAACTAACTATATTATCGAACTTAAGGAAGGGGTATTACCCCCCTATAGGCTAATATACCCTCTCTCGCAAACCGAACTCGCGAAATTAAGGAGATATCTTAACGAAAACCTCGTAAATAAATATATCCGACCCTCTAAGAGTCCTATAGGGGCGCTAATCCTCTTTGTGCCTAAAAAGGACGGTAATTTA